AAAAAACTAAAAAAGTGATATAAAAGTGTGATGGAGAGTGCTTAGCTAGCTAAACCCAGCAAAAAATCGACAGACATTGCCTCACCATCCAACGCCTCCTCCGAAAACACGCTTGAGAGAAATGAAAAGGTGAGATTGAAAAATAAAAGGTAGAGGCGTTGTTCTAGAAAGTTTAATGCTTTCAAAAAGATTCGTCCATTCCGAGTTTCTTCAAAAGCATTAAAGGCTGTAGTGGCTAATGACCACCAAGAGCGCTTATCCTAGCTCCTGCAGGTCGGCCGAGTAATCCTCCTGGCTTTCCACTCATGCTGTGTCGTAGACTTCCAGTGTCGCTTCTGCCACCAAGCTCCTCATCGCTGTCTTCGATGATTCTGGTTGGTAAGTCATCTCGGACATGGTATTGCTGGCTGTGTCTTTCGGGTGTAGTCACAGAGGAGCTAGCGATAGACATGGCGGTGCTGGATCTGTGACTGAGATCTGGAGTTGGAGGAATGCTGGAACCGCGACCGCTTGGATGAAGCATGCTGTCTTCCCCTGATTGTTCACCATCGCTGGTCATTGTTGAGAGATTGCTTTCACGATGTCTTCGTTGCTCCCTCATGGCAAGTTCCTCAGCTTCGGCATCCGCATCATGAGCCATCATGAGACCCTCAACAGCAGCTGCACATTGATCGCTAATATTTCGGATGATGTGAGCGATGGCATCAGTCTTATCTCGAAGGTGACGATCGGCAACATCGGCAATGCTGATTGCACTGTAGCGTTTACTATTTCGTACGCTACCAACCAGTCTGGCCTCCATCTCAGGAGTCATATCATCGCCAGATCGGCTGATTCGGTGGGAACGTGAGGGTGTACGAGACGAAGCACGGGATGATCCACGCTCGGAAGGTCCTCTGGATGCGGGCCTCTTTCCTTCGGCCTTGCCCTCCTCGGCGATCTCGCTCATCATTTCTCCCTCTTCTTGGTCGAATTCGGCATCGAGATACTCAGTGATATCTGGACTCTTCTGGATAGTGCGGACCAAGTGCTCCAAGTGGTGAGATTGACCACCAATAAGACTGCGGAGATGCAACACAACTCGCTGTGCCTCATCTCGTTGTCGTAGAAGAGTAGAGTTGGTGCGTTGAAGGTCTGAAAGTTCTTTCTTGTTGCGCTTACGTTCACGCTCGAGTTCTTCAGCAATCTCTTGTTGGAGGACAAGTGCTTCAAGAGCATCATCACGCTGCTTCTCTGTACCAGTAAGGCGGGTGTTAAGACGAGCTGCATCGTCTTTCTGTTGGTCGATAAGGCCAGTAAGACGTCTGTTCTCCCGTTTGTGGGTTTCGATCTTGACCTTGAGATCTTGAGTCTCTTTAGTAAGTTGCTCAGCAAAGGCTTGGAACTTGAGGAATTGCTGTTTCCAGCTTTCGAGTTCTTCAACCAAGAAGTTGTTTCTCTTCGTGACTTTGCCGAGCTCCGTATCCATGCGACCCTTGAGGTTGATGAAATCTTGCCATGCCTCAAGGGCATCTCTGGAGTATTGATTTCTTTCGCGTACGATCTCATTTAGATGTCTCATAGAAACCTTAGTCATTAGGGGTTTCTTTTGAGCTCCTCCGAATACAGCCTTGATTCCGGTGTTTCGTCCCTGAAAAGAGTTAGTGCATTCTAGGAAAAGCGAGTTCAATTTTTACTCACCATCTTCTCACAAACGTGATCCATCACGGCCATAGTAGCATCTTGATTCCACCATTCTGGATCTTGAATAGACTCAACTTCGCCGCGCATGACAATGATCTGACCGGCCGGAATTAATTTACCACCGCCATAAGCTGAGCGCAGGTGCTGTGGTACACCAGAAGGTGTTACATCACCGTTGAGAGCTTGAGTAATGCGATTGACCATCTTTGTGCGTTGACCAGCAGTCAAAGCAGTAGGTGGGCTGGAGGTTAGAACGAAGTTGCGATCCAAATCGACAACCAGAGCATCTGTGGGTGCGGTGAATAAGGATCGACATTCTGCTGTGATTCCAAGAATATATGGCCCAGGCTCCTGAACAAGTTCTTGCGCGTGTCTTGCATGAACAACTGGTACATAAAGGCCACTCCATTCGTAAACCCGAACAAAGTATCGAATAGTCTCCGAAGCCACTGTGAGCATGGCAGGGTAATGGGAGACGAAGATAATACGACGAGTGGGTGATAAAGCTGCTTCAATTACTCCTACAATATTAGGAATAGATAAGCAAGAGAACAAGGGCCACATGGCGAAGTTCTGGAAGCCCGTTGGAGAAGATGGGAATTGGTAACAAAGCGCGTAGTCCTTCATGTCAATTCGTACGAGATCATTGAGTCTGGGAGCTGGAAAGCTCAATATTCTCGAAACCTCTTCCGCATGGAAAAGATTGGTAGCTTTGTTCCAATGAATCCACATTCCTCGGAGGTAGTCACCTAGCAAATTATACAATGGGTATCTGGAAAGGAAAGACAAGCAGTATGGAATCCAGTAAGTTTCGTCTGCCGAGTCGTAGAAGTCTGATTCTGTCCTCCTTCTCAAATCGCGAATTGTCTCTGCACGCTTCTCATCTGCTCGGGACCAAACTCGTAATGCGATACCATACAAAGTATGCGAAGAATCTTGCTGAAGAACGAAGGAATGGTGAACGCAATGAGGTTGACTGCGTCCTGTACAGATTTCGACATCGTGGGGAAAGCATGCCTACTGCCAATTAGTAAAATCTTACCAAGGACTCATTTTGATCCTTACCCTCATTGCAGAGTGAAGAGCTCTGGCGATTTCATTATCTTGCTCCAGTCGAGGACTGCTACCGAGAATCTCAGGAAGCCAAAACTGACCCACGGCGCCTTTCATATGTTGAATCTTTCCTTGCGCTGGAGCCGGCGCCTTCACCCATTGTGCTGGTTCTCGACCAACACCGCATACCATGTAGGCATGAGTGAGGGTTTTTGGCGTGCGAGCTTGAGGTTTTGCATTGAGTGAAGAAGGAATGGGTTGTGTAATTCTCGAGTGGAGAGAGGAAGTTCGGCTAGGAATTATGAGGTTGTGATCCTGGTTATTTTCCCGAGTACTAGGGCGCTCATCACCACGATCTCTGGTTCTGGGTCGGAGGAAATTGGATGAACTTGTAAGAGATGGAGCCATGGTTGGAGATGTCAAGAGAAGTCAAGACTCCTCTGATTGTAAAATCCAAGTAGGATGCTCCTATGAAGAATAGAAGACAATTTGAAAGAATACTGAAGGTATGTCGAGAACCCGAGAGATGCCGACAAGAATAATATGATCGTAGAAGCGTTGAAGAATCAAAGGAGTGTATATTGAGTATATTGAGCGAACTGATTATATCATTCGATCATGGAAATTCACTTTTCTTTGGAAACGAAGTCTCGAGCCTTGATGTTTTGCAGTGGCCTCCTTTTTGGTACAATATGTGTTTCTTGTTCCCTTCGTAGTCCAGGTTGGTAGAATTGACGATGGAACCTTTAGTATCTTGATCCTACCTTTCTGCTGCTTTCTGCAAATTGCAGATTGTGGTGCAGTCACGAAACTTGAAGATTGAAAGAATGAAAGATAGGAAAACGAGTGAATGTAGGGAAAGGAAAGGAAGAAATCCAGATGATGAATAGATATGGTAGACCAGCAAGCAAGCAATCAAGCAGGCAAATGGCAGGTAAGGGAAAGCAGGCAAAGTAGGTAGGCAAAGGACCAAAAAGAGGAGCATGCACAGAAGGTTAAAATTGACCAGGGGAGGGAGAGAGGGAAAGCATTGAAAGCGAAGCTCATGATATTATTTATTATTTATTATTTATTATTTATGATCGATTATCTATTAGTTATGATTTATCATGCATTCATTATTTATTCCCAGTCCCAAAAGGGATTTAGCGTGGTTTTAGTTTTAGGGTGTGAAGTGAGGGTCTAATATAATTGGGTTGAGATTTAGGAAAGATTCGAAGAGTGGGTCGATTTTCAGGAGATGGTATGAAAAAAGGAAAGCTAATGTACAGTCAACCGTCAAAATGAATGAATGATTGATGGAACGGTCGTATACGTTTGAATGCCGATATCGTTTCTGTCTACGAGGCAGGTGTCTATTCATTCATATATATATATATCTAGGCAATCACAGTGATTTATACCTATTTAGTGCATCTTTTCGAGTCTTTCCCTGTGATACGAATCATGAGTCGTGAGGATAGTGATGGAGATAGCAAGGTCAGGAAATTCCTAGGAAAGGGAAGAAAAGAAAGAAAAAGAATGACGGCCAAAAGAAATTCCCGGAAAAGTAAATCCCCCCCAAATAAAATAACACCAAAACATACCCAACAGCCTATGCCACATCGGGGGCATTATTCAATTGGAAGATTTGATTGGAGAATGGTGAACTGACCCAAATGCAGTGACACTGTGACGGGTAGCAAAATCGAGGGGTGCTTTGATGTTTCTTCTCCATTTCCTGTACCATTTATTATTCATACCATACATTAGTGTGATGTGTACTTACATTAGTCTCATGCGCGGTATTGCAGCTGCTTGTATCTTTTGCTCCATCAATTGGAGATCAAACAAGAGAAGAAGAAAAAGAAAGTGAGTCGACGAATAGGTCGCTCATATCCAATACCCAATCCCCATATCTCCTCCCACTTTCTATCTCCTTCGTCCAATTAATTCATCATATCACAATCATCAAAAGGAACGAAATCTCGAACGGTTCGGTTTCATTCACCCATCAACCCTGCCCTCGTTCACGGGATGTTTCCTTTCCAAGCTTCTTCCCCCTTACTCTAGTTCATAAAAGGGTCTATACAGCTTTGCCAAATATCGTAACGATTGTCTGCTATTATACGAAGCAGAGACTTACCAACGGACACAGATCCAACACAGACAAACATGATTGGGAAAAGGAACGATTCAGCTCATGGCCGTTTCTAGGGTTGCTTCACTATTTATCCATCAAATCTCCCCTCAATTTCTGATATGTGACACCGAAATCTTAACTCATGCGCACACACGCCCGGACGCGTACTACGACTACTGTTACTACTACTACCAACACTACTATCACTACTACCACCACCACCACCACCACCAACACTACTACTAACGTACCGTCGACAAAACATCAACCTATATCGTGGTCAACATGTGGTTTTCCGCCTTCAAATTTGATTACTCCGGACTTCGTATGGATGTGCGAATGTAACCAATGAGCCAAAAGGAACTCTAACTCTTTTCCAACTGGTCAAGGGTCGAATCTAGGCACGGATAGCAAACTTAGGTACGCCCATCCCATCATACAGGGCCACACAAGCCCACTCACAGTGCACACTGCACAGTGCACACAAGCACATGAGTCTTACTCAAAGCACAATTGATATGAATCGAAGCTCCGTAGTGTCTCCGCACATGTGGCCTTTGTTATTATTGTCATCGGCAGTCAATCAAATTTCCCCGACACGAGTGGACTTCTGGAATTCTCCTTTGGGTCATTTAAGATTTTGGTACTCAAACTAACCATCTAAAAAATGAAAACTGCTGCCAAACTTGATCTGTGCTCGTTATTGGGATCCATTGGATATCTAGTATCTACTTGGCCCTTGAATGTGTTTGATTTTGATCGCAAATTACTATACAAATCGAGGCTGGAACACCGGAACAAGACTCCCTCTCCTATACATTTCAAGAAGGGAAGACAATTGACATTGGGCAATGGACAATGAGCAATGAGTAATCCAAGAGCCCACTGTTGGCTATTCGGAGCAAAATAAAAAGTCATCCCAAAGTAGCAACCGTTGAACCATGGATCGTTGATACGGCTCCGGTCGGTACCAAACTCGAGACTTGACACTGACCTCGATTCGTCACCATCCCGAAGTTCTTTATGTTAATAATTGAACAAGTCTATAACTTTAATTCATCACAAAGTTACCATTCTTGTCGCATGAGTTTTCCGTCTCCAGATTTGCAACTAAGCATGAAATTCTCCCTCATCCGTCAATCTCAGTGACAGCAATACCGGTCGGTCAGCACTGTCACAAACATCCGTATCACGGTATCACGACACAGATATCACGCACGCATTGACCCAACCAACCCAAATAGTTCTGTTCATCCGCGTCCATGCAAAAACCCACAGATGGCATGAAGATTGCCACCACCGATTTACCTATGTACGTATTTATCAAACCTTGTCGCCTTAACATATTATCGCGGCAGTTTCCCAGAGAGTGTGGCAGCTCGGCATTTCAACAAGACGCGAAATGCTTCAAGGATGAAATCATGTAGTCATGATTCAGTTTTTCATGCGCTACAACCATGTGATTGAGGAATCGAATTTTACGGCACAGAATGAAAGTCTCCCAAGTACACTTTTTTGATCGACTTTTCTGCCCCGATATTGCCCCAAGATCGCTTAGATACCTTGATGAGAAGAAAATTGAGTCTAGCATCAAGGGATCTCCCCAAGTTCCCGCATCTAAGCATGCGGGCAACAAGTCTAGCCGGCGACAACGAATAATGGCACATTTTATGATGGTAGAACCATGTGCGCCGAGGCTGCGCGACTTCTTCATTTGAGAATTAATAGCTGAGTAGTGGGTACTCCCTTGGTTATGTGTGGAGAGTGTCAAGTAAAAAGCTCCTTCGCGATCTTTTCATTCTTAAGTAAGGATATGCTTGCTCATGACCAGTGGCACCTCCAATTACTACAACAACAAACTTTTGATCAGCAATCTTATTGGCCAAGCTAAATCACAGATCTGAACATCCAGGAGTCATGGGTATCGAATGAACAAGCTATCGGCCTGCAAATTGGTCATATTTTGAACATCAGATGAAATAGATGGTGACAGTATGACTTCTGACAGCTTGTGGCGGCACGCAACTATCAACAGTACATTTATCGTATGATATTTCTTCCTGCTTCACTTATATTAAGTCGTATTCGTATCAATCGTTCCAACTTCCAGGCGACTGGATTTCCCCCTCGCGGTCGCGGTCGTCCACAATATCAATTTATGTTCCGAAGTAGATTCATCTACCCCACGACGATGCCATTATCCCTATAACCTAGATAGGGTTTCCTTGTTCAGCCGCAGTCTAGCAACAGCAAGCAGTATTAAGTAAGAGAAGGAAATCATTAGTATACTAATGCAAAAATCCTTGAATCAGGACGGTTGGTATCCGCACGACATAAGGATTAAAACACGATTAGACTACGCAGCCTTGTCTTTAATATACGTAGTTAAACTTTATCTCGATCGATTCATGACGGATGAAAAGTTCCTTTCTTTAATAGGTATGTAAAGACGATTGATTTTCGTTTTTATATTGGGGCAGGATTGAGGCCTTGACATCTCCAGCCGAGGGACTCGTCAGCTTAGATATTCGTTTGTTTTCATCTCGAACATTCAATTGATGTGTCGTCTATATACACCGTTATTATACTCAACGCGTGAGTTCGAATTTAGACATTTCAGGACCTGGATCCATGTGGATACGATTATTCGAAAGAATGAACCATTCAGACCATCCTTAGCTATACTCCAAAGGTCATCACTGACTTCAAGAAATCACACCAGCAAATAGGTAGGTAATATGTTTCATTGTCAATATGGAGTATTGATCAGTAGAGACATGAGGGTATGCTATTGAATGTGCACTCTTGACAATAGAGAGGTATAGATAGATATATGTTCAGCAGTTTCTTACCTATAAATCTTCGAGACGACATAGTGATACCACCTAGATCCCTTCATCTGCAATATATGGAATATACATATTGAGCTCTTGTAAAGATTTATTATTATTATAGAATATCATGATTGTCTTTGAAAGCTATCTAAATAAACACAATACTTAAAACCAATTGAACTAAATTGTTATATGAATACCTTCAATGAAAGGCACATAAACCACTAATAAAATATTGCTCTCCAGTCTTGATTGCATGTCCGTCAGCAAAAATGTCACAGAATCATAGTGATAATTTCGCGATTTGCAACATTTATTCCTCTTCATCTTCGTAGGTACTTTTCGTTGATTGGATCACACCACTTGTCTCACGTGCTTTATCAAGTCTCATTTCCAATCGCGTTCAATGTTGTACATTATACTGATTAATAAAGTGGCACTGATAGATCAATAGGACCGCTGGCGCAACGGTAGCGCGTTCGACTCCAGATCGAAAGGTTATCCGTTCAAATCGGGTGTGGTTCAATACCTCCTATGTTGATCGTGTTTTTTGCATTTTTTGCATCTATGATTGATGCGGCGAGGATTTTACGAGAGAGTTGATTGACTCGAGGGTTGAGGGATGTGTGCAATGTATGCTTTTTTTGGGTGGAATTGTTCTCGGGGGATTGTCGGATAGCATCGGTTGGCTTGATTTTATTCAAGTTCTGACGCCGAACAACAATTATTTCGCAATTTGGGTATCTAACCATAACAAATGGATTGAAATTACCATGAATATCTACCATCTGTTTCCCCTGCAAAATAACATCACAATTGTCCAATCTTCATTTGAATATTGCAATCGGTATATCCAGATTTTTCTCGGATGACATTGTAATATGCAAATATCCAGGAATTATATACTGTCTTAAGTAAGCGCAGCCAATCTTGTACCATGTGAATGTCACTCATACCTCAAGTACAAGTATGAACTCATGACACATTTTGCTTTTGATATATAAACCTAGAGAGGCTTCGTCAGCTCTCTAGATCATCTCATATATTTCTCCTCATCCTTTCCTTCTCCAGGAAATCCTGCATCTGCCGGCAGTTTTTCCTCTGCGCGGCTAATCACAAGCAATTCGAAAGTCGTTTCATATGTGTCTGTATGTGTGCGTAATGAATGTTGGGGTAAGTCCCATCCTTCGGTATTGCAGTTGCCAAGTGCTATTCATCGCACCAATACCTTCTAAGGGCAATCACCAAGCAAATTTTCCTATTACCTTCCCGTTGAGAAATATTTCTCCGATGCTGGAATGACATCCTCGACAAACATTTTCCAATCAACTTTCTGGCATTACTATTCTTGTATGACGAATTGCATATGTCTTTGATCCTCCCCTATATCGCCAAGATGGCGCTCCTGTACAACGAGCGTGGAGAATCTCAATTCTACATGGTTTCGACAGGTATCCCAGACGCTTTGATATAGAATCACGCCTGTGGTTGTGGAAATATATCCTCAAAACCAATCCAAATCATTTGGACGCGTGTACCTTTGTCTTGGGATGATCCTCAATATCCTCCCAAATCAATCACCTACTCGATTGCGTCGACGTCGTTCGCGGGAAAAGTATATCCTGTCTGGATGAATTGAAATTGCCTTGCTGAGGAAGATCGTGGAAGCCTTGGCGCTGTCGACATCAAGATGTCATTTCGTTTTGCACGCTGGCATCTGGAAGGCGTGATTTGGGATGTTTTTTGCTATGGAACTTCTGACACGGGTCAAAACTATGTATATATATGTGAAGAACATCGTCCTGTAGAAATAGAAGAATCCACAAGCTCATCAACTACTTTTCTCCTGAGTATTTTATTCACCATGCATTTCACACGTCTTGCCATCCCCACGCTGGCCTCCTTGGTTGCTGTGCAAGCACATCCAGGACATGATATTAAGGAAGAAATCGCTCATATTGCAAGAGCTCATGAATTCCACAAGAGAGATATCAGTAGCTGCTACTCCAAGCTCAAGGCTCGAGGACACCATCAACGCACCACCGATAGAAGACACGAGATCCTCCAGAACGAGCGAGCCAAGCGTGGTCTTCCCATTGGTAATCCCTCACCCTCTCACTCACCATCTCCCAATCCCCACTAACAAACCCAGATACCTCCATCATCAAACTCCGCGATCTCCCCGAGCTCTCTGCCCGCGACTCCGGCACCGTCCTAAACACCAGTCATCTCTCCACAACCCCCTACTCCCCCACCGACAGCTTCAGCGACATCTTCACCGGCAACAATTCCTGCATTCTCGTCCCCGAAGTAACCGAAGGCCCCTTCTACGTCAGCGGCGAATACATCCGCGCCGACGTGCGCGAAACCGCCATCCAATCGGGCATCGATCTCATTCTCGATATCCAAGTCATCGATACCTCGACCTGCGAGCCGGTGCCCGATGTGTATATCGATTTCTGGTATGCGAATAGCACGGGAACGTATAGTGGTGTGACGGATGCGTCGGTGCCGGGGAATATTAATGCGACGTTTGCGAGGGGTATTCAGGCGACCGGGGAGGAGGGCGCGACTCAGTTTACGGCGTTTTACCCGGGGCATTATCAGGGGAGGACGCAGCATATCCATGTTGCTACTCATGTTGGTGGAACGTAAGTTTTCTCTCTCTCTCGCTCTCTCTCCTCTGCTTCTCAATCCCAAAAAATGAGTTTTGGTGTATGAGAAATTAGAACAATACTAATATAACACACAGAGCCTTCCCAAATGGCACATACCAAGGGTCAACAGTCTCGCACATCGGCCAGCTCTTCTTCGATACCTCGCTTTCGAATCAGATTGAGGCGTTGACTCCATACTCGACGAATCCGAATCCGGGATCGACTACTAATGCTAATGATGGGATATTTCGTGAGCCATTCATTCCTCTCCCCATATAGCATAGATTCCAAACCCCCAACTAACACCCCATCTCTCCCCCTAGTCCAAGAAGCCGCCCTCGGTGACCCCGTCGTCGAATATTCTCTCCTCGGCTCCACCCTCTCCGAAGGTCTCTTCGGCTGGATCGCCTTCGGTATCGATCCTACTCGCGCGGGATCTATTCAAGCTGCTGCGGCGTTGACATCGGATGGGGGTGTGCCTGTTGCTGGTGGTGGTGGAGGACCAGGGGGACCACCTCCTAATGGTACGTTTCCTGGTGGACCGAATGGGACGTTTCCTGGGGGACCGAGACCGACGAGTAGTGGAGCGGCGACGCTGACGAGTAGTAGTGGTGTAGGGACGACGACATCGACAGGTTGAGTGGTTATGAGGGAGGGTGGAGGATGAGAGGAGGGGAAGCAGAGAGAAGAGTGGAATGGAATGGATAGGCGGGCAGGGGGTTGAGATGGGATTGTGAATGTGAAGGGAAGTTTGAGCTGGTGAAGCAAAAGGGAATACTGATGAAAGCGGCCGTAGGATCAGGAGCTTTTTTCGCTAAAGGAGGGGAAGTGGTCTTACATTCATTTCCGCGCAGGTCGTGAGATACTCTCTGGAATACCCTATTTGGAGTATTCTCGATCATCTCACTTCCTATTTTCAACACAGGGTTTTGTGATATTTTGATAAGGGGATGGGTGCGTTAGTTAAGGTTTCGAAGTCACTCGTTTCTTCGGGGCTATGTAGGTAGCTTGTTTTAGGTAGTTTTTGGAATTTTATTGTCTTTCGCTTATTTTTGGTTTTGGTTTTGTGATGTCTGGGGTTGCGGGGTTGTGAGATTGCTGAGTTGAGATGAACTGTTTTGATGACTAGATGGATATGAACAGACTCCGCGAAAAGGAAAGGTGAAAAAAGATGCGCAATCAGTGTGATTCTACCGATTGTATCTCTTGACTAGAAATGAATATACAGAAATCCATGCTGCCGTCGCAATTTGTGCTTGTCTCCAGGGACAGTCAATTCTCTCGAATCCTTTGCCGTCCGCAGTCTCCATACATCGTATTGTTCTCAATCTTCCAAATGTTCATCTTCCTTGAGTTTCTCCCCCTCCTCCTCCTGCTTCTCTGGCATTGACTCCTCGTTTGCTTCTTGTCCATCTTTTAGAGCCTCTGGTATTTGGTTATCAATGGCTTTGCTTTTTGTTTCAAGGATTGAATCTGCGTCTTCATCCTCGTCTTCCTCCTCCTCCTCCCCCTCTCCTTCCTCTCCTTCGGAAGTCGAGTATAGAGATTGCTCTATATCCGAATCAGATGACCAGAGTAGATTTCGCTCGTACGTCGAGAAAATGGTGTCATCGCCGAGCTCGGAGACTTCGGATTCCGTATCGCTTTCAGAATCGGAGGTTTGGCTTGCGGGTGATCCTCTTCTGACTTTTCTTTGTTCGTTCTGTAATTGTAGCTCGAGATTCTCGCGTACAACGGCGCAATCACGCTCCGAACGTAGTGTTTTGGGATTGCCAGGACCCAATGTTGCTAGTCTGTGTGCATAAACACTTTCAAAACAGGTCAAGGATTCGGAAAGTTTTCCTTGATCCTCGAGAATGAAAGCTAATTCTTTTAGATGGTTATTTGTGATACTATGATTTGGTCCAAGTATTCTCTGGCTGTCGTGGACTAGGTTCCGGCAAAGGACTTCAGCTTCAGCAAATTCCCCTGCATTCTGGAGAACACGAGCAAGGGCGAAGATACTTGACAATGTCTCTGTGTCATCATGTCCTAAAATCCTTTCCGTTACCTCGAGGAGTCTTCTGAAAATCTTCTCGGCTCTGACAAGATGTCCTCTTTCCATTAGACTCCATGCAATGTTGTGTGTATCTCTCAATACATCAGGGTTTTCAGAACCATATTTTTTTCTACGAATTTTTAGCACCTTTTGGTCTATATGAAACGATTCTTCGAAATTATTTAGCTTAGATAACGCATTTGCCAACGAAGCATGAGCATGTAAAGTTCCAACGTCCTCCGGTCCATATTCCCGTAAACTCGCCACCACCCATTGACGAGCAATCTTCTCAGATTCTCTATATAAACCGCTCTTAAAGTAAAATCGCGTGAGCTCTGGGTAATATAGATACAACATATCTCTACTGAGCGCTTTATCTTTCTTGAGCGTAACCATCAGCTCTTGAATTTCTTCGTGCAAACTAAGATGGGACAGTAGTTCCTGCCGCAGAGATAAGGGCATCGTGTACGTTTTATGAGAGTAACATTGTTGGAGAACTGTTGCCACGACATTAGCGCTGAGAACCGCGGAGTCGTAGCATAGTTCTGAAGAAGCGCGCACGCGAATCCAGTCCTGAACCAAAGGGTGTAGAGACAGATGACAATGATCATTCTCGTCTCTATACCAGCTTTGGATCAGGGACAGTCGAGAGAGACCATTCAAAATATCCACGAATTTTTGTTCATCCCAGTTCTTGTCTTCACCAACAAACAAGAGTAAAGGCTCATCGATCTCCATCACTTCGGTGTTTGAGAAGAGTTCCACTGTGCAATAAGTCTCAAATAATTGTTGGGATATATTTTGACAGTCGAAGAAAGCAAACAAGGTTAGAATCCTTGACTTGTACTTCTTCTCATCATCAAGCGTCTCTAATTGTTGGTAGGAAAGTTCCCAGGTTGTAAAGACATTCAATGCAGTTTCGTCCGCAGCCTCTCCAATTTTACGTCGATACTGTGACATTCGCGGCGTCTCTCGTAGAATTGCTTCTCGTTGCCGATTATAGTTGTCCATAAATTGTGACAATTGGATCTTTTGAGTTTGGATATATGATCCTGCCTGTGTAATAGCTAGTGCATGGTACCCCAAGCGATCAACGATAGCGTATGCGTCGTCGCGCGATGCGGTATTGCTTACCCGGCTTTGTTTAATGAGAAGATCACAAGCATCATCTTTCCGGAGCCCATGTAGCTCAATATCATGGTCTCTTTCAGCTAGTAAGGCAGTATCTGCGTGTCTACTCGTGATCAAAATTCGTCCATGTTGCCCTGATGGCATGAAATCGGGGAGATGAAAACTTGATGGGTCGTCATGGTTATCGAAGATGATTAGCCATGGCTCATCCCATTCTCGAAGTATGTTCAACACGGAGGTAACTACTTGGTCATCTTGCGTTGAATCAGCTGGGCGTTCGATATGCTCCAGTACTGACTTGTAATCTTTCTTGACAGTGCTCTCGGATGTTGCATCAATCCAGAATATGGCTCGAATATGGTTCTTTCTTGCACGATGGCAGTACTCAAGTGCAATTTGAGTTTTACCTTGGCCTCCTAATCCTCGAAGAACGACAATACGAGACTCAGATTCAGAGGACAATCCCTCTTCGATCTTGTTTAGGATATCTTCACGGCCAATAAAGCCGCTAACACGGCGATTTGGCACAATGAAGTGACTCTTGTTAATATTCTCTGTAGGAGCGACAATATCTGATCGAGAATTCATCTAAGTAAGCATTAGTTGGAAGTTGTGTGGAAATGTAGCAATTTGCTTGGCTACCGATATAAGTATAGATTTGACTTCCGTAACATTATTTGCAACCGCGCCAACTGTCAATTTAATTTCGTTTGCATTGAGATCAACTGTTTGCAGTAGAGATCTTTGAGAATCAGTAGAGTGAATGTGTCATTGTTGCGCGCTCTTACAAATCAATCCTTTGGATATGGAGACTCAACAAGGACTTCTCTCCTTCGAGATCCGCAATCATAGAGGATATCTTTTTTTCTGATCTCACTGCTGTAAATGCTTTTCGCCATTTTACTCTTTTTCCTTCATCCGGAGTAGCAAGATAACTTTCGAGGCTATCCTTAATATCTTTTGCAGAATTAGAACAAGTTTTCACAACCGAAGACACTTCGGAGGTTTGTAAAGAGGTATTCTTAATAACTAATGCTAGAAGAGTGATGAATTGCTCAATGTGTTGTATTTGTCCACGGATCTTCTTCGGACCGTTCTGCATTTGCGTTTTGATATCGTTCAAGAATTTAATGGCATCGTAGCTTTGCTGGGCGATTTGAGAGGAGGCTGCGATGGCACCCAAGATAGATAATGGATCCATATTGAAAACACAAATAATATATCTTACAACATAAACACACAAACATCTATATAGTGCGATAGGAGTGAAGTTTGTGACAAGTATCAAAGCATCAAATCGTTAAACTCGTGAAACACTTGAGTATAATATTGATATAACCAACCTGAAAGTGGGCAAAATATAGAGATCTTCGTAGGACAGTAGTTTGATGTGCGCAGCCTCAAGATGGTACAGGGAGCAAAGCCCCGCCTTGTCAGCTTGCCATTGCACTGCATGCACTACAATCAATAGGCCATGGTACATCGTAAGCTTTTTCGACATATGCAAGCTAGTGGCCAGCGCGCTAACCATGCAATTCATCAGTGAACGTGTATAAATTCGATGGGCGATATGATCTAAGCCACCGAAGACGTTGCAGAAGTACAGCTTCTGTTGATTATATGATTCAAACGCTTTGGAATAGAGAACCGGCGACGTGCTGGTGTATGAAAGAGTGAAGCCTGACCGGGCCAAGAAATGCGTACCAGCAAATTCTGGTCGGCCCCAAAAGATTTCACACATATCACGTGAGGGCGAGCTTTAGCGTGTATCGGTCGCGTTGACAGTCTGTGACAAAGGATTGCAAACGAAACACAAATTCAAGAGGAGAATTTGTCTATGCCGTCAATTGTCTCCCTTTGCTTTCTTTAATTCGACGTAATAATTTCATTACTTCTGGATTGGGTGCACACAATCGCCGGGATCTGTATCCGCAAATTCTAATTCTAATCCCAATAAAATGCAGGAGTTTATTGATTTGATAAGTTCGAGTCCAGAGCCAGAACTACCGAAGAATCGCGCCAAAGTCGCACCTGTCGTCGCTCCCAAAGCTCCACTCAAAGATCTATCACAGAATATCCCCAGACCACCTACAGTCCAGCTCTTTGATTTCAGCTTTGCCAATTTCGATAATGCGACTAGTATTGAGACAGCGAAGGCCCCGCCACCAAATCCGTCGATACGATCTCCCAAACCAAAAGCTTCCAAGACAATACAACTTGATGATGGCAATGAACTTCAATTGTGGTCTGATGATTTCGACACGACAATTGGTTCTGCATTGAATAGTGCATCTGCAAAGCGGGATACTGGAAACTCGAAGCAAAGACAATGGGACAATGCTCCTATCGAAATAACAGATTCGGACAACCCATTTACCTCTCCGCCACCTGCGAAACGACAGAAAGCATCACCACCAAAAGACAAAATCCCAAGGGCCACAGGCGGATACAAACGTACAGTTTCAAATATTGAGTCCGTTCGAACAAGTAAAGCAAGACCGCCCAAATACAGTTTAAATAGATCAAACTCTTTGGGCGCAGACCCTTTATTGTTTACAAGTTCGCCGGATGCGTCCGCTGCTCGATCGAAATATGGCAAGGGAAAGGCATCTTCGATTCGATATGACGATGATGATGATGACGAAGTGGAGATACCACGGAAGAGAGCCAGCAAGCCAATTTTTTTGGATGTCGAGGATGGAGATGACTTCCCATCCATTGAGAATTTGAAATCCTGGAATCCGCCACCAAGGCGATCGAAAGCGATTGAAGAGCCAATGCTACATCATTATGACGATGATTCAACACCCGAGAAGAAGAAGCGAGAGAAGGTCGATAAATCTAAAGAAAAAGCTTCGAGCGCAGCAGAAAAAAAGGCGGCAAAGGATGCCGAAAGGGAGCAAAAACGTATCGACAAAGAGTATGCCAAAGCAGAGAAAGAGCGAGAAAAAGAAAAGGCAAAGGATTTGGCTAAGGTCAACGTCGATCGTACCAAACCCGAAATTTCGACTCCGGAAATGATTGTCGATTTGCCTTCATGTATTCAGGATAAAAGTCATATGGCACTGAGAACTAGAATCGATGTTTTACTGAAGGAATTGGATGTTCAGCAATCTCAATGGGAGAATTCAGATCTAGTCATTAAGTGGCGTCGAAAGGTCATTTCGGAATACAATGAAGAAAGTGATATCTGGGAACCCAAACCACGGCAAATCAAGGACGAGAAGCACATTCTATGTATCATGCCAGCTAAGAAGTTCGTTGATATGGCTTTAGGAAGGGGAGATATAGATCTAGATACTCATGTTTCTATCCTCAAATCACAATTCGAATCATGCAAGCTGATATATCTCATTGAAGGTCTAACTGCATGGCAAAATAAAAATCGGAATATAAAAGACCGACAGTATCAAGCTGCAGTGAGAAGTCGAATACCAGAAGATGAAGTGGCTAGTAGCAGTTCCAATCAGAGGAGAAAAGCAACACAAGCAGACGAATACATTGAAAACGCAGACAGTATCATTGAAGATTCTTTACTCAAATTAGAAGTCCTCCATAAAGTACAGCACCGTTTGAGTACCAACACACAAGATAGCGCAAAATGGGTGGCACAATTTACTAAGCACATATCCACAATTCCGTATCTAGCCCAACGCGAAGCTCTCGGTTTGAATTTCTGCATGGCGGGCGGTCAGTTCAAGTCTGGAAAAGATACTACAGATACGTATATTAAAATGTTGGAGGAGATACATCATGTTACAGAGAAGATGGCAGAGGGAATAGTAGCTGAGTATCCCACGCCCCAGGCTCTGTTGCAAGGATTCAAAGAAAATGGTTCGTCGGCATTAGAAGGATGTCGAAAATTGGCGAACAAGAATGGAGCACTTACGGATACGAAGATTGGGAAGGCAATCAGTAGGAGGGTGTACAAGATTTTCATGGAAGAGGATCCGGAGAGTTTTGACATATAGGGGTGTGTGGACTTTGGATTTTTGGGCATACATTCGGGGCTTTTGGGAAGAGGGGATGAGCGAACAGTATTAATGTGTGGATCTTTTGACGGGGAATTCAAAAGTCCTTCAGAGGACTCGGCATCTTATGGTGGTACCAGAGTCTTTGGGCTGAAGGTCAAAAGGAGTATTGGGGTTTATGACGTCTCTATAGGAAGTTTACGTTGTAAGGAGTATTAGATATGGTTTTGTATTTGTATCGATATTTACTACAGTTACAGAGTATTTCTTGCCTTACGATAAATGAATACTCACGCAGAATACCTCATCGTACTTCTCCACAACAATTCTCTCTCCCAAAGATGTGTTTGTGTTATGTATGCTTGTAGGGAATAGTCATGACTGAGTTCAAATGCAGCTGCAGAGAACTGTGGAGGAAACAGTCTGTCTTTCAAGAACCCAATAAAGTTATTAATTAAAAAGAAAACAAATCTACGCAATCGAAGATAATGGTTTTGGAGTCATCTCCAGACTCGATAAAGAAAGGCATCCGTTCCCATCCATGTGTCATAATTTCATATCAATCCTCCATTTCCTTGAACCGACATTCCTTATGCCCTCGTAACCGTGGGCCCAGATGAGATCATAGCTAGAAGTACTCGTCTTTTGCTGTATGTATCAAGCTCTTCATATTCTTCCGATTCCCTAAACCTTCCCTAAAATATCCGCTTATTTCCTTCCTGGAAATTTGATACCATGAAGAATACCTCCCAAAATCCGACTCAAAAAAGCTCCAAGTAAATCATCAGACGGGGACCTCCTCAATCTCATACTGTTCATCAAATCTCCTATTGGCTTCCCTCCTAGCTCTTCTTTCCCTCCGTCGTCGATCATCTTCATCGTGAGTATCTCGTCTTGTTCTCTCATGTGAATCGTGTCCATGTCCGTGCCTCGTTCCTCTCGTCTCTCTCCTATCTTCTTCTTCTCTAACCCTCTCCCTTCGATGTCGATATGCCCTTTCATCATCATCCTCCACATCCCTCCGTCTCCTCTCTTCCTCAAACCCCCTCCCATCCCTCCTTTCCCTCTCCCCTCTGTCCCTCCTATACTCCTCCTCCTTAACCACCCTCCTCTCCCCATCCCCCTTCCCATCAAAGAACCCCCCACTCTCAAGCATCTGCTCCATCCCCACCACCGTAGCCGCAGCCGCCATACGACTCTTCCACGGTCCCCCCTCCGTCAATAACGTAGCACCAATCGCCAAGCCCATCATTCCCAACGTCGCCGCTAGATTTTTCGGCGTAATTTTCTTTTTCTCATGACGAGCTTCATGACGAGTATCTCGTCGAGAATGCGAATGAGGATGTGATTTCTCGTTTCGAGAACTGTGGTAATGTCGTGACATTTTGATTCTGATTACGACCTCGGTCTTAGTCTTAGTCTTGGTCTTGAAGCTGTAACCTTGTACTTCTGTAGAATATATCGCTTTTCAACACGCTGAAAATCGCAATAAACCCAAACACGCAAACAGCAAGAACTCTCAAAAAAGCATCCAAGAATACCATCCAAAGACTTCACTTCTTCTCACAAAATCTTTCTTCATAAACAAAATCACAATCGAAAGAATCACAAAATCGCCAGCAAAGTAAAAACAAATGAATCACAAACGCGGCTGAGCCGCCGCAAACCGTTGCCTGACGATCTCGTGTGGATCAGTTTTTGTGGCGGGGGCAAACGAGAACCTATGAATCTTGCAATCCCTCACACGTTCAGGTATGAAGAATCTTCCAACTTATGAATTTATGACTCTCAGGCTGAAAATCCTCGGTGAGTGGATTTGTGAATGGTTGAATATGAGATTTATGGGGTTGTGGTGTTATCATGTGAAGATTTTCGGGGGTGTGGAGGCTGAATATCAGATTTTTTGCGATAAGGAGTGTAGGTTGTGAATATGTGGATTTGGGTAGGAAGATTGGCGCATTTTATGGAGAGGGTTTGTGAAGGATTTTTATCTTATGAGTGTTGCTGCGTGGGTGTAGGAGGGTTGAAGTAGGGAATTTGATCTTTATTGATTCTTAAGTATCCTGGTATCTTACCTGGGTATCTACCTACCTACCTATCGTCACAGTCTATTCGATACAGGAATAAGACATTGATACCTAGATAGGTAGGTATGTGATCTGATTTCATGTGCGTGTGATATAATAAAACCTCATGATCACGCGACCAAACATCTCGACTCTCCTTTTCAAGAGTTGATTTGCAGAGGGATTGGAACTTTACTAGTATACGTCGTTCTCTAGTAGAGGATCTTGAGAGGGATCTAGAGTGATGTACTGAAGAATATCTATGCATTACCAAAAACATCGGATCTTTGGGACATATACTAGTTTATATACTTTTACTCCACTCGATCTCACCCTATCTCATGCCGACTCTTCTCTAACACTTAATGATCTCCCCCTTTCCGCAGCTAACTAGCTAGCTATCATTTTTTATCTACTATATCCACTACACATCCACCTCACGATCCCTATCCATTATACTCCCTAAGTCTCCCTTCAACCACACTCTACAGCTAGTCCCCCCAATTAAACCCTTTCATGCAGGCACTCCTCTATCCATAATTCAAACAACGGACATCTCCACAATCACGAACAACCTTAATTAACCATCTACCGACACCAATCCCAAGCGAAGCCCACGAACAAATCATCTATTCTCCATTTCCATTACACTTTCCAATGTTCTAGCGTTCAAATAACAATCTCTAAAAACATCCAAGATTCCCCATGCAGATCCACTCCATCGTGAAAATGGAGTCTTAGATGCTTCTTGGCAGCGGCAGTATTCTTCCGTGTACACCTTCCACATGCCTTTCCCATCTACCCATTATATTCCATCCATTCTTATTGATTGAATTCTTGAATCCGTCCACTTCATTAGATAGCCCTACTCTGAAGAAGATTAAAGCTATGGATCCCAATGTATTTTAGGAAACACGAGGGGACTCGGATCAAGAAAGAAAGGGAAAGGGGTCCATCCCTGGCAATAATTGATTTGGCACACTTGCAGTTGTGTTGCTGTTGAAGACTTGGCAGTACACTCGTATTTCACTGATATATAATTGTATTCCCATTCTACTGAGTATTGGATATTTCAATCTATCGCTACACTCGTTTTTGTCGTTTGTTTTTCTATTGTAGATATTATTCTTCAAGTAATTTCTAAAAATGAAGGGTGCATCTTTATTCAGTATGGGTATGCTACCCGTGCTGTCAGTTAATGCGGTTTATACTTGGCCCTCAGAGTATGATCAACTAGAGGATATTCTATATCTTCAGCAAGGTTTCATACACCATGGCTTCAGAGATGGTAAGTTATTGGAGAGGATTTTCAAGCTAGTATTGAGAATAACTTGTTTGCTAATTCGTATCAGGTGTTACACCGTGCTCTTTCTCATCGGCAGGAGGTGGACGCCAGACGGCTGCAGAATGGGTAAGAACAGCTTATCATGATATGGCTACTCATGATGTCGATACTGGCCTTGGAGGACTCGATGGTTCTATAGCCTTTGAGCTTGGCCGAGCGGAGAACCCTGGTGCTGCTTTCAACGCTACCTTAGGATTTACAAACAATTACCACTCAATCAAAGCTTCGTCAGCCGATCTTATCGCAATGTCCGTTGTCGTTGCCTCAATGGCTTGCGATGGTCCAATTATTCCATTCAGAGGTGGACGAGTCGATGCGATTGGAGCTGGTGTCTCTGGCGTACCAGAGCCTGATCAGGATTTGGCGACACACACTGCAATCTTCGCAAAGCAGGGATTCAACACTGCCGAGATGATCACCATGGTAGCATGCGGCCATGCTCTCGGGGGTGTTCATGGAGTTGATTTTCCCCAGATTACCGGCAACGGCAGCGCAGAAAACTTTCCAAAATTCGACAGCACCTACACTACATTCGACAACACTGTTGTCACCGAATATTTGGAGAACAATTCGACCAACCCGCTTGTGATCGGTCAAAATGATACTTTCAATTCCGATAAACGCATTTTTGGTGCCGACAACAACAAAACGATGACTTCTTTAGCAGACCCAACCAATTTCCAAACGCAATGTGCTGATATCTTTGCTCGAATGATTGATACCGTTCCTGCAGACGTTACACTTTCTGAAGTCATCGCGCCCATCGAAGTGAAGCCATCGCAAATTGCTCTTTCCTTGGCTGGAAATAACACTCTATCCTTCGGAGGATACATCCGTGTTCGCACCACCAACCGCAACGCCGATGATGTGACTGTATCCCTTCAGTACCGTGATCGTAATAACAATACCTCGAACACTACGATCCCCGTCATTCGACAAACTTACTTATTGGGCCAGAGTTATGGCTTCGATTCAGAGATCTTCACTTGGTATTCATTCAGCACTGTTCTTGATGCTAGCACCGGAATCTCATCTTTCGACGTTATCTTACATACCGTCGGTGCAGCTGATGAAATCATCACCAATAATGGCGGGGGATTTCCGGTCTCAGACGCAATTCTCTACCAACCAGCACAATCCTGTCAACCACAGGTATCCATCAATGATGCAGACCAATGGAATATCACAGTTACTGCAGCCGTTCGTGCCGATCGTATCAGCGAGTCTGTCGCCTTTGACTGGGTGTACGAACGTGCCATACCAGGCGCGATTGTGAAAGCGCTGGAAGTGCAACGTACAGCTATGGAGAAAGTGAGTGAGGAGATCGATGGATATTATTTATTCAGCGGGACGAAATCGATCGATAATGTGCAATGGTCTACCACGTTTGATGTGGTATTGGGAGAGGGGGATGATGTATCGAAAGTAGAGTTCCAGTCGACGTCGGCAATGGCCACCAGCTGCAAGGCATTTTCTTGAATTACGAACTTGTCGAATTTAGTAATGAATAATAGCGAGAATAAATCTTAATGATAAATCAGTTTTCAATCCAATGAGACACTGCTGTAGATTTCAGAGCGCTGAGTAGTGACTGTAAGCTCCAAGATGTAGTCAAAGGATGTTAGACAGTAGGTCGGACAGAACAATACAGGCCAGGGGAGACATGCACGCAGCATCCTGATAACGACAAGAATGCAAGGATGTATCCAGCAGAGCGTGCTCAATATTGTCCGTCATAGTTGCATAGCACAACATCTCTTCGGACATTAACAACATTCCACAATATAAAATCACCACCTCTCAATTTTGCCTACCATTCCCACAATTCCAAACCGATCTACAATCTTCATATTGCAGACCTTTTCCTTCTCCTCCTCCATCAGTATCCGGTACTCCTCCCCCACGTAAAAGGGACTCGTAGCTCTATACTTAACCTTTTTTGGTAAAAGCACTGTAAGTTTGTCATTCACTGTGCCCCCCTCACACTTTCCTATAATATGTCTCCAGAAATCAACCATGTGTATCAAATTCAACGGACCATGTACGACGCAATCTCGATGTCCCTCAACTTTCCGACACCAGTCCCGGTCATAATGTATTTTATGCGCGTTGAAAGTTAAAGCAGAAAAGCGGAAGAGAGATATTGGTGTATGGGTAATAGTGTGCTCGTATTTGGCGGAAGTAACTGGAATGAGGGAAGGAAGTGGCGGAAGAGGAGGGGGGTTATTGAAGTCAATCGCTTGTCTAAATAACCAATTTCTGGTTGTATTTTGATTTAGCATATATTACCAACTTCCCGAATTTCGAGATTACTTCTCCAATTGAATGGCAACTTCAATATTCCAACAACATGATATGGCGAGATAAATTTCACTTACCTTCGATCCACAAGCGCAAGTCCCCTGGAATTCTTGAATGTCTTTTCAACCCCCACAACTATCATCTCATCCCCAGCTTTCGTCTTCTTCACCTCCGCACTCTTCAGGGTCGTCGTTTCCTCTGCCTTTTCCCCCGTCACCAGTTTATTTCCATGCACCCATTCCAATTCCCCGCCAGCCCACATCCTCCTTGTAAAAGATCCTGGCGGATTGAATATCGTATCCGATCCATCAAGCCCCAATTTATCCTCGGCATCCGGTGGTGTAAAATATACTAGATGGTGACAGGGAGGAATTGGAAGAGTGTCAGGGCTAGACTCTACTGCGAAGGTGGATGAGGTATCAGACAAGCTATGAGAAGCAAGCGTGGCGCTCAATCGCTGCAGTTGATTCACATCAAGGTATTGTGAGCGGACCAATGGACCATTTGTTGAATGTTCTTTAAGCAGCATAGAGGCCAGTGCGGATGCGTTTGCATCTTTTGCATGTTTGGCGGCACGAATGCCATACTTAATGAGTGAGGGTATCATTCTAGATTGAACAACTTGAGCTCGATATGGGGCTCGATATGGGTAATCGTTAGTGTTGAGACTACTAGGTAAGCTCTCTTATACCCCACGTCATTTACGTTAGTAGGTGCTTAATTTATAGTTTATCTCCGGGCTCTAGAATCTCCACTAAATAAGAGCTCGGACAATCCACATGGGCCTGGGCAACCGAGGTAACTTTCAATCAACCTCAATTTCAATCACTACTACAACCACAAGCTCGTTCTTTTTTCCTGGTTAAAAAATGGATATAATTGTTTGAAAAGGGCCTAGATATCCATAACATCCGCATACTGAATGGGTATCTCATATGTTTCATCTGATCTCCAAAAATGCACATTGTGGACACAAATGGTTTTAGACGCAATCTCATGGTCTGCAAAAGACACATATGAAACCATAAGGATGTTTTATGTCGAAAAGTACGGGGTTTACGAATAAACAAATGAATGGTAGTGAAACAACTGGGACAGATAGAAGGCAGATGGATTTAAAATTCAAAAGTATATTCAAGATTCGCGTTATTGCGATCAAAGCTTGCTACTGTACTACACAAAATTCCCTATTGGACAGGTTGATAGATGGATTTGAATGAATGCCCCATAACTCCCCCCCTTACGCCGAGAAGAATAGATCATCGTGCAAATACCCTCTGTTCCCAAATCGTATCCAAAGTGGAGCTCGAACTCCTCCCCTCCTGACCATCATCCAATTCGTGTCGTATCAATAAGATTACCATTTCTTGTGTACCACCTGACGAACGAAATCGTGAATAGATATAAATGATAAAGAAAGAAAAACAATTTAACACATCTCCCTACTCTCCTCCAATCTTTTGATCATCTCTCTTTCCTTAGGGCTACGGGGACTAGCATCAATACCGAGAAGTGCCGAGATACTGGTAGCGTTGTTCTTGATCTCTTGGCTTGGTGATGGCAATCGTTGAGGGGCTTGGCTGTTGTAATGATGGTAGCTTGCTCGGTTGAGATTTGGCATGTCTGGAGAGACACATGGAGTTGGTGGTCCATTGGATGCGACACCTTGCTTCCAGGTCTCCTCGAGTAAAAGAGGAGATACACCTCCGCCATACTCGGATGCTATGACGTTCCAGAAAGAGTTGCGATGAGCTTCGTATACACGACGAAGACGTTCTTTGTCAACGCTGGCAACCGTGACTGGGGTGGAAGTCATGATGCAATCGAGACGGAGAGCTTGATCCGATGGGGAATCATTAATTGAGTGTCGAGAAGCGGTTGGCTTTGGGAGAATAGCAATTGGGTGACCGAGAGTTCTGGAAGGGCTGTTGGAAGCTGAGCGGGATAAAAGTGAAGATGCAGATGGGAGTTGAACATGTTGAGGTGATTGCGGTGAGTAGTTATAGACAGGTGATATGGCTCGGAGATGGGTAGCCTCGTCAATCGGAGATGGCATTCGGAGAGGTAAAGTCGAAGATTCTGAATTGGAGCTACCAGAAGAAGCCATAGAATTGGTACGCTTGCGGCGGTTGCTTCCATGGGACAATTGATGATAGTGGAGACGGCAAGCCAATTCAGTCTTCTTCAAATGAGAAGCGATATGCTTGTAAGGCATTTTTTGAAGACGAGTTTGAAGAAGATAAACTTCCTAGTATGATTGATTAGTAAGTTTCCTTATTGAAAGTTTCTGTTTCATTCATACCTCATCCTCGCTCCAAGCTCTGCCGCCACCAGTCGAAGCCGTTTTACGGTTCTTCTGGATGCCATATTCGTGTCGTTGGGCTACGTCGACTGGAACGTATGTGGATGATGCCACTTGGGTGTTCATTTGGTTGGCAGACATGATGATAGTCGTTGATTGATGATAAATTGAAAGTATATTGTGTAAAAGATGGTTGAACCGGCGATCGAAGAATCGAAAATGTTGTTAAAAGTTGGTATAGAATATAATCTTTGTCAAAAAGTCGGAATAAGATAAGTAAAACAAGATATAACTACAATAAAGAATGTAAGGCAGCCAAACCAGTTGGTGAAGAAAGGAAAGTAAATATTAGCTGCGAAATAGGTAGTCACGTCAAGTGTAAGGAAAGAAAAGGAAAAATTAAAGAGCAGAACGCTGGGTATTATATGAAGAACCAACTTGGTCGTCTGGAATATCGACAAGACCAAGTTCAGTAACCTCTGGAGTTCAAAACCGTCTTACAGGGAACGACGAGTAGTTGATGGAATCACAGTTTCTGATTGTGCATGGGTAGAGTTGCATATCTCTATGAGTTTTCATCCCGTTTCTGCATCAAAATAGTGTTTCTTAGGTACTGGGGTAAATGATGTAAATCTCTGTTTGACGTTTGAGGCGGGGTCTCAAGTGCGATGACCTTGATGACATTCAAAACTTGCGTCGACATTTCATAGGAGAACTCTCCCAGATGACTATCGGAAATTGAAATCTCCGTAAACGCAAACTTCTGGATGGTTGAATTTGTACATACGGCCCATGCGACTTCGCAACAAGGCGTTTTCTCACAGCAACATCAAAATGAGCAATGGAATTATTGCAATTGACGATTTCTGCAATGTTACAAGACCTGGAGGGGTCGAGGGGGAAGCGAGTTTCGAAGAGTTTCGTACCGGGATTATGGTGACCCTCATTGACCCTCGAGCCACCGATACCAAGGACTTTAAAATTCTTATCTCACTTATCCTTCCTGGGAAAAAGCTTCGAATGCATGAATAATCGTGGAGATGGGACGTAAATAAGACCAAAGTTGGAACAATCGCCGCGCGCCTCTGTGATCATGCTTGATATTCCAGTGTTTGGACCATTTAGAACCGTTTGGAGTGGCTCATTAGTACGACGCGATTTGCCCTACACAACAAGTAGAAGAGCAACCAAGAACTACTAACAATAAATGACAGGTCAGGAATAGGAACAATTAATATCGAAATAGAATAGCGTCATTAAATTTGTCGTCGCACCGCACAGGCACAACACTATCTATCCTTAGCTGAGGTACTAAGAAACGTTGTGTTGACGCAAAGCAATGGTACTCGCAGGAGATACTACAAACGTGCTCTCCAATATTCTCTCTAATCTGCATTGAGCGTAGAAATGCTAATAAGTCGGGAGGTTGGTTGATACTGAATACAAGTGGACAGTCAGTTCGATTAGAGTCTGAAATTAATGAAATATCTTTGCATAAGACGTTTCGAGGTATTTTGAGATGTGAAAATGAAGCTATTGAGAACTTTTCATGTTAGATACTTGAACGATTGATTCGAGTTTTTTCATCGTTCGTCTCAAATCACGTAAGATAGTTGAATCTGCAAATTGAAGCGATCCAAGTGTTGGAAAAAGAGATTGGCCAGTGTCCGGAAGGGTGAGCGTCCGATCTTTGATGAGCTCGGTGAGGTGACATCCCACCAAAGAAGTATGTGTACTGACGGCCCGTACTGAGTCCTGACTACCTAATACATACCTACCTACCTACCAGATAGGTCTAGGCAGGTCTAGCTAGGTAGGGGGTAGGTAGGAGGCAATCGATGACCAAGACATCAAGGGTTCTAATTCTGACAGCCACAACAGCCCTATAAGGAAAGTAAGTAACGGAAAGTCTAATCATGGATGTTGTTAGTGTACTTGGGTCAATATGCTTAAGTTTCAATGGATACTCTCGTATGAGTCGTATCTGATTCTGATCATCAAGGGTCGGAAATTTTAGACTCAAAGGGTATGATGGAGAGTCTAAAACCCTGGGAACTGGACTAACTGGGATTTATTTTTCAGATGAAGGGGGAAAAGTCGTTAATCAAACCTTGTCACCTGAGCACTTATTTGGAGTAGACACTAGGTAGATATCTACTTGAGCACCTACCTTGAATTGGTACCTTTAAAGTTGCTTTTAACCTTGTTTATCATCAACGGATAATTCGACCCTTCTTCGACTACTACTCTATACGTACCTAGGTGCTACGTAATATCTACTTTATCCCTTAACGACCTAGGTATTCAATCATCTTATTCAACATGTGCAGGTTTACCATCGTATCTTTCTGTCATCATCACCTAACTTTACTCTATTCATGGGTAATATTCCAATTACCCCATATACGACGATGTACATACCGATACATGCATACGAGATGCGATACCAAGAACGGATAATGAATCGCCTAACTATACCTTAACGCTTGTTATTCTAAATTGTTCGACTTGGCAAAGCAGTCACTCTGAAATGAGATTTGAGCAAGTATTGGATGAATATGGTGGCGTGGCCTCAAACAAAGGCGATCGAATTCTGTCACTCGTTATGTCTCGAGGTCATCGCATGAAAAGAAAGAATTTTCATAACGGTGAAGGAATATAATAGCAGGTACATGAACCTGTTTGGGTAAGCAAGAACATATCACCAGTAAGAATGGTTAAAAATGCTCGGAGGATAAACTGTTAGCTTACTTATGCGCCTGTTGTGCTGTTGTACTGCGGTTACGACCTTTTAAGATATGATGATTTGTTGGTTAAGGTTCATTTGAAGACATGTTGTGTTTTGATTTTCTAAATCCTATCATCATTTCTACTCCGCAAATCTCCACCATGGAACAATTAGAAACTTGTTCTATCTTTCCCCCTCTTTCGCCCCCAATTTGTCGGATTTCGCCCATCCGAGTCGAAGGGTCATGTAGGAAGTGTCGAAATGAAAGGCATCAGAATGACAATCAAAATAATATATGTTACAAGGTGATAATTCACAGAATCTCTAGACTTCGAACTTTGTGATTCATATCACGTGAAATACACGTGCTCATACGAACCATTCCTCTTTTTTCTCCCTCTCGGATTTCAATTTCGCTGAAATCCAGAAGATGGTCGGATGTGAGTAGCCGGCAGACTTTTCCTCCGAGTATTATTCCATAGTTTTACAACTATGGCTAGGTGCAGATACGGCAGGATCCATACGCCGTTACTTTGGTTAGCCAAGATCATGCATGTATCCGGAGGTATTCAATTTGACAGTCTCACTACAGTTCATTGTTCACGAGGTATACTTGCTTAACTTCCATAATATAGCCGTCAAGAAGGGAACAGTCACGAGTCCCCTTGTTTTATGGAGAAACAAACTAATAAAATCGACCATCTCAAACTTCGGAGGAACCTAAGGGGTTGTTACTTTGGAACATCAAACAAAACAAACGAAAAAAGCCGTTTGAACGGGAAACTACTACCTCAAGGTTTTCCTCAATAAGTAACACCTGTCCGCTCTTGATCCCCTTAGAGATCCCCTTGAAACAAACACATGAAGCTAAAATTGTTTGCTCGCCTTATTAGTCCGTCTCTTTTTTTTCCATATCAAGAGCCCAAAACCAAAACCATACATCTCCTGAAGACAATCCAAACGGTCGGGTCCACCATTCATGTTGTTGGGTATATGAATCCCAACCACTCTTTTCCAATCACGGCCCGAGGATCCCGTCTATTATCCAATAACCGGCACGGAAGTGTCAACGAGTCCATGTACCGCTTTTCAATTCATTTTGCATTTAAAATTTGAATTACATGTCGGCGAATGCCTGGTGCGGGCTGCGGCGAAGCAACCCCAATTTCGAATCATCGGGAACGCCTTGCAGTTGATAGCAAACATTTCTACCATTCACAATGAACTCTTTACGCCGTTTACCTTGGCCTCATTATTTGATTGCATTATCAAGGTAACCCAAAGGTCATTCCTTGTACTGTACATACGGAGATATATGTAATTGATGTCAAAGGGTTAAAGATGCACAATGCTGTCAGATTGACCAAACATTGCCAACATGATGCCTCGTACACGCATGGACCTGCACATGGATTGTCAATTAATAAAGGGACGGAAACCAACCTAGAGGGGAACAAAATTAAATAGGGGAGGTTCCACGAAAGGTGACGGACCAATTCATATTGATCAAATAGTGACAACAACTCAAGCCAAGATCTGGATGAGAAGGAAGAAGTGCGATCGCCTCGTCTAGAACTTGAATCCTCTATACACCGCTTTGATTTCAAGGTGTTGATACGAGAAGAGTGATTGCTGGGATATTTTCAGTGATCTGAGATATGCTCTTATCACATATCTTCTAGCTTGAAAGCAATATTGATTAATACGTCTAGTACAGGAATGAGTACAGAGAAACCATGGCACATTGGCAAGAGAGTGGATTAATCGATAAGCCCCAAGATGATAATTTCATTTGTTGATATGCTTCCAAACTAGGTAGATTGCGAGATGTATGGGATATTGTGCTAAATGTTGCATACCCCGCAGCTTTCGGTTCTAGTATAAACGACAGGACAGCTCTTCAACCATTCAGATCTCCCCTCTGACAAGCATCATTTATGAACCTCCAATCAAGATATTCATATTCGCACCATTACATGCATCTTACTACTGCACATCGAGCTGAGTCAAATCAACCAAGCAAAAGCCGGCAGAAAATGTATCACGATGACTTACTTCTCTCCGGGGTCAAGGAAAATCATGAAATGTAATTAACTTTGCATCCTCTTCACCAACAACCCACGTTCATCCCCTGCCCAGTGTAACCAAAACGCCGGAGAAAGACGAAAGAGTTTGGGGGCAGTTCGAGTTTCCTCATCTTCTATACCTCGAGATGACTTCTACAGACCCTAGTATTTGGTGGTAGCACAAAAGTTTACAATAAACGCAGACGTGGATCTGACGATCTTTCCACTAGGAAAATACATGGATGATGACCATTCATGTATGCTCATTTTCTCACCCTCCTCATCCACACCACTTGTCAGCCTGTTTTTGCAATTCGAGCCCGTCATTCCCCTTGACTTTCCGTCCTCGCAAGCCGCGCTGGAAATGAGAAATGCAGAAGTATGCTTGAGCTAACGAATATCCGTATATTAATACATGGCCAATACTTAAATTTATGGAGATGCATCTCAGGCTCTTGCAGTGTGTGCGATAGACCTATGATTGGCACTTCAGCCGCTCGAAGTCACTGCAAGGACGGTTGGTATCGTGTATGTACCGTGGCCCGATCGTAGACAGGCATATTTATTATTGTTTCTTCCGGCTTCTATTCCTTGTCCACATGTCATGTCCTTGGAACATGTACCGAGGATACTTAATGTCTGGATGTGGCCGCCCCCCTCTAGTCATCAGATCACACCTATAACAACAAAATTCCCCATCATCAAACTTCACACAATATCTTGCTTGTCACACAATATTAGATGAATGGGCCATCGACTATATCATTAACATCTCCACTTCCCCAGACGCCTTACAGGTTGTCCTAGGATCCGAAGTGGTGCCAAGCGCTTCCAACGGTCTTCGGCAAGATATGCAAAGAAAGGGATGTCAGCCCTGTTGACTACAATCAAACGTTCCCAAGTACATGAGAACGTAAGTATCTTTGTATCTATACCCCAGCCTCACACGGTGATCTTATGAACCAATCCACACGCGAGCCTGCAGCTCCCTCCGACACCTCTCTCGCGCAACAACCACCTAAAAACTTCTCGAACCTTCCCGACCTCGAAGATTTCTCTGCATTCTTTACCTTTCCCGCGCATTCACCCCCGACCATCCATCCAATGTCTAAGCGTGTAGATAGACAAGAAATCGACCCTAACGCGAGCTTTCAACTCTCACACAATCATCCATCGACTGCCGACACATCTACTCTCAAATCCGAGGTTCCTTCGCCAGCCAGCTCGCGAAATAAGAGACGCGCCTCGGGCCCTGCGACGGCAACGAATACTTCGGTTTTCAATATGCAGGCGGGTTCATCTATTGCAGGACCTTCTTCGGCGGGTTTAGATGATCCCAATATGGCCTCGTCGATGGCACCACCTGCTAAAAAGAGTCGTACCAATACTCCTTGGACACCTGCTGAAGAGCAGAGATTGAAGAATATGAGGGATGCAGGTAATAGCTGGGCGGATATTGCAAAGGTGAGATAAGATGAAAGTCTGCTTTGGAGTGAGCCAAACAGACTTTTCATGTCAAGTCGCACAAAGCCTGGAGACGAAGCTAAGACCTGAAATTTGTGTTTGTAGACTTTCCCAGCAAGAACTGAAGGAAGTGTCAAGAAGCACTGGTACAAGGTAGATACATACTTTCATTCTCATCATTTTCTCCCCGGATATCTTTCTCGCTAGTACGAAAGTAGTATGGATGGTGTTATAACATGGACTAATAGAATTTTAGGACATGCATTATGCAGAATTCGCGGAAGATGAGGTACGTTCTATCTTTGCAGCATATCATGCATATGGTACGTGCTGATGCTCAAATAGAGTCAGGCTTTGCTCGCGGCTATCAAGGATTACGAGGCGAATAAGTGGAAGGCTATTGGACAGAAAGTTGGAAAACCCGCCAAGGTAAGCTTTGATTTCTTCTTGTTCTTTGACTTTATATCTGGGACATCTGGTCTTGGGAAATGCTGGTCTGCGATATGTACTTTCTGAAGTATGGAGACTAGTATCGATACAATAAACAACCCATAACTAATCAAGCTTCCTATTCGTCTTCTAGGCTTGCGAACAGTACGCCAAAGATAATTTTAGCGGGAAAATATAAGGGGGGCGCTGGATGGGATCGGGTGGGATGCTTTTGACATGGTATTTTTTTCTCTTCGTATTTTTTGTTTATTTCTTCTTCAAAATTATCTTCGGTACATCTCTTTGGAAGGAAGTACAGGATGTTGGTTTGGGTATTGGATTGGCTCGGCTCGGCTCTTGGTTTGATCATTTGGTTTGAGGAGAAAGTTATCTTACCTATTTTTATATGTAAAAGCTTGCATGGATGTTTATTTGTCTATTGAATTTATGTTGATTTTGTGCGATTCTGTCTTTTTGGGTTTGCAACTTCTATGCTTGGATTGAGTTGGGATAGCTGGGTGGGTTTATTGCATGAATGGATGGATGGATGAATCACGGTTGGAAAGAAAGGCGCGTTTCTATATCACTATTAAGGTGTTTGAATAAGAGCTCATCTCATCTCATCCCAACTCGCCTTCCTTCCTTTCTTTTCTCATTCTTCCCTCTCCTCCTGCTATTCTTCCCTTTTCTCGGAGACTCGAAAAACGACAATGAATGGTAATAACAACAGCAACGGAACACTCACGGAATGTTCACGTAGCATGCTTGCATACACGTGTGGCGTATACTTGAATCTGGCCGGCTTGATCTCTTTCGCTTCTCATTTCATTACTTTGGATTCTGGAAATGAATTTCTTCTGGGAGTCTGTGAGTGAGGCTTCTTTGGCTGGACTGTGGAGAGTGTTTTCTTTCTTTGGTTTCTCTTTTTTGATTTGTCTTTTGATTTCTCTTCTACCTTGTATCTTTTTTTTTTTTTTTTTTTTTTGATTTCCTTGTCTGCTTGCTTGCTTGCTTGCCAGCCGATTGATCTATAAATCTAGGATGGAAGGATTTGCACTTTGGAATCCTCGAGTAGGCCGAGCTTTGAGGGGTGGGATGAGATGAAATAGGATGGGGTGGTATGAGAGAGGGAATGGTAGGACGTATGCAACGTATGGGCTATGAAGTATGAGGTAAGAATGCAATGGAAGAATGGAAGAATGAGATAACAAGAGAGTCGAGAATGAAGATTGTAGTGATAGCGGGGTAGGATAGGGTAGGGTAGGATAGGAACCTGAACAAAAGAGTGAGAACTGAAAAGAGATTTTGGTATGCGTTGTTTGTATCTACTGAGGTGTGCTTGAAATACGTAGGTAGAGGTAGGTTTGGGGTTTATTGAATTTTGGTGGCAGGTGAGATGAGATGAGATGAGATGGGTTGGGTTGGGTTGGGCTTGGAACGGAGGTGTTGCTTGCAGCTTGAGAAAGTGAAAAATCGATGAGGGTGTGTATGAATAGGTGGATGCATAGATGGAGGTGTGTGCATGACAATGTCTGGGAGGGAAAGATACTGGGCTTCTGGACGCTGGAAAGATCGGAGGGAGTTGATGGATTGTGGATTGCGAGACTGCAAGGTGGTGAGGTTATGAGAGAGAGAATGAGATGATATCTATGATGGATGGGTGGGTGGTACATAGGTACGTATATGGTACAACACAGTCTGTCTAACATGATCCTGTCTAGTGCAGTCTAATCTAGTCTTACCGCGAGATTATCAATAACCTAGAACTAGAAGATGTTCATGTGTTACGTGCGGTTGTATTTGTGTTTTGAGTTAGATTAGATATGGAATTTTCTATGTAGGGCATAGCTGTCTAGTTAGTATGAGCTGGATTTGCTGGATATGCGGATAGATGTAGATATACACGTATATAATGGGTATGTATGTATGTATGTATGTATGTATGTATATGTGGTTTGGATACCATCCTATCTATCCTATACTTCTAGGGATACTATAGTATACGGTATTATAGATACCTTAGGTACCTACCCACTCATCTGCATAAACCTACACATAATAACTCCGATGGCGCAAACCTGCTTATTATCAGATAGGTATGTATGTATCATTCAGGAACATTCGCGGGTTCCTGATTTAGTCTCATTTCAGCATATCTCATCACATTTCATCACATCTCATGCTCATGCTCATGCTCATCTGACACCACAAGATACATAGTAAGTAGTGAGCGTACAAGTACCCAGGTAGGTACGATCAATCGCGTGCCGCGCCGTGCCGTGTTGCTAGTTTGTCGCTAGCTAGTATGATCTGTAGATTAGAGTGAGGGGTAGGAATGCTAGTTGTATTGGTGTATTGGTGTATAGGTACGAATGTATTGCTGGGGTGGATGTATATAAGTTATGATAATGCGATGATATACAGGTGGATATGGAATCTGGGGGTGGACATGAATGTGAGGGTGATGTGAGGCGCAAGGCTGATGGAGAGTACTTGGAGACGAGATTGATGATAGATGATGCATTCTAGATGATGTTTTTCTGTAAAAGAGATGATCTTGGCATAGATAGGTACGCGGTGGATGTTGTTGTACTTCTTCGCGGATACCAAATCGATGTCTTGAATTGAGGGGTGACGTGATACATTGTAATGCTCTCGAGAAATTGACATCTCCTCTCTACGTACCCATATCAACATGATTACCTATGCTCACTATATACCACACATGATGTAATACAATACGAAGATCATTCCCCAGAAACATTAAAGATATCCTACACAAAATGTTGACACGCGTTAACAATTCCAACGTTCGTTCGTTTCCACATGTTTTCTTTTTTTTCCTTCTTCGTGATCTCGTGGGGAGGGATTTTCAGGGGTTTCAGGGTTACTAAGGTTAAGCGCTGAAAAAAGTAAGTCAAAAGTCAAAAGAAAAGGTTCTCCCCGGAATTTGAGTGGAGTCTGATGGGGAAAGAGTGTAATTGCGTATGTGTGTACCGTTGTATGTATGTCAAATTGTGAATCAGATTTAAAGCTAAGGATTAACTTTCTGAGAGGTTTCATATTGTTATTGTCATGTGATGGTATGATGGTATGATGGTATGATTTTATGATCTTTGATTCTATGATCTTGGATTCTATGATCTTGGATTCTATGTTTCTACTGTTCTACGATCTATGATCTATGATTCTATTTCTATCATAAACAAATCGATTGATTCAAATACGAGGCATGTTTGCAAGTGACCTACTAGGCATCTACCTTGCTCATACAATTATGTATCACCCTCCCACGTGCCTCCTTCGTATTCCCTTCATGGCCACCAAATGATTCAAAAGGACTCACCTTGTATTGGCTTGTCCTTCCACCTAACTCGCAACACTACCCATTGGTAATCGCCCCGATTGTGCAAGTCTGCTTTTCCTCCTTCATTATTTGCCTCCCTCCTGGAGTGTATGCATGTCGAGTACGAGATTCTCCATATTTCTCTGTGCTGTGATTGGAAGCTTGATGAATGGGATGATGTGAATGCTCCACATTGATCATGCTAAATGATCCTCTACGCCCACTCTTTCGCAAAATAGAAATCTCCTAGTGGCGACTAGTCGGGACGGTGCGGAGGATATGCAGATCGAGATTAGGGCGAATTGGGATTGTGGTCTGGAGGGAGGGATGGATGGATGGAATTAGAAAACTGTGCTCTGCAGAATTGAGAACCTCGGGCGAAGGAAGCGAAGGGCGTTAGATATATGAGGTTTAATTGGGTGCAACTCCCTTTTGAATTGAGGATTTCCGTGGCGATTATGCTTGGTATAGGCATAGGTATCGTGAGTTCTTGAGGCTTGAGTATTGAGTACTGAGTATTGAGTATTGAGTCGTAAGTATAGAGTCGTAAGTATAGAGTCGTAAGTATGGAGTCGTAAGTCTTGATCTTGGAGGCTTGATCAGTCTCGAGTGAAGTAAAAAAGTGATCACAAAGATCACACCAACCAAAACAGCCAAAACGACCAACACCAATGCCAATACCAAATCCGTTAATATCTGTAATCCAACATAGCCGTCTGTCAAAATACTCGAGGTACATGGTCGTGCACTAGTTGTGAAAATAGTTACCACCATGGAATATTGCATGGATGAAAATAACCCATAACTCCTAGACCCTCTTTTACTGGTCTTGTCCTCCTTAAGCTTGTCTTCCCCATTCAAATACCTCTTTCTCCCTTTCCTTCCCCCCTATCCCACTTCTTTCTCCAGCTTCATCCATTATTCACAGGAAGTAGGTAAATCAATAAAAGTATTCACGACATCATTCGTTATTCGTCGTTGAGTCTTATTGTTCTATTGTCATTTTTCTTGTCAATCACATTCGCTTGGGAATCCATTCTTCCATTACACTACATCTGCCAAGCAAGCAAGAGCAATTTAATAATCTTTCCATTTGGAGGAATCTCAAGGGAAGGAACCGTACGAAGAAACCGTTAAACGCACATAAAACGGTCGACCAACATATTTCATATTACGACAAGGAAAGAATTCGGGGCTCTGGAATTTCGCGGGGAACTATAACTTTACTCCTCAGTTTTCGAACAAGAAATTCAATCGTGTCCCGCACATACTTATTCACTCGATACTAAAATACTTTAACTGCAATCCGCTGTTGATCTTACACTTTTATCGTGGACCTTTTATATTTCTTTTCCTGTTCATTGGACAATTCGTACTACCTCAAGGCGCCTCGATATCGCCAATCGCTTCGATATCAATTTGGGCGGTTCTCTTTTTTGACTTCTGCATATACATACACATACATACACATACATATAAAATGGTTGGAAAATCGACATTATTGACCGTCCTGGCGTCAGCCTCGGTGGCGTTCGCTGCTTGCAGTCTCGACAGCCATTGTCCTGAAGAAACTCCATGTTGCTCTCGTGAGTCTGCTCTTGAAAGTGTGAGTATAAATATGGAAGCTTGAACTAACAATCACAGAATATGGAGAATGTGGTACTGGCGCATATTGTCTGGGAGGTTGTGATCCTCGAATGTCATTTTCTCTCGATTCCTGCGTTCCCGAACCCGTTTGCGAAAGCGCTTCATATACCTTTACGAGCATGGATGGCATAACTTCAAACACAAAATACTTGGGTGATGCATCAAAGTCAGATTGGGTTTACAGTGGAAGTCCAGTTATCTACGATGATAATGTGTTGTTGACTATGTCGGCAAACTCGGTCGGAACGGTTATGGCATCTTCGACTTACATGTGGTATGGAAATGTGAAGGCAAAGTTCAAGACTAGTAGAGGTCAGGGTGTGGTTACGGCTTTTATTCTCTTCTCGGATGTGAAGGACGAAATCGATTACGAATTTATTGGTTCGGAATTGACCACTGCTCAATCCAACTACTATTTCCAGGGTATTACAAATTGTGAGTAAATCTCTCATGAGCGCTCGAGAACATACTAATCTGTTGAAAGATGACAACGAGTTAAACATCACCCTCTCCGATACATATGCCAATTATCACGAGTACGAGATTGATTGGACTCCTGATGAGATTACTTGGCTTGTAGATGGACAGGTTGGACGTACAAAGAAGCGTGCAGATACTTGGAATGCAACCGCAAACCAATGGAACTTCCCACAAACTCCTGCTCGAGTCCAACTCTCTCTTTGGCCCGGTGGTCTCGCAAGTAACGGTGCTGGAACTATTGCTTGGGCAGGTGGTGAAATTGACTGGAACTCTGAAGATATTCAAAACAACGGTTACTACTATGCCGCTTTTGAATCGGTCGACATTTCATGTTACAACGCAAAATCTGCTCCAGGAACGAATTCCGGAAAGTCATACTATTACAACAGTGCTTTGGGAACCAACAACACCGTGATCGATTCAAAAAATGCCACTATCCTTTCTTCCCTTTTGGCTACTGGAACCAACATGACCGCGGGAGAATCAGCAGCAGCTTCTGGTTCAACTGCCGTTTCCACTGCCGCCACAGTTCCTGGACTTACAGGTTCCGATGGTGGAGGAGTTGGAGATGACCATTCTGGCGATGACAGTAGCAGCAGCAGTGATTCTAGCTCGGGATCAGCAACTTCATCATCCAGTGGTTCATCTTCAACTAGCAGCAGTGGATTTTCCCAAGGAGATGGCTCTACCACTACCAGCAAAAGCAGTGCAGATAGCCTCGTCGCAAATCAAGAAAGAGTCCTCAAAGGCAGTGTATTTGCAGGTATTGTGGCAGTCGTTGCTATGATGGCTTTGTAAAGTACTGCATCGTCGCATACGGCGGGGTTTCTTTTTTGGCATTTGCATTTTTTTTAAAATTAGCTTGGCATTGGGTTGGGGATTTACTTACATTACAACAACAGCTTGAACATTTTTTCTACAGCTCCCTGTTTTTGTTCTTTTCCGAAAGTAGATATGGAGAGTGGCGTGGTTGACATATCACTTAATGGCGTTTTAGCTGTCCGTTCCTTTTAGAGAGGGTGGTTACTAGGCTAGGGGTTTTTTCTAATAACAGTTTATTCTTGTGAATAGTTTTCTTGGCTGGGCGATGAGGATGGATGAAGAGGGTCCTGATAGATGATGACTCAAGATGAGATGAGATGAGACGAGTTAGTGCGATGTTGAAACGAGATGAGATGATGGATAATGGATAATAAATCCTCCGACTTGAATAACCTTGCGTTGGCTCGAAGTAGGTATTCAAATCACTCCTTCGAGCGATTGTTACAAATACATCAAAATTTAAGAATTTGATTCATTGTTGAATTTTGAGTGTTGAAGTAATATATTAAATATGAAGATACATGAATTTTATAGTTGGTCATGAGCATATAATATAGTTTATTGTCATGTAGACTACTTCAACAACAGATCAAAAACAAGCTTTTTTTGTAATAATAAAATAACAAATGTTCAGAAAACTAACATTTATCTAAATATTTCTAATATATTCCCCCAAAAGAAAGATGTATGAACAAGGGTTGAATGAATAACCTGAAGTCATTTATAGCCTGTATTAAAGAAGCTAGTCTCACAGCAAGGCCTATTTAAAGCTTGCTTCTTCCTGTAAACGAGCTAGCTCCTTTAGACAGAATATATATTGACAATCAGAGTCTATATTTCAGGTTCTACATCATTCGTATCCTTCTTACTCCGACAGTCCTTGATAATTTATAGCCAGAACAACGTCAGAAGCCAAACAATCTTGCGATCGTTTGATCCGCCTGCAATATTACTGCAAAGATATCGTGAGACCTTCTCATGCCCTTTTCAGATATGAGATCAAGCCCGACGTCCATATGGCACAGAGTTTCTGGTGGCCAGGTGACAATGCCAAAATCTCGCAATCAGAAGCTGCGTGGTCTGCAAGGTACAGCTGCGGAAATTCCTTTGAGTGAACCACAACTTACGCATCTATGAATACGCTTGTCCATCGCACTCATAAGAATCGATGTAGGAACGAGTTGATTCCATTGAGAAGCTGGCAGCGCTGCTAACGGCTTTCCCCCCAATTATCTTAGTTAGCATATGCTAATGCACATGATCACTTCCGTAGTCCATCGCCATAGAAGCTACCTGATCAATTGGGGCCATCCTATCTTTATGGGGCTTGAGATCGAAAAATAATAGGTTGCTATTAGTAATTTATTCGTGGTATACACAATTGTTGCTTTTATATATGTAGTTCTTGTAAGAACTGACTTTACCCCACAAAGGAAGCATAAACATCGGACTCACCACATGTCCAGGGTGAGATACGCGAATCGATGATTTAGATTAGATCCTCTCGATCCTCTGTACTCGAAAGAGTCTGGCACGGACCACATAAGTCTTATTTTAGCGCTAAAACCCCTACCGAGTCCCGACATGCAGTACAATTCAAAGTTTTCACGGTGAGGCTGAGTCGACCACAGGAATAGGTTACCTTCTCTAGAAAGGCCAGAGTCAAGGTTGTCACGTCTGTTTTAACCTTGCATTTCAAGGCTGTACAGTACGGCGATTGGTAGGAGAAGATATCAATATACTAGACTGTATAATAGAATCTCAAGAATCTGTGCCGCTCGATTGCGTATAACATGGTATGCAATATCAATATCAATAGCTGATCTGAATCTAATAATGTTCAGCCAAGTCCAAGCCAGTCCCGCCGTGAGGCTTGTCCAAGTACGGAGCTCTGACAAGGTGATATTTGTATCCATGACGTGGGTTGAGCGGAACGGGACCACCAAGATCTGCTAGATCTGAGCCAGGAACAAGTAAGTAAGCAATGATATAAGAAGAAGTTGTCTAGACCTCTGCTAGTGTGCATCATGACTTTTGGTTCGAAACTTTGTAGGTGTCACGGGTGACGGCACTGGCTGGTGCCACAGCTGAAAGCTTTATCAGGCACCTGAAGGCTGAAGGATGTTAGCGGCAATCGTGGCGTGGGGGTGGAGCTGTACATAAAGGAAGCCATTGCAAGCAATGGACTAAATCAAAACTTCCTTTTACGTTAATCTATTTGGTCAATAGGAGCCACATCAGAGTATTCTTCGGATGTACGTTGCTACATGAGCCAGCCGCGACACTTACGTCCCTTCGGCATCTCCAACTTTATTCACTTCCCAAGTGCATTTGCAGCTGCCAGAACCACCATCATTGAAGGGTTTCGGTCTAGAGTCTGTTGACCTGAACAATGGGTATCATTTCTCGTTGGCGAGCCTCTGCGGATAGATGGTATCTCTACGTGATGCTTTTTTACTCATTTGTAGCATACTCTGGAATTCTAGTACTTGATCGATTCCACCTCCGCCTAACTGACGATACTTCCTTCAAGAGCATATCGCCGTTCTTTGGCCCTGGGGTTTACCTGGCATGGTGGTTCACGGCCTCGTCTGTTCTGATGAGATGCCCCGTGGAAGAGCCCGCGAGTGGCATTACTGAATCCGATCAAAATCTCTCCAGTCAAGCCGCAACCGATCAAAATCTCGGCATGAAATATGGAGCGGACCTTATTTCTGCAACCTACTACGTTGCGGGTGTGGCCATATGGTCCATTTACCAAATTTTTCACAAAAATCATGCTGAGCTAGCAGCTAGCTTGGTAGTGCTGGAGGTGGGAGCCGACTTCTGCACAGTCCATATTTTAACCATTAAAGCCACAGCATTTTCTAGGAACGTCGCATTAGGTCTGCTTATCTATAGTATTCAGGCTCACCAAGCTTTCCTCTCTCCAAACCACGCACTGGCAGCCGGTGTCAATGCTTGCGTGTTTGTGGGCTTTAACTCGCTCTGGGTTTGCGACAAATGGCCGCTCAAGTCGACACCTCGGAGGTTGCTGACGGGTTTTATACTCGGGGTGCTATGGATTTTCAACTTTGCCGACTTTGGCACATACGCTACCATGCCGCGCACGGAGGTCGAGTTCGTCAGTCTGGATCAATTGGTACCATTATCTGGTGCAATTCTGGCCATCACATGGTCCTGGAGAACCGAATTAAAGACTTTCTGGAATAAGCGTATCAGATCCCTTCGGGAGTCTCTTGGCCAACTTGGGCAGACTTTGCAGGCATGGAACCCCAATTTGGACAGGTTTTTGCGGAAGACTACCGACAAAATCCAGCAGATTTTCCAACGGGAAAATGAATCCGGTACGCTGTGATGGTCCGGAGATTTCGAGATATGAAGTGCGACTAATAATTTGCTAGGGCTCGGCTGAAATTCTCTGCCTCATCGATCCTGCGCTAAGTACGACAAGGCAAAAAAATCGAAAGATGATCTGGCAGCATCCTAAAATTTCCTCGTGCAGTGTGATAGGAAGACCGTTTTTAGGTTAAGAAGTGCTGCTGCCGCCGCTGATCGGAATGTTTATGGATAGATTGAAGGAACACTTTGAGAACTTCGGTCGAATAGTCCCCGGAGTCTTGATAGTAAAGCCAGACCAGATAAGAAAGCTCCCCAAGTTGTCAGACACTGCATATAATATAAATTAAAAGCTTGCCAACGATATCTGGAGAAGATTAAGTGATTCAAGCAAAGCAAGCCTTCGAACCCGCGCAAGGATATGTTAGGTAATGTCATCAGACGTGGACTCACACTGAAGGAAGCAGAGCACGAAATTAGTCATAGAAGTGTCTGTTGATATCAGCATGGTCACGGGTCAAATCATTGTCATGATGGACACCACAAAAATTGGGCACTAACACCAGTTTATACCCGTTTACTTACCCCCTTTTTGTATAGCTTATAAGCTAGTTATGTGATCTGGACACTAGTATATATATATATATAGCTTACCTTAGATAGAATAACAAAAGACAGAGACTTATGTTCTGACATTCATTATCTATAACATTCTTGATATCACCTTATATCTCCACTTTCTCATTAATACTAAGAAGCGCGAGACGAACGCCTTCTGAGTCGACGAAAAAGATGCCCATATCAAGTTAGCGACCAAGGTATAGCTGCTGTATACATGAACATCATATTCTCCTTAGTTTTTTATCTTATAGTTGAGCCAGAAGAAAGGTCTGGGGAGAGCTACACTTACATACTATCATGAATTACACTCGATTCTTCTACTGCTATCTCGAATGATTTGTGTCAGCCAGATCATGTAATGCCCATTCTAGTGGTGATTAGCCCAAACAGGCTGTGGCTGATTGGGGCACAATAGTCAGCCACACATACTCACACGCTAAATAATGGGATTTGGGGTGCAAAATACAATGAGTTTTGCGAAGAATATCGTTGTTTGATGTAGCTGACCAGGGATCCTTGATCGTTTGATTAGAAAGTATCAATCTTGCTCGAGTATTTCTGTACCGAATACCTAGTGATAGCTGTCTGTCTGAGTTGAGGGATGAATGTTTTTGATGTGCTTTTGATGGTGTTTTTTAATACGGGACCCTATGGAGGATAGGTTAGCGGGGATAAAAAAGTATTTACCTACCCTAGGTACTCAAAGTCTGGGCGTGGAGATTGGCAAATGCTTAGCCATTTCTTAATTGAACCTATGATGATCTATAAATGTGCAACATGGATGATTTGGATTTTTGGGATGGGTTGTTGTTTGCTTAGGTATGTTGTGAGGAGGAGGAGAGGTAGGGAGGGATAGTGAATTCGTGGGTGGGAGGATAGAAAAAGCTTCTAGGTTATTGATATTTCTGTTGTGTGTGCTTGATGTCACATCGCATCGCGAAATGTTCTGCCTCCACGGCAGTGGCTCCCGGAGGGCAAGCGGAGCGTCATTTATTTGGATTTGGAATGGACTATTTAGTAGTTCTATAACTGAGCGAAGTATTTTTTGGGTGAGTGGCGTTGTTGAGTAAACACTATCTGACATGGCGAGACTAGGATTAGTCGTGAACCTTTCATGTATCAGGCTTGACCTGACGATACTTGAGAGGTTTCAACTTTCAGGAGCTGTGTTAGGATGGATTTTGGGATTGTTAGTAAAGGGAACATGGAGGAATATGGGAGGATGTGAATGTATTTGAGTTTTAATTGTTTATTTTGCTGGAACTTGGAAGGGTTTGGGGAGTGGTGGTTCATTAAGGGTTTGATTGTCGTTGTCGATGATGTTCTGTCTTTTCTCCTTTTTTCTTCTTCAAACTTTTTTCTGTCTTTTATGAATGATTGAATGGTTGAATGGATTTGATATTCATAATACATATCATATTGTTTTAATTGTTTTTCTTGTCACTCCTTCTCTTCTATCTTTTATTTCCTATTCATCAGCGAAATTCAGATCACTTGAACTTTACCTATTTGGTAACGAAGTATCTGACTTGAATACGATACGGATACTACCAACGCACCTTTGAGAGGGCTGTAATATTACTATTTGTATTATCTGCCGTCATCTTTACGATCGTTTATTATTATTTCAGCATCTGCGCCACGCCGTTCAAATTTCCCTTTTCCAAGACTATTTCTACTTCTTGGGTTGGATTCTTCCCCGCTTTACTTTCATTCATTTATTTGTCTTGCTTTTTTTGGTTTTCGTGGATATACGTAATTTTATGATGCGAATTCAGAGTTGGTTGTGGGTATGGTCGTTGCTTGAATGGAGGGTTGTGGATGCTCTTACGGTTGATACTTCACAGGCTGGTATGTTTATTTTGTTGGTGTAGGTTGGGATGTTGAGTCTAATCATTATTTCTAGATTCGATTAAAAGTGCCGCGAGTTCGGTTGCTGCAAATTTGGTTTCGTATTATCATGGGAATGAATCGGTATGTAAACTTTGATAGTGTCGTGCGATGCAAATTCTTTGCTAACATACTATAGGGACAAACTCCAGGGCTTCTACCTCCACCTTACTTCTGGTGGGAAGGTGGTGGGATGTTCATGACATTGATAGATTATTGGCGCTACACGGGAGATACTTCATACAATAGTATTGTATCTGAAGCTCTACTATTTCAAGCTGGTCCAGATGCCGATTATATGCCTGTGAATCAGACCAAAGATGAAGGGAACGATGATCAAGGATTCTGGGGAATGGCTGCTATGTTAGCTGCCGAATCGAATTTTCAAAATCCTCCTGCTGATCAACCACAATGGCTTGCATTGGCTCAAGCGGTGTTCAATGAAATGGCCAGTCGATGGGATACTAGTACTTGTGGAGGCGGATTGAGGTGGCAGATATTCGCTTTCAATAATGGGTTTACGTATAAGAACTCCATTGCGAATGGATGTTTTTTTAATATAGGGGCTAGATTGGCTAGGTATACGGGAAATCAAACGTATGCAGATTGGGCCGAGACGATTTGGCAATGGGAAGAGAGTGTGGGATTGATCGATAGTGGTTACAATATCTATGATGGGAGTAGTGATACGGATAATTGTGCGAGTGTGGATCGATTGCAGTGGAGTTATAATGCGGGAATTTATCTGCATGGAGCGGCGAATATGTTTAATTATGTGAGTTTTTTTCTTTTAATACAACGACGAATAGGAGATGGATCTTCTCTTTCTCGACCATGATGAAAGAGGAAGGAAAGAAATTGAAACTGACCTATACACTCAGACCGACGGTAACTCCACCTGGCAACAACGCACAAACCAATTAATGGACACCTCAATCAACATATTCGCCTCCAACAAAACAAACTCCATCATCACTGAACAGGCCTGCGAAACGGTTAACAAGTGTGATACTGATCAACTATCCTTTAAAGCCTATTTCACAGCCTGGCTGGCTTCCACCTCCATTCTTGCGCCTTTTACCGCTAAAAGTATCTTTCCTGTCTTGCAAAGCAGCGCGAAAGCAGCGGGAACGCAATGTGCGGGTACGGGTAATGCGTGTGGGTTCAAGTGGACGGAAGGAACGTTTGATGGGAATGTGGGGGTCGGACAGCAGATGAGTGCGTTGGGGGCGATACAGAGCGCGATGGTGGCGGTGCCTGGCACGGATAATGCGAGGATTGGGCCGGTGACGAATAGCACTGGGGGCACGAGTGTGGGGGATAGCGGGGCCGGGAGTGGGAAGACGGGGAGTGGGGGAATGCAAAAGGATGAGGTGGTGACGAGGGGGATAGGGTGGGCGCGGGGGTGGCGACGGTGGCGGTTTTGTTGAGTTTGTGTGGAGGGGCGGCGTTTATGGTTTTGGGGGAGTAGGAATGGGGAGAGGGGTAGAGAGGGAGAAGGGGGAAGAGGGAATGATTTCTTTTGGATGTGATGGAATGGGGTGGAATAACATGGGATGAGTTTGAGATACCTATTTTGATTACATTTTTCTTCTCGGGATTAGAAGCATACATTGGATATATGCATACCTATGCTATGGGAAGCGATTGGAGTTTTTTTTGCTAAACGAACAAAAATGGTTCGATTCGGGGGATTGGAATACATTGGGTTGGGATTGGGATTGGGCCTATCTTCGGATTGAGAACTTGGAACAATATATCAGATTCTTCGGGAAGTTTAAATGAATAAGAGGCTTTAAACAAGTACCTACGCATCTTCTCGATTTTGAATGTTGAAGGAGAGGAGTTGAGATAGAGTAGAGTTGTGTTTTCTGAATACAGGATACACGAGGAGTTTGATGTGGAAGGGGGGAGAGATAGTGTCTTGTATTGCATTGTATTTTACGTGAGGGATTTGGGGGTGTGAGGTAGGATCTGAGATCTAGGGATGTATGGGTAGGAGGTTTAGGTGGGAGGTGGGATGTTTAGAGATTGGTATTTGGTGTTTAGAAGGTAGATGTTGAGGCTGCTGGATTGGAATTGGTATATTGTATACTTTAGGAGGGAGATGAGGTGAAGCGGATGGGAGTTATGGGGTTCGTAGTATATCATAGAGCTTGTGAGGAAATGTGAGGGTGATGGACTATATTAAGGAGTATGATGTTTAGAAGATATGAATATGTATGTGTATGTACATAGAGTTGTTGTTATTTGGAAGAGAATTATAGCAGGTGTTGGGGAAGTGAGTAGGTACGCATGTAGGCGTTTAGATAGAAAGCACGCTTTTGGACTGAGTGGCTTCATGATCTGTTCTCAGAATCGAAGACTGTATTTTACATCTTCTATAGGGTTTGGAAGTTTGAAAAGGAGAGAGTGATGGATGGAGAGTGAGGGTGACTTGTTATACGAATACGTGGTATGTAATTATACGAGGTAGTTGATTTGGTGAAGGTTAGATGAAATGATGTTTTGTGGTTGATTAGTTGGTTTATATACTAGGTATCTACCTAGGTATGTTGATTCTCCTTCTTGACCAACGGATGAAAAGTTGTTTTCAATGTAGTTGATATAGTATAATGTAGGTGGTATCAAGGTAAGGAATGAGTCGATATGGGCCCCGAGGGTCAGCTATAGGTCAAATGATGCTTGCTGATCGGAACATTTTTTGTTGGTTCTGTAGATGATAGATTTGAGCTCGATAGTTCCGGTAGGTAGATACAGTTGGTCGTTAATTTTATTGACTGGTCAAGTCAATCTAATCAATTGATAGAGTTATGTGTGGACGTCAACTGAACTTTCCCATCCCTTTGTCAAAGTCTTCTAAAATGCTGAGATCACGGAATACAGCAAAACTCTCAAACTCGATTTAAATATCGACAAATAAGGCAGGAGCTCACGAGAGAGATAAACTCGGAGGGAAAGAACTTGCCGTAGTGAAGACGCTCACTTTTTATTCATTGGAAACACGAAAGCCGGCGCCACAAACACGTGAAGGGTGGAGCTGTTATTGTCAAACGAAATTTTAGTGAGATGTTTTGGCATGTGGTTTGGGGGTTCCCTTACTTCTCAACTACCGTTGGGATCATAGCTAGGTACACCGGAAAGCCAAAGCCATGTTGCGGAACGTGGGAGGATGGGATATGATTCAGGGGAGGTTAGAGGGTTGATATCAGAGGCGTAGGGGAAATTTGAGGATGTCGGTTTGGGGAGACTTTGCTATTATTTCTGAGTGTACGCGTGGTTTTAAAGCTTGGTTTGGAGGAGTCTTCTTGCACTTTTGATAGTGACGCGGTGGGTTTTTGGAAGGCGCGTTCTTTTGTCGTCGGTGGAGAGGTGGTGGCGCCTTCTAATTTAACGAGGAAAGTTTGCACTTGCTTGTGTTATTTTGTTATGCAATTGTTTTGTTTACTCCAACTTTTTCTTTTCTCTTTTCATTTCCTTTCCTTCTCATTCCCTTCACACACTTGTTCTCTTCAAGCATACCGACAAACTGCCACTATTTTCAATAGATATTTCCTTCTCATGCCTATCAAATGGTATTCTTCTCCTCGAGGACCTGGTCCAGACTGTCTCATCCTTCATGTGGCATGCTTTTGCCATTTTTCAGATGCTCTCCACCAACTTTGATACTTCTAGACTCGAAACATATCTCAGGGAAAGCTGACAGACCTTCCTATTGGCGCCATAACCTCGAAGAGGTGAAGAATGTACATCCATTTCAAATGTTTCTTGGCAAGTAAACAAGGTATGAAATCACGTGAGAATACAGGATGTGCAACGACGGTCTATCGATATCTACTCTTTTATGGTGTTATACTAATATCATCAGGGCTTTACGAAGTTGTTCTGCATTCAATATCAGACGATACATTGATTTGTTCGATTGAAATATACAATGAAGTCGAGTGAACTTTGAGGTGGTGTAGTCTACATGTTCGAAGTCAAATTACTCCAGATTTCAAGGACTGTTATTCGATATCACATTCCAATATGGGAATCTTGTCAAACTTTACCCATTCCTTGAATATTCTTGTCATCAACCTGTATCCTATGTCTCTGACTTTATCGTCTTCTTGACGCGGGAAAGACGCCATCTACATTCTTCCCAGTACCATATTCAAAAACAAAGCTTATTTTCTATATATTCTTCAATTCCTTGAAAAGTATCTGTTTACAGACTTTCACGTCGGTCTTTATACAAAGTCAAGTAGTTGTTATTTTCAGACATTTCGAAGCCTCAAATATCATCTACTCGAGTTCACCCAGACACTACGTCAGGACCATGCGTCCAACTTCACTTCCAAAGTGCCTGCTGCAGGTTGCAGCTTGTGGTATTGCACTCATTCCTTTCGCTCACGCGGTACCAGCTACTGTTTATTCAACTGTCACTCGTTATAGAATTTCAGTCGTTCCACAATATACGACTTATACTGATGTCTCTTTTTCAATTCTTACTTATACTGCACCCCCTTCAATTCACACCGAATATGTTACTGCAACAGAAGTTAAGCGTAGGACTACGACTATCTTCGATGGGACAACAACTGTAATCGAGCCAGCTCAGACTGTGTTTGGTGAGTATCCTGAATATGTTGGTCAAATCATGAATCTATTCTAATGATGAATAGCATCCGAATGTGCTAGCACCACACAGTCTTCTTCTGCGGCCCCTTCATCGGATATTCCTATCAGTTCAACTGTATCTTCTGAATTCACTTCATCTTCTGGTTTCACTCTTCCACCAGTTGACAATCACAATTCTGGATCTTCATTTAATACTGAAGTACCAACAACTTCAGTTCCACAGGTCACTTCCGAGCCACCTATTACAACTAGTGAGCCTACGGTAACAGAAGTTGTGAGTACCGAAGAACCAGGGGTTACAACTCTGCCACCCTCGGAACCAACTCGAGTTTCATCTGCGGATACACCAGCTGGTACTTATAATGCAGTGGACTGTTATTCAGATGAAGAGGGTACCGGATTTCCATTGGCTCCACCTATCACGGACAGTACCGATCCAAATACTCACGATACAGTCGGTCACTGCCTTGAATTCTGCTCTACAGCTAATGGAGGCAACCCATTTAGATATGCAGCAATTGGGCCAGGACACTGCTATTGCTCGAACGGAAAGCTCGAAGCAGAACCAGCCACCGACTGTTCATATCCATGCCCAGGTGACTCGACGCAGATATGTGGAGGAAGTCTTCCACCCACCAAGAGACTCAGACGCCGTGCTCCTGGGGATGCGATTATTGTTTATGAATTGGCTGGATACGTTCCTCCAAGTTCAGTCGCTTCTACAGATGTCGGTCCAACTGAGACATCAGGCCCAAGCTCGACGAGTGAAATCATTGCCACCGAGGAACCTGGCTTCACTTCTACAGAACTCAACACCGAGGGACCAGGGTTCACAAGCACTACTGAGGTCATCAACACTGAAGAACCTGGCGCTACAAGTACATCCGCAGTTGTGACTGAAGAGCCGGGAGTGACGAGCACCTCGGAAGGTATCGTAAGCACGAGTGAATTGGGAGCTACAACGACTTCGGAAGTTGTTAGCACCGAAGAGCCAGGCGTCACTAGTACTTCGGAAGGTATCAATACTGAACAACCTGAAGCTACTAGTACCTCAGCTGTTGTCAGCACTGGGGAACCAGGAGCTACAACTACTACTGAAGTCGTCAATACTGAAGAGCCTGGAGCTAGCTCAACAGAAGAAGCTAGTAGCACTGGCACCGATATTCCACCTGTCAATAATGTCGGATCTGGCACCTTAACCACTACAACAACTACCTATGGTATTGAGTCTACCACTGAGGTATTCACCGAGCCAGAAGCAACTACCACCTCCGAAGCCGAAGAAACAGGCATTAGTACAACTTCGGGAGTTGTTAATACCGAGGAACCGATAGCTACTACAACTTCTGAAGGTGTCATTAGTACTGAGCAACCAGGAGTAACTACGACGTCCGAGGTCATTAATACCGAAGAGCCTGGGGTAACCACAACTTCAAGCCCAGAAGAAACCATAGCTACAACAACTTCCGAGGTCGTAAATACTGAGGAGCCAGGAGTCACTTCAACTTCGGGAGCTGTTATTAGTACCGAGGAACCAGCGGTAACTACGAGTTCGGAAATTGTGAGTACCGAAGGACCTAGTATTACTACAACCTCTGGTCCGGAAGAGACTGAGATTGTAAGTACCGAGGGACCTGGAGTTACGACGACCTCGGAGGTTGTAAATACCGAAGAGCCACAAGCAACGTCAACTACAAGCCCCGAAGAAACCGGGCCAGCTACTAGCACAACTGAGATCATCAATACCGGAGAACCAGGAGCAACTTCAACTGCCAGCCCTGAAGAAACCGGGCCAGCTACTACGACATCTGGGGCTGTAGTCAGTGAAGAACCAGGAGTTAGTACAACTTCCGATGTGCCTGAGGGCACAAGCACTGGTACCGGCATTCCACCTGTAAACAATGTAGGATCTGGTACCATGACAACGACCACAACAACTGAAGTACCCGAGTCTACTACGGAAGCTGGGTTGACTACCGAAATTGAAGCTACGACGACTGCTCCTCTCTCCACAAGTGAGCAAGGAGTATCATCTACAAGCTCTTTCCCAGCATCCACGTCTATTGCACCTCCTTCATATAGTTATGTCTGCGCAAGTATACCAAATCTGTTCAATGTAGTTATTGATGAACCTGGCAAGCCAAAGCAATGGTTATCTCAACTTAACTATCCAGATAGTGGAACCGTTGAAGGTACATGGGGCTATGATACATTACCACCCGTACTATCACGCCCCCAAGCAGCTCATTTCAACATTGGATTTGGCAACGCTTTCCAAGCAAAACGTCATTCTGACAATGCTCCAATCTCAGGTGCTGTTCGATTGACCGCTTTGGGATCTCCTCTTCAACTTTTTGCTGCGGATCATATTTCAGATAGCATGAGAGTATTTACTGCTAGTATTGGGGAAGATTGTTCACTTGGCTTGGATATCCCGAACACTGGAGACAACATTCTGGCTATATGCAGTGGTATATTCACTATCCTGACGCCAGCTAAGCGAGCTCAAAGGGGAGATGCTTGTACTCAAGTCCGAGCTTTTGCTGTTGCAGTCAATGGACCTTCATCAACATTATCAACAACCATTGCTTCACCTACAGGATCAAGCACAGGATTGGCCGGCACTGAAGTATCCGAAACTGGAGCTTCTTCTACTCCATTGATCGCAACAACTATACCATCTGGAACTTCCGGTCTGATGACAGGTACTTCAACCTTCTCGCCTATCACATCTTCAACTTCAATTGCTGGATGTCCTGTTGCGCCATTTTTCAGAATCCTGGTAAATCAGACAGGTATGCCAGCACAATATCTATGGGATCCTGTCTCATTCAGTGATGATGCTTTATCATTCACCACAGATGCAGCACAGAGTTTGTCCTTTTCATTATCACCTACTACTGGTCAAATTCAGTTCAATATTGTAGATTTCTTTGGAAATCCTGTATTATTGGCATCTAATCAAGATACTCACAATGCTGGAAATGAAGCAATTTTCTTCTCTACTGCTACCAAATATCAACAACTTGGTTACCAACCTGTTGTAGCATCTATCAATCCGGATTGTTCCATCGGTTTGACATTACCATATAATGCCGCTAATATTATACAAGCTTGTTATGGATCGATTTACTTGATGTTGTCGCCCGGAGCAGGTTGTGTAACTGTTTCATTGTTGATGTTGCCTTTTGATCCTTCTGCCACAACCACGTCTATTACATCTACAACGTCTTTTTTAGTTTAAGTTCGGCGAGTCTGGAAAGCCCCTCCGTTACTTCGAGTGAAGTCACTCTTTCTTTCTCATCAGTTGAATTATCTAGCGGATCGCTAGCTACCAGCTCGCCCGACTTTACGAATACACCGTCCGGAGTGTCCAGTTCGTATTCTTTTATATCATCTTCATTTTCAGATCAGTCAGTTTTTACAAGTCAAGGAACTCTGACTTCTTCAACGGTCGGTTCCTTCATTAGCTCTTCAGCATTCGAGTCGCCTAGTAATTTTGCCACAATTTCTTCTTCTATTATTAGTTCATCTTATCCATCATTTACCTCGGAATCGTTTTCACAGTCTGAATCGGCTTTCCTATCTCAAACCCTGCAAACTTCTTCTGGACAAGAATCCCAAAGTGCATCATTTACTTCTGATATCTTCTCGTTATCGAGTATACCGTCTTCATCCATCATTCAAAGCTCAATATCTGAAGCCCTCTCTTCATATGAATCCAGCTTGGCATCATTCTCGGCTTCTCAATCTTCTGGATTCATGTCCAGCTTCTCCACAACTTCACTCTTAAGTTTTGAACCTTCAGAAACTCAAAGCACTGCCATTCCATCCATTTCGAATGTTGAATCTTCGAGCTTCGGAGACGAGACTTCCACTAGTATTCCGCCAGTTAATAATGTAGCTTCTGGTTCAACGACTGGACAAAGTAGCTCACTTGCTTTGGAATCAACATCCCAAACTGAAATTACTTCTACTTTCGTATCTTTGTCTTTATCCGAACAATCATCTTTACCAGAATTAACATCTACTTTGGGGCCATCGTCTTTGCCTGAAAATTCTTCCACTATTGGGCAATCTTCTTTGCCTCAAATCGCAACTTCTTACGAGTTGGGTGAAACATCATCTCTGCAGGTGTCTTCGACCGAGATACTCATTAGCTCTTCTACTTTACCTCTTGAAAGTTCTGGCTTCCAGACTGTAGCTTCCTTGATGAGTTCAGAGAGTACTTCTGAAGCACAAGAGACAACATCGAGTCTTGAAAGCCAATTATCTATTTTGACTTCAGTGTTGGGGACTTCTATTCCATTGACTACAGATATATTACCGACCTCGACAGAAAGTCTACTTTCGAATACAGAAAATCCATCAACTTTTGGATTCGAGTCCACAACAGGAATACTCTCCAATTTGAAATCAAGTACAGTGATCAGCCTACAATTATCTTCTTCGACCGAAAGCCTTGAGTCGTCGATAATAACTCAGATCTTCTCCACGAGTACTACTGCGTCTTCTGAAAGTGATTCCCAGCCGTTTACAGGGACATTGATTCAATCATCTGGAGCTGCAAGTAGTACAGCTATTCTCTCTTCCCCAACATTGTCAATCATTCCCTCGAAAAGTGAACAGTTGAGTACGCTCGGAGAATCTAGCGGTGTTTTGTCTACCACACTTGTTATTAGTTTGTCCAAATCCGTATCTCCAAGTATAGAGACATCTCTTGGAATAACGAGCACTTTTGTAGGATCACCAAGTCAATCTTTTGAGGCCTCAAGTAATATTGGACCGATTATATCTATAGAGACTTTCATTAGCACTACTATAGTTATCGAATCAAGTATTGAACCGACTCTCGGGGCTACCAGTAGTTTTATAGGGTCGCCCAGTCAGTCATTTGAGGCATCCAGCAATATTGGATCCACTATAATTACAGAAACACTGGTTGGCACATCTAATTCTATCGAACAAAGTTCATTGCCTGTTGGAAGTAGTACTGGTATTCCACCAGTCAACAATGCAGCATCAGGAAGTACGACGACGACGACGACGACTATGGACATTCAATCCACAGATGATCTCACAACTGATCTTGGTTCTGTTATTTTTACGACTGGTTCAATTGAATCTAGCTTGGCGGAAGGCTCTAGTAGTACTCTCATTGTGATTTCGACATCAACAGGATTTGGATTTGTTAGTTCAACACAGATCTCGGAGAGTGTATTTGAGAGTACCAGTCTTAGTTTCACAAGCAGTATTGAATCTATAGTCTCCACGATAGATTCAATCAAACCAAGTCTATCTGAGGCTAATAGTAATGTCATAAGTCCTATCCAAACTTCCACGGGCCTCGGATTCGGTACCTCATCACAAATACCGGAGAGTGTATCAGACCGTGCCAGTCTCATCTTCACAGGTAATGTTGGTTCTGTCATTTCTACTACAGGTTCAACGGAACCTAGCTTATCGGGAGGGGCTAGCACCACTACAGGACCTATTGAAACATCTACAGGTATTGAAATTGTTACCCCAACACAAGAGAACTGAAATATTAACCAACGGAGCAGTATCTTCCACCGTTTTCGGTGTATCGAGTGCCACTTTGACCTCAATAGCATCTGAACTATCCAGTAATACTGAATCAGCAATAGAATCGGTGGTGCCAAGCAGTATTAAATCAACTGCGATCAATTTTGCTGAAACTTCTGCTGGTTTCACCACGCCGATCCAATCATCTCTACCAGCCTTAACTAATGGAATCTCAACCACTTATACCTTCGGTGATGAGGTCATTACTCCATCTATTGCAATTAGTACCACGTTAGAAGCTTCTATATCGGTATCGATTGGTGGAACCGAAACTTCTACGCCATTCAGTGATGAAGTCATAACCCCCACGATTGCTGTTAGCACTACATTTATTGGATCATCTGTATTGCCATTAAATACTGGATTCGAAACTTCTTCTACTACATTTAGTGATGAAGTTATCACTCCTTCAATAGCTGCTAGCACTGTACAAGCTCAATCCACTATATCGGCTTTGAATACTGGTATTGAAACGTCTTCAGGCCCTTTCGGTGAGGAAATTATCACTCCGTCTACTGCGCCCACTTCGAAGTTATCTTCTGGTACCAGCATTGAAATTATATCCTCCGGTACTCCTGGACTTATAAGCTCATCACTATTACCGGAAGTGACAAGTATAATAGACGGAACTTCAGGATTCCCATCAACGATTGGTACAATAGCTCAGTCTTCAACCGAGTTGATTGATATCGAGACTTCATCAGGCTCAGGCCCCTTGACAGCTGCCACTCCATCTCCTCCAACTGAACTGTCCTCATTTTTGAGTCTTTCTACCAGCGCATTCAGTGCCGTGATCACTTCAAATACAGGTATAGGAACAAGTCTTGGGGCTGGATCCCCGACCCTTGATCTTTCATTCGCATCAAGTACTGGTATATCAACAAATGGAATCACTTCCTTGCCTACCGAGGCTAGTCAAACTTCCAGTGGCCTAGGATTTGAATCTAGCCTTGCTATCATATCGACTTCTGGTATAGAAACCGAATCCCAGGTTGAAACTCCAATCCTTACGACTTCGACTCTTCCAATTGAAGCTTCTCTAAGTGTGGGTACTTCAATCCTTGAATCAAATTCGGCTGATGTATCAACGAGTGGAATTGAATCCACTGGAACAACAGTTCCAATAGTTGGAGACTTGGAATCTGGGACTTCATTTGGAGCCTCAGAAACACTCAGTAGTACTACATCGTTATCAGTAATCACGGAAGTCGGTACACTGACGAGTGGATTCTTAATTTTAACAACTGAGGTCTCTGCTAGTTTTAGTGGCTCAATTATTGAAACAAGTCTGTCTTCCGAGCCTACTTCCACGGGTGGTGTCTCGAGCACTGCACTTCAATCTACATTTAGTGCTGAGACCTCGGGAAGTATCGGTGGAGTAACTGGATCTTTTACTGAGACCGCCAGTGTTTTGAGTAGTACTGGCGTAAGCACGACTGAGACTTCCATTTCCTCCCAAAGTTCTGGGGCTGAGAGTCAATTGCTTACCACAAGTATTCCTGATTTGTCAGCACTTCCATCTACTTTAGTAGGAAGCTTTAGTCTTATTGAAAGTTCCGGAATCATATCAACTCCATCAATCCAGTCCACAGATTTTGTGATTGAGACTCAATCACAGACCGTGATCATTTCCATCGAGTCCGAAATCCCATCAAGTTCTATCCTAACCCCTGGACCCACAATAACTTTGTCTTCCGACATTGAAAGTCTATCGGCAGCTCCAAGTACCTTGCCTTCAGGAATACCCTCAAGTACGATCGAAAGTTCCTTAATTTCTTCAGTTCAGTCTACTCAATCTTCATTGTTTGCAGTTGAGCCTTCTACAGCAGTCGCCAGCAGTCTTCTTTCTTCGGAATTATTATCCCAACAGTCCCAGGCATCCTCCATTGCTTCGATAATACCATCATCTGTGGGTACGCTCATTTCTCTCTCATCTACGATTGCTGCATCCGAGAGCTCTTCCGACATTGTTCTGAGCACAAGTTCAGGTGCCGTCTTATCTGAGTCCTTCTCCAGTAGTCTTTCCCAGCTCCCATCGTTTACGAATGGAGAACTTGCCACCAGCTCTTCGGCTGTTGAAGCCAGTAGCACAGTTGATAGCAGCATCCCAATTGTTGGAAACATTGGCTCGGGAACTTCCCTTCAATTTTCAGTTTCCGAAACATCTCTACCTGCTTTGCCAAGTTCGTTGACATCGGACATTGGTTCTCTAAGTTCTAGTCTTGTGATAGTTTCAAGCACGGTTATTTTGACGGTTGAATCACAGACTACAGAACCCGTTTTCTCTTCCACCGCTTCCTTGGGAAATACAGCGCCTTTGGAGACATTCGTTGAAACCTCATCGTCGATACCTGAGCTTACACTTCCAAATACTAGAGGATCACAAGCTATATCTTCGACAGAATCACTTGCCATTAGCCCAACTATTGGCTCAGGGTCTCAATCTAGCTCTCTACAAACAACCTTCGATTCTGAAGTTTCGAATATTAGCACCGAGCAAGCTTTTCCTTCCACTGAAAACCTTGTAGTTATCTCAAACACGCAATCTTTATCCTCTGCTACCCTTCCAAGCACTGGGCTTGCAACTGAGATTCCCTCATCAACACAAGGTATATCATCAGTGGCAACTTCAACTCAGCTAGGTGAATTTTCGTCAACGATTTCCAGTTTACAATCTGCGGAAACATCTTCATCCATACAACAAGGTCTCTCTTCAACAGTATTGATTGAGCCATCTCAGCCAGCTATATCCTCCGACTTGACCGAAACTGCATCATCTGAAATATTAAGTGCAAGCGCAACAATCACAAGCCTTGAGACCACCGTGATCCTGACAGTTATTTCGACGTCTGCATCTGATTTTGGTTCTGAATCTGGACCAATTACAGCATCATCTACTACTGATATCCTCGGCTCGATCTCTCCAAGTCTTTCTGCTTCGGCGTTGGCCCCTCAGATAGATTCGGCATCTTCAACTAGTTTAGTAAACTCAGGCTTAAAATCAACCACGATATCGACTTTAGAGTCCAATTTGCAGGGCACAGCTTTGTCTTCAATACCCAATGAATCTGTAATTCCTGAAGCATCCTCGACAGAAGGGCTTCTAGGTACATTCGTCCCTGATGCTTCTCAGGCAAGTTTTGAACAAACTACATCTTCGAGCAGTTTCCCTTTAAGTACATTATCATCGGGGTCTTCCTCTACCATCGAATTGCTCTCATCCGCCAGTGAAACTGGAACCGGTATACCTCCCATCAACAATGTAGTATCTGGAAGCACCAGTACCAGTACCGCCTTTGAGACCACATTGCCAGCTTCCGAGTCTCAGATATTCAGCACTGAGCCACCATCTGTGACCTCCAGTACACAAGTTCTAACAGATTCTAGCGGTCTACCTCTTAGTACAAGTACAAATCCATCACCCTCAACCTTAGAATCAGGGATTGGTTCTAGTACCGAGTCAGTATCAAGCTCCGAATTTCCTAGCATAACGATATTCAGTTCAAATCCCTCATCGTCCACCACCCTCTCTGGTGCATCTGCTATTGCAACACCATCATTTGATTACATTGGCTGTTCTTCAAACACAACAGGCACTTTAGATGGCCCAACAACGTACTCATCAGATATGACACCAGCTGTCTGCTCAATCATCTGCTCTGAATACGAATACTACGCAGTTGAGAGTGGAGTCAAGTGTGTTTGTGGCGATAATATAGAGTCAAGTGGTATCTTGTCAGGTGCGAATTGCACCACCACTTGTGGTGATGGTAGTGGTACTTCATCTTGTTCATCGGCATCGGCATCTGCTAGTGCCTCTACACTGGTAACAGTACTAAGGCCTAGAAACATTGCAGCTACGGGGAGGCATCCTAAGAGGTGGTAAAGGACAAATGAGAGAAATTTTGTTTGGTGTTTTGGTTTGTAACAGGGGGCTTAGAGTGCTGGTCGTGAGCACTAGTTTCATATATAGTTTTGATTAGTTTTCCTTCTCCTATTTTTTTCTATGTCAGCATTTGTAGTTGTCGGTTGGTTAAGAATTAAATGTATTCGTTTTAGATGTAAGAGGTTTTGGGGGAAAATTGGGTGGGCGAGCGAATGGTCGGAAATGTTTATCCATGGTTTCTTTGAATACATGAACTTTTGTTTCTGATCTTCTTATGTTAGAATGATATGGTGTTCTTTTCACTTGAACGTTCTTGATGTATTGTGATATTTGTAACATGCAACAGGACGAGATACACTTGCGAGTATAAAGACAGGGTATTGATGAGTGGTTGACAACACACATGTGTATTATTATGGCGCTTAGAAACTCACTCTATTCCCAAATACAACTATGCCCTTGACAAAACCTAGCTAAAATCCTTCGAATATAAACGACCTTGTAAGAAACAACTCTACAATATCAACCCCCGACGTACTATGCCAAAACTCTCAACGCCTCATGTTAAAGTTTAGTCTGCCAAATTTCCTTCATGGTAGCTTCAATTATTATTTCCCAACCCCCTTTTTGAGGAGAGGTCCACCTTGTCCATGGTCGTGACTTGTACGGCGGAATCTTTTCTGCAGTTGGGACATCTTCCTTTCTTCTCGATTTTGTCGGAGTTCTCGCCAGCGCAATCTTTGGAGACTTCTTTGCAGAGGATGAGAAATTCGGTTGCGATTGTGTGATCGCAGGCTTTCCAATACCAGTGGGTTGTTGTGCACATTTTGAGATGTGAGGGTTTGGAGGTTTGGGAGATGATGGAACGAGATGGATTGAAGGAGTGTTAAACTTGGAATTTGGATTTGAGGGGGTATATGGGTTTAGGTTTGACTGTGGGTTCGGAAGTGATATTGTGATAGTTGAAGATGGAGAGAGCTAGAATGGAGAAAAGAAGAAGCCATTAAATATGATGGTGGCGGGATAGGAGCACAAGGAATCACAGTCATGACCTGCTTGTTTGTGTGAATATCGTCATGATGGATTAAGAACACGGAGTTGTCGGGATGAGTTTTCTACCAAGGAGATTATTTGATTTGGATTGTGTGATTGAGATCCATAACTCTATGAATATTTAAGTAATGAAGGTTTAGGGATGATGCATATATCTTGAGTGCTTCCCGTGCTTGACTTCAAACCTGGAGAAACAAGTGTTCGCAAGGAACTTAACTGGGACTGTGATGGAATGAATAGACTGCCTTCTTGGCCTCACGATACAAATTATATGCTTTCTTTAATATAAAGTGATATTGAAAGACTCCGCGACTTGGATGAAAATAATCTTTTTTCAAATGGCTCTCTTCTTCTACATCGTCGGTTCATTTAAGTAGGAAACAATAGCCCCAAAAAATTGTACTGCAGAACTGGTATTATAAATTTCGCCGAACACATTCATCGAGTAAAACAAATAAAACGAACACTGTGAATGATGATTTCTTTCGATATATGTTCCTTCGAATGGGGATCATTGATGGACCCATATTTCTTTTTCTCGATCTTGTGCACGTGATATGCAGCTAAAGATTTCGCTTACACTAGCGTTTTTCGCACACAATTCTCCATTCCAGAAATCTCGGTGCGAAGTTTTTGAAAACAACCAACGACGACGACAAATCCAGGTTCCTCACCAATCCGACAAGATGACGAAGATCAACAGCTGTATGTACCATCAATCGATTATCATCGCGATTCTGCACAATTCACAATTCGATTTCGCCAGTAATTCCATGAGATCGCAAAGCTAACAATGATTTTTTCCAGCCCTCCACTCCTCCAGGAGAAAGTCCCGCAAGGCTCATTTCGATGCCCCATCCAGCGTCAGACGTACCATCATGAGCGCTCCTTTGAGCAAGGAACTCCGTGAGAAGTACAACGTACGTATAAATTATCTACGACAATCTCGATCTTCAACATCTAACAGAATTTTTCAGGTCCGCTCCATCCCAATCAGAAAGGATGATGAGGTTACCATCGTTCGTGGTTCCAACAAGGGCTCCGAGGGAAAGATCACCTCCGTCTACCGTCTCAAATACATCGTCCACATCGAGCGTGTCGTCAAGGAGAAGTCCTCTGGACAATCCGTTCCCCTCGGTATCCACCCATCCAAGGTCATCATCACCAAGTTGAAGTTGGACAAGGACCGTGAGAACATCCTTGAGCGCATCAAGGCTGGTCGTGAGATCAAGGAGAAGTTGAAGAGCAAGGCATAAATTTGGCATATAAAATTGGGTTGGGATTGGCGTGTTTTCGATGAGCGTTACATGCATTAATCCCTGGCTTCTGCCAGCTGGATGTGCTAGGCATAGTCAAATGAAAAATTATGGCCATTTCACATCCTCCGTGCTTGCACGTCTGGTACCACTGTGAAATGCTCCATGGGAGTCCTCCCGAAGCAACAAGTGTCTACGATACTTGTAACAACACGTTGTTGTGTTGTTGATTGCTACACCTGTTTTGGGAGGACTGGCCCTCTACTAACTTGCTCTAGGATTATTGTGACATACATGTTCGTTCTCGTGACCATTTACGCTCATATATCACCTTGTTGACATTTTCTACTATTGTTTTCGAGATAAACGACGAGCGGAGAGGAAATCCAAAGTTTTCCTTATGAAGTTAACTTTCTTGCCTGCAGACTTTCCTCTAGATTTCACTAAAATCTCTGAAGAACGAGAGTTTGATGGCAAGGGACATGATTGTTCTATAATTATGATATCTACTCGTCTTATCGACGGCAATTGACGATCTCTACGCTAGAATTGTCCGATGCGATTTAATAGACTACCGAAATATACTTCATTCAAAATCAAAACTTCTCAACATATGGTCTGACATCCAATTCCTGGGTGAAGTGTGATCTGTGTTGTGTGTGCAAATACCAATATGCATCCGCAATCTATACATCATGTCAGTCATTGACGGCGAGTTCATATAACAAGTACTTACAGCATCGGCCTTGATCTTTCCATCCTCAACCCCTCCGTTCGCTTGCCATTCCTTAGTTCTAGGAATATCAATCACACCGTCAATGATCGCATGCGCAACATGTATTCCTTTAGGACCAAACTCTCTGGCTAAACTCTGAGTGGTTGCTCTCAGAGCAAATTTTCCACTCGCGAATGATGACATTAGAGCACCACCTCTTAATGATGCCGTAGCTCCTGTAACGATCAGGGAGGGTGGATGTGGAGAGTCAGCCACGGAATCCAGAAGGAGTGGTAAGGCTTTTTGTGCAAATAGGTAGAATCCCTTTCTATGCATTCTTTAGCTTTTGTTCTGAACCCATGTTCCCACCGTCTGTCTAGTCAAATAGTTAGAAGAGACATCACTCACCCATTGCTTTCATACCCCGCCTCGTAATCCTCCAAGGTCAACTCCAAAAATGGCTTCCTCACAAACTTGCCCCCTACGTTGTAGACCGCAGCTGCCAATTTCTTAGAACCGTATTGCTTCTTGATTTCTTCGAATGCATTGGATACGGAAGAGGGGTCAGAGACATCGGTGCTGATTCCGATTGCTTGTCCACCGGATGAGGTGATAGCTTTTATGGTAGGCTCATAATTGGCGGGATTACGGGCTAGAAGCACGACGGGGTAGCTAGAGGCAAACTTGAGGGCGACGGAGTGGCCTAAGGGAGGGTGTGTATTAGAATCTCTATTGTCCAGTAGTTGATGTGATATTAGTTAACATACCAGTACCTGCACCAACACCGGCGATGATGCTAAAGAAATTGCCGGATGGAGGCATGTTTGTATTATCAGTTGTGTAGTAGCTTAGAATGGACAAAACTTGTAGTAAACGATCAGAAGACGTTGATTGAGGATCCGTGATGTAGATGAGGGGTACGAAATCAAGGGAAACACAGCACGTTAAGAAGAGTTATATAGAAATTGCGAGATGGGACAGCGAGATGGGATAATGTGTTTGATTGATAATACTATATGCATGAATACTCGGCTTTGTTCAATCAACGGACAGTAAATCTGATGATTAAACTTTTAGCTATGGCATTTGTTTGAAGAGAAATGACGATTGCAGCTTGATGATGGAAGCTTTGTAAGAAGCTCGGTGGGGTGAATACCGATGGGACCGATGATGAGTAATCTGGTAACGTGAAGATAGTGTTTTCCGTTCTTGTCATTTCTGGATGGAAATAGAGGTGGAATCTTATGAAGAGACGGATGAGAACAACGACGAACGAAAGATGAAGATATAAATACACTTCAACATATAGAATCGTCTGAAGAACAGTATGCTGGCCAATGATGGTCGATTAGATCGGTCCAGAACGGAACATTTGCGATTTAATGGTTTCTATCATCGCCACCACGATCTAGACCATAGATCTGCTTCTAACTAAGCACTGCCTTTCTATCATTCATGCTTCACGACCAAACTCTTTTTTACCTTAAGTTTCATCCCTTATCCAACCAATTCCAAATACTGTCCATAAATATCATAATGCTAAGATTTGTTGCACATCTGAAAAACAGCCGGAGACTCGTCTCCTCGATGGTTTGATATCAAAATGGTTTAAGAGCAAATCAATAAATACCATTAACACGCCTACGACCTAATAAAGTCTGGATCGTCTCTCCTCCAAGTTACACGAGATTTGAGTGTGTTATTATCGTATGATAAATCCCGGAGTTTTCTTTCCTTTTAGAAAAGTACAATGAAACGGATCTTTTACTCCTACGTTAAAGAAACTGGAGCGTAGACGATCATACCTACCCCCATGTATATTTACCATCTACTATGTAGATAGCTGCGGATGTGAATGTGGGGATCATGGACCCCTATTTCTGGGAGGATCCCTCGCATGGGGAACAGCAATTGAGGTTTGATATTTAGTTTATTTGTATGGAGGATTGAAGATCTGATGGATGCGAGGCTGGGTAAGTTCAATCAATGAAATAAAAGCCAAAGAAGACGATGGTGAGAATCAAATGTTCTCGCTGTTCTTATTCTCTGAATGCAATTCTGATCAAGTGATGGATTATCATACATAGCACGTGATAGATGGACTTTTATGGAGACCTGTGGACTAGAGACATGCAACAAATAGTTGTCTTTTCTTGGAGAAACATCATGTGTTTGATTCATGATTGGCCGTATTCCTTTATCATCTGACTTTGTGCAACGTCGCCCGACCAATAATCTCAATGACATCAAGACTTATTGTTGTACAGTTGTATAGAAAGGAACCCGTGCCGCAAACCTCAAACACCACCATCATTCATCACCCACACCACCTCGATCCATTTGTATTCCCAATTACGAGCCATTCATCCAATCCTCTTCCCGCAACCCATCTCCCGTCATACACACATTCCTTCTTCAGGACCAAGTGGATACACCTACGATATGCAACAAACGCCGACAGCCTTACGCTTTCCATCCCATACTCACTAGCTTTTGCATATATAAGTTTCATATTTGTCAGCTCATATACCATTCCCTGAAGAGTCTTGAAAATTTACCCCCGAGATGAATATCTGGGGCTTAAAAATGTAACCTCATGAATGCACGAAGATCTCAATCGGGAAAAGTCAGAAGCACAATGTGACAAAACCGCAATAAGTTCATCCGATACGATATGCAACAAAACTTTTTTACTCACAACACCTTGCGACATCTAATTGGTGGTGATTATGCGTGAGCTGCATTTTAGATACAGGAAAGCTGTCCAGCCTTCAACGCCAATAATGCAAGGAAACGTTGTTGATCCCAAAGCCGTTCTCAATCTTATAGGACTCACATGCTCGAATATGGAATCATAGAGAGACTCCGCTCGCCATATCAAATCGCATTACATACGAGCCAAGCTTCTCTTCTCACTGAATCAGAGCTATTTTATCTCCAATATCGACTCTTTAATTGTCAATCTTCTCCCCGCAGTTTAAATTACGGCCGCCCTTCACGTAACACCGGTGGTCAGCACCGGGTGGAGACCGGAGGCCGGTATCCAACAAGCAGCCTGGATTCTGGATTCCTTTTCACACCCCAATCACATATCAATCGGGAAAGTTTTATCTTTTCTAGCCCAGTCTCCTTTCGCGCGGGTTATGGAGGCGCGGAAAAGGCTAAGTAGATGTTCTGCTTGAAACAAGATTGTCTGATAAGCACGGCGTTTTCTTCTATTCATTGAGCCTGGTAGAGGTGTTGTCTATCTTAAAACCAATCGTTGCAGCACGGACTGATCTAGCAAGAACTCGATCTTCCACTTCTCTACGACCTACGATAAACAACGGCTCTTTTTACCCATGTACACCAGACAATACTTATTCAAATGAGCTTTTGATGTGTCTCTTCATTCGGATTCTGGTGCTAAACTTCGCCATGTTTCATACAATGAAATCTAAATGCTCTATATTGATTCTCTCCCTAGCCATCTATATAAGTGCTCTTCCCTGTCTCTACAACCACGATTTTAGCCAATAAACCAACTGCGGCTGTCTTTCCTGAGCTCTTGATTGATGCCGCACCCATGATCTCTAGCACAGTCATTCCCACGACAATTTTTTACCTACACCGATTTCTCAGCTCAATAGCCCCAAGTGAATCAACTTCAAGCGTCTTGAATGACTGGTGGATATCGCGCTCTCCGCAATTGGTCGCATCATGAAAGTGGACAGCGTCTTGCCAATCTCTTCTGCCAGGAATTCCGCAGTGGATGACTCTCCCAGAGTTTGCGGGTTGTTAGAGACCGTAGCAAGAAAGTCCTAGAGTCCCTCATGGTTTGCGGCGATATCATCAAAATTGCTGTTGTTGAGATTTCGGTATACACTCATACGAACATCACGTTTCTAGACATTCCGATTACGATCTGCAGGGTCTGCCATCGACATCTTGTAACCACATCCAATATGGCTCTCGCTGGCGTAGCCATCTGCAAGGAAGCTGGATGCTTGAGACGTTGATTTGGATTTGATAATGGCCAACTCCAGAGTCTCGAGGAGATCATATTTCCGGAGGGTCTGAACTCCGTTGGTCTTGAATTATTGTAGAATGGCTGGATTCTCACTGAGATAACCAACATCGATTACGGAAGTGGATAGACATTTACCATGGCGATATTGATAAAAGGCATCCAAGGACGTACCAGCAGAGCAGTAGTTAGATTGGCCACATTGGCCCCATTGACATGACACTGAACTAAAGAGCACGAAAAAGTCGAGAGACACTGAATCAAAAATATTGTGAAGATTCCATGTGCCTAAAAGCTTTCGCGCTTGAACAACTTCCCAATCTTTGTGAGTCATTTGGACATATAGACCGTCCTATGATAGGATCAAAGTTGGATGTCAATGTCATGAATCAAAAAACGAGCTTACCTTCAAGACCATCCAAGTCGAAACAGATTTGCTCAATCATCCTAAGCCACCAACCAGCAAGTAAGAAACATCAGAGCAAAGGGAGAACTGGCTATGGATATTGAAAATAGCCAGCTGCAGAGAGTTTGAGGGCATGCTAATGACAATCTTTCCGATGTGCTGGATCTTTCGCATGAAGCTGAAAGCTTCCTCTGTTACAAACAGTTAGTGCACTGTGAATTTTGCACCTGAAGATGGGCAACCTTTGAGTTGATAGAGTAATCTATCTGAATGGCATCAAAGACTTGGGTTGGTCTGATTGGCAGGATAGCACCTTCGCGAAAATAATGCATACAATTTTTGAACAATCTGTTGGTCGGAAATGGTTAGCAGGTGCTATCCCAAGGAAATTCTTCTTTGAATAACATTACCTTTTTGACGATCAGAGGTCGTGCAGCACAAATTCGAGAAAGATCCACACCGAAGAAAGATCTGTTTGCAGTAAAAAGATCCATGGCAAGGCGACCTTGACCGATCAAGTCCCGTTTTCCAATCTCAACCATTTTCCCATATTCTGCAACACAGGCCCAAGAGCTGTGTAAGAGATCCCCGGAAAGCGAATTGAGAACCACATCAACACCTCTGCCATTATTTTCGCGCATGAGGTCCGGTAAGAAAGACGCGTTCCGTGAGTTGAAAATATGACTTCGTGGGATATCAAACGTTTCCACCAAATATTCAACCCTTTCCTCATTTTCTCCTGTTGCGTATATCTAGTTATTGTGTTAGTGAGTGGATACTAAGAAATCATTGTCTAAACACTTTGAAGGAAGTGTTTTGGTTCAATTCCACATCAGCTACCTCGTAGCTACTAGGATGATTACAGCCTCAAAAAATGGACTACTCGTCTGAGTTCTTCACTGATCTCTGCGCAGACCATTCGGCCAATCTGAATACCCGCAATCCCGATGCCTCGATAAAAAGAATGGACCAGCACAGTATATGTTACTTATTAGCCAAAGAACAGCCGGTATATTCGCCAAGTCAACTCACCTGGCCAGCTTCTAGTCTTGTAATGTCTTGAAGACCATGTATGACGGTGCTATACACATACAGCATGGTAGCAGCATCCTCAAAGCTCAAAGTATCGGGAATCTTGGCACACAGATCGGTAGTAGTATTAATACTGGTGGAAAATGAGCTGCCATTGAAGGCAAGGACTCGATCTCCAATACTCAGATTGATGACCTTGGAGCCAACTTTCGTAATTATGCCCGCGCATTCAGCACCAAGACCACTCACTATATTGGGCTTTATTTTCCTCGACGATACCCATAGCATAGAGAATATACTGATCAGTTAGCACGAATTGCGAAAAGAGTTGGAAGATTCGCTTTGTTTACCTTGAAATTCATGCCTACGGTATGGATATCTAGAGAGACCTCATCATCTTTCATCCCGGTATCTTTGCGTTGCGCCCAATGAAGAGTTTTGAGTGAGCCTCTCTTCCCAATATCAAGCCGTTTTGGTCCCTCATAGCTTGCGGTTGAGCGAACCTCCTCGGGGATTGAAATCCAATGGAAGCGAGGAATTTATACTACACCATCGGGAATAGCATATTCGAATCCAGGGTCGACTTCATGCTCCCGAGAACGACTCTGTAATTTCTAGAGTACATCCAAAACCCTGTCAAAAGTGGTGTCATCTTGAATCTTGTCGATTTCCAACGTTTCCTACTTGCATTCTCGAGGAAAGCCTTGCCCTCAAAATCTACGATAGAAGCAATACCTTGATCGGGCCTCATCAATCGCTACTTTCCTGGAGCCAACTTGTGTACAGAACCCATTTAACTTACGCAAGAACAGTGCGGTATTTGAGCACGTTGAGTTTGGATTCTGAGGTTGAGAGCAATCATCGAAAGTACGTGCACCAGAGCTGTAGCAAGAGAGACTGTTGCATGCAGAAACAACTCTGAGAAAGAGAAAGCCTAACGTGAATCTCCCACCGGAACTTTGCTTATTAATTTCTTCATACAAGGCGCAGATTACCCGGACAGGCTGTAATGCATTGTGCCGGCCAAACTAAGCTTCACGGACTAACTCCAGGGGACAGCTTAGCTTTGGACGTTTCGAACTCAGTGTTCTGACTAAGATGCTCGTCCCCGCTTGTATGGAGGAAGCCCGATGGCATCAGGAGTATTAGTTAGCTATGAGCACCACGAAACTGTGTCGTAGTAAGCTTCATCTGCCTCCATAATGTTTGAGATAGTAAATGCATCGTAGGTAAAGAGGTGTATTCGAGAGCCCAGTTCCAGTTTTAAGATACTTGAGGAAATTTGATGGGGTTTAGGAAACTGAATACTAATTCAAAGTGAGCTAGTGAATCCAGTGACTTTCTATGGTGTGACTGGCAAGACAGTATGAAACTAAGCTTAAGAGGCAATTGCGACAGGGACTCAGATTCGAATCGAGCCTATAAGTTAAAACCTATCTTACCGCCATGGCTGCGCCGTCAAGATGCCATAGATAAGATGGACGTCGATCAGATTAGATATAAAAACTGCTCGAGGAAGGGACAGTTTAGACTTGCGCACGTAAACCGTCTGGTAGTCTACACATTCTATTTACGAGATTCTCTGAACGTGTTTCTGGATGCCGAGCCAGTGATGCCGGGGCCCACAATCATTGTGAGCCCAAGTGGGAAGCACTGAAGTGGTAATCCTCCGCTATGTTCATAGGCATCCATATACACAATAGCGTCTGGTCTTCAATGGAAACATCTCGAACTGAGAAACCAACATTCGCAGTAGCCTCTCATTTATGATTATATCATCGCAGTCAGAAATTCGAAATCGAGCATGGCGGACTGTAGCCACGATTTACGTGCCATTGTGGACATTTAACCACACGGAATTAACTGCTAAAATATATTCGTGGTATCAACCCCAATCAGAGAATAGCTCACAACCACAAAGGACTATAGAAATACTTATCAGTAGCTTCAAGAGAAGGAAAAAGTCGTTCTAATCTACACACCTATCATTTCGAACTATTCGTATCTGCATAAGATAATGAAAATTTGATAAGTCGAATAGTTATTAGACTCGATATTTGAACTTTGTTTTTTTTGAAGATCTTTTATTCATTTGAATTAATTCATTCAGGGGAATATCATGTGTGTCTCAATTCGCGTTCTGTGACTATATTATTTGATAAGAAGAACTTGGAACCCAGTAAGGTCTATTCTCTTCTAAAAATCGAACCGAGTACAATCTCATCATAAGAGCGACCTTGGAGTATGTATGGGTAAGGCACCAAATGTTGATGGTACCGTGTACCCTGATTGACCCAAACGCGCCCGAAGTTGTGTTCACTTGAGTCAGGTGAAACATTCTTGAGGATTGGGACAGTAACCAATGGAGTGTGGAGAGGTAGTTAATTGAATATGTATGAAGCATGCATTCAGGATCAAGCAACGGGATGATGTTTTTGCTCATGCGTATAGATAAAAATCTTTTTGTCAGAGTTCTCCAAATGAAACCCGTCTGAATGAGAAAGATACAGCATTCGCATAGAAGTAAAGTACGAAAAGTAACGAAGCCCAATATATTACTTAAAGTAACTGGGCTCTCAACTTCTCTGCCAAAGCTTATTATATTCGTGACCTTTGAAATTCATATTCAACATCATTATTACCTTCTATGTAACAGGGTGCTAATAGGAAGGCTCGACAGTAACCAGCGATGAATTTCTCATAAAAGTACTTCCGGCATACGCTGCAACCTTCAAATACCGAGCCTCATTACCAATCGGATAGCTAGTTTCGAAAAGATTGCCTCTCTGAACAGTAGCTACTTCCACGAGATCGCTCTCATTAGTTCCTGTGTATATAACCCAAGCCGTATAATCAGTTGCTCCATTCCAACTCATGTATGCGGTGTCGTTGACTCCTACGACATCTGGATTCCAATGTGGCGTCGCGTTCCAGGATTGTTTGTAGGCGCGATATGAATTGGCGGTATTATCATAGCCGTATTGGATTCGTAGACGAACGTCATCATTACCATCGGGACCGAATTCCGTAAGACGAGTAATGGCACCCCAGCCTATGAATGTATTGCCATTGTCGAGTGGGCTGAATGCTCCTTGGGAATCGCTGAAACCATGGTAGGCAGAATCGTTGAGAATTTTTTCCACGACTAGAGTTTTGTCTACAAGGTTAAGAGAGAGTTGTAGACCATTGGATTGACTGGCTACGTTTTTATCTGAGAACTCATTAAAGCGATTGTTAAGGTAGTGGAGGACGACACTTGTGTTGGTGTAATTGCTGATGCTCGCATGGTGTTGCCATTTCTAATATGTGATTAGTTGATGACATGTGATGGCTTGGGGAAATAAATTACGAAGTTTGCTTCCTTAGGAACCACGAAATCACTTTGTCCCTCGGTGTTGTTGCCCTCAATTTGCCATTGAATCTCACCGGCACCATTGAGATACCAAGTAGTCCAGCAGTGACGACTGTTGACAAGATACCCATCTCCAACGGATGATACCCCATTGATGTGAAACCAATCGAAAGGATCACTCGAATTTAAACCAGTTCCAGAGTTAACGCCTGGTATACGTTTGGAGTATGTGATAGGAATACCAGAGGCAACAGAACCCCAGCTGAAAATTATATCACCGGTTGCAATATCAATCTCGTAGAACTGAGAATCGTACACATAGCCAACGCTTGGACCGCCAATTGGGCTAAGGTCCATAGTGGTAATGTTGCCAGCGCTGACAATTAGGGTATTCGAAGGTGTAATAAACAATTCGTGGGAATCGCCAAAACATGCGAGATCCGTCAAATCAGCACTCGGTAAGGTGATAAGATTTAGTTGTGGACAGATCGTTGTGATTGGCGTATAGGTATCATCCAGTATAGTGATATTTCCATATGCAACACCGCGACTTTTCCGAATGCCTTGCCAGTATGTCAACACAGGTTTGCCCATGTACTCTTGAACCATGAGGTTCGTACTAAACAAGGAAGGATTTGTGGAATCTTCAGCAAAAGCATATGGACCTTGCCACACAAGTTGCCCATCCTCAGTGAAAATTCCACATGCACTAGCTTGAACAGATCCAACGGCGGAGACTGCGGCATTGAGATCCGACTTATTCAAGTGGTTCAGAAGTGGAGTCATGAGTATCAAGCCTGATTGAGTTTCTCCCGTCTTCGTAACATCGAAAGTGGGAGGTCGAAAATCGACCGTAACGTAACTCTGGGTGGGCCACAAATTGAGTGTAGTGGACAATGACATCTTGAAATAACGCGAACAGAGACTAGAGAGACTAGAGACATTGAGAGTGTTGTAAAGTATGAAAGAAGGTTGCAGTGGAGAGAAATTCGATCCCTTTATATCTCCATTTTATATCTACTCCACAAGATCTTCTACTCGCTGTCTGATATGGAAGTCATGAACTGCATAACATTTCCAATGAATGAATAACTTTACCAAATAGGTATCATGCCGACAAGTGAGATGAAACCTCACGATATGAATAGCATAAGGGCTCTAGATTTAAGGAATCTGTTATCAATGTCCAATCCAGACAACTGTGCCTTCTGCGATCTTCAACATTATGATCGATGGCCAGGCGCAATGCCTGCTCCTGTCATTCTTGACTAGAAACCATGGATGATCTGGTGTGTTTTAGGTGATAGGATCATCCTTTACAGTATGCACCATCTCCTAGTTAATCGATGACAGGTAGTGAATTTGTCTAAAACACTATGTTTTGCACCAAGGACTATAAATAGCGGTGAAAGGGCACAAGCATTTCGAAAATTTGACTGATTTTTAAATCAAGTAAAGTGCCCACAGCTCAAGCAAGCTGATTGTACATTATAGTGATTTTGATTGGCTGAAGCTCTGTCTGCATAATCAAAGGTTTTATGATCGAAAATTGTATGATTGAAGAGGTGTTGGGTTAGGAGGGAGGGGGGATGTGTGGAGTGTGCTCTCTTGTTCTTGAGTGGGCCTCTCTGCTATTGAATTTCAGGCTCTGTGTGCATTGCACACCTTCTATTAAAGAAGCAAGTGCTGGGTAAGGGTGGAGAAGGTCTCCGTCCATTACCTCAAGATATCTCACATGGCTCACACTCAATCAACAGTAATCTCGGAAGTATTATGGGATTTCAATTTAGGTAGCTAGCTCTGGTAGCTATGAGCAAAAGTTCTTATGCACGGACTGCTTATGGAGCATGCACGTGACCTGACTCTGACATCAAGTTATCGATTGCTTGCGGTCGAAATACCTCACATTCATTTGAATAGCTCTCTTCATCGATTTTGAGTTAATGTTCTACTGCTTACGTAGGTAGATGTATATTTGAATATTGTTGGTCTCAGATTCAAGACTTTGGATTATAAAGATATTGATATTCTGTAATAATTGAAGTACAGTCTGAATCTGAGATAGTCGACAGATATATGTCCATCGAAGAGCATGTATTGTAAGTTGATCATACCATAGATCATGAGTAGTGAGAGGCGAAAGTGTTATCTGCTTAGTTGTGCCGTCGAAATCGTGCTGTTCATCGTATCACTTTCTTCTCTAGTAGTAATGTACTTCTCGCTTCCTCTTCATCTCGTTCTCTTAGTTCGAGCCAACTCCCAACCTGGGTGGTGATGAAAGGCTTTGGTGTTGAAGTGAGCCCCCGATTGGGTGCAGGTGATGAAGATACATGAGGGTCATCTTTGAACTGTATTCCAAGCAGTGAATTTGGGAATACCCTAAGATTTATCATGGCTCTCTCCAATTATACCATGGTTCGAACCTCATCGTGAAGGTTGCGCAATTCGCTGGAACCGTGGAAAAAGACCACGAATGGCAGACAATCTCCTCTGTATACAAAATCTCCACACTTGCTCGACATAGGATCTCACACGAAAGTTGTACTTCGACGTGCACAATCCCAGACGAGGGCTTGCGGAGGTGTCTTCATTCTCAGAGTTAGTTGTGAGTTCTATATCTCGTGAGAAGTGAATGGTAGAAAGAACAGGCCCCTATTGAAAGGCGAGAAGGTCACAAGGGGTTTCTCTTTCAAATCTGCACTCGCAGACACAAGGGCTTTAGATAATGTGTGCGACGTGCGCCCCCGATACCGTAGGGACTATATGTTTCCATGTGTTGTATTTATATCAGATAAAAGGCCTCTGGCGCTTGGGCAGTAAAGTCTTGTAGGGAGGGGGAAGCATGCTGTTCTCTCTCCTCCAACAAATAAAGACAGAGAGAAAGGAAGAAGTGAGTTCGAACAGGCATCCAGTACTCATCCGAAGCTCAAGGTTAGTTACGCTTTAAGTCAGCGTGAGAAAAATTTCCATAAGTAAACAAACAAGTGAATTTAATCTATTTTCCCACTTCCATTAGCGAATTTGAAATTTCTTCCTTACAGCCTCATTTTTCTTCTCCTTTCAATCACAACTTCCACTCTCCCACTCTCCAGTTTTGTCATCCTCAAGTCCTGTTCGATCTATGATCTCTAAAGACGAAGAAGCTCAACTTCTTCAGAGATCGTAGATTGAACGGGACTTGAGGGATAAACTCCATGCACCAGGTTCATTTCTTCTGTCGCTATCCTTCCAATCCTGTTTATTTACCAATGAGCCATTCGATCTATATGATATCTGAGGACAAAACGCTTTCAAGTTTTTAAATATTTCGATCATCCGGTTGACTTGGTAGGTAGCCTCCACGCGACAATCACTCATCTTCAATCGGCTGGGAATGGGGATTTCTCGCACTTTTTTCCTCTTCCCAGCTGCCGATCTTCCTTTATTTCGACGTCTTGGGATTCAGTCAGAGATGCATGCATAAAGGCGAGCGCAGCTACGTCTAGATCCATCTCTACAGATTCTGTTTACGACAAGAGTAAAGTCTTCGCCATAACGTCGTTTCCGCCACTACTACCTTCCCACTTCCAATCAACTGACAGAAATTCTACCGTCAACAACCTATAATGCGTCACATTGCGCGATTCAATATACCTCCGAGGATGAATACAGTCTGGAATGTGGATTCTAGCTGTTACTGTAAGGCTCAGCAGAATGTTCAGAAGTTACATTTGATTGGGATCATTCGACGCATTGAAGTTCGCACCGAGTATCTCAGTTTTAGAGCAGTACCCTTTACCACATTCGACGCCAGCATATCGCGATGGATATCAATTTTTTTTATAGCAGACAGCATAAAGAATACGCTAGCAGAAATATTATGTAGCTCCAACGTTGCTTTCATTATCGATGTTGCTCATGCTAACTGATTTTGTAGATGCCCTGAAAAATGAGATGATTCAGAATATGCATCAACCGCTGCAGATGACCATTTCTTCGTTCCAAGTACAAACCGGTTCCACACATCAGTTACGCTACATAGCACATTCAATTGCCGAAAATCATCTCTCAATTGTTCCCGTGCTATCAAGTCAACTATCAAAATCCTAGGAAGGCAAAGCAAGGCAAAGCATTTCAACAAAGGAGAAGGACTCGAATCGATCAAACCGCAAACAAGAGACTCACCACTATGGCTCAATCATTGATGGACCTTCTTCCACAAAGCCTTCACCTATTCGACCACGATAACTCACCAAGATCCACCAGAGCTTTCCAGCGAATGGGCCATGAATCTTTCCCTCTTCCGATTCACACGTTGACGACATGAATTTCTCCTTTGGTTCCCACCCGATAATGAACAGCCTTTAGCAGACGTGCCCTTTCGGCTTCATGCTAGCTTTCATTGCCACTACTCTTCTTGACCTCCTTTCTGCCACCCAAACTTCGTAGCTAGTCCCTGTAATTCACCAACTTTCAGAATCATATGGACGAACCTAACCTTTTTCAGAACGATCATGTTTGGGCTGGCAATGGTTCCGCTAAACTCTTGTGGCGCAGGAAAAACGTACTGACGCGTGAATTGTTAGTTAGGAATCGAAGATTTTCATCAAGAAATTAATCTCCGTTGAATCTTTTGAGTGGACGCTGATACTGGTGATCATGCACTTTGCTAATGACTATGATTGAATCGTTTTCGCTGGCTTGCTATTGTGGCAGAATTTCTTCAAGTGATTTGTCCAAAGCGTCCCAAATAATCTACCCGTGCACTTGATGTTGTATATCCCTCATGCCACCAGGCCCATATCTTACTCAATGATCCTCTAATCTTCACCCCATCAGATACATTCCTACAAAATTCAAATCCAGTTCACTCAATCATAAATTCCATCTCCTTCCAAGAACCTTGCTACTCGCCCAAAAAACTCGTACGATCCATCAGCTTTCGAAAATATGGGGAAATCATGAACTTCATCCTTTCCAACCACCGATTCTACTTTTACACCTGCCTGACGTAGATGATGGACGAATTTTCGTATACCTTTATATCATCAATACTCAGTTATCACACACAGAATCAAACATTAAAACATACACATACCTGGACAAAAAACCTCTGCATCTCCCCACACAACCATACACCTACAAAGCCCCTTAAATTTATACCCCTCTGGCAACATCCCCCTCGCCGGACTCAAAAGCGTCTCCCTCAACTCCGGTCTATTTTCACAGTACTGATATCCCGCCATTGCGAGCATTTCACTATTCATGAAATCCAACTCTACTAAAGTTCCTTCCTCTTCCTCACCCACCCCCTTCCCATCAAACCTCGACGCCAAATCCACAAATGGAGAAATCAACACCGCGTTTTCCGGCATCGGAAAACTATACCTATTAAGATACAATAAAAGCGTAACCACAATTCCCGCACCTCCCGAATCTCCCATGATCGAGATATTCTCCTGACGATATCCCATCTCGAGGAGAAAATGAAATGCCGACAATGCATCTTGTAAGGCTGCTGGAAATGCCGTTTTGGCAGTTACGCATTTACGGAAATTGACGCTGAAGATGGGGATATTGGTTTTCTGCATCACGTGCCAGGGAATAGAAGATGTAAGCGGATGGCCTTGTACCATTCCGCCGCCTACGAAATACATCATGATTTTTCTTTGTGACATTGGGGAAGAGGTGCCGCCAACAGGAGGCGAAAGATTCCGTGTCCATTGCCAGAAACATGGACAACTTTCTGGTTTGATGGTCGGATGTGATGCATCACCCTTAAGCCAGAGTTCAGCTACTGGTGGTATGACCTCCAATTGTACATTTTGATCGTCGGTGAGTTTGGGGATGGAACAGCGGGCGGGAAAGGAGAGAACATCTTTAAGGGGTTGGGTACCAGGATTTAGAGACCAGGCTATGTGGGAGCCGATGAGGAGAGAGGCACGGTATGTAAAGGACCAATGAGGACGACCATAATAAGAAAGAGAGAATAAGACAGAAAGAAAAACAAGGGGTATCTGCGGCGTAACGATCAAAAACGAATAAAAAAGCCGAGCTACGCGGTAGCAGTGTTGAGTAAGCCGAGACGTACGTTGCCAAGCGCGGATATGAGAGTTTGTGGGGTACGGGACACGCATATTAAAATAGAATTTTGAGTTACTCGATAATCGATATTTCTTCTGCAGAAAGAGGGTGAGGCAGATCCCAAATCGATAACGTGCATAGGTAAGAAATGCATCTCAGAAATGAATCGTTCGAATCACTAGTTTTTCATATGCTTGAAACACGAGGTTGGGGAATGATCGTCCCGTTTCATTGGGCTTCAGTTCATCCTATCAGATGCGAAAGACGGAACGAACTACCGTCAACTACCGGCACGCATGAAGCTAGGCAGGGACGGGTAAGGCATTTTGCCGAAAATAGTTAGGGATTCTGCGGGTGGTAAAATATTGAAAGTCACCTGGTGTTTTTGTATTTTTTGTACGCGTTGACCATTGAGATCGGTGGGTTTATCATTGACTTTTTGGATTCGAGGGGGTGGGAAAAAAGGAGATTGGGTGGTGCCATGTGATGATATGGGTTTCGCGGGATTTGAGAATATTCGACTCGATTTGAACTTTTGAAATACGTTGAGTCTTCTGCATACATGATCCATGATATTTGGGATCGAATATGGAAAACGACAACATGTGTGAATAAAACAACATCTCATATCAAATAGGGACAACAGTATCATGTGTTTAGAATATGTATTTATTGATCTATCCTACAATTTCTCTGTGATATTTTTGTTGTCAAAGCAACAGTCTATCTACTTGTCTCGACTTATCGCGTGTCGTGCTCGGTTCCCCCTCCACAAAATCTTGTCTCGGGACCTCTTCTCCATAAATGGCTGTGCGTTGGCTATTTGCCTAACCTATTCCCTTCAACCCTACTGCAACACAGCGTCTGCCTCCTCTTTGGGGCATCGACATGCATGTGTGTTCTTCATTCTGCCTTCATAAAAATGATCTCTTCTTCATCTGACAAAGTCTATCTTGCCAGTGATTCGTTCCATCAAATAACCTCATATCGTAGCGAGTATCCTCGATCATAGTGTAACTTCGTAATGTAACTTTCGTCATGTAACCTATTCCAATCTTATTCCCAATGTATCCCATTTCCCTCAAGTGCCCGCATAAGGTCTGAATCCATCGTCCTTCCCCCGACTCCAAGCTCTCAATCTGCCTTTAATCTTCGATCCTAGTGGTTGTGCATCTTTGATTGATCCCTCATCCGATTCATTCGTACTCTCAATGATACTGCATCTACTTCTTCCCAATGACTCTGAGCTTGAAAAAGGATTACTCATATCCATACTCGCTCTCACCCCGCTAAGTATCTTATTGCTTGTAGACATAGCAGAAGAGTAATCATGACTCATTCGTTTCGAAGAATTCGTAAAAAAGGATAGCGAAGAAGTAGAGTTGTGAGAAGAATGTGAGGAATTAGAATTAGAAGAGCTACTCGAAGAAGTTCGCGATTTGGATTTGCGGGGTGATTTGTGAGACGACTCGTAGGAATCCATTTCAAGGAGGATGAGTTGTAGTTGTGAGTCTGTTTGGGCGAGATTAGGGGCCGTGGAGGTGAGAGGAGGTCCTTCGATGAATTTGGAGGGACGGAGTGTGGCTTTCGTGTTGGGTGAGGTAGACATTTTCTAATGATTGTTGGTTGTAATGCCTTAGTTGTGTTCGGATGTTGGGTTTCAATGTAGATATCTAGGTGATGTTTATAGATAACCTATAATTCGTTCTGTATATATAGAAGTATATCAAGCGTTGTAAAGTAATCTCAATACGTAGTAGATTGACCCATACACAACCTTGAAAAAAAGATATAAAGATTCAAGATAGTATATGAGCAAAACAGCGAATATCCAACAAAATATAGAAAAGCATTCAAAGAGATCATCCACACCCCGAGGGAAGACCTACACTTTTAATAACTGGAACATACATACTGACTCAAATCCATCCGTTCCATGTGCGTCGTAACTCCGGCTTCCTTGAGTAAAGTCAAAAAGGAAAAAAGAAATCTTGCGCCCACCAAGCCGCGTTTGAACAAGGGTTTCTCTTCACATAATTCTGTCATAGTGGAGCTCCCAAAAGCCTAAATTGTCACCCCTCACAGACCCTGCATATAGGTATCACTACCTAAAGTACTAAAACTCCTAAAAAGTAATTTGTAACCTCACTGGTCACTGGTGCAAGCATTTTTTGCCCCATGCCACCTCATCTGATACGAATACTTGTGTGTATTTTGGTGGATGATCTGCCAAGTATTTCAAGACAGTTTATGTATATGGATGGAGTTTTTGACGTTTTTAATAAATCAGAGGAAGACTATTGGATAGAGAGGATGATGATTATTTGTTCATAAACTGGAATTCTGGTTTTCTAGGATTGATCAATAATTTGTAAGTGTCGTTGAAGGATCTCGTGGAGATAAGGCTGGTAAGGTAAGATAGATTGGCGAAAAATGAAGGGGCATCTCCATTCAATCAGTCCATTTCCGATGCTTTTCATTTCCACAATTTCTTGCTTGTAATTTTTCCTACATCACATCACATCACACTACATAAATCCCCTCTCAATTTCTTTAAATTTTCTTTGACTATTATAGCATCCTGCGTATACACTCATAAAACGGAAGTCATGCGCATAACGCATTTTATTTAATATCTAGGTATTTAAGAACTTTGATTCCGGGGCCCGTCCTACCTTTAAGCCCACCTGAGCAAGTACGAGAAGTATCTAAAAACAAACCCTATATCTCGTACTAACCGATAAAATCCCGCTGTGCCCGTGTCTCTCACGTTACGACTTACGAATACATAGAACTGCGGAATTCACGGCGGTGGCTTGTGTACGATGTACTTGTAATACTCAAGTTAAGGATTTACTTAATGCGTACGATGTACAAACAGGTAAAGGCTCTCGCATACGTATGTTCGCAATCAATAACAAATCCTTTATTAGTCTAAAATGGAATTGGATTTTGGCTGTATTAAATCTGGACCGACGTCATAAACCGTTGGATTTCTTATTCTTTCGCGGAAAATGAATCCAGGATAGGGCGGTATCCGAGGGTGATGATCTGGACTTAAGGGTTTGTGGTCAGGAAGGATTACAAGCTCACTGCTTGTTATCTGAGCGAGGTGTTCATGGCGGTCAATTGTTTGCATTCAGGATTATGGTGGTAGGATCTGGGGAAAAGAGTCAAAAGAAAAGTGTGACGATGCTCGATTCGATGTGTTTATTGCTTATGATTTTTACCTTGTGTATAATTTGGAATGATTTAGTTAATGCTCCCAGTTTGACAGCTGGTCATTCTGTGGAGTTTTTAGGTTCCTGCCTCTCTTCTTTCTATAAACAGACTCATTGTCTGACGACACTGCTACCAAAATATATTCCATATACCTTCGTAGGATTAATGTCTAATCGTTATATCCTAAATCCTTTCTTCCCTATCCCTTCCAAAACGGCAAGGAGCATCCGGCCTAGAATCTCCGCAGAAGCATCCGATTATGTATTTTATGATTTCAAACATAATAAGCTCGGAGTCACGGAGTGCTCGGCCAGCCTTGGGATGATCTCAAGGTCCAGGCCAGGTCTGCAAAAAGAATCAAGAGAATCGCCATACCCTTTTGACGCTCCCATCTTCGATCCTTTTAAATACAATATATCAACAATCATCGAATAATTTTTCATCAAAAATCTCCCCATTGATCTTGTAATTCTTTCAATTATTTACTAAACAATTGTAGTAGCAAACAATTGAACGTGCTCGGGGATATAACTTTCCGAAGTTGTGAGAGCGTAAACATATTCCCATAGGCAACGGAATAACAGGCTACGTTCTAAGGCCAACAACGGTTTCGGACATCCGTACTCGTACCTGCCTACAATAATTGTTATTAGGTCCTGTGTCATTTTTGTAATTGTAACATCAAATTTGGCTACCTGGATACTTACTTCTATTTGGAATGTAGCACCAATAATGGTCCGGCAATGGTTTGAGTCTAATATTCCTCCTCACGTGGTCTGGTAATGGGTGATTTGAATTGAGTTGCCCTCTCGAGGAATGATCATAATTAGGTACTTAATGAGGAAATTATACTTTCTCGTAAAATTTGTTGTGTACGAACCGTTTTGTTGATCGATTAGAGTCAATTGACAATGACCATGGGTGAAAACGTTCAAATAATACTTTACGATTTTTTGGTGGAAAAGATACTGACTGTTGTCTAGGGAAGAGAGAGGGGCAGGAAAGCTAGTGTTTAAAACTGAAGATATACATGAATACCTACCTAGGTATAATTACAAAACACACTGAAGAGAAGTTTATTAACTACCTACCGGTACCTACATAGATCAGCCGGACTCTTGGAGTGCTGATTTCGGGTTTGCTGTAAGGCGATTAGACGATAATAGATGGAATTGAGTTTCTACAATATGTTTCATCTTGACCATAATATCCTAATCACACAACAATGCATATCGAATATATCAGCAGCCAGTATCAGCATGCATGCCATGCATGTATCAGCCTCAGGATTAACTAATGCTAAACCCACATCTAACGCCACCACGCCTCAGCCAACCAATCATTCTACAACCCAACCACACAAAGTTTCACATCCCCAGACTTTCCAAACTGTGTAGATCTCAATCTCAAACAAGTAGCCAAATTCCAGACCAGTATTCAACATAACACGAACAACCAAGCGGCTTTAGCTCACTTGGGAGAGCGCCAGACTGAAGTCAACTTCATGAACCTAATAGATTCTATCATCTGTTTATCTGGAGGCACTGTGTTCGATCCACAGAAGCCGCATTCTGCGATCTCAAGTCCACTCGAGATAATTCCCTTTTGCTTTTGCTTGCGTTTTTAACTCACCAATCGCTTTTCACATCACTTTTGTGTAATTTTTCGAAATGGAAAAATATGAGAAAATTGTAGTGGGGTTAACAGGCACAAGCGAAGTATAGCTAGCGGATACAGTGGAGTGATAATATAATTTCACCCCGCTTTCACTTGAATTTGTGTGATTTACGAAGTAGAGAAGAATTTCTGGTGGGGTTAATGAATTGAGTTTATGATCTAGAGAAGATTATGCTTTTTAATTTGTTCATGCTGTGTAGATATCCAGAAATTTACGGGACTTTTACATATCGCATTAAATTATTGGTCAACAAGAAAGACCCCTCCATGACTCAGTCTTTTGCAGACCCAAAGAAAAATTTGAATCGCTCGAGACTGATATCAAAATCTACCACTCCCCCGTAGAACTAACCTATTCTTTCCATTCGTTCCAGTTTGATTTGGGTTGGGTGGGGAAAGAACCCAATAGTCGTCGACATCATCTATCAACATTCCCTTGTGAAATCGAACAAAAATGCAAAAGAAATGACTTCTAGCATCGGATTCAAACCGATGGAACTCAGGGTTACTCCCTACGTAGGGCTCGAACCTACAGCCTCAAGATGCCATCTCATAGGTTTGAGGCCTATTAGAAGTCTTGCGCGCTACCATTGCGCCAGCAGGGAAATCATATGATTTTGTATGATTAGATCGTCAGTTTTGGGTATATGTTATAACTAACAAGTAGTGCCTCTTCTTGTTCAGCACAGCATCATCGATATCTTCATCCATATCGGCTTTCGATAGATACAATTGTCAATTTCTTCAGACATTTAGTATAATTAATTCGGGTATTTAAACTGGCTAATTTGCTTTCATCGGAACAGATCGTTTCTCGACGAATTTCTCTCAAATCTATCTCAAATTTAAAGCAATCGTTGTGGGAATATCAATGTGATATAAAATTCTACTGCTCTCTTTAATATAGTTCTTGAAATGTACCGTCAAGAGAGGGGTATCATATCAGCGAGCTCAGGTATACTGTCTGAGCACCTTTGATACTACTGGCTGCAAGTGATGATGTATCTATCTATTTGTTCATCCATCCATCCATCCATTCATCTATCGCAATGCGAGAGTAGATATTAAGATGGAAAAATTTGCAGTCTTTAAATCAAGCTTGATTCCTTTGTCATTTACATGAGAATATAAAAAGAGAGACATAGCATCTTGGTATTGCGGGGTGGTGGGTGAATTTGAGGGTGCTAGATATTGATCCATATGATGGCGGCGAGAATGTAATGACAGTAACATCCTGTTTCTGTTGCGGAACGATTCTTAATCTCGAGTCAATGTTACCTAAACTTTTGAGAAACTCTTGTGGAGTCGACAGCATCGCCACATACGAGCATCTCCTATCAATACAGTACTGGTTGTATGGTGCTCAATATAAGTTAAGTCGTCTTACCCCTTGCAACCTTTAACCTACATACTATGGAATTCAAAGACTATTATCATCAAGTTTAACATCGTTGTCTCACTCCTCGAGAAATTTCTCGCTATCTATGAAAATCCCACTCACTTGTGATATTCCTTTATCTTTGATGAGATCAGATGCTGTTGATATGCTATTCCTTCTATCAATTCAGGGGATATATGTCAACAACTCACTACCAAGTTATTTTTTCAAATTGTCGCTCTTAGAAAAAGCTTTACGCGTGCAATCAGGGCGAGAGCCCTATAACCAGACTGCAATTAGACAATGAAAGATATTTCATTCCCTGAATTTCCCAATCTCAATTTTGACATCAAAACCTTCCACAACATTGAGTTCGATTTGCAGTTTGAAGTTGTTTAGATATTAGATGTTACATTTCAGAAGCTATCCGGGACGGTTGAATACCTTAAAGAAGGGTAGAACGTCACTATGAAGATTTCTTAGAAATCGTGTGATAGAGCTCCTTCACTCTTTCATTGAGAGATCCGAAATACACATGTATTCGTTTTCGAAAAAATGAGTCATTCCCGTAGAGATGAAAAGAGATCCAGCTAATGGCCCTTTGAAAGTAGTCCTTGGAGGCAACCGAAAAAGCTTCGGGGAATGTGTATGATCAATAAAAGTGTAGAAGCTCTTCAATGGTTTTGATCTTAAATTTGGGAGTGGTAGGAAGTGGTGGTATTCTGAATACTCAGAAGTATCTTTCAAGAGGACAGGTCTTGTATATTGAGCAGGCCACTCCCATGGTTGATAAACAGGTTCTCGTCGGTCAAGCAATCAGGAAATAAGGTACTGGTTCGCAACTGATCATGATTTATCGTTGCCGCTCAGTAAATACAACAAGCTCGAATGAGCAAAACCAATCCGAAAAAGTTACCACTTGTAAATCCCATCTACCCTCACCCACTCAACTACCTAAAAGCACCTCAACCCGCCATATAAGCCGCTGTATCTCCTATCAATGCATCTCTCTTCCTCTGCACCGATCTAATCAATTTCGCCGCCGGATTTGGACAATTCCCAAGCACACAAACATTATTTCCACAACATGTATCCCAAGCACACACATAAGCATTTGGACAATCTCCATCATCATAGCAATCTTTAGCTTCAGCACATCCGACATTCTCACCGCAGAAGCCAAGACCTGTAATAGTGTTGAAACAGAAACAAGTAGAATCGACAGCGCACGGTTTGATGCCTTCTTCGCATTTGGTGGGAGTACAGGGAATGGTGTTGCAGGTACCGTGCTCACAATAGCCGGTGTCACAGACGTAGCCGCAGGAGCCGCAGTTGAGGGCATCTTTCATGAGGGCTTTGCCTGTGGGGCAGACTGGGGGAAGTCCGGTGGTAACGGTGGAAGTAGTGAAGGTTGTGTATGTCTGGGGGTTTGTTAGTAGATTATTTTGAATGATTTGGAGAATACACATACAGGTACAGTATCGGTAATAGTATCAGGCAAAATTCCCCAACATGAACACGCACTCGAGTAACGAGCTTCGTTTGAGCAAGCACTAGCATATGATGGAAGTGAGAATGTAGCTGTTGCTACCGCTCTTCTTCCAACGGTGGATACTTCGGTAATTGTTGTCAAGATGGTAGATGTAACAGTGACATTAATAACATCGACTGTGCAGAAGTTTTCCATGTAGTCGATGCAATCATCATATGCTATAGCTTGTTGAAAAGGTCCACGAAAGTCTCCACTAACTGCACGATAACAATTATCTGCATTGCAACCTGAAGTTTCTGGGGTGGTGATGGTGTTAACATCTGCGATGCAGATTCCTGCAATAAGAAGTAGTATGAGAAAACTGAGCATCGTGAAGTCTAGTGATGGATTCTAGATCTTAAACACATCTAAAAAGAAGGAACTGCAAAATTCTCATGAAGGTGTTGAACCTTTATAATGAAAATTCTGAGCCGCATCAAAATTTTAGACCCTGACTGTACAGCTGTATCCCATACCGACGCCTCTCCCATATCTATCACAAATTTCAGCATGGCAATCCTTCCTTCGGGTGCCTGACCATGCGATTACTACCTTGAAAAGCATGGTATATGGTGTACGAACTGAGGGGATATTCAGGAACGACAATAAGGAAAGACCGAGTTTAATGTCTTGGTCCTTGTTCATGTTGTGAAAAATGCAGTGTTCAAATATTTGCTCAGCTTTTGAATATCTTTGATGTTTACAAAGAATAGCACTAACCACTCATATGATCGGAGATTTGCACGAATACGTTATCGACCCTATTGAATTCTTGTGTAGAAATTGATCATGATCTAATTCTCATCATATCATATCGTATCTTGAAGTAATTCTCGTTGTTTGCTTCATTGATATGAAGGGGTGGGGTAAGCTACACAAAACCCGTTGAAATACGACCGTTTTTTTTCTAAACAGCACTCACTAGTTTAGAGTAGAGCACAGTGCTCATATCTCAAGCAACATGTTGAAGGCAAATCAATCCCAGTGAGCAGCTGGACATGAAAACTCCAGAAGAAAATACTTGAACGACTCAACTGAGGTAACAAACGAGAACATGTAATGCAAGATCCCGCAGAAGCCTGCCTCGGCCGTTTGCAGGAAAACATGCAAATTTCATGGAATCCACCAAGCAGATATTCCGACAAGTGAAGTCTGCAGTGTTGGTATCCTTCTCGAGTTTGCCCTAGCCTCAAGCAGTCACCGAGGAGATAATGTTTGTGTAGCTAGGTAGGGATCGTAACATCGTCAGATGTAGATCAGACCTTTTCAACCAGAGATTTGCCAGTCGCGGAGTACAACATGTATTACATAATCGTGAATATCTTTCAACGTCATTCAAAGATTTGATATGGTGCGATGTGAACACAATTTTATTCTCTGCCAAAGAAATATACCACCAGTTCTTCAAATGACAATCGTCACCACCAACCTAAGAGGACTGAATAGGATGTGATACCGCAGAACACATAAGCATCTCACAATATCACGATACAGTTATCTCTTAGGACACGAGAAAGAATATGTTATGAAATTATATCATTGTTGCTAACTCAATACTTTGTAGTCATCATAATTCATCATCAACTTGGGACTGATAGAATATCCGAAATTATCTCGCCGTGCACAGCCGACGTTCCCATCACTCAAAGTGCAGACATTACTGAGTTTTTGAGACAATCTAAGAAGCCTGTCCCCCCTTCTTGCCAGCCTCGACTGGATCAACCTTTCCGTGTGCAAATTCTGGTATGGATCGTTAGCATCGAATTTTCGTGAATGAGGAAAAGCATATTGGAATGAACACATACCGCCTTTGCCACTACCACTGCTGCCAGTGGTGGAGGGGCTCTCGGTGCTTTCGTCGCTGGTGGATCCACCCTTGGCTCCAGCTTCCTGTAATTAGGGGAGACTGATTAGCATGTTGAAACACATAAAGAACAGAGATTGCTGAATAGGCAATAGGGTGATTCTTACAACTGGGTCGACCTGGCCGTGAGCAAACTCGCCAGTTCCAACTCTCTTGTCTGGAGTACCGTCCTCCTTAAGACCTCCGTGCTCTAAAAAAGGTATTAGCAATGTTCATGCCATACAGAGGGGGGGAGGGGGGGTATAACTTACCAGTTGGCTTGTATGTTCCACTCATTTTGAGGTTGGTTGGTGGTGTTTTGGTATGTTGTTGAGTTGTTTAAAGGATTGGAATGGCTGGAAAGCGTGAATTGTTGGGTTATGATTAAAAAGGTTTGACAGGAAATATCCAAGTATATATAGCCATTTCAACCTCCTGCTTGCTTGATTCTTTCGCCCCGGAGCATAACTCCGCTCAGTATCGATAGGAGGGGTAAGTGAATGATGCTAAACTTGATCGGAATAGGCAACAATTGAAGCAGTAACTTGTTTTCGATGAAGCAGGTTCAATGGCATTGCGCCTTTGCTGTAACATTTAACGCAGAGATCCTGATATCATTTTACCATGATGTCAATGGATCGTTATAAACCCTGTACCTAAAGCTTTTCCGAGTGATGATTGGAGAGGATCTAACTGCCCCCCTGGCTGCCAATACCGGATTCTCAAAAAGCCATCAAAAAGCAAATGGTGAAGTTATCCTGGGGAAAACGAGAATGATGAATAGATTGATACTTAGATATTCTGACGTAGCAACCTGGCAAAGCTAGGCAAGATCAACAAAACAAAAACAAGATCACGAATGTAAACGGCACGGCACGAACACGAACACGATGGTGACGTGCATGATAATATGGAGACTCCACGTTATCATGTGATCATCGCGATTTGATTGTTCTTGCCAAGAAAACACTTTAACAGACACCAGAAAAAAACGAAATTAACCAATATTGATTGGCTCATTGAAACTTCTTAGTTTTGTATGTATATGGATCTCATGAGTAAGGTACGAGCTATGTTGTTTTATGGAACGCATGGAACGTATGGCAATGGGCCAGACCGTCTGAGAAGAGACGGAGTAAACCATCCTACCGGCTATACTTTACTTGTTGATCATCACTGCCCTCATTTGGCTCTGACTACGAGGAAATAAGGAGGGACACTGCATGATAAGTCTCAAAGCTCATGATGTCAATCCACAAGCACATATCATAGAACCAACACCCTCACATCGATCTGCTAGTTCTCATTCTCCATCTTGGTTTGCGTTGTGTACATTGGTCTAGAGCCTTTCTTCACTGACTTCTCTTTCTCTCTTTCTTTCTTTCTTTCTTTCTCTCTCTCTTTCCTTCTTCCTTCGATTCTCTTCTTTTAACAGGAAGAGGTGAGGAGAAATGGTCCGGTTTCCCCTAGATCATATGATATAGTTATACATTAACAACATCAAAATATACAACTCTGTATAAATCTGGCATAGAGGTAAAATACCTCACGATATACAAAAATCTACCAAAACATCAACACAAAGATTTCTCACAAGCTGTAGAATGTGAATTCTCAAGTGAGACTAATACCAAAGCATCAGCACAATATTTCTCGCAGGCTCTAAAAAATGAACTCTCAAGTGAGATTGTAGTAAATTTGTGTCGATGTGGTCCGCAGATTTCTTTTCCGTCCTGCCACTGAAGTCTTTCACCACTTAAAACAGTTCGTGATGTGATTGTTGAAGAAGGACAATGAATGGATGAAACAAATGGGATGAATTAAATAAGATGAAACGAACACTGGCAGCTATTAAATGGAAGACTTGAATCTTCTAGTAGAGTCATGTATTATGAATACTCTCAATACCTCATCTGCTATATGTCCTTCAAAATTCACTGTCTTGTATAGCAGGAAGCTGTATACCTTCCTTCACCTTGAAGTCACATGAGAAGTATGAATTCAATACAAGGTATTGTTGTGGCCGAGCAATAACATCTTATATCTTCATTCACTCATTTTAAAAATCATACTGTACCTTGTAAAATGAAGATAAATTTTGCTTCGACTTCAACGCGTGTCAGTCAATAAAGGTCTTTAGTTTAATTTGTTAAGTGATCTTGTTGTCTACTGTACCAAAGAAAACCCAACACAGAACCTGAATACCTCTCAGGCGAATCCATCCATACAATCAAAATTTATGAATACCCCAAGTAACCGACAAACTACATCACCACATCAACAAATTCACTCCGTACCAATTTCCAATTCCCACACCCTCCCAACATAAAAGGCCTCAAAAATCATGAAACCTCACTCATGGCTCGACATCTTCCGCAGTAAAAAATTACTCTCAAGAACTACTTCCACACCCACAATGTCTTTCCCATCGGCATCCGTACCCGCATCTTCACCTTCCAAGAATACCAACAAAAAACCATCGAAAAATAATAAAAACTCGCGCGCGGATAATCTCACAGGTAGTTACAATAGCCAGTACGCACTCCCCGGCAAAGAAACCTCTGGACTCAATTTTGAGATTTTCGAAGATCCGCGATGTGCGATCTGTGATGGGGATCTTCCTCCTACTGAAGGTCGTAAGTTTTTCCCTTTCCCTTCCCCCTCATATTCCCCTAACTTTCCCCTCTCATCCTCTACTTCTCCATCATACTAATCCCCCACCCAGCACAATCCCACACCCTCCCCCAACTCTGCGCGCCCTGCCACCTACAACTCACACATCTCAAAAACGAACGCGAGAAACTCCTCCGTCAGCAGCGTCAAAAACAACTCGACCAGATGCACGAGGCGCTCGAAGCGGTTTCCGCACAGGCGGAGTTGAGACGGGTGTTGACGGATGGGAATGAGAGATTGAGGGGGGAGATTGTGGAGATTGAGAGGGAGATTGGGGGATTGGAGGGAGGAGTAAGGGGGAGAGGGAGGGGTAAGGGGAGAGAGCGAGGAGAGAGGTAGAGAGGGTTAGGTTAGGATGGTGGAGGGAGATGTAACCAGGTCATGATGGAGCTGTGGGGTTTACGAGAATGTTGATGATGATGATGATGATGATGTGGATGTGTCATACATACACAACCACAGTTTCCAGATCTTTGCACGGCAGGATGGTACACGAAGAATGCGCCGCGGTCATATACCACAGCAGTACTGAGCGGAAAGATGATTTTGTGGCTTTATGATACCCAGGCTGGCGTTTGTATTTATTGTGTCCCATCATTTCGTGCAACCAACAGTAGCTCACTCACATACATTCACACCACACAAATCCGTGCTTCTATATCTATTTGATGATATGTTATTGAATTCCTCGTATACTATTGAATGTCTAACGCTTGCGTGTAAGGGTATTGTTCAGTATCAATTCCCTTCAGTAAGAAATCTTTCAACCAACCATCCATCAACCTTTCGAATCTTTCTTTCATATGTACAAGTATTCTTCAGTGTCTACCCCCGGAACGACCCCCCAGTATCCATGATCCAAAAACAAAAGAAACGGCCCGAAAGGAAACACAAAGTTAAGAAACCAGGGTATCATTCCCAAACTCGCTCTGCTCCGTTGTAAATGCAATATCCACCCCTCGAATTCACCGAAAGTCGTTTCCGAAGCTGGAAACATCCCTTCGACGCAACCATTTCTTCCCATCTAATCCACGTCATCATTCACTGGCATTGGCGATCTAACTGTTAATTCGGCCGATTCATCACTCCCGGTATCCTTATCCTTCGTTGGCGAAGATATTGAAATTTCCGGACTCGACCCTAACGCCGCAGCTCTCTCAGCTCTCTCAGCTTTACGTGCTGCATTTCTAGCCTCTCGTTGTTTGACCAAATCCTTTTCCGCCTCAATAGCCCTTGCTCTTCTAATTTCAATCTCATCTCTCTTAACTACTTTGCGTAAACCTTCCGAAGCATGGATTAATCCATCGATACTGATCGCATGATTCGTCATTTGATGATTAATGTACGTGTAAACATTTGCTGGCGACGAGCATTGAAGTAATTGTTGTTCATTGAGTTTCAACAGCGCGAGTGCTACCTGGAAGAGAAATGTGCTACCATCATTCATACATAGCACGACGTCCCATACTCTGAATAAGGCTTCGGCCGATAGACAATCAGTGAAGACACTGAGGAACCATTGAAAAGTGAGGGCTTCGAGCTCGATACAGAGGTCATCTAGATGTTGAGATAATCTTGGAAGGATCTCGGAGACGTATTGTCGCAAGACTTGTTGATCTGCTCTAGAAGCTAGAAGACTGTGATCGTAGTATCCAGGTGGCAAGGTATGCTCAATGATACTAGTCAAGACCCAGAAAGCATCCTCTGCAGTTGGCATGATAAGCAATAAACATGCAGTAATTAAATTCATCCCTTGACAATACCCAACTTCATGATTTCTTCTCGAGTAGGCTAGAAGTACCTCGTTGAGCTTAGCGACTCCGGGACCTTTTCGAAAGTAAATATTATCCGTCAACGTACGATTGATATCCATTTGAATTTGAGCAACAACTACCGGATCATCATCTTCCTCACTACGAGCTATCAAATCATCGTAGTAGCCTGGGATGCGCATTGCAGAAGCTCCAGAGCACTCGGCCCAAATTTTGGCTCTGTATGCTACTGGAATACCACCAAGGACTAGATTTTTAAACTCATTCCACTTAGCACGGCCAACCTTTCCTTTATTGCCCAAACCAGAAACACCAATCATTTCTCCATCTGCTAAGCTTGCTTCAGGCATGACTGGTATAGGTCGATGGGACCGTGAATCTGTATTTAAGGCAAGAGCGGCAGCAGCAGCCTCTCCTTCACGTTTACGTTCGGCTCTGACTTTGCGAAGGAAATCGTTCCATCGTACTGTTTTGTCTCTTTGAAGGGAATCATGAACTTCGCCCAGTTGTTGTAGCAATAGCTTCACAGGCTCAGTATCTTCTGGTGTAGGATCTGGTGTAGAATTCGTTGAGGGTGTAGGCTTGGAAATTGTGGCGGCATCTGATGCGATAGACAATGCAGGGGCTGATGTAGTCGCCAGAGGAACAAATCCTCTTTCTTCGGTTAATATTCCAGGAGATCTTGGCACCTCGCCTCCTTCCATGACTTCAAAGGCAGGCATGCTACCCGATGGTGTATGAGCTAACAGTTCTGTGGGAAATGTTGCTATTTTGAGATAGTCTTGCCAACGTTTGACTGGCTTATCTTCATCATCAACCTTGTCGTCAGTCGCTGTGGACCCGGGCGAACCAGGCCGAGGATCATCGACATCATCGCCTTCAGTCACTGCCGCAGAGATAGTGCTACTCCTCCCACCACTAAGCATCTCTACGCGACTACCTCTCTTTCCTTTTCGCATCCTTTCAGCGGCTTCTCTTTGCCTTTTCTTGCGTCGCTGATCATATATAAATCCAAATCGGTCAGTCAGAAAATCTGGATTATTATAGTTTCTATATTGCATCAAGGTTGGTGGCTGGTCTTCTGGTGCTAAAATTGTATCCATCTCGACAGGTCCAAAATTCTCCCTAACCGTGGTACTAGAGCCCTGTGGACTAGATCCCATGGTATCCCACCTCTCCTGTGCAGCAACAGTCGTATTTTGTGTCAATGGGGTAGGATTGCGAATGGTTCTAGGGTTCATCTTTGGTACCGCCCGAGCAGACGTTGTGGATTTGGTACTAGTTCTAGACGGAGTACGACCTGATGGTTCGGTTTCGGTACTGTTAGATCTGCCACGATCTGCTTTACCATCCGGATCACGAACAGTCGCTGTACCAGCAACAAGCTTTAGTGCCAAAGTTGCTAGACTAGATTGTTTCCTTTGCCTATTGCCAGCAATTGATCCACTGCTAGGAGGTCGGCTCAAATTTTCCAAGGAGGACACTGCATCTGGTGGGTGGAAAATATCATTTTGCAGAATTGTGCGTCGACCTGGACCCCCACTACGCGCATGAGCGGTTCCGCCGTTGACGATCACATCCCCATTTATGCTGCTTGCCCGGCTGTTTGTACGACTTGTCTTACTTGTCCCACCCCAAATGTAATCCTTCCATCCTCTTGACGTTCCGGTATTTGATTTGCCTGGCGAGGGCTCTTTGGCACGTATTGTGGCATCATTTTCCAAACTATCCAATTCACCTGCGACCACTGTTTCACTCATAGCATCATTCATTAGATCCTCTAACGCAGATTCGCTTGGTGGAGCTGGGGCACCCGAGAGTTTTCGTTCGCCTTCGATGGCTCGCAGACGAGTTTCTAAATCCAGGTTCGATAAACCGCATTCCAAAATAATCTTTCTCAATGATCTCTCTCTTTCTTCTGCTTTGCGTCTGAGAGCAGCTATTTGCGCATCTCGTCGAGCCAAATCCTCTGCAATTTGTCTGACCAACTTGATAGCTCCGTTCCTTGCTATCAATCTCTCAATATGTTCATCGTTTGCATGATGCACTGACCCAGGTACTTGAGAGGAGCCTAATGGTGCATCGTCGAACAAGGCAGAACGACTGTGCAAAGAAGGGGAGGATGTAGTTAAGCTATCGACGATTGAAGCTGCTGCAGAAGCTTTTCGATTCGCGATTCCATCGTTTGTAGGTAGTATGAAGTGGGATCGTTCTTGTGTTGGCGAATCACCCGAGAATGAGGGGAATGAAGTTAATGATTTATCCGATATCGATGATGCGGAACTCGATATTTGCGAAGCCAACCTTCGTGACTTTCCGCGTACTGTCTGCGACCGTTGACTCCTCATTGAGGCGGCTGAAGCTGCCCTGGAAAGATGCCCCGTGATATCATTTTCCATCGCTACTGTATCGTGGTTGATATCAACAAATGAATCCTCCCATTTGTTCCAGTTATATTCACTTTCCTCTTGAAATCTCAAAATAGAATTCGTAAAAGATTGAGAAGGAGAAGTAACATAAGAAGATTCTGTAAAGGCTGGAGTTTGTAATAAGAAAAATTGACCGTGTAATGTATGGGAATTAGTAGATAGTGTTGATTTACATTCGTAGTCGCTCCATGCCTTTTTTGTTAATAAAGGTCGAGACATCATCATCACTGATAACTCGCGTATTTTGTGTAACACCGAGCACTATCAAAAAAAAAAGATCGAGAATATGTAAAACAAGCAAAGGTTACATACATATACAACCCAAACTAAGAGAGAAAAAAAAGCAAAAAAAACTCACATATAGATTCGATGAGGTCTCATCCATTGTTATACAACCAACGAAGATATAAAGTGTAGTATAGGAGAGGAACAACGATTCATGTTCTCTTAATATCGGGAAGACGTAATTCTGCATTCTATGAGCCAATTTCTGTCTGAGAAATGGCGCATACGAATTTCTGTTGGGTTTATGCTTCTTCTCTGCTAATAAATACCACCATGTGTTACAGAGTATCACTCAATCCCACTCTTTCCTTTGGTGATCGCATATGCAGACGCTCACATTGTGTATATGGGTACCTAGGTCGTAGGTAGGTACCTAGTTGTAAGAAGCGCTCGATGAAAAGATCAGAGCTCAAAGTAAATCAAACGAGATCAAACGAAAATACCCTCAAAAGCGCAGTACTCACATTACACACGGTACTTACACACTTATTACATAGGGCGGCGAGGGCCGAGGCAATGGGAGATCTTACCTTACCCCAGACTTTGTTCGGGAATACTTGCAGATTCCCCCGCCTTGTTATTTTACTCCCTACTCGAATGATCGAAAACAATGTCTCTCTTCTTACCTAGGTAGTTGAAGTTGTGAATCCTCTCTTTCTCTTTCTCTTTGAACATTTGATTTCCCTTGTTTTTGTTATTGAATTTTAAGCAGGATTGGAATTTGGGTTGTATTTTGTCAAACATCATCATTTAGTACCCAATATGTCGGCATCCGCAAAGAGAAGACTCGCAGCACTTTCTGAGCAGCTTGTGAAACCCATTGAAGATCAGGGTAACTTTGAAAATATCCCAATTCTCAAGAAAATTGCACCAGATTCAACGGGCCCCAGAGTTAAGGGAAAGGTAGTCATTGTGACAGGTGATTATTTCCTTTCCAGACCGTATTCTGTAGTATTGACATATCTTTCAGGAACCAATAGTCCTTTGGGAATTGGACGAGCATCAGCACATCAGTTTGCGCAGAATGGCGCAAGAGCTGTATACATATGCGATTACAATGATACGAATCTCGAAACCCATAAACGTGAACTTGCATCATTATACCCTGGTGTCGAAGTACACACGCGGAAGTTTGACGCAGCGGATGAACAATCCGTGAAGGAAGTTATTGATCATGCGGTGAAGACATATGGAAGACTGGATATCTTCTTTGCAAATGCGGGAGTTGTAGGCACAAATAAAGTGTTTACGGATATTTCTGCAGATGAGTTTCTGTCTACCTTACGAACAAATGTTGTCAGGTAAAATATCTATAACTTTCCTAGAAACAGACTGAGTACTAATTTCAAAAATAGTGTAGCAATGGCAGCCAAATACTCAGCACCAGCCATGATGTTAACATCACCGGATAAGCAATATCCATCAGGTAGTATAATAGCCACAGCTTCAGTCGCTGGTCTACGTTCCAATGCAGGGTCCAGCGATTATTCTGCCTCCAAATCTAGCGTCGTCTCCCTAGCCCAAACTATATCCTATCAACTAGCAGGCACCGGAATTCGCGTCAATGCTATCTGTCCTGGCGTCATCGAAACAGGTATGACAGCACCTATGTATGAAGCTGCACGAGCCAGGGGATCGGAAAAGAAGATTGGCCAACTAAATCCGCTAGGAAGAGGTGCACATGCGGATGAGGTAGCCAGGGTGGCATTGTTTTTGGGAAGTGAGGAGAGTAGTTATGTCAATGGTCAAGCTTGGGCTGTGGATGGAGGACTTAGTGCTGGTCATCCTTTCGTTCCAGGAAAGTTGGGTTGAGTCGGAGGCTGGTGAAGTTCAGAATCCCAAAGATGGTCTCACTATTCCATTATTTGCCAGTCTTGTGTGTTTCCCATACAAAGTCCAAGCTGGAAGAAGATCTAAAGCAATAATATTATTTCATCTCAAACCTTGATACTTCTTGTTTCTCCGTAGTGCCTCTTGGACTCTATTCTCTACTTGAAATATAGTTCCTAAAGTTGCAATTCCTGTCACATACGACCATAGACTGAAGAGAATTGGGCATCCCGTCCGCTCTGCCATACACAAGCTTCAGATCGGTGGATTAGTAGTTGGGTGGGTGACCACCAGCGAATCCCCACTATTGTATGTTTCTTTTGTTTTGTTTTTTTGCTTTCGGCGGGCGTCTGGGACATAAGAGTTTCAAGAGCTGTGGAGGAAACACGGTATATGGTGTCGAGGGGAGCGAGAATAGAGACAAACGTGATAAGTGTTTTGAGATCTACCTCCTAGGTATATGGTCGACGGAATGATAATGACTGGAGTGAGAGATCGCATTGGGGACCGGGTGATGGAGGATCATTACAGAGAGGGGAAGTACTTGGGCACACGAGTACTAATCATAGTGTTAGTATAATTGAACCTTTTACTTAGTAAATCGTCAATTTTGGAGCAACCCAGAAACTCAGTGACTGAATGTAGAGGGATCAAGTTCAACTGATTTTAGCAAAGAAGCTTCAAGGATTGAGAAGGGTTTGGCAGTAGTCACTGAGCAAGCTCACCGGGGCAAAAAGTGGTAATTTGTCCTTGGTAAGCCTTCTGCCGATTACATTGTTTGAATGAGCTTTGAGCTCTCAGTCAGACAGATTTGGGAGCAACTGGGAATATTATATCCGATTCGGCCAATTAGGGCTCTGTTATGGAAATCCAGCCTTGTCCCGCTTTGAAGGCTTCGCGCTAGTCACAAATTATCCACGCTGGCTGCAAGGCTACGATAATAATTTTGTTTTCCGATAACAAGATTTAACAAAATCATCTATCATCGCTATAACATTAATATCAACATATTTCTTCGGCGACAATGTCAGACCCTCTTTTATCATCATTATGTCGTATCTGTCATATTAATCCCACCAAATATACATGTCCACGATGCTCTCAACAAACATGTTCACTTCCCTGCTCCAAGCGTCACAAAGTCTGGTCAACATGCTCTGGTATTCGCGATCCTACTGTCTACAAACCGAGGTCACAATTGGCAACACCTTCAGGCATTGATCATGATTATAACTTCCTTCATTCAATTGAGCATCGAATTGAGAGATCAGAAAAGGAGATCGTGGAAGAGCGAGGACTTGTAAAGAAAATGGAACTCGAGTTGGCAAGGCAAGGCCCTAAGGATGATAGAAGACGACCCAACAAAAGCAGAGGCAACCAGCGTGAAGACTTTCTTACTAAAATGCTTCAAAATTCTGGAATAACGCTAGTCAAGGCGCCAAGTGGAATGTCAAGAAATTTGGAAAATACATCTAGTTGGAGTAAATCGCAGAAGTGTATGAATTGGCAGATAGAATGGATTCGAGAAGCAGATGCAGGCGGAAGGATATTGCATAAATCTATCGACAAATGGTCAATTAACGATACATACTCACTGCTCTTGGAAGAACAACGAAGGTTGAGCATGGCGCCGGAGGAAAAGGCAGCCCTGAAAAAAAGGAAGGCAGACGAATTGAAGGAAAATAAGGCCAAGAGGATCAAGACAGATGAATGCTCGTTGGATATATCACCACTGTCCCTATTCCAGGATTCGACTGGTACTTGGAACACAATTTTGGATCAGCCAATTTTATCAAACAACCTGAATTCCTTACGACAATCTCATGCGCCACCGAAGCTTGATTCCAAGTATCGTTTCTACCTCCATCGACCTAAGACTCGATCATCATATCCCAAAGTATTGATACCTTTAGATCCAACACAGCCGCTTTCCAAAGTCTTAGAGAATCGCACAGTCCTCGAGTTTCCTACTTTGTATGTATTTGAGTCGGACAAACTCCCAGAAACCTTTATGCTTGAAAGGGCCTACATAGAAGCAACGGGAGACGGGCCAGAGGTGGAAAGTGATGAGAGTGAGGAATCTGAAGACGATACCAGCGATGTCTCTTCAGATGAGGATGAAGAAGAAGATGAGGAAGTGGAGGATGGAGAGGTTGCACCATAGGATCTCACAGCCGATGCCATTAAATTGTATAGAAATTTGTTGCTCATGATACCCATACATTAATAAATAATGAGATCCACTCGGACAACATGCCCTTTATTTCTTATATACCTACATGTATTGAGTGTTTGTATTAGCTAATCATTATCATAATCTATCTAGACGAGCTAGATGTGGTGGACTTGTATATGGCTCGCAAACGACATATACATTCACCTCGTGAGCTAATATTTATTACTCCCTATTTAGCCACTCAGAATTACAGGAGCCATAGCTTGTACAATGGCATTAGGAACGTAAGCATTCCGCTTTTATTCCACCATATACATTTACCCCAAAACTCATACTGAGATTTTCTTGTCAGCGGAAGAGGCGATGATCAGACTAAGATGCCCAAAAACTTGGTTGTGCTAAATCTGTTGGCTGGCTCCCAGTGAGGTTGAAATGTCTGAGTGAGTGTTGGAGCTCACCGGGAATCACATTTCCTATTTGCCTGAATTTCACCGGTGAAAGAGCTCTGGACTTATGAAATTGGGACCATCCAATGATACTATCTATAAGAAGTACAAAGTTCAGTATCACTTGGATTTGAATAACAAATTAATGAATTTCCATATCGTACTATACGAAGTAATTCTATTGCGAGGTCGTGTAAAGTGGTTTTTGATTGGTGATAAGGTTTCCATGCCAACAACCATGATTTTGCACTTTTTCCCTCTGTTTTAGAATTTGACGCGCCTTTCAACGTGATAAAACCTCTTACAAACAAAATCACCGATATCTGCATAAACCGAGATAATATTAAGGTCTTATTGAGCCTCATGAAGTAAGCCATATATCCACAATTTCAAAGGTGGAGGGTCATCTCGAATTTTATTTACTGATAGCAACCAGAGGTGGATTCACCCCGCTAAATACCATTGGATCAACGGAAACACCAAAATTCAAATGTCGAAATAGAAACACAAATACTAAACAACAACACAAGTTCAAAAGAGTTGTCGACACTTCCAAAGCAACAACACCAGCTATCCGTCTACCGCACATTCACAGAAGAACTCTCTCTTCTCCAGTGACGGAGAATAGCCCATCCTTGAGTGACCTTGGTGATTCAACTGCACTCTTTGATTCGTCTCTCGAAATAATTGGTCGAGCATCCAATTCAGGTTCGACTAGGAAAGGAATTGTGGTTGTGCTTGACACTACAAAATACGAAAAATATCCTGTTGAGAAAGGAAACAAAATGGTTAGAGAAATATCTCCAGCAAAGGTGCAGGCGCCTCGACCTGAAGAGCCCAAGGATCAATATCGACCCTCGCAAAGCAATACAGCAAATCATCTATCCAGTATTCCTAGATTTGGAGAAGCTACACTTCCACAGTCTCCATTGAATCGTAAATCTCAGCAACAATACTCCGAATTATTCATTCAACCAAAATCCCGTCCTGAATTTCATAAAGATCCAGAAAGACATGGTATGTATTTATGTGCTATATCATCTCACGGTACTAACATATATGTAGCACATCCACATTTGCAAGCAGCAAAAGATGTTGCCCGAAAGATTATCAATCCCCTTATGCCACGAGCACCAGCGGAATACAGTCAGCCAGCAGTTCGTGCACCGATTCCTGGCTCCTCATCATATGCAACAACTCATCCTACACCTGCACCGACATTCGGCTCCCTTCCAAACAACAATGGGGGTGGTTTCCAATCCGTAAATACCTATACATCTAGCAATTATATCGACCTCACTATGGGCAAGCCAAATTACAATGAACCACACACCTATGTTGATCCTGCAAAGGCACAAGAAGATCTAAAGGCACTCTTAGAAGGTGTCATTGAGGACGAGGAAGATTCAAAACCCAGAACAAGATCACGCAGAAAGAAGAAGGATGCGGAGGTAGACGAGTTGATGGCAAAAATGGATGGATTAAATGTTGAACCAGAGGAGAAGCTCGAGGTTGCATCAGAAGACGAGGAGGAGGAAGATGATGGAACTGTCGAAGGAATCAACGTAAAACTTCTCCCGCATCAGGTTGAAGGTTTGGAGTGGATGATTGGTCGAGAAATCGGCACAGGAAAGAAAGGCATGGTACCAAAAGGAGGCATTCTTGCCGATGATATGGGTTTGGGAAAGACACTACAATCGATCTCACTCATTTTGAGCAATCCCAAACCATCAAGTTCAGACGAAACTCACAGTAAACGCAAATTACCTTCAGGTCTGGACAAATGTACTTTGGTTGTTGCACCTCTTGCACTTATTCGACAATGGGAAGCCGAAATTAAAGACAAAGTTGAAGAGAGCCACTCTCTTCGTGTTTGTGTTCATCATGGCCCTCAACGTACGAAGCGATTCCAAGATCTCAGAAAATTCGATGTCGTTATTACAACATATCAAATCCTCGTTTCAGAATGGGGTAATTCGTCTAAGGATGATGATGATGAAGGTGTCAAGGTCGGCTGTTTTGGTATACATTGGTACAGAGTCATTCTTGATGAAGCCCATACTATCAAGAATCGAAATGCCAAAGCTACACAAGCCTGTTATTCCCTTAGGAGTCAGTACCGCTGGTGCTTGACAGGAACACCAATGCAAAACAATTTGGATGAATTGCAAAGTCTGATCAAATTCTTGAGAATCAAGCCATACGACAATCTTCGCGAATGGAAAGACCAAATTGATCGACCAATGAAGAATGGTAGGGGTGATGTTGCTATTAAGCGTCTTCGTCACTACTTGCAAATTTTCATGAAACGACGTACCAAGGATATTCTAAAGAAGGATGGAGCCCTCAACCCTGGAGGGAAGCCTTCTGCTCCTGGACAAGCCAATTCAACAGGTTTCAAGGTCGTCGAGCGTAAAATTGAGAAGGTCTTTGCGGAATTCTCACCAGAGGAGCGTAGATTTTATGAAAGACTGGAAAGGCGTACCGATGCAAGTATTGAAGAGATGATGGGCGGAAGTAAAGTCAACTACGCAAGTGCATTGGTATTGCTATTGCGTTTGAGACAAGCTTGTAATCATCCAAAACTTGTTGGAAATAAACTGGGAAAAGATACCGATGCTCTCTCAGCAGAAACCAGCAACCCTAAATCGAAATCAACAACAGATGTTGACGAGATGGCAGATATGTTCGGTTCTTTGGGTGTAGGCTCAAAGAAATGTGAGGTTTGCCAAATTGATCTTGGTAAAGAAGCTATTTCACAAGGTGCCATTCGCTGTTTGGATTGTGAAGCAGATTTGGATGAGATATCCGGGAAGAAACTTAGTCCAAAAAAGAAGATCAAGGAGAAGAAGAGTAAGAAGAGTAAGAAGAGCAAGAAGCAAAAGGAGTCTAAACCTATTCCAATTCGTAAACCCAGAAATAGGAATATTATCGAGGACAGTGATGACGAAGAAGAAGAAGAAGAGCAAGGTGAATGGCTTGTTGGAGAAAAGAAACGTGGTGCTCTTACTCTAGGAAAGGCTGGTGGAAGGGAAGACGAGAATTGTGAAGGTGGTGGTGAATGGCTTGATTCAGATCATGATGACGATCTCGATGATTCTTTCCCGGACATTCAAGATATTGGCAAGAAGAAGGTCGTCAATCTTGACAGTGATGAAGAAGAAGGCACCGAAGAATCTGCGGAGGAGTCAGAAGATGATGAGTCCTCTGAAGAGGATGAGGAGGAATCCGATGTTGAAGACGAATTTGGTTCCGATGAAGATGCCGAGCTTTCTCGAATTGCTGCATCTACCAAGATTACACATCTAATGAAGATTCTCGGAAAAGAAGCCGCCCAGCACAAATTCATTGTCTTTTCGCAATTCACATCGATGCTGGATCTTGTTGAACCATTCCTACGCCAAAAGGGTTACAAATATACAAGATATGATGGTGGTATGAAGAACGATCTTCGTGAGGCTAGTTTGGACAGACTTCGTAACGACGAGAATTGCAGAGTCTTACTTTGTAGTTTGAAGTGTGGCTCTCTAGGACTCAATCTTACAGCCGCTACTCGTGTAGTTATTCTTGAACCATTCTGGAATCCCGTAAGTATTTTTCTTTCGATGCTCACATTATATTCCATGATACAATTACTAACACATACTTTTATAGTTCGTTGAAGAACAAGCCATCGATCGTGTACATCGTCTCACGCAGAAAATTGATGTTATTGTTTACAAGATTACCATCAAAGATACAGTTGAAGAGCGAATATTACTTCTTCAAGAGAAAAAACGAGAACTTGCGAATCAAACTATTGAAGGTGGTAAAGGTGGTGCTGGTAAATTGGGAATGAAGGAGATTCTTCAATTATTCAGAAGAGATGCTGAGCATGCTCCGCCTGCTGCTGGTTCATATGATCTTGGTGCTAAGCCAAGAATCTTGAAGGAATCTGCCAGTAGAAGTCCAAGTAAAAGTGCAGCGACTTTGGATAGTTATGGTTCACAAAGTTCATCGGCACCGAGGAAGATTACACCAACTCCTTTTCAAGCTAAAAAGGTAGAAGACTCGTTGTATGGTAGAAGGTGGTAAAATAGTTCTGTAAAGTAAGATCTTTTCTTGATGGTTGGATTACGATTGTTGGTTTAGATAGGAAATATCTTATGCCTAGATTTGGGATATATTGTGGTTGATTTGGGTTACGGAATGGAGACTGGGCGCTTCGAGGGAATTTTTAGCATTTCTTATGGGGTTCCTGGATTGGACGGGAATATGATGATAAATGGCTGTTAAATGAGAAATGAAAATTATTATTATGTATTCGAGTGCTGTATTGCTCTTGGTGATTTTTTACTCACCAAGTCTCCATTGACCAGCATATCACTATAATTTCTATTCTCAAAAGTTACTAAGTCCAATGTTCCACATACCCAGACGGCATCACGACGTTTCTGTGTGCCTACATGCTGTATCCCTTGAAAATCACGATGATCACAAAACCGCATCTAGTACATCTTTATTTTCATTCCTAGAATCGCTATGACTAAAGGTCACAAGAACCCCAAACTTCACAAATAAGGAAAACTTCGGGACTTGTTTGGTCCAAGTGGTCCAAGAAGAAAAAACCCCAGGCAAAAATGATTACATAGGTATCGTTATCGCCGAAAATGTGTGGCGAGGAACAAAGCGTTTTGCATTCCAGCTGGGGTGAGTAGAGTGGAGATGAGATGAGATGATGGCATGGCATGGCATGCTCGGCTTTTGAGAAGGGAAGCTCGGAGGGAGGGATAAGAATTTGGGGGTTTGTGATTAGGTAGGGATTTTTTGTTGTTGTTTTTTAATTGTCTTTGAGATTTTGAGAGTTTGATTTCTCAATTGCTTTTTTGTTGGCTTTGTTGTATGCAAACAAATATTGTAAATTTTATATTGGATTTTGAATTCTGTGAGCTCTGTACAGGAATTTGAGAGATTGAGAGATCAGGATATCGAGTGCGATATATATTGTACGAAGATAGGAAAACGAAAAGTATAGAAGATATAATGGCTTCAGCATCTATCGTAGGGAGTACCGGTCTTGTCGTACGTCTTCCTTTCTTTCTTCTGCCTCTCCTCTCACATCCCCCTCTCCTGCTTTCCCAAAATACTAACACAACACAACGCAGGGCTCCCATATCCTCTCTACCCTCCTCTCTCACCCCTCCATCTCCAGCGTCCATTCCCTCTCGCGCCGCGATCCCAAACCCAGCACCACCTCTCCCAAACTCCACCCTCTCACCTCCACGGACACAGCAACATGGTCTTCCCTCCTCTCCTCCATCTCTCCCTCTCCCCTGCTCTTCTTTTCCGCACTTGGAACTACGAAAGCGCAAGCGGGTAGTATCGAAGCGCAGCGCAAAATCGACTATGATTTAAATCTCGAGCTAGCATCTACCTTTTCTCAGGCCGAGACCACCACCGAAAATAAAGAAAACAAGGAAAACAACAAAATCTACATCCTCATCTCCACCCACGGCGCGAACCCCTCGTCTATGATCCCCTACTCCAAAATGAAAGGCGAGCTCGAAGACGCAGTTCAAGCTTTACTAGAAAAGAAGGAGAATAGGGTTAAACATGTTATTATCCTGAGACCCGGGTTGATAGTAGGAGAGAGGGAGGATTCACGACCAGCGGAGTTTGTGGCGAGGAAAGTGGCGGGGTGGATGGGCTGGGTAAATCCGGGACTGCAGGATTTTTGGGCGCAGGATGCGAGGGTCATTGGGAGAGCGGCGGTGGAGGCGGGGGTTAGGGCGATGAGGGGAGGGGATGGGGAAATGGGGGAGATTCCGAGGGTGTGGGAGCTGGGGCAGAGGGATATTGTTAGGTTGGGGAAGACGGAGTGGAAGGGGGGGATGGGGAGTTGTGATGGGGAGTGTGTGATGGAGAGGGGAGTGAGAGGATTGGGATGTGATTTGTTCGAATAGATGGATGTAGGGATAGAGTTTTGTTTCTTGGGTAGAGGATTGTGTTGTGTTGTTGGGTTTTGTACCACCTTGGATAGGTTTATTGTGTATGCATTTTCAGAGGCAATGATTTACTGATTAATTCATCGGATATAGATTCCTACTATTGATTTTCCTCTTTTCATTTCTTCATTCTTTTATCCTTTCTGTTTTCTCCAATAATGTACACGAAGTATCGCAAATCCTCATCACTTTCCACTCATCCTCTTCCTCTATTTCTTCCCAAACCCACTCCCCTTCCTTCCACTCACATTCTTATCTCCCGGACTCCTCTCCGCACCTCCCTCCTGCTCCCCCTTGGCTTACTCACCTCCTGATTCGCCGGACTCACATCTAGCGGATTCCCCTCCCCCCTTTCCCAGCTTCAGACTTCTCGGACTCGGGAGAGGTAATGGAGGGATCGAATGCGGCGGATTCTTCGCGCGCGGCGGCATCGTCAGATCCGGATTTGGAGTATTCGGTGGGGGTGGTGTCGATGGAGTCTTTGTGTTGGGAATCTTTGCGGGGGAGGAGAGAAATGGGGGTGCTGATGAAGGTGCGGGTGGTATTGGGGATGTGGTGAGAGAGGAGTGTGCGGGGGAGGTGAGAGCGTGTGCTGTTTGAGAGGCGGAGGAGACGAAGGAAGGGAGTTGGAGACATTTTTGGGTTGGGTTGGTTGGTTTGATGTGGTGTGATGTTGTGCTGGATTGTGTGTGTTGTAATTGTAAATCTATCAATCGAATTAGCTTGGTGTGCAGAATCAGATATGATCTCATGCATTGAGAATGCACATATATACTGTCGATGAATATACATAAATCCAACTTACATTTTCAATCAAGTTTGATTTATATCGCGATCAATTGAATCGTATTTGTCTCTTTACTTGTTTATCGATTTATTTGTTTTGTTTGTAAATATGTTGGGAAAATAGAATCGACAAGATTTCTGCACTCTTCAGATTCCCAAAAATGACGACGTCATTGTCGTTGAGGAGCGGAGCTGAGAGCTACCCCACATTTATATTTTGCCTCTGGGTTTGGGTGGATGTGGTGGATTACGGGAGTATATTTGGACATGAGTATTATAGAGTATCGGATACCTAGGTAGAGAGGTACTTTTGATACAGATTGTGTAATTGCGAAATACTAGGTAGGTATATGTGCTACATACTTGGTGTTATACTACATTGTTGTTTCGAGGTTCATTTCGCGACGAGGTGGATTGAATATAGATAAATGTACCAATATGTACTTTGTAAGTCATTGTGAACAGCGACAACAGCGAATGCATACGTACCTACGTGCTATGGACTACCTACTGCCTACTACTTATTACCTCCTACCAGCAAGCCAATGACTTTCGGATTCGGAGAGGAAACTCTTCTATGGGGGTAATGAGAATATGGAGTAGTTTCGAGGTAACTTTTCACTCATATCGAATTCTTACACGACAAATATGTACTGAGTACTATAGGTAAACAGTAGAATCAGAGCATTTAGATACTCAGATGTAAGTCTTACCAACTTTCCCATGTAGATTTGGGAATCGCATTCTAGCTACACATATCTAGGTATAAATTTAGTATGGAACATTCCCCGCTCTCCGCATATCACATCACATCATTTGTTGTAGGATAGATCCGTGAGACAATAAATAGCGTGTGTGAAATACGAAGCATGTATGCATGTCAATGAGGAAGTCCAAGATGGATAAGGTTTGAAAGGAGATATTTCTCCTTTTGGTTGAGATTCGTCGTCACTCATCGTGGCGTTATTAGTCTTACCAAGTAGTCTTGATGTCATGATTTAGTATGACGGTGTCAATTCACTCACTAGGTATTGAGAAGGAAAGTTCAAAAGTAGACATTATTCAGGATATAAACCTCTTCCACTTCCCTTCAATTATAATCTGCATACAAATCATTCAAAATGTTGCGCACTATCTCCAGAAAGACTTTCTCCCAATCCACAAATACTATCTTCAAACCTTCCACAACTCTTTTCTCAAGAAACATGGCCGATAGTCGTGTTGAAGCAGCTTCTCAAGTTGCGGGTGAAAAGAAAGATACAAGTCCATCCGTAAGTATTGGAATTTTCTTTTGTGATAGATATTTTCGAGTACAACAAGCTGATTTCATAAATCTAGAACCCCTCAGTCATTTCATCTGCAGGTGCTATTGGCAAGCAATTCAACCCCGATGGAAATATTGGACAAGTTGGTGAGAAGATTGGTGGTCCATTCTCAAAGGTAACATTCAATCGTATACTTGATTTTTCAGATCAAAAGCTAATCAATAAACAGGATGGCGCTATCGGTTCCCAATTCGATGCCGCGAAAGATGGTCTCGCTGGACAGGTTGAGAAGGCGGTTGATGGGCCAAGTAGACCTGCTACGGAGAAGAAGTAATGGGTTACGATGATGATGAATAGGGTTGATGATGAATTCTGAAGCTGTGATTATAATATAGTTTTGAGGGGTTTCCACAGTCGACGGATTAGCTATATGTATTATAATGATAAGTAACGAAACTTGAGTTTATTGATGAGTGTCTTGATGACTTTTTGGTGCGTTCAAAACAAAACAACAATATTTCTTGAAGATGTCCATGATTTATCGAAAGTAGTATGATCATACTTGATCCCTGGTGATATCCCAAACCCCTTTCCATCATGTGTGTTTACTCATCGACTTCGATGCACAACTCACTTGCTGTTCATATTCCTTTTGTCGATCTCGTTTGGGCAAGCGATTCAGGGTATCTGTGGCTTGTAACTCATCCGCTTCGAAGGTTGACAAACATCTAGACTGTGAAATAAAAAGAAACCATAACTCCTTGAGACTTTATTACCAGCCCAACATGTCCAGTTGAAGCCATTGCATGCTGACTTGGCTATCACACTTCTCATAAATGAGTTATGATCATTCAGAGGGAGAAAACAAGATTGATCTATGTTCGATTGACAGAGTTACTTGGGTATGAAGGTATCAATATCATCAACTCGCGATTGAATGATACAACAATGTTGACAATGCCAGATTCGAAATTCCCAAATTAGCATCGCCATGGAGAATCTGGAGATCTGGAGGACTGACTGGAGAACAAAGAAAATCTATTGGTCACCGTTATCGGTGTCGGTTAAACTTTCTTCCTTCACATCCTCGACAAGGGTGTATAATTTAGTCGAAGGCGTTTAGCTTGCTTGTGATTGCGTGCTTTCTCGTGCTCTCACCAAATTTCACTTCTTTCACTAATATCAACCTTCTGATACGGTAAGTGAAGAAAGAAAAGATACTCTCGGTAGGTTCACCAGGTCTAAATGGTAAAAGTGCATATGATTTGACTTGATTTCCTACCCTCTCATTACTAAATAAGGCGATTTATCGGAATCTCGGTTTTTCCATTCCAATTGATGGCCAAAGATTATACATATCTCAGACTAATAAATCTTTCCCTCTCAAAGCTAAGTTGTGAAGGGATAATATCTCCTTCGATTGAGTACATTGTTGTTGTCTTTACTTTATTTACAACACACTCAATCTCTTCATTCTAGAAGAATTGTATCAAGTCAATTTGTCTTGAAGTTTCCTTTCTTGTATTTGCATTCTTGTCTTGTCAAAAGTTCTTCAAAGATACCCCGCCACCCATCAATCCGCAGAAATGGGGGCATCAACAGATTATGATCAAACCAAAGGCATAAACACTAAGCCAGAAGGTGACGGATCTAAACAGGTAATTCAAAGCAACAATCATATAAACTTTCTAGAAATGTCTAATCATTCTCTTTGCAGGAACCATTTGGAAAAGATACCCTCAACTCTACCTGGAATTCCGAAAATGAGTCCTCTTTTCGCACTTTCTCCCAGAAGTCTTCCAATCTACCATTTGGACAATCAATCGAATACGATGCGATCAGTGGTCCTACCTATGTTACTGCACAAACTCTGGTTCAACAAGTAGCATATGCGCTCTCCGATAAGATCTTCTCTTATTCCCCAGAATCCTTTGATTTGGATGTTGCTGTAAAGTCTTGGGCTGCGGCAAATACAAAGAATGCCAATGGATACACTACAGAAGTTTCTCCCATGCAGACTCGCTCTGGCGCTGGATCAATTGCTCTTGGATACATGTTTTCAAAGGATTTCGACTTGACCAAAAGACACATCCCTCAATCACTTTTGGCCTCTTCTTCCAGCCTGCATAGCCTGCGTTCAACTCTCGATCAACTTTCTCTACTGTACTCTGTCGCAAACCCATTTGTCGCCCACGTTGCCGCCGTTGACTACGCACCGGGATCTACTGGTCTCGTTACTGACTATGCAACTGCTTTGACTGTGGCAGAGGAATTGGGACTTGGTTTGGTTTCTAGTTCATCTGCATATGAAGCCCAACATATGTCTCTCTTTTCTACCCTGTTGGCGACTATTCTTCCCACAATTCATACTTATGATGGAATCACTGTTGGTCGTGACACCCTTCGTGTCATTGACATCCTTAGTCAATCTGGTCTTAGCAGTTCCTATAAGACAGTTCTTGAAGAGATATCGAAACTCGGAAAGAGAGCTGATGCTGAAAGTAAGGTTTCTTCACTTCTTGAGGCTTTCAACAGCGAGCTTGGTACATCTTATGGGCTCTTTGAGTACAGCGGACACGAGTCACCTGAATCCGTTTTGGTTGTATTTGGTTCTGTTGAGAGTTCTCTTGCCACTCAAGTCGCCAAGAAGCTTTCTGCTGAGGGCGAGAAAGTTGGTGTTATTAATGTCAGAGTCTACAGACCTTTTGTAGAGGAAGCTTTCTTGAAGGCTCTTCCTGCATCAGTTAGAAATATTGCAGTCCTTGGCCAAGTTTTGGACGAGACGGCCGCAACAGACGTTTCTGGTCACTCTAACTTATATGAGGATGTTTTGGCAGCAACGGTGTTCTCCGATCAATTCACAGCTTCTCCAAAGGTAGTTGATGTTAAGTACGCTCGATCGCAAGTATTTACTCCTACTTCTATCGCTAGTATCTTCCATCAGCTCGGTGGCAAGTCCTTCAACGACTTTGTTTCACTATTGAGTGTTGGACAAGTTCAACAATATTCATTCTTCGATCTTGAGGATTCTGCTGCTGCTACTGCACCTTCTGCCATTAGCAAACTTCTCTCTGGCGATTCGGCTGGCAATGTCCTTATCAATCAAACTCATGACAACTTCATTCAAGGTGGTGTCGTTAGAACTGATATTCGAAGCTCAAAGAAGTCAATCGAGGCTGCTTATCCAGTCGAAGAAGCCGATGTTACCTACATTGGAGACGAGAAACTTTTCAAGGAGATTGCCATCTTGCAGAATGTCAGATTGGGTGGAAAGATTATTGTCAAGCTTCCAGGTGTTAAAGACGAAGATTTGGAGAAGAAGATTCCAAGCTTTGTTCGTAACGAGATCAAGAAAAGGGATGTCGAATTATTTGTTTTGGATCCAACTTTGTCTGAAGCTCTTGAGAAGGAACCTGCTCTTGAAACTTTGTTCGCTGAGCTTGCATTCTTGAAGGTTGCTTGCCCAGAACTTCTCGAGTCTGGCAAAGACAAGCTCGCCGCTATTAATGGAAGCCAAGAGCAATTCCAATCTGCAGTAGCCGATCTTGAGAAGGTTGTACGCAAAGTTGAGATTCCTGAGACTTGGGCTGAAGTCGATGCTGAGGCTGAAGCCCTCAACCTTCCTGTAACCATCAAGTCCAGCAGCTTTACTGGTTTCCAAAAGGAAGATACTGAGGCTCCATCTCAGCTTCGTGATTGGCACGCAGCTGCCAAGGGCCTTCTTTTTAAGGAAGCTTATGGCACCAAATCTGAACTTCGACCAGATCTCACTGCTAAGACCTATGAAATTACAGTGAAGGAGAACCGTCGTTTGACCCCTATCACATATGACCGTAACATCTTCCATATCGAGTTCGATTTGGGAACTTCTGGTCTTAAATATGATATCGGTGAAGCCCTTGGTATTCATGCTGTAAATGATGTTGCTGAAGTTGAAGAATTCATGAAATTCTATGGTCTCAATGCAGATGATGTCGTCGAGGTTCCATCTCGTGAGGATAACAATGTTTGGGAAACAAGAACAGTCTTCCAATCTTTGGTACAAAACATCGATATCTTTGGTAGACCACCAAAGAAATTCTACGAAGCTCTCGCCGAATTCGCTTCTGACGAGAATGAAAAGAAGGAACTTCTTACCCTTGGTGGTCCAGAAGGTGCCAATGAATTCAAGCGTCGTGCGGAAGTTGACACAATTACTTATGCCGATGTTCTCCTTGAATTTAAGTCTGCCCACCCATCTTTCCACGACATTGCCCGTATCGTTTCACCAATGAAGCGTCGTGAATACTCCATCGCCTCTTCTCAAGCCGTCAACCCAACCACCGTCGCTCTCATGATCGTCGTCGTTTCTTGGGTTGATCCAAAGGGTCGCGATCGTTTTGGTCAAGCTACACGTTACCTCTCTTCCCTTCCTGTCGGATCAAAGGTCACCGCTTCCGTCAAGCCTTCCGTTATGAAACTCCCAGCTCTCGACTCAGCTCCTCTCATCATGGCTGGTCTTGGTACGGGTCTTGCCCCTTTCCGTGCTTTCGTTCAATACAGAGCTATGCAAAAGGCTCAAGGCAAAGATATCGGTTCTATCCTTCTTTACATGGGATCCCGTCATCAACGCGAAGAATATCTGTATGGTGAAGAATGGGAAGCTTATCAAGATGCTGGCGTCATCACATTATTAGGAAGAGCTTTCTCTCGTGATCAGAAACAAAAGATCTATATCCAAGACCGTATGAGAGAAACGGTTAAGGATATCATCCAGGCGTATATTAAGGATGAGGGATCATTCTACTTGTGTGGTCCTACCTGGCCAGTTCCAGATGTTACAGAGGTTCTTGAGGAAGCTATTAGGGAAGAAGGTAGAATTAGTGGAAAGAAGGTTGATGGAAGGAAGGAGATTGAGAGATTGAAGGAAGCGGGTAGATATGTTTTGGAGGTTTATTAGATCCTTGTATGTGTGAGGTGTTGCGCTTAGATTGCGGATTGGAGGGGTTGGTTGTTTCAAATGTCTTTAGAATACGGTCGTTAGATGGAATTACTTAGATTGCGGATAAATTCTACATGGAATCAACATTATAGATTTTGGAGAGATTTGGAATATTTGAACTCGTTGGTTTGGTGACTGATTGCGTGCTTGAAACACCCTGTCTGTTATACCTGGTTCTATATATTTGTTGAATTTTGTTGGCGTTGTGGTTATTAATTGCTCGCGTTTTGACAGGAAGAATATGAGATTGATATTTTCACCAGCTCATGGTCGAAGTTAGAACTCTTTTTTTTTTTGATATTGTGGGAGAGATTCTGAATGAGATGTTGGACTTGTTCGTGCTTCTCTGGATTTTACCCACCTACCTCATACGAGTTGAACTTAAGCGAATGCAAGGGGAGATATGTGGATGGATTTGATGGATTTGGTAGGTCACTGGGTAGTCTTGGTGATATTTGTGTTCTTTGAGGAGTTGTGTAGTTGGGTATGAGATGGTGTGTTATTTCCATTTGTGGATCTAGATGTAGATCTAGTGATTGCCATTGTTACTGTTTATTGTCATTGTCATTGTCACTGCCATCGTCATCGTTCGAAAGATATTGACACCATCATCACTCCATCTTCGCTGTCACTCAATTTTCTCTCGATATAACGGTTATTGTAAACTCGAAGTCAGATCTACAGGATCGTGCGATTGGGTGGGGATGTGTGTATGTATGTATGTAGGTATTTGGGTCAATCTTAGGGTTGTTGATGTAAGGGAAGACTGGTCGAGAGCATGGTGCACAGCGCTCCTTGTTCACATTTGATATTCTTTCCTGTTGCTTTGTGATGGGGGAATTAGTTTTGGGGAGGATGGTGGGTTTATGCAGAGGTGGAGTGGAGGTGGAGATGGAGATGGAAGTTTGGGGAGGGAGAAGAGGTAAAAGGGAGGGGTAGGATATTCACTTACGCATATCTTGAACAGCTGGAGATTGCAATCAATACCCGTGAATACGTGCGGGTATTGGCTAGTTGAATCAAACTCTTCCTCGCGGATATTCACCAGATTCTAATAATGTACACAGTCAGGTACATTGGCTTCTTGAGATTTGAGAATTGTCTATCGAGATAGGTATTTAAGTGGTCTGGCTTTGGAGATAGAATGGGTAGTGACAATGAGAGGTAATGAAAATGGCAGGATGATGGACTGAGTGGCTTGGGGTTGGGGTGTTGATGATGGGGATTTGTGAGGGAAGGTGTTGTTGGAATGAGGGTTTGGAATGGAGGGATTGGGGTTTGAGGTTAGATAGAAATTGGATAGGAAAAGGATTGAGGATTGATAATGATGATAATGATGATAATGATGATAATGATGATAATGATGATAATGATGATAATGATGATAATGATGATAATGATGATAATGATGATAATGATGATAATGATGATAATAAGTATGAGTGGCAGTGATAGGATATACCGTACTATGGTGAAGTGAGTTGAGATGAGATGAGATTAGAGCATCTTAATTGAGGGGTTTCTAGATCCGTCGATTCGGGTTGAGGATATATAGCTTTTTGGCAATACATATTGTTGTCGTAGAACATTGATGATTTAGATATAAAACTCGCGTAAGTACAAACATGTATATATACCATCACAACATCCCTTTCCTCTTTCTAAAAACATACCACTCAAATTCTTACTGTCATCCCCCAACATCATACTCAAATACATTTCAGCTCAGTATCTACTATAATCCCTCCACTCTTCCTCCTATCCGCGTAGGTAAGTATACAAGATCTCGGTTTACATGTGGTAGAGCGCGGAAACGGCTATCGCACTCCTGCCATTGTGTAGTTGATCTGCTGATTGTAATCTGCAGAAAATTGAGCTGGGGAGATTGGGGCTTCTTTTATAGAGATAGATTGAGGGTTGAGGTTTGAAGGTATTAGGGAGGGAAAAGGGGAGTGGAAAGGAGTGGATGGGGATCCACTTTTTAGGGAGTGGGGATGAGGAAGGGAATTATGTGGTTGTGTACATGCACATGGAAATTACTCAGAAGGAGAGGGGTATGTTGATGGTATCCACTACTCGAAGAAGGATCTTTTTTGACTACATGTACATGATTAAGCGTAGCTTACATCTCTAGTGAATCCCTAATTCTCCTCGTACTACTCCACATCTGATACCCGAACCTCTCATCATCCCACGAATGGGCTGAGGAGCTCAAAGTTTTGTTATTTAAGGACTCCAGCTTATGGACACTTTTGGTTCCATACAGATATTTTGGTGTGGATTATTGAGAAGTTATGGGTATGTCTTGATTTAGAGTAGTGCACAACTGTGATGATGTTGTGATTTGGGATTGTGAAGACGAGATTTGAAGGACAGGGGGTTAAGATAGGGGAGAAAGAGGGGAGGTTAGCATGAAAATATATATTGGACAAATGGTAACAATGAGAAGTAGGCCCAGCGATATTTTAGCATCTGTCTTATTCTGTCTGATATGATGATGTAGCAAATTCCTCAACTATACACTCTTTCAAACTATGCCATGACTAAACACGTGGAGCAATAACGCGGAAGAAGCACTTTTCTCTTCCTGATATTCGATCTTTTTATTATCGGCGTACTTGTGGTCCCCAAAACTCAGTCATCGGGGATGTCTAATATAGTGGAGAGTTCATAAAAATTGGAGAAGGATTGGAAGAATCTGTGTACCTTTCCACATGAAGAAGCGACACAATCCACTCACGAGTAGAATGTAGAAGCGGATAGAGAGTCTATCGCAATCGCATACACTTGCTAAGTATTGATGAGAATTCAACAGAAGCTGGGGTCTGTATCCATTATGTAGAAGCTACCCACCCATGCTGATGGGAAAACAAGACACTTTATGATTCACTGGAATGATAGCTTTTGCACACTAGCTCTGAGCTGGTTTCTCTCATCCCTTATTTGAATTTCGGGTTCTCCCTCTTTCTACCAGCGAGTAAGAAGATTCAGTAACTTTCCGATCATGCTTTACAAGTTCAGCTTGTGAGAAGTTTGGCTTTTCGGGTTGCTGTTGGAGGCTGAGAAACCAGACTTCCATAATCCCCCGAAGCGAAATCTAATCAACGGTTTGGATAAGAGTAAAAGAGCAGGAAAGACAGTGATCGTGTGAAGTGATAACGAAGAAATTCTCCGGTGATAGTCAACTTGGATGAGAGAAGAATTTATCTTGAGGTCCTGAGAGGGAAAGGTTTGATTCTCATTTTCGGGACTGCCCCATATAGTGTTAAAAGGTGAAGAGTATGCTTTCCGCACAGCTTGAATCTCTTTTTTCCCAGCCCTTTCAAGAAGTACGGTATCTCAAGGACGATGAATATAGAATATATATAGCCAAGTAGTGACAGACTTGACATAGTTATCTATCAGACTTCATTCAATATTTGAGCTGTAATGTCCATTGAACAAACTTCTCCCTGGGATCCATGCATACGCAGGTATTCTGTGTCAAAAGGAAGATCCAGTGAATAAGGCTTGATATCCACTTCCTGTGCATGATAGTGCAGCATACCTGTTTCCTAGGACATGGACTACCAAACTCGAGCTTTGTGGATATATGAACTGCTGATTATAGAGATTATTTGTGACATTAAAGATTTGCAGCACACACTATGGAACGATAGGATGATTTGTGTCAGTGGCCCAGCAGACTACTATTCCTGGGGAACTTATTGTGTAGGTTTGTGTTCTGTTGGGAATATACTTCGCAGAGGGGGGGAGGGTAGGAAGAAATCATTAATCATTAATAATGGTGATAATATGGTGATTAGAGAATAGTATCATGAGCGACAGTGATAAGAAGTAAGTTTGTACTTATAATGCAACTCCGTGGGCTCCTTGCACAGTTACCGTCAATGCCGCAGACAACTTACGTGCGTGACTCCAGAAGGACATAAAGTCGTAACAGTGATCCAATTGCAGAGGCCGTCTTGCGCATGCTGCTTTGGATTTTTTTAGTCTTTATGTGGCACAAAAATTCAAGCACACCTACCTGCCTCTTAAATATGTAGGAAATCAAAATACCTTTCACATGCCAAATGTTAAAACGCAAACCTCATTCACTCTTTAAGCCCCTGCCACTCCTATTCCATAGAAGTTAGTCTTATACCTAGTATTCACTCTTTGATCACAAAGTCGATGCCACAGAATCTGCATGTGAATACAGAGCACATACCACAAAAAACAATTTTGTTGCATATCTGAAAAGCCAATTCAAGATGTTCATTGGCCTGTAAACTTTTGAAAAAATTGTATGACGTCGATACCTTGTGCTTGGACCTTGAGACTCCACTAATAATGTAGATCATATAAGACGCGGTGAATATGATCTGAGCAGTATCGCAAAATACATCAATGTTTATATAAGTACTTTTATTGACTGGAGTGAAATAAGATGCTCATCGAGAAAACGTCAGGTATTTACTTCCACGCGGCTCTAGAATTAGTACTGCACTCTCATACCACCATCTCAACACTTCCATCATAGTAAGGCATAGTCAAAGTGATTGATCTTCACCAAAGAGAACTAATGTGGTGTACCAAATGCACCGTGCTCACTCAAACCCCTGAACCAAAGGGGACTGTTCCCAATAGTACTTTCTCGACACCTAACTCTAAATCCTTTCTAGCTAGTTCACGAGCTAATGTATGGGTCATCGGTGTCCCAAAGTACTGGAGGCTAGTATACATGGCGGTTGGCCAGCCTAGCGTGGGGAATTTCCGAAATTCCGGGGTACCCGTGCTATCAATCTAGGAAACTTGGGGAAGATAGCTTTCTGTGACTATGGCGTTTGGGATGTGCAGATAAAGTGACATAAGCGATATGGGAAGCTTTCGGGATTTGAGACCTGAATTGGATCTTGCAGGACTATGGTCATTGACTGGTCAGATCTTAACTCGAGGCTCTCGCCAAACGTCAAGTATTCCCGGGTATTGTAATGATCTATCTTAGTTGACCCTTAAACGTATTCAAGATACCCATCAGGCAAATCGGGACCTAACCTCAAATAAGGACACTAATCTCAAAATCATCACTTCACATATCTGATACCCAATGACTGTGATTGACGATGCATTAGAGCGAAAGTTTAGTTCTAGTTCGACACGATAAGCGATCCATTAGCTCCCGACATCAGAACCCTTTCAACTTAGCTCCATCGTTGTCTCAAGCTAGTTCGAACATTCATTTGCACCAGTAAAACCATAATGAATTCCCCCAAGAATCTTGAAATCAAACGTTCCATCACCATAAAAACTTCAATTTGTAGGATATTCATCCGTAACAGCAGACAACAATTCGACAAAGACTATATCAACAAACAGCAACCATGGCCGACCCAAACCGTCTCCACAAGATGTTCATCAGCGATGGCGACGACATGTGTAGAACCTGCAGCTACATGCTTCTAACTACCTACGGTTTATTTGGACTCATCACGCGCGGATTCGATCATGGATGGATCCATTACCCCCAAGAACCCATGTCATTAGCCGAAGACGCCACATCTCCATGTAGTACTCCTCCGAATCCCAAAAGTCCATATGACCTCCAACTCGTGGGTTGGGGGTGTCACTTCTGCGCCCTCGTTCTCAGTGATCCAAAAGCAAGCCAAAAAGGCTCTCAAGTTACCCACCCCTCAGTCGCTCACAAATACGTCATTGAGAAACATCATGAGTTCCGGCATATCGGCTTTCGCGCAATCATTGTCAATGACGCGGGCGAGGAGGTTGAAAATCCGTTTCGATATCGAAAGTTCTCGTTAACGGGCAAAAATTCAGATCTTCTACAGATGACAGAGGTGGTGGAATATTTTCATAAGAATCATCTTCACGTGGGAGGTATCGCGGTTGAGAGGGGGAGTGAGGTGTCTTACACGGTCGAATGGCATATTCAGATGGGCTCTCTGTATCCGGGCGTGAGTGCGGAGTACCCATGGTACCGATTCACTGGTGTTTTTGATTTGTCCAGAACAGGAGGGTTAAAACGAAAGGGCATAGGAGGAGTGTTAAATCCCAGGCAGAAACTCCCTCCGAGTAATCTCCGTATTTGCGACGAAGAAACTCCTGCGGAGGTCGAAGTATGCAATATCCAAATGCTAAGCACGAAACTGCAAAGTCTTATGCTACAAGAGGAATGAGTGTCATGATTTTCTTGACCGGCGTTAGGAGTTTTTGGCAGCATGGATACCCGCTTACTTGGTAGCCAAAATATTGGATTTTCTGGATTTATTAGCGATCTGGGAGGGGGGAAGATTCGCCTAGTATAAACTTGGATGTTAACATAATTTTTAAAATTCGTCCCTGTAACCAAATTCAAAGCTCGAGATGTAGTTGCAATCTTCAATAATACACATTTAATCAAACAGTTTGAATTAATCACGAGAGCAATGAATGAGAATCTGGATAACTCTTGACTAAATATATTTGCAATCGCTTCAGCAATCTCAATCTACTTCGATTGCTCCAGAAGTGCTCGCCCATAATCACCTCGGTTAGGCAACCTGTTGCATGTGTGAATGTGACATCTTGCTGGACTTGTATTTGTCAAGAAAACTAAAACTGGGTTAGATATGTCAAATAGGAGAAATGGTGAGACTTACTTCCACAATGAAAATCCAATTCCATAAATGCCACCGGGCTATGGATACGGTAGTAATAAGGATCATCGTCTCCAAATTCTCCGATCCAAGCGAAATATGTTTCGTCAAGATGTTTCTTAAATAGTGCAACCCTGTGCTCCAAAACCGAGTCGGGATAATACTCATTAAAAGATTTGAAAAGCTTGATGATTTGCTCTTGCTGATTTGCTGGAAATTCGGAAACTGGACATCCTTCATATGGGACAACCCTATTATCTTGTCTTGCACCACCCAGATGTCTTTCGTCAAAAGGATTCCACCTATCAGCTGGCAAACTCTTCCCATCCATACCCTTACTCAGAGTTGCCTTTTCTTGTAATTCTTTAGGTAAGCTTTGCATCAAGCTTAAACTATCCATCTCCTCTGATCTAAATAACCTCAGGCCAGCATGTGGTCCCTCGTCAATTCTATCAGGTTCTGCTCCCATGAATGTAGGACCAATTACCATTCTCTTTCCGAGAAAAACTACACAAAAACACAAGTGATGCCCAAAAAATGTGTATCCGAATGGTTTGGTCATGGATGGTGTACCAAACAAGCGAAAGTTGTAGGAATGTTCATTGAGCACTTTTTTGCCGTTCACTAGATGTCCAAGAAAATCATTTGTGAGGCAACAAGCGTGAATTTTTTCATAGCCCTGCTTAGAGGATGAAGCTCTAAGAATGGCGTGAATAGCGTTTTGAATCTCTGAGGAACACTCGTCGAGTCGTAGTCCACCTATTTTTAGGATAAGCATGAGATTAAAATAGAGGCATCTTCACTCCTTACCTGGGTTCATGTATAATTCTGGATTCGACCACAGTCGAAATTCATCATCTGTAACATTTCCAAATTGAACCGCTTTTCTTTGATCTTCGCTCAAGACCTTCAAAAACTCTTCTGTTTTCGTAATCACCTCCTCCGTTGGCGCACCTTCATCCTCTGCATAATTATACAGCGCTTCTCTGACCTTTCCGTCCGATGTGAATCCTTTGTATGGTTTCTCTAGATTCTTTGCATCAAGTCGGTTAATCAACCAAGCCGGAGCCTCAATTTGCCTTCTAGACTCGCACCAACTTAATGCTGTATGATCTTGTATCCCAGCAATGCGCGGATGGTCTGGGGAAGGTATGATATCGCGAAAAGGAACAGCTGCATCAGAGCGAGGCTTTGTAGGGTCCGAACTCTGGATATATCCTGAATTCTCTGGTAAAACTGCCATATCTGCTATAGATTAAAAGAACTTGGAATTATGGTATAACTTTGGGTCTGAATGTGTAGAAAGCTTGTATCACAATGGGTTGTCTGAAAGTTTGAAGGAGGAATTGGTCTGGATATGAACGTTCTTCAATTGATCGATCTATCACTACTGGCAGAGCCGAAGCATGACCTGACAATGATGATCTGCCCATGGCTTCAGTCAATGTGGAGAGCTTGCGGAATAGTGAATAAGAGCGTACAAGTACGAATTGAATTGATCAAGTGGACACTCCACTGTTGTTGAAGCTTGGGATTTTGCATTCTGAAGCTTCGGGGTATTCAATGCTGAATAATCCCCACAAATTAGCGTGCTGAATCCATGAATTCCCCTCAATCTCCCCACCCCTTCCACTTCATAACTTGTGGGGACTCTCGTCTTTTCTTACGCGTCCACGCTGATTGCAACACTTCCCGTATGGATATCGACCGAGAGAAATTGACCATGCACGAGGAATGGTGACAGGTAATGATAACACTGTATCGGGTCAATTGTTGCCATGATGAAGGCAGTTGAATCGGCTTCCATCAAAGTGGGGTGAAGAAGAGTAGGTGGGGGGTGTGAAGCTCATGTTTGTCTAAATCAAAAACAGTGCTCTTCAGTCTCTCTCTTTCTTTCAGTCCCAAAGACTTTACTTACTCAATTTCTGTTCCTCATTTTCATTTTCATTACCATTGTAAATACTACGATATACCAGTATCTCAACCATACATCAGCCATGCCAGTATCATCATTTGAGCGTACGTTGTTCCATAGTCCCATCAAAATACTCGTTTCGACAAGATAATTGACATGGCATTCTAGGTCTCGTACGATTTGTACCCAAATCTTCCGAGGAGGTACTCATTGGTCAACCAGTAGACTCAGATATCGATGTGGGAGCTGCAATCATTGCAGGAAAGGACGTGAAAGTTGATGTATACAGCGGATCATCAGTCTTAGAACCAGGCACTTCAACTGGAACAATTAAAGAGATTGGAAAACTCCTATCTCCCCTTGCAGAGTCTGAAGTTGGCACAATTAGATGTATTGGACTAAACGTAAGAAACACTTCTCTGAAATCCATATACATAAGGAATTGACTAAAAAATGCAGTATGTCCAACACGCACACGAAGTTAAAATGGCCATCCCCGATCTGCCAACGGTTTTCATGAAGCCTTCGACCTCTCTCGCAGATCCATATCCGTCCCCGACAGTTATTCCAAAGTTTGCGTTGAAAGATGATTGCTGCGATTACGAGTCCGAGTTGGTGATTGTGATTGGAGAGAAGTGCAAGGACGTCAGCGAGGAAGACGCATTGAATTATGTTTTGGGATATACAGCAGCAAATGATGTCAGCAGCCGTGCTAGTCAATTCGCGCAAAGTCAATGGTGCTTCAGCAAAAGTTTTGACGGGGCTTGCCCAATTGGTATGCCATTCCAATTCGTTTTGGGGGAATTGAAGTTAACAGCATCCTAGGTCCAGTTTTGGTATCCACGAAACTCATTCCAGACCCATCGAAACTTCGAGTTAGAGGTCTAAAGAACGGAAAGGTTATGCAAGACTGCGGAACAGAGTATGAATATCCGATCCCAATTTCCAGCCGTAAACTGACCAATAACAGTGATTTGATTTTCCCTGTTGCGAAAATTGTTTCTTTCCTCTCGCAAGGCACCACAATCTTGCCAGGTACTATAATTTTGACCGGTACTCCAGCGGGTGTTGGTAATAGTTTCACACCAAAGGAATATCTGAGGGAAGGAGATTCATTCTCGGTTGAGATTTTACCACATATTGGAACCATGATGACCAAGTTTGAATATCAAAAGTAAAAATTTGGATTTAGTGAGTCTAGGCGATATATCAATCAATATATGTCAGCATTTATCCAAAGTTCCACTAATATTCATTTTGCAATTTGAGTGAACATGATTTATTATTCACTCATGTGCTTCCGTCGTCCGAAAACCTTTCTCGTCGCGTTTCAGATCGACAGAATACTCCATGTGAGTCTTCCTAACCACTGTATGAAGCTGCAAATAGCAAGATGTCCAGTCGTGTCCTTGAAGCTAGTCTTCTTCCGCATCTTCTCCTTCTACCTCTTGCTCTACCTCCTCCATTCCTTAGTAGCGGCCTTCTTCGTACTGGAGGTCTTCGGATAGGTCGGACCGCCACCGGCCCAGCGGGTCTTCTACGAGTTTGTCTTCCGACTCGAACGACAAGGTCTAATCGAGGAGGCATTTTCGCTTGCTATGTGTGATTGGCACTGAGCGTTGTGTGAAGTGCAATGGTTCGAATGAACAGATGTGGTAAAGATCCTGCTCTGCCTTGTCACAGGGGATCTATCCACTGGGCTATGATGAATTAAGCCACGACATTATTGTCACCAGGTTGCGATCAATGAAGACTCCCTTTCAAAGCTTAGAGAGGGGCTTTTGCATTCTTTCTTCCTAAAGTTAAGGCTGTAGAAGTCTATAGTATTGGAATCTTAGTTTCAAGAACAAGATGCCGAAGATGATACGATTGGGCATGTTTTATTTGCGGTAGAATGCTCTACAAGGGACTGCCAATCTTGCAGGGCTGATGCACAGCCACGAAGCGTATTATGTAAAACGTGCCCAATTTATCACGAATGACATCTTACGGTTCGTATTCTAGCATACAGACGTTATTGAATAGCGTAACGGGTCAAAAGTGCATGATTACGAATATCTTCAATAATGGTCTGCTGTTATGCAATTTGTACTTGCCGAGTACCGCTATTTCTAGGCAGACAAATTTGTACTTGCGGCTGAGAAACTCGAATTTTGTATAAGATCATTCAAGTAGACGGCTTCGTTGTTTGAATTGACCACATTGATTAACATCAACAAAAAGCAATATGACTTTAATCACAAAGAAAATCTGCTGGCTATTTCTCAATCTTTCCCATGCCGTCTATGGCATCATTCAAGCACCTCTACTACCTGGGTCTCATACCCTTGGCACCACCACTCTCCAGGTGACGGACTCGTCTACTTCTCGCAGTCTAATGCTCTCCTTGTTCTATCCTGCATCCGCCAAAAATTCATCTTATACATTTGCGCCCTCCTTCCCATCAGCCACGGCTCTTTATTTAGCAGAAAGCTACTCTCTCCCTTCCGCTATTCTCCAAGAGCTTGCCTCACGTTCCTACAATTCCGCTCCTATTCTTCTTTCCCATAACAATTCATTTGATTTCCCAATCCTTCTCTTCTCCCCAGGCTATGGGAATACGCGACTTGCTTATACTGTCATTGCCGAGAATATCGCTTCTCTGGGCTATTTTGTCATCACTATTGATCACCCTTTCGATGTCGAATTCATCGAATATTCAAACGGTACAATCGCAACATGGGAAGACGAGGATTTTGATAACTATACCGCTGGAATTCCATATGTGAATGCTCGAGTTAAAGATATGCAATTTGTGTTGAACTCCTTCTCGGATCCATTATTCACTGCTCAAATTCCTGGCATCGAGAATTCCTCTTCCCATTCATATGGATATGGAAAATTGAATGAGATTTTCCAAACTAAAACAATCGGAACTTTTGGTCACTCATTGGGCGGAGCTGCAGCTTTCCAAGCTATGCATGATGATTCCCGTTTCTCATACGGAATCAATCTCGACGGTGCAATCGAAGGCAATGTCGTACAAAGCGGACTCAACAAACCATTCATGATTATGGCGAATCAGAATCATACGAGAACAGAAGAGAGAGATCCCACATGGTATGAATTCTGGGCCAACTCGGTGAAGCTGGGAGGTTGGAAAAGAGATGTAAGGGTTAATGCGACGCAGCATGGTAGTTATACGGATTTGGCGGTTTGGGCGACGGTACTAGGATTAGAGGGCTTTGAGGATTTGTTGGGGACGATCAATGGAGTGAGGATTTTGGAGATAGAGACGGAGTTTGTGGGTGAGTTTTTTGGAAAGTGGTTGAAGGGGAAGAGAGGGAAGGTGTTGGATGGGCCTAGTAAGGAGTGGCCGGAGGTGACTTTTGATTTTTGATTTTAGGAAGGATAGATTAGAATTTTAGAGGTAGATTCGATGAGAAGTGGTGTTGTAATCCGTATAGTTATGTTTACTGTGTAATGTATCTATATGTAATGTATCTAATGGTATTTATGTAGTGCAGTTTCCGAGACTTTTGATATTATCGAGATGTGAACCTGTACTTCTGACCTAATCACGATAAATGGCAATCTATGATCGAAAGATACTTGAAAATGAATTGCAATTCAACTCAGGACAAGCAATGGAATTTTTAGCGAAAAGAAATGTGAGAATGGAGTCTGGACTTTGATTTGAAGTTTTCATCCTGATGGAAACAAGCGAAACTCCCTTGCATTCACTTTCGATATTCACTTCGCCAAATCCTTCGACCAATCAGATTCTATTACCATCCCGTGGAAATCTTTCGTTGCATATCTGCTATAGCGTGTTGGGCCTGTAGATGCCTATAATTCGAAAGCTTTGCTATACAACATAAATAGTCAGATATTGAGTCTATCATAAGAGTGTGTGCACATGAAAACAATCCGATACTGCCTCTCGAAGCCTTCATGATGGAAGTGCAAATGTGCCTGAAAATAACACCTTACTTATATACATTGTATCTGATAGATAACTATTTATATACCATGGCCTTTCTAGACATTGTGTATCTGATAGACATCCTGTGACCCTATTGATGCCAATATAAAAGTCGAAAGAGCTCATATTAAAGTAGTGAAACTCAGCGTTGGTGAACTTCTGCGCAATCACAATCGCATTCACACTCACACCCGAAACATCAATTTAAAACTTCGCAAATTTCCATTATTCTATAGCTATGTATAGTAGTTCGATGTTGATAGTATATAAAATAGCCTTATATTCAGTCAAATATATTGCTTATAATATGGAGCTAACCCTCTTTGACAGTCTTTCGTTTTCACCAGTCCCTCTTGGCTAGATTTATGATAAATTATCTTCTTTAGGGAGATCTTTAAACTATGTGACACTTTTCGACAATGAAAATAATCAACTCCCCGAGGATTGAAAATTTCCCTTTGCTGAATACCACACACCCTTTCCTTACAAGCCCCATACTTCTACATTTCAGAATCTGCGTCCTCAAATTTCTGGAAAACTTCGTCTTCTTACTAGCTTTAAAATAATAACAACGTATAATTTTTCGAAACGGGCCCTTATTTGCCCATCGCATCGACCTTGATGTCAGACTGATCTATTATGTATTTCTTTCTGAACTCTGCCTTGATCGAATCTCGAATCTCTATCCACTCCACCTCCTATGCAGTCCGGGGTTTAAAACGGGAAAAATGTCATTCTACGGATTGACAGCATGATTGTATTTTTCATCTAGAGCTTGAATTTGCATCATGCGAGCCACATCCCGCTGGAAGTCTTCTTCCCAAATCTCCTTTCGAATGACATTTTCATGCTTTTTTCTCAAATATAGCTCCCCCACGAGTCTCTGTCTTTCTGCTTCCTCGAGCTTGTCAACTTCAGATTGGTGTTTCGATAGCTCGTAACAAGTGATAATAAGGAATATCCAAGTGAGAACTGTAAGAATAATCAAAGTGACGAGAGGTGTGGTGGGGAATGGGTATCCTCCACCGTCGGTAATTGTGCAGCAGGAGGTGGACTTTGTATCCGTTGCGTCGAGATTTGAGGTAATGATTGTAGGGGAAGGGGTGGCAGAAGTTGTGAACGAAGATGTTATAGGGCTTAAAGTCGCCATGTTGTTGGAGAGTGTGAGGGCCATACTTATACAACTTGTATTACAATGAGCGATCTTTTGGCTTCTACTAATTGGAGTGATATATGTTTTCAACGTGCCAAAAAGATGAAGTGACAAGCATGATAAAGTGTACGGGGGAGTAATCCAAAAGAACACATCACTGGTTGTATGATCATTCGATATGACATATTCATTGGTCTTATACTAGTGGAAACCTTATTTTTGACACGATTTTGAGTATACTATGGAGAGAGCTAACCGTTATGAACTTAGGAAGCTATACTGGAGCATAGTTATGAAGTGACTCATGTGCTTTATTTCTAAAGCACCTTTTGATCAAATGATATTCGAATATACTCTGTAGACGAACATGTGAGATATTCATGAAAAATCCAATTAGACCTCGATGTTACCATGTGCTTCAGACGTTTAAAAGCTTGTCAGAATACGTGCAGATATCAAAAGTATTATAATAGAGAGTTTCCTCAGAAGGATTGGGGTTACAGTTGTTATAACGTATTTAATGATGCCCATTAGTACAGATTCTGAAGCTTTTGATATTGATAAAATATCAATTACCATTACTTAATTATCAAATCATCAAGTATTAGTTTGAATACTTTGAATTTCGATATAGTGATTCATTCCGGACGAATAATGAAAACATGAATTCTGCTGTTAAATGATAAAAGAATCAATTTGTTACAAATTTTGAAAGTTGAATATTATTCTCCTAGTTTGTACACCTATTGTTGACTCAATCGAATTGTAAGTGCATAACAAAGGTATATATTTACTGTAATTTCAATACTGTCTCTCGATTACTTTGGATAACTTATGTTCCATCTGAAACACTGGGTCGACCTTGATAATAACCATAAGGCTGTTGGGGAGTTGCAGTATATTCTACGACTTCATAACCCTCAGGTTGTGAAATTGCTTCATCCTTGGCGCGTGGCTCAGGAGTCAGAATACGGCTGTATTTAGTCGGAGAGCCACGTGCAGGCCAGCCTTGTAAAGGCTGACTGGAATTCGTATAGCTCATAGCCTCATCATAGCTCGAGGAAGAATGCTGAGAATGTTTCGATCCTGTATCACGAGACGCACGTCGACGCCATATTGATTGTTCAGGGGGTTGTCGGTCGTCTCCTGATTTTCGGCCACTACCTCTAAATAAGGAATTTGCAAAACCACTCAATGCGCTGGTTGTCGTTTTCTGCTGTTTGGGTTCTCGCGTTTCTTTCGGAAGGTTGTCCCCGCGCGAAGAGGATTTCACAGAAGAGGATGTAGTTGATCGTTTTGCGTGTTGCCCGAAAGTTTTCTTGTAGACAGCCATAATGGGTCCTACCAGCTCTGATACATCTTCAGTTTCCATGCTGTGCACCACCAAGCCAGGGTAGACACACTGAAAAACATCTTCGGTGCCGTCACTAGTTATTGTTTTCCACGTCGAAATCTCCTTCACAACATCAAGTGAATATTCTCCGTTGCTAGAGTTACGTCTGGACTGGAAGTATGTCTCGTCGACAAACTCATAATTTTGAGTTGAACATTGCATCTCCAAATGGAGTTTGACAGAAGGTTCTAGAATTTCGGTTCGAAGTCGAGATTTTGATCTTGAAGAAGGGCCAAAGTCAAACCAGAACGATAAGTCTCTCTCGAGAGCATTTTGTAGACGAGAGAGAAGTTTAGACTGTTCATCTTTGTACTCTCTGGAAGCACATAATGCAGCCAACGAATCTGCTTTCCACTGGCTGATCTTTGATTTTGCTGCCCGGTGTATCAATTAGTATGACAACTGTATTACTGAGTGAAGGCGAGCTCCCTACCTTTTCCCATCCTAACCATCTCTTTTTCAATACCAAGCAACGTATCTTCTTGAGATTCGGTAACGCCAAGTGGATATTGCCTCTTCAGGATTGCATAGAAGACGTATTTGCCAATCAAGAGTGATAGAATGAGGTAATGAAGCATATCTGAACTCTTCAGGCAATCTAATTTAGGGTCCGAGGCCGCTGGAGGTTGGTATTCAATACCAATAGCTCTCAACGTATAAGTCTTTTCCTCAGACTTGAGAGCATCTCTGAACTTAGTTTTGAAGTCGCCAGGCCCGTCAGAGGATGCGTAATCAATCCATGTCTCAAACGCTCGACATATTCTCTGATAGTCTTCTCTAATCGATCCATCGGGTACCTGGTATTCTTTGTGCGCCAATGTGGCTAGATGTAATGTTGATGCTTTTAATTCTCTTTTCAATTCTTCATTTTCTTTCCTGAGGTGTTCTTTCTCGCAATCATCGGAGTCCGAATCGTTCATTTTGGATCAGAGTAAGTTGTTTTTGTTGAAGATATCTTGCTATGTTTGTCGAGTCTGCTTCACGCACGCAAGAAAACGGAAAATTTTCGTGCTTACATTTATGCTGTGCGACCTTCCTCAGCCGTAAAATGCCGTTATATGTTTCACATGACAATAATTCTTAGTAACTTGGTTGGCTGCCTTTCCCAGTCGGTCAGCAAATTGGCCCAAAAAGGTTTATGATGATACCTAAAAGAATGAGGGGCAGGCGGCAAGTCGTATTGATCCCACACAGCCTACCATGTTTGATTGCCTGTGGCGTACACGGAAAGGGTTACACTGGCACTTTTGAGGATTTAGCATTGAAGAGCGCCTAAATATGAGCATGGAAGTACTACCATAGCTGGAAAATCCTACTATCAATGTCACAACGAAATGCGAAGTGGCTGATCAGCCTTTGTAAGAAATCCCGCAGAGCCTCAAATCAATAGATTATCAGAAGTCTTAGAAGCCGCCATTCCGCTCAAACAATATTACTTTTGTTTTTATTTTTGCCATCGCTTTTGATTAATTTTTGTAAGTATGTCGGATTTGAGCGATAAATTGGAAGTACTGATTGCAGTGGACTTTGGTACGTAAATCTTCTGTAATTGGCCGATAAAGTTAGCTGACACCACAAGGGACTACTTTTTCTGGTCTTTGTTGGGCTCTAAAAGATAAGGTATGCATGTCGTGGGTGAAAATGCTAGCCAAGAAGGCAGATTTGGCTAACGTTCTGATCTCTAGCCCAAAGATCACAATCTAGTTCAAAACTGGCCTGGAGATGGGGCTAGCCACAATAAGGTCCCAACGTGAGTAACTTTGTACCTCAGAGCACTCAGCTTCTGATTGTGAATCACAAGCTAAGAATCTTCTCAAAGAACACTACTTTACCACCCCGAGTATCTGTGGGGCTATAAAATTAGAGGGAGTGACCCCAGATATGAGTGGTTCAAGCTTGGTCTTCACCCGAGTGGTGAAGGCAAAGGTCTTGCAAAGGACTATCCGAGTACCACCTCCTTGATCGCACGTTCCACGGAGGATAAAGAGAGATTGGTAATCGATTACTTGAAAAATTTGAGAAAGCATGCCGAAACAATTATGGCTAACACGTACGGTCCATCGGTGTTTTCAAAAATATCAAGGGAATATATTATTACCGTCCCGGCTGTTTGGGATGATAAAGCTCAAGGTCGAACCCAGGAGTGTGCGAAACAAGCTGGTATGGGTGGTCATGTACAGATTATTACAGAGCCTGAAGCTGCGGGTATTTATGCTTTGACTAATATGCCAACGACTATTTTGAGGAAGAATGAGACGTTCATTCTATGTGATGCTGGTGGAGGGTAAGTCGGCACTATGTCTCTCCTCGTTAGCGAAACAACTGTCAAGCTGACACTTCAAATTCTCAGAACCGTAGATTTGGTTTCTTACACCATTTCAAAACTGCACCCGGTACCAAGACTCCGCGAAGCTGCGCGTGGAGAGGGTGGACTTTGTGGAAGCATATTTCTCAACCGGATTTTCGCCAAACACTTATCTGACAAGTTCGCCAATTACCCAGCTTGGGATGATGAATACCAAACTGATGCCCTGAAATTTTTCGAAGATGATATCAAGAAAAATTTCACGGGAGATACAAGCCAGTACTATTTCATTCCGGCTCGTGGCTTGAACAAACCAGAATTGGGTATCTACCAAAACAAGCTCAGACTTTCGGGAGAAGAAATCAAAAATATTTTCGAGCCCGTGATTCAAATGGTCATATCGTTGGTCACAACACAGATCCGTAAAACTGCTAGACCTGTTACTGCCGTTCTTATGGCTGGTGGCTTCGGCTCGAGTGAGTATTTGCGCATCAGAATTCAAGAAGTCGTTGGCCCCGATGTTGGGGTGAGAAAAGTAGCAAATGGGTATGTTTATTACTTGAAAGTTAAACCATGAAAGAGTTAACCCTATTTAGTGATACGGCGATTGTCAAAGGAGCTTTGATCAGTGGGCTTTCGAAGAAGGATCCTGGACATCCTTACGCCATCGGAAGTTTCGGAATTGACTCAAGAGTAGCTCGCAGGCATTATGGTACCATGGCTTATGATACTTTTATTCCAGGTGTGCATGACGAAAATTTGAAGTTAGTCCCCAGAATTCCAACCATCTTTCCAGAGTGTTGATTAAAATTTTCTAGGGAACCAAGCCCTTACTCATCTGGCTATGTTGTGCCATGTATGCAGTGGTTTATTCAAAAGGTATGCAATTTCCTTCAATGACAATTTGATAACTTCTCATTTTGATCGTAGAATACAAACGTCGAAGACACAAAACCAGTCGTGACACAAAAGCCATTTTTCTGGGAGAAGCCTGTCCTAGATGGAAGTCCGACATTTATAGAAGCAAGAATACATGTCAGTGAAAAGGATCAAGCACCATTGCATCTGGACAAGAAAAGTGAAGACCTACTCTTATACTCCTGAGTAAGGCTAATCATATTCCAGATGTTTCCGAGCTCGTTAAAATTCAAGCAGATATTAGCGGCATACCAGCAGATAGTTTTCCCAGAAAGACCGGAGTTGGTCACCAGGCGTTCTATCGAATCCCTTACAAAATAGAGACGGCGATTCATTCTGGAAGCATCACATTTGCTTTATTATATAGTGATCAGCGATATGAAGCTACCAAGGAATTTTTGTAGAGATTTGCTTAATTTTCTTCCTTTCGTGGATTGCGGTTGGGAGTGATTTGTGGAAAATGTGTATATATTTGAACTGATGTAAGCATGCGGATCATCCACTGGGATCATCGCCATCAAGTAAAGGGTTGAGAAGGTCTTGCGAATATAATTATATTGAACACATTCTCGAGCTTGTGTAGAGAAATGAACATAAGTGAGAAATTATTGTCACCTCAAGGCGAAGCCAAAGAGTCAAAAAGTGATACAGTGGCTAGCGGGATGTTGCTTCAAAATAGTAATATTTGTATGTTGCCTAGCCGCTCGGGCTACGAATTTGTACTCCTTCGAACCCAATCCAGAAATATGATAGGTCCCAAAGTTTTCGGTTGTCCGAAGGGCGTTATCATGATCCTGGGAAGACTACCTTGGTGTTACCCTTCATGCAAGGCTTTGTCATCTGGCTGACTGAATTGTTTTTGTTTACATCTTAGATAGCTTCCCAAGTCCTTAGAGTATGTTTTCTTACGTTGATATTATTGTCCATTGTGAGCTTCGATAATCGATATTCTCGAATCATCTCGGTCTTGTATACTTATACGAAAATTATATAAAATCATCATTATCAAAACCTCAAATTGAAAATATTCGCAGTGTCATCAAAGCTTGCTGATGGTCAGGATTTCTACCAATGCCAAGAACAGTGTCCAATCACTTGGTGTTGAGGTACTTCTTCAATTGTATGAACAAAAATGTATTCCACTTAGAAATTTCCGTTTCTTCCTATTTTATCTAACTTTTTCTCTCAGTCACTCCGAGCTAATCAAATATCGAGGCCTCTCCTGAGTCCTAAAAAAAAGCCCTTCGCATCACCCTCACATACTCGACTTGCAAACTTCTGCCGAATCTCGTACCACTCCTCACAAACCACAAAATGAAAGAAAACGATGCAATAGCTCTCATAGTGATTCTTCTCGTGTTCGCATTAATACTCGTTGCGTTTTTTATATTTAGACTTTCGAGGAGAACAGTTTATTATAGTGATTATTCTTCGAGTTCAGTGTCGGAATCGAATCCGACAAGTTCGCCACGGCCTCCTCTGCCGCCGCCGGGGATAGGGAGACCGGTTATTGGTGGAGCAGGAAGAGGTAGACCTGTTGTGGGAGTGGGAGGTGCGGGAAGACCTGTAGTTGGGGGTGCTGGACCTCCGCCTGGGGTTGGGTCAGGAAGACCAGTGGTAGGAGGTGGAATGGGAGGGTGGTTTGGTGGGGGAAGACCAGTTGTGGGGGCTGCTGGGGCGGGAAGACCGGTTGCTGGAGCTGGAAGAGGTGGAAGACCTGTTGTTGGGGATGATTGAGAAGGTTATTTTGCGATGTTCTGTGATTTGAGATACTATATAGAGTTTTGCTTAGGATTTGAGATGGAATAGGATTTTCGTTACTGGCCAATTTCTGGAGTTGCTTGATGTGCAGAATAGTAATCCTCTCCCAGACTAACAAACGTGTAGCTACGAAGATTAATCAGTCGGTATTGTAAATCTCGTAGTAATATGTATTTTGTATTTGAAAGATGCTTGGAAATGCTAGAATAACAAGAGCAATGTAACCAGCCAATATGTATAATACTAGATGCTATTTTGCAGGTTGACTTGTGTGACTATCATTTTGATATTTTGATAGATTTCCGAAGTCCTTTTTATCATAAATCAGAGTTCGATAGCGGATCTAGATGAGATTAGACCCTTCGGAGAGTTTACCTTAAGTACCTACTCAAAGACACAGAATAAATAGCTTGAGTGACCAGGTATGTGCCGCAATTCGCTTACATAATATATCTACAAAAGCGCGCCAATCAAAGATCTACCCGAGTCTCAAAAAGTTTTCACTCATCCCACTCTGATAACAAAATGAATATATTACAAAAAATTACCGATCTTCCATCAAAACACATCTAATCTGTTTAACGGTGAGATGGCCGAGTTGGTCTAAGGCGCCAGGTTAAGGTATTTAATTCTTAACATTAGATTATTACAATCTCCTGGTCTAGTAATAGGCGTGGGTTCGAATCCCACTCTCATCATTTTCTTTTTGCTTTTTGTTTCCTTTCTTGCTGGATCTCTGGGAAAGTGCCTTTCAAGGTCGAAATGAATCTTTGAGGGACTTCTTCCATATCTTTTGACTCTGAGCGAGGATGACTGGATTGAATCTAAGGTCTCGACCCCTCCTATTATATCCACTTATTTTCACGTGGAAAAACGGATAAAACGTTCTTGAAACATGCCTGAGGAAAAATGAACGGATCATGAAACATACTTGGATGAGACATACTAGGTACTGATGATCAATAATACAGCGCGTAGTTTTAGCCTATTGCGATTTGACATTTGACATTTGACATATATATCTTTAATAGGTATAGACATGGATTTGGGCACTGCTTTTCTTTATTTTGAGATGAATGGTGAATTGTATCTCACCGATTTTGCTGAAAGGGTTTGTCATTAATAATGTTGACGATCATTAAGACGATCACAACATGACGGCGAAGTTTTAACGTCATTACAATATATATAGAACAGAACCACATATTAGCATGAAACACACAATAAAGCAGGTACACGTTGCATGGTACATCAGACGGTCTAGCTTTTTCGTTTTAAGTAGAATGGATATCTATAAGAAACACTTCTCCGGCTTCTTGTTGTCGAAAATTCATTCTTCTAGTAAGACAAGCACACAACCATGCATTTTCCAATTTCCAAGTTGACTATACTTGCTGTCGCTGCTCTTTTCACATGTTCTATTGCAGTTGATGTAGAGGTAAACATTAATCATCATTTCCATTCCAAAAATTATTAACAACCCCTCGCTAGGCCAGACAGACCCCTTCTCCAGATCCAGTTCCAACGCCCACTCCAGCCCCAACGCCCACCGCAAAAACCACCTTAAATGCTTCACAATCTGCATCCCAATCAATGGAAATCCAAGCCGCACTCGCTTCCTATGCTTCTTCTCTCTCTGTAGCCTCAGTATCAGCTGTCAAGGCTGGATCAACGGTAGCTTCGTTACCGGGCTATACACTAGCTGCTTCCGCGGCTGGCCCCGGATCTTCAAATGCTGCGAAAGCCGCTACAGGGAACTCGGGCTCTGGGAGAGGTGTAGAGGTGGATATGGTGTGGGTCAATGTTGGAGTGGGATTGGTGGTTTGTGCGGTGGGGTTGTTGTGAGGGGAATGTTTTGTGGAAAGTTGGGGATGAGAAGAGATCCTCACTTTCAAACAGGGAGTGAAGCGTAGAAGATTTGGAGACTTCCCAATCCTTCTTTACTTTTTCACTTGAGTTAAAGTTCGGGAGGAATATCAGCTTTCAAGATGATTTGGAAGATGAAAAAGTCAAACTATGGCTCAAACATCGAAGATTGTCAGTTTGGTCAATGATCATCTGATAATCAAGTTCAGATGTCGCATAGCACTACTAAGTGTCGCATGAGATATACAAGGCCGCCGACATGGGACATGGCTATCAACACAGCTTGGCTATGCGTATAAAGAGTCAATTTGGTGGTATGTGTATGATTGGTATGGACAAAAGTCGTGTTTTATCTTGCCTAATGACCGGATCAAAGTGAATGCGGGTACATTCATATGGATTGGATAATGAATTTATGAATTTATACGAATGGGTTGCTGGTGGATTGCATTATTCAATGTAGAAGGGATAGGAAATCACAGATGAAATACGTTTATCGCTAAATAGAAGGTCAAATAAGGAAAGGGTGAGAAGGCAAAGTTGCTCTTTCCGCTTCATTTAGAATAGAAATCGAACAAACTAGCTATTGCAACCCTTCTTTCCCCTTCTGTATCCATATAAACATAGGTGTAAATTCGTTTCCCGTTCTTAAATTTCATCTCTGCATCATACATACCATAAAATTCATTGTCTAATGCTCTTTTGGATTTCCCTTCACTTTTATTTCTAAAAACACAATTCATTGATCCGTCTCATTCTTTCATTTCCAAATTTTCAAATCAGGAGATTGCAAGCCTCGTCTTGATACCATTACCTATCTTTGACATTCATTTTTGTATCATACGTGTCATACAATTCCAGATGTATAAAGAAATAATTATTGCCTTTATAATCGGCTTCATCCGTACATCAATTGTCGTCTCTATCATCTACTGTATACTCACTTCACTGTATGATTATTTTGTTGAAATCACTCGTCGTTCTTGAACGCGGTACTGTACATTTTCAACCAGAGGAGTGCAGTCATGTCGGCGCCAGTTCAAATCTTTTTGGCCGAAAGGTCTTTAGAAAAGGAGCTGCAGTGTATCTATGGCAAATTGATCCAGGACGATGAAGATTTTCGAGCAACCTATCTCTATGTCTTAACTGGACGTGGAGCTTCACCGGTAGATCACCCTGCTGCCTGGAGAGCGCCGAGATTACGATCAGTGAGCTCTCTCAGTGAGGTAATTAATAACATTCTATCTTCCAATAGCTGTTTGCAATACTCATCATCGTTTTATTAGTCAACCTCCTCCCACAGATTTATAGGCTCATACATCGCTCACAACTGTGATCTCATCAATCGGGTTCCATTTACTCCACCCCGTTTTGATCTCATTGATATAAGAACGAATTTACCGATACCCGCAATTAACATGACGAAGTTTATGTACTTTCGCTACCATCATCTGCCCGCCAAAGAACTCAGAGCAGCCTCTCCTCCTCCTATTGGAAGAAGGCCTTACCACCAAGATTTTGAGAATTACAGGAGATCCATTGAAATGTTTGTGAACGATATTGAAGAACGAACGATAGAACGAGCCCGAACAATCACATCTATGATTGTGCTGGCAAATATCATGAGCGAAGAGTTTAAACGAAGATGTAGATCGATAGCGAATCACTTCCACTTGGAGACGTTCTTCTACAATTCCGTGACCGATGACCAATTGTACTACGTCTTTACTGATTTCTGGTCAGCTATCGACTTTAGGTCCCTTCAAGTCAGCGATAAGCTTCCACAATCTCCTACAGAGCAAGATAAATGGCGATTTCAATTAAGAAGGTTTACCAAAGTGACATTTGCTTGTTTAGCACGCGATTACTTCAAATACTGCTTGCAGGTGACCAGGGTAAAGAAGGGTCATAATCGATATGATTCAAAGCAACCGTCAGAACGGGAGGAGAAGTTTAAGGAGGAGAAGGCCACTTACGAACGATTGTGTCGTAACCTGAGGGACTATCCCAATATAATTGGGGAAAATGAAGTTGTCAGAAATTTGTACATAGAGACTCTTGCACCTCCCGACCAAAATACACAGCTCATTACAGAACCGCCAGGAATCGAGATACGAGACGCTCACATTCCAGGCTTTGGGGAGATTTTTTTCGATGTAGAGAAAGAGAGAAAACGCTTCAATACGGGTTTGCAGAAAGTGGCGCACGAGTGGCGGAAGCCGCCATCGTTGGTACTTTTGAAAGACGCTCGGGATTTCCATGCTACGCGGGATTTCCTCGTCGACTGCAATCCACCTATGTAATCATATTCACAAGGATAAAAACCAGCAGCTCTAAAAGCTTCAGCCTTAAAAGCAGGAAATAATGTATATAGGACTGCCAGGAATTGTAGACCATAGCGAGAGGGCATATTGTTTGTCTCTCATTAGCAAAGTATATACAGCATTTGACTGATCTATTGACGTGAGCCTCAACTCTCTGTCGGTGCTTGTGTTCTAGATGATTGAGCAGGGCGGCAGAATCACAGTTTTGTAATGTTGTGGGAGGTGACTATGCAAGATGAATAACTATGCAAGGAGAATGCGACAAGTTTCAAGAATAATGTTAACCTCATTGCCATACGTATCGAAGACGATTACTTGTTGACTACCTAGGTACTAGGCATTGAAATTATTGTGAGGCGTGATGAACGGAGAGGACAGCCCCATATAAAGACCTAGATAGCCAATCATTAATGATTTGATTAGATTTGCTTACTACTTTCCCATTCCAGCTCGCCGCAGTATGATCAATGCAGAGTCTAACCAATCGGAGCTCATATCTCGCTTGGGTTAGAATCTATTGTGGGCCAACGCGGCGCAAGGCTCATGACAATGGAGGGCCTCCAATTTTGAAGGGAATACAAAACTACCTTGTCTGTCAGACCTCATTCCATAAAACTTTCTCTTCATTTTCGTGTTCACCTAACTTATCTCCCCTTGATTGTCGCTTGGAACCTCTACACCAAAACCACCTGTTGGCCTTGCTGCCCCAATGCTTATTTCCCTTCCAAGTTAATCGTATCGTAAGTTTTGAAATATTCCTCAAGAATTAATGATACCTTAAATGGTTACCTTAAATGGTTTAATGTATCCTAACTCCTCGCAGTACTATTAATATGGAATGCTTAAGTCCGGGATCTTCTGGTTATAAACCAGCTCCATCAATCTGGCATAAAGACCCCGACATTAGCAATGATCCCTTACTAAGCTACGTCGGGAATCATATGGTTCATGTCGAGGGCATCAAGATGGCAAAGTTCAATGTGGATCGCGCCGTATACACTCTAGAGCGGATGATTCGTCTACCAGACGATGACGTTCAAAGCCTTTGCATTAACTGCATTCCCGATTGGAGCGCGCGGGGGGATACCGCTTTATAACTTTTCCAACCTTTTCGATAGCCGCGGGCACTGTCATATCAATATGTAGCTCGCAAAGCTACCATTTCCCGACTTTCCTTCTATTCGCTAAATTTCCTTTCACGGTCCTGGTTTTATACTTCCGTATTTTCCCTTCGACGCCGGGAGCCTTACTCTTCGACAGTTTGTCGCCTAAAGGTGCTACACCGTCGACTCCCTCGAAAGAAACCAACGACTTTTTATTTCATTCACTATATTTTGTTTTTGTTTTCACCGGAATTCATCTCCCGAAGCGAGTGTATCAGCATCTTATATTCTTCGGTGATTTTGAACAAGTCACCTGGGAGCATCGAATCAGTCGATGCCACAGAAATGATCATTGCCATAGCCATTTTCATCCTCATTTTTCGCAATTGACCTTGCGCTATTGCCACGAGTTACTGCGAAGATTTGACATCTTTATTATGGATGGGTTTGACAACACTTCGATGGTTCTTTTGGACATGACCGATGTACGTCTTAAAACTGCATATTTGACCGATAAAATCATTTCAAAATCGCTTGCTCCGTCTACACATCTTTTCAAAGACCGACAAGCTGTCCAAAACGAACAGAATACAACCATCGACAAAAACTCCCATAATAACAATCATGGATGACACAGAGGGCAGCTCGAGCTCGCCATCTTGGTCTCCAAATGCTGACCAAATTCCATACGCTTACACAGACTTTGCGTGGGGGGCTGATATAGACACGAACGCTACTGGCTTGGAGTGGAATAAAGACTGGCTCGAGGGAACTTCATTAAACTTCGAGTCATCGCAGACCACTTCGAATGCCAGTGGAGATAGCTTACAATATCAACCAGGGACTAACTTCAGTGGAGAATGTGATAACAGTGGTGTTTATGCTGCGAACGAGCTAGAAATACTGCCTGTACCAAACTGGAATAATTCGAACGAGACATTGGGCTTAGCAAATTTGGACGATCTCGACAACCTCTTGTCCTTATCTCCTACAGATATGAACGGAGTCATTACAAATTCACCATCATCACTCGATTATTCCATTGGCCCAATTTTTTCGACCACTAGTACCGACCTTCTCGCTAAAGATATTCATTGCAATCCATTCCCAGCAACTTTCAACCATACAGAGGCCCAACAAGCCTATGAGTCTTATCCCATCGAATGGACCACCCATTTACCGATACTAGACAACACTGTGTGGGACCCAATGCAAACTTCGCTATATATAAGTTCGTCCACTGGAGTTCACCTCCCTTCAATATCTTCCGCCACACTATCTCCTATTTCAAGCAACTCTGAAATTATGTCATCTCCCACGCAATATTCCAATACCAACACTTCTATCTCAACATCTCAATCCAATTCCAACTCAACTACACCCTCAAGTGATCGCTCCACATCCAATTCACCACCAAGTACCCAGAATGAATACACGTGCATAATTTGCTCCAAAACATTTTCTAAGAGATTCGAATTCAAGTATGTTCTTCCATTTACCATATTCTCACCTTCAAATTTTCCATATCCATTTTTCTCCACTTCAAACACTCACTAATTACTCCTCCAGCAAACACAAACCCCTTCACACGCTTCCCCACGCTTGCACCCTCTGTCCGCACCGCACAGCTCGACGCAGAGACATGGCGCGCCACATTGCAGCCAAGCACAAGGACGTCGCTCTCTCGGGCCCCAGACCGGTGTCAAAACCTATTTGTCCCGTGGAGGATTGCAAACAGGGGTTTGCGAGATCGGATCATTTGCTTAGACACTTGAGGAGAAAACATCCTGGATATGAGTTGAGATCTTGAGGTTTCCGTTTCATTTTCATTTTCATTACTGAGGTTTGATTTAGTATGGCGTTAAAAATGTCTCTGGGATAGAAGTAAACAATTAAAAAAAATTAAAAAATTTGAAAACTTAAACTGCATGGCTTGATGTCACTAATTACTCGTCGCATGCGTGTCCTACACTTCTGCTGAACTGCAATCCTCAAACACTTAAGAGAATAAAACATTATTCATATTCATATAAGTCGTAATCAACAAACACCTATCCAATATTACACATTCAAATCCCCAACATAACCCCCAACCCCAACGCAGCCGGCACCGCAAAATTTGTAATTTGGGCCTGAAATCTTTCCGCTCCTCCTTTACTCGTACTCGTCGCCGTCGGACTCGCCGTCCTACTACTACTCACCCCGATACTCATATCAATATCCTTCATCTGCAACTCCACCGGCTCGCTCGCATGAACTGTCTCGGATCCAAATTGTATCAGTCCGAGATACATATCATTCGTAATATTTCCAATCGAGACCAACTCTTTTACAAGCTCAAAAACATCCGCATCGATCGATTCCTGATACACAGTTGGAACCCACGAAAACACAGCTTGCTTTTGTCCTTGTTGATTGCGCCCGGTGAATAGTTGATAAGTGACGCCAGATAAATTATACTCCGGAGCGCCGGTAGGAGGGTCGTAATATCCGATTGGCCAGACGCCACCCCAGACGGATTGCCAGATCATGACTTCGTGTGTTGCCTGGGATGCATTGGTCGAGGAGACGTTGTTCATGTCCAGGAACATGTCGAGGGCAATGTCGGCTTTGCAAGCGATGGCATTGAGGGCGGTGGTCATGTTTGAGGCGCTTGGGGAGGCGACGGGGAAGACGGACCAGCTGCCGCTGAGGTGGAAAGACTCGACATTGCTCACTGGCGTGGGGAGTTGGATAGATTCGTAGCCGACGTTGGGGTAGGCGTGGACCTGAGGAATATTAGGGTTGAAGTTCTCAGAGTGGCGACGAGGTTGAATGGGATGGGGGACATACATATTCGATATTATTTTCCCAAATCCAGGTCGCATTGAAACTTGCGCCATTGGTATCTGCCAGAAGAACCTATAGGAGGCCAAAATCAACATCAAATCCTCGCAAAATTCAATCGCAAACTTCGGATTGGAGATCATAAACATACAGTCATATTCTGACTTCCACTCCCATCATCACCCCATTTATTCGACCCATACAGATAGTCCCCCGAATCCGTCAACGCACCACCATACTGTTCATTCAAATCCTGATACTGCGATGACTTCGCACTTGCATCTCTCGACTGTAACAACAGACACCAAAACCACAATCCCCATAAGGGAATACTCTGACGTTTAAACATGTGAAAAGAATAACGATTACAAGTTGTGGAGTTCTACGGGGGGAACTGCATATCAAATGTATTTATTCCAAAAGACCAACCTCGTGAGATCCATATTTTCAAGTGGATCGATACGAGGATGTTCGACTGTACACGCAATTTTGTTTGCTATCGCCAACATCATCTTCCTTGAAAATATCGATACCCGAAATTGAAGGTGGGCCGCAAGCATCAAGGGTTGTGTTTTGGAATTCTGGGAAAAATGCCAAGTTGAGGATCATTTCTCCATGATGTTCTGTGATGCATTTAAGCTTAGTTTACGAGCCAAGAGAATATATAAGAAGAAGAATCTTCGAAGTAAGATTCTTTAAACACGCGTTGGATTGATCGTTTTCTCTTCTTGGTTGACGAAGCTTTTAATGTCTACTTCGTGTTATTAATGTCAATCGATGTAAAAATAGATTTCAAACTAGTATTGCCCTGAGCAGTTCGGATGCTCGGGGCTCAACGGCCACTAATGTATCGATAAGCCCATTTTGGTCCCACCTTTTGCTCAGGGGTAAAGTCGGTAGATGTCATTCGCACGTGAGACAGGAAAGATTTGTCTTTGGCACGTGCACGGATTCGTGAGGCAGTGGATTTGAAGACAACTTTTGCATCATTGCTTCAAAAGCTTTGAGACTTTGTAGGTTTTCGTTGAGATCAAACAATATTTGGATCAATTTTGATTGTTCCCGCTTTGAATCACGTCTCACGAATCTGTACACCCATTGTTGGTGCTCTAGTATTTGAATCGATAGGTTGCATGAATGTGACTCGAACGTCTGATACCAAAGAAGAAGCAGATAATCGACTGTATTTCCAAGCATGGCATGCATGTTCTCTCTTTTTCAGAAAATTTCGTACAACCGGGGAGTTTGATTTGTTATTGTTTCTCAAAATATCAAGACGTCCAACTACCTGCTCGCTAGGTAATCCTCCCTCATCTTATATTATACAGCGTGTCTTGAAGAGTTTCGATTACTAATCTACAACCGAGTCGCAGATAATCAGAACATTGGTCCATAGCAATCATGAATAATGCTTAGCTGCAGCTGCTGAATCGGAATGGTCTACTCTCCAAGCGTTGAGGTAGATTGGCTTGATTTGGGACGGAAAGCAAGATCTTGGGGTGTTGATAATGGGGGAAGTTGACCAGAATCTGAGATGTCAGTTTCTTCGCCGTTAGATAAATCCCCGTCAAGATATTCGTTGGTGGAATATTCGCTATAGTGAGATCCTGCACTAGAGCCATGATCACCTTTCCTAGGGAATAAATCGACGATATCAGAACGACCAATGATGGCAGCAAGATCCTCCGCAGTATTGCCGTAATCGTCTTTGTGGGAAGTATCGGCACCAGCAGAAAGAAGTGCCCACACAGCTTCTTCATTCCCTAGACAGCAGGCCAGATGCAAGTAGGTCTGCCTGTGACTGAGACGAGCTCCTATATTGGCACCCGAGATAAGTAAAGCATACATGGCTCGCAAATTCTTAGATCGAATGGCGATGGCAAGTGGCGTAAGATCCTGGTGATTACGAATTTCTAAGTCGGGCTCATGTGCTAACAATAATCGTAACTCCCAAAAATCTGCTGAGTCGTGGCTGCCTGATAGTAAATGTAGATATGAACGTGTCTTTTCATCTACAGCTAAAGATCCACCGCTTTCCGCTAAAGTTTTGTCTGTGGGCACGTCTTCTGTGTTAACCACTGAAAAAGCGTAGTCGAATGATTCTATAGCAGGTAAGTCATTGTCTTGATCCTTTTTCACAAATGAAAAGGAGCTATCACTGTCTTTGTAATGAAAATTTACCTCATCTAGTCAGCCTGTCCATTGATAGCCATTATTGCCATTCTTTTCGTTGTCAGTTGTGGTATAAGCTTCGTGCTCACCTACCACAGACGACCGATCATCACTGCCTTCTTCGTCGCTGCCTCCTTCGTCGCTGCGCTCCTCGTAGCTACTTTCTTCCTCAGGCGCCGAAATATAATCTTTCTGTAGCCCATCTTCAATGCGCAGACTGAATAGCTCCTTCATATAATCTACCGTGCAATAACGAGCCAATATATCTTGCAGCAATTGTATGTGGCTGCCCAAGTCCTTCGCCAATTGTCCGAAAATATATTCGACTTTGTCGACCGAGTTTGCTGCGTGAAGCAACCTTTCAAGCAGACCGGGGTTCTTCTCACACGCACTTGAAACATCTCCCTCTTGCCATATTTTGACAATAGATAACATTTCATCTGAGTTAGTTTCTGAACGGGATATTAGTAGCTCTATTGGAGTGATATTCATATTGTTTGAGATGGTCAAATTCGCCTGATGTTGTAGAACGGCTGTCAGGATTATTGAATGTGCGCTTTTCCAACGATACTTGAACTTCACCCCTTCCAAAAATTCGTGAAGAATCGTGTTCCCTACTTCGTTTCGCCAGTTGAAATCCAGCACAATATTGTTGTTCCCCAGTCTAAAGATAAGGCCAAGTACTGCCACAGATGATGCAATTTCTGGAAAGGCTAATATCTTTGAGATTATCTTTTCAAGGCAGTTTGGAGAATTCACTCTTGAAGATCGGATGAACTCCAACATTGAGGCGCTCAGTTTCGTTATCCAATGCCCAGTATGCTCTTGTGAAATAGGAGTTGTGTCCGCTCTGTTATTTCGTGATATGCCAAGAAATTCAATATCGAGAAAAAGCTCAAGGCTTGACGGCGAATAGTTGGAATGAGATAGATCATCATGAATAATTACAAGAAATAACGGCAATGTGTCCGGTGCGAAATGTGCGAAATTCGTTCGTGCTGCCCATGTTAGGAATTCGACGGGCAGGCTAGCATCGTCATAAAGCATTTCTGAGGGGTGATATCTCGCATCTTCTTTATGACGAGTGTATTGAAGAAATGTACTTAGACTCTCAATGGAGAAAGTTGGGTTTTGATCGAATATGAATTGGAAGAAATTGGTGTCTTTCTCGTCATATCGAAATGCGAATGTAACCCAGTGCTGATAGAGATGATCTATGACATCGATATTCTTGAGATCTGCACCAGCTATGATCAAATCTTTGATAGCCTTCTTCCTCGACTCCCATCTCCAATCTTTCGATTCCTCAAGTGCCACCTCACACAATATCTGTGCGTCCTCATATATTGCGTTATGGCACAGTATCGCACACTCAATTGGACTGCCAACAACGCTTGGTGCATTTACATCAGCTCCACGATTTATGAGCGCGGTGCAAATATCGGGCAAAGCAACCATAGCAGCCCAGTGAAGAGCAGAAGGTCTTGATGACCCTATCACGCAATTCAGCTGATTTGCTGGTAGAAGATCATCTGACTCTAACAAGTCAGTGATACGGCAACAAGATACCATTGCGTAATGATAGCGACCAAATGTCCACAATCTGTAACTACTTCTCGTTTCATCAAAAAGCAGTAACACATCATTCGAAATTTCGCTCCATGTACTTTGATGAACATGGCAAGCCCAGAAACGGAGAACATAATCTATGAACGAGTAGTTGCGCTCGAAGTCCTCCCAGGCTTCATCGAAATCTGCCAACTCCGGTTTGAGATTTGTCACTGGTAGCGGCATTCCATCAAATTCCGAAAGGCTCAAGAAGTCACAACACATTCTCACAATCTCGGCATGATCTCCAGAGATTCTATATTGTGAAAGACCTGGACCATATTCTTCAGAAAGGCTTAAGAGGTATTCTTTCACTGTAAAGTGTGCAAGCTCTAGCTCATCCGATTGAGACTTCTGGCGAATGAGACTACTACACCAGTTGAGGAGTTCGTCCAATGTAGTCATATTTTCCTTCTCGAAAGTCTCGTCGCCAGGTCTTACTGCAAGTGCTTGGAGCAGTTGTGCTATCGATAGCGGCTCTTCGGCGTATACCACCCAAAGGAGTGTATGCCTGACAAGGGTTTGATTCTCTTTACTGCTTCGATTGACCCTATCAAGAATACGTTCGTATGATTTGGGCAGATTTGGAGGTAATTTGCGTAAGGCTTCACGGCGATCTCGATCCGTACTGCATTCGCAAAGGTAGTCCATTTGACATGCAACCCACCGAAACCTAAATGTACTCAGCTTCACACGTAGGCTGTTTGGAGTAAAGAAACATACATGCCATCAGCGCCTTCTGTAAGTACTTTGACAATGTGGTCTTTCAGGTTATGATCTCTAATACGGAGCTTGCCGAGTTTCGTTCGCTTCTCTATCTCAGAATGCACATAAAGTCGCAAGTCACCACTTTTTGCCGCAATGGAAACACAGGGATAATCTTCCAATATATTTCGGATATCAACCTCATTGCGACTCGCCAAGAGGGTTTTGATTGTTCCTGATGGCTTGTTCAAGGATTTCAGAAGTCCTGTGACCTCTGCGCGATCTTCAGCAATCTCATCTAGGCCGTCTACTACGATACTGGTAGTGGAGAAATTTCTTGATAACTCGACGATAAATTCGCAAAGATCGTCAGTGGTGGCTGAGCCTTGAGTGGTTTCCGTCATGTGGTGCTTCTCGCAGAAAGCTTCCAGTTGCGTAAAAGCATCTTCATGCTGAAGAATCAGTTGTCGCGCCAAAGCCCCCAGAATGATCCGTGAATCGTGAGTCTGAGTATCCTTATAATCACAATAGAACATTGCAAGTCCTTTTCCAGAGTGTCAGTCCAAGACCTTATTTAAGAGTATATATTTTCCATACCATGAGATGAATCCTGGGTTTGTTCAATCTCTTTTATAACAGATGCCCTATTCGCAATTCTTGATTAATCCCTTTTGAATCTAATTTTGACTTCAACATAGGTATGCATATGACTTACATCAGAATCGTTTTCCCGGCTCCAGCTATGATTGTCAGAACTCATCTGATACATTGAAGGCTGGATTGTGACAAACGTATTCCATGGATCCATAACTTTGAATTGCCTGTAGATGCCCAATCCTTGAAGTCCTTGCTCTCGGTGAACCAGACGCCTGTTCCAGGTTGTCTCAATCTAATATTCGAATTTTGCCATTTCATGACATCGATGGTACCTAGAAGATTGAGCTTCTTCTTTACTCTTTCGTCTTCATCATAATCAGCACAAACATAACTGTATTCTATTAGACCCAGAACTCACCCGCAGCCAATCTTTGCCGTTCTTTTCGGGAAGCCTCCATCCTAGCATTTATGGCAGCGACGCCTTCATTAAGTTGCTCTTGGTTGGCAAGTATCTCAATCAAGGTAGACCTGTACAAGTCAGTCAAGTAAAAGACGACAATGTGAATGATGTGTGCCACATTTGTTGAGTATTTAAAGCCATGATCATGGTAGATTTGTGATTCTGGATCTCTTTCAACAACTCCGAAATCGCTGCTTTCTTAAATGGCCACTTTAGCTTCTGAGATGTTGACTTTACTGCTGGTATAGCTTTCTCGAGTTGGTCTGTGATTTTCTCTAGGGTTGTTTGACAAGAATATAGATGTTGTATCTTGCTGGAGCTATGCACCGAATTATCTTGCGTTTCCAGTGCCTGTGCCACATTGTCGAGACTATGAAGCACACCAGAAAGGTTGTTGACTTCTTCAACGAGATTTTGGACAGACTTTTCAGCATCTTTGACATCTCTGATATATTTGTAACCCAGCCGAACAACCGTATCAGCTAGCGATACCAAGCCAGCAATGCTAGAGGCAACACCGAGAGCCTCAGCCATTTTATGACTTTTGGTTGGTCCTCTGGGAAATTGAGAATATGAATTTAATATTTCAAACAGAAATTTGGGACAATGATACACAGCGACACTAAAAAGGTATCGAAACCTGCGTCATGAACTGAGCATACTGCTCAACACGCGGAGTCATTGATGTTCTTATAAACCCATTTTTCGGAATGGACGTCGGTATGAATTTGCTTCGCCTCATGACACTTTATCGCATAATATAGCCTTGCCGTGCATGATATTGTGCAAGAGTTTGGAGTGACTAAGAAACGATTGGAGCTAAAGATTGGAAAGTGAAGCGTGTGGGAGCTGTGCAAAATGGAAGACCAATAATAAATGATTTGACAAGTCAGCATAGCATCCTAGAGATATGGTCTTACACCCAGTGATGAACGATAAGACACCCAGTTGAGAATGGGGATTGTAGAAAATCGCCTTGCTTACTGCTTATCAGTCCATACAAAAAGACGTAGTATACTTTTGTCGCAATCCTATGCTAAAGATTATCACCACGCACCCATACCCGTAACAAAGATAACATGGGACTTGTTTTGAAGTACAGCTCAACGTTGAAAAAGGTATCCATTCATTATTCATAATATCAGCAATCGCATGTCTCTCCTTTCCATTTCCCAAACACCAGTAAAAGTCCAAATCCACATAAACAATCTCTCATACCATGTGGTACTCCAAAATCCTCCCCTTCCATCGCTAGCATCTCAGGAAAATGTTGTCATCCACCCTTCATCGATTTCCATAATCTCAATCCTCTCCCGACACCTCACATAACAGTGCAAGGAATAGGAATGCAACAGCATTCATATCCATCACACTCCAAACACTTTGTCTTTCCAGTTGTACTGGTACCCTTCACGATATCGGAGATGGTAGATGAGGCTGCGGAGCCAGGACCGTTGCGGTTGACGAGGCCGGTGGAGGTTGAGGTGCACATTTTCGAGTTGTTTTATGTGATTTAGATTGAGGATGGGGTTGAGTGTGTGTGGTTTTGAGGTCTGTAGTGGAAATGTTGTTAATTTTGTGCCTGATTATTTATGATGACGATACAAGCTTGATAAGGTGAATGTCTTAGAATGTGACGGCTGTGGCGTCATATTTGTGGTACTAGCTAGCATCACAACCTCATCATAGCTATAAGAAATTCGGGGAGTATCATAACTTACATCAACGTTGTGATTGATAGTTGTTGAGAAGATTTCTGAATGGGGTTTGAATCTTTGAATGTGTTTCTTGTATCTGGGAAGGAAGGGCCAAGGAGGGAAGTGAATGATAATATATATAATTCTAGATGTGGCTTGATACAAAGAAAGTCAATTGTTGCGCATGAATCTTGGAAGCTTGGAACGCGCCTATTAATTGGCTCATCGTCATTTTGGACGATGTAATAGTGGAGGCGCAATTAGCGGACAATCATTATAACTTTTCTTATAGAGAATTGAACCTTGGTTAAGTTTCGGGTTTCAAGGGTCTGGTTTATCAATTTTAGATTGCTATGTGGCATTAAAAATATCCTTGTACCCAAGCATTTATTCAGTTGTCTCGTCCGACTAGGTCTCAAAAGCTGCCAAGTGGCTGTAGATTCCCACCTCCGTGCTGGTCTACCTTCTTCTTATTCAACGAACAGGGGAGCTTAGATTCGACCAAGATACCAAGCAGTCTAACAATTGAGATCAACTCGTCGGTACCAGAAACGGTTACAGCCCGTGAGGCTGTGGTGGCTAAGCCTTACCATTGCAGAATTCATATGCCGGTCTTTCACAGATGATATTTCGAGGGAATTGACAACGCCTCAGTAGACGCGTCTCGTCCGATGATCTCTTTTCGGAACAGGGCAGTAACATCTGGACGCATGGCACTAGCAGATGGCTGTGTTCTATCCCGGGCTTCTGGAATCGCCTGGACAATCATCTTTCAGCCAAATTCCAGGTCCAATTGCTCCCAAACATCTTTCCCTTCGTCCTCTATTACATTCTCATGTTCTTGACCAGTGGCATTCGCCTCATCTCCTAGTTTGATCTCGACAAATCCTTCTAGCATTCCTTCGACCTTCTCCTTCATCTTCATGATGCCCTCAGTCTCCGCCTTGGATTTGTCTAATTGGTCCTGCATCATTGCAATCAATGATTCTCGTGCTTGATAGGGTCGATATTCGTTCAGCAAATGATGGAAATTGGCGAATATAGTATGCAAATCCCCTATCTTTTCGTGGCTCTATGAATGTCTCAATTAGCATAGTTCTTGGCGAGAAAGAAAGATGGCTTCTCATACCTGTTCTGGATGAATACTCATTGTACCAACCAATTCTAAAAAGTTCAATAGTAATGACTTTGCGAATCGTTTGAGAATCAGTTTGCGATCCTCATGCTTTCCACTTCCTGTTGGTGTGGTAGGTGGTGTATATATTTGCTCAATGCCCTCTTCAAGAGGAGGAAGTTCATTCTTAATCTGCCATTAAATATTAGTGCTTCTCATCCTCAATTTGACAGATCGATGTTCAGTAACGTTCAACATACTTGTCGGATTTGTCCAAATGTTCTGTAAACTCCAGTCGCTGGTGGTTCTGGGGGTTGCAGAAATCGCAGTTCGGCGGGAACATCATGAATACGAGGAGGAAGCTTGTAAGATAAATTGTCGGCGACCTTGTAGTTTGGAAAGTTCTCCGCGCGTAGCTTCTCTATCCGTTCAAGATTATCGGTAGTAAATTGCTTCCAAAATAATGGTGGACCGGGGGAAACTTGTGCTATCAAGTTTGGCTGCTGCTGCTGTTGTTCCGCCATAATTGATTTTGGTGGGGGTTATCTTTCCATGGAATTGAGATAATTGGCTAAACCTGTGATAAGTCAAGCTCTCGCAATGTTGTGGAGTTGTCGAAAGTTGAATGCTTTTGTTTTAAAAACAATGGTAGATGGATTTGGTAGACAATCATTGATTAGATAGTAGCTAATAACCGAAGATCCCCCGGTGTCAGACAAGGCTGAGGAAAGTGGGTCGCGTGCCTTTCAAGGTACGTCTTCTTACGAACTGCCCAGTCAATAACTCAAAACCAAACATTCTGGCACAATCATTCATTTTTTTGATATATACTCCTTCAATGAGAAGAACTTGACTTTTACCGCTGCGCTGTGTCGCAAGAATGTCTCGAATCGGACGAAATAATGGAGGATTGACCTCAAAACCCGGTTGGATTGGTGCAGTAGCACGTTTCTGGGAGGTAAAGCCATTCAAACACATTACTTTATTTGTATTTTCGCCCCCCTAACACTTCTATTCTAGAAAAGCTATGCGCCAGATTATGTTGGCTTTGTATTGCTGTTGACGGCATACATTTTGGTAATTCCCCTGGTCCATTTTCCCCTTCTTCTACACGTACAAGTTCTAATCAACCCCTTTATTCAGATCGAATTTCTTCAAGAGCCATTCCACCGCATGTTTTTTATAAACAACATCAATATTCAATACCCACATGCTTTGGTGGAGAGAGTACCCGTTGGATGGAATTTGATATATGCAGGAGTTATTCCATGCATAACCTTGGCTGTTTGGCTTGGAATTTCGAAAGCGAACCTCCACAAATCCCATGTCACTATGTTGGGCTTCTTCATAGGACTGGTTCTCACATCATTTATTACTGATGTTATCAAAAATGCTGTTGGGAGACCTCGACCCGATCTTATTTCTCGCTGCAAGCCTACGCCTGAAACACCAGAAAATAGATTGGTAACCATCCATGTATGCTCGGAAAAAGATCACCATACATTGCATGATGGATGGAGAAGTTTTCCTTCTGGTCATTCTTCCTTTGCATTCGCTGGACTTGGATACCTCGCATTTTTCTTTGCTGGACAAACACATGTGTTCAGACCTAGAACTGATCTCGGGAGGGTACTCTTAGCCCTCGCTCCATTGCTTGGAGCTGCCATGATTGCGATTAGTCGATGTGAAGATTACCGGTAAGTTGCGCTGTCATTAATTTTTGATGACAAGTACTAACGCTATTATAGTCATGATGTGTATGATGTAACATGTGGATCTATTCTTGGCATTTCTCTAGCATATTTCTCATATAGAAGGTATTTTCCAAGGCTGCATTCCTCGAAGTGTCATGAGCCTTACCCGTCACGGGAAGCTGCATTCAACCAAGGGTTTGGAAAGATCAAAGACGATGAAGAAACGGAAGTGGGCAGAGCTAGAGAGTTTGATGTATCTGACAATGAGAGTGATACATCCTAAATCCCCCCCCCCAAAAACAACAACTGGCAGTATGAGCCCATTGTATAGGTCAAGCCTCGTTTCTATGTTCCTGAGTCTCCCAGTTACTTTAAATTCATTTACAATTTACCTCATTTGGGAAAAATGACTTGCTTTAGCTCTCTTTGTGTGTTTGGGACAATTCTTCGAGAAATCTCGTGGAAGTCTTTGTGACCATTATAACGGTGATTGTCCTTTGTTTTATGAATGTTAACTTCACGGCAAATCACTCGGTGCTTTTCTATATCTGTTCAATTTCAATTTCATATCACCCATACTATTCTTGTCTTTGATACATCATTTCTTCTGACACCTAGGCTTCGGGGGGGGTATCATTTTTCTACTTCGCGTTAATGATATAAAAACTGGGCGATAAGGACTTTGTTTCTATCGTGTTGACATTCTCCTTATGCCTGGTTCTGAGCTTGAAACAATATGGCCGGCGCACTTCCTCCCGTCAGGCATGGTCGACTGGTACATCTAGCTGAACTGTTAAAATTCGGGCGAATTGAGGTGAAACGTGCTTCTCAGTGGCTGCAAAATCATTCTCTGTTGCTATTAGCTCTTGGAGCATCCTCAGTATATCGAACATGGTTCACTACGCCACTGACTGGCTTGTTGCGATGGGTAGGCGGAATATATTTTTATTATCAAGCCTACTGGCTGGTGAACATTTACACGTTCAAAGACATACAGAAATGTAGCTCAATTTTGGAAAACGTAAAAGGTTGGGAGCCAGGTTATGATTTTTGGGAGATGCGTAACGATCAATGGTGGCTTTATATGTCCTGCCTAGGAAATGACGCTGGCTGGTCGAAGAGATTGTGGGATAATGTAGTGAGCAGCCCCGATGCCGACTTATCCATTAACACTAACAGTCAAAGGACGCGATTTACGAATCAATCAATAGACTGTCTGATATTTTCATGCCGGATTGGCGTACGGACCAACGGGTGCTAGCATATACAGTTGTTAGTAGATGACCACTTTTCCGGTAATCATGTCAACATTGTCTAACATGGTGTCTACAGCCAATAAATGTAATTTTTGTGGGCTTGTATCGACTAATGGTATGTGATGATATTCACCATTCCTTCTTTTTACTCAAACTTACAATATTGTAAAGGTTAGAGAACAATTGTCTGAGTGGATTTGGTATCCAACGGTTCTTGCGTCAAACGCACTCATGAACAACCTGCTTTACGGAGGCCTCCTTGTATATTTTGGCCACATTGCACCCGGCCTTGTTGAGTTGGCTATTTGGCGTGGGATTCAATTTGGCGTCCCGGCTTTCCTAATATTTTATAGACTAGAATGGATACCTTTACGTGTTGCATCAATGATCTTCGACCGTCAGAGAAGGTTGGCCGCTGCTGGACGTGATTGGGACAACATTCAAAATCAGCAAGATCGAGAGGAGTTGGCTCTTACTCAGTGGTGGAGAGGAGGTTTACTCCGTCTTGTTCGTCTCGAAATTGCTAAAATGATTGTTCAATGTTCGACTGTATTAACTACGCTTCTGGATGCGTGTAGGTCTCTTTGGGTCTATCGCGACACTCGACGGGGTTTGAGGAACCGAGTCGCAGATCTTGCAGAGCAAATTACCGTCATGGAACAGCGACTAAGTAACGCTATAGAGGGCCGAAATGGTTGGAGGAGGAGGTTTCTGCAAATGCTGAGATTGCGAAATAGATGCATAGAACATCATCACCATTTTGAACTTCAAGATGAGAAACAGGTGGCATATGATGAACTGTTGGCAAAATTCAACGCACAACGTCAAGCTTCAAGTGTCTTGATATTAGCCGGGGGTCCAGCTAGAGCGACAGAAAAGTTGCTTGGAGTGGCTATTCACACAAGGGATTTGCACCGTAAACAGATCCAAACTCTTGTTTCTTCTTTCATAGAAGCTGGTGCTGAGATGGCCGTACTCAAAGATAGAGTCAAAACGTTAGAAGAGGATCTCAAAACCGTCAACGATGGCAGGGCAATGATGTTGTGGCGAGAGACGGCGCAAGAAAATCTTGAATTGAGGAGACAGGCACAGGAAGAGATTTTGGAACGAGACGTGACAATTAAACATTTAAGGGACCATCGAGATGAAAGTGCTGTAACATCACTTAGTTTGGATTCTAGAGGACAACAAATCTTGCGAAAACTGCAAGAGAGGTTGATAAGTGCGGAGAACGATCTCGCCCATTCCGAAATGATAGTTGAGAAATCGAAGTTTGATGAAGTCAGGCATGAAGAAGAGATGGAACAAATCAAGAGGAATGCATTATATGGGGAGCCCGAGCGACTGGGGGAGTTGTACACGGATGCAGTCATCCAGACTGATGAGCTGACAGAAGGGCTCAAGAGGTTTGAATTTTCTACAGATCCAGAACATGATATTGAGGCTGTTCAACGTCACTGTAATCAAGAAAAGGAAAACTTACAACGCGAAATTGCGACCAAGGACGTGCAACTATCTACATTTAAGGCACAAATTGACCATGCGATGGGCTCTATGAACTGGGCTGATGATAAATTCGAGCCTCTGGACAAGTATTTTGGTTTTATCCCTGGCGCAAAAGGCGAGATCAGACGCTTGTCGACCGCACTTGAGAAGGTTCATTTCCAAAATATAGTACCTCAAGCACTTGAAATGGCAGATCAAATGCGTTACTTGGAAAATTTGACTACCGAAAAGAATCGTTTACTAGATGAGAGACAAAGTATTCAAGTGATTCTAGCCGAGCTTTCGCAGAACAAAACTCAAAGTGAAGCGGAACTGGCCAGATTAAGAGATCGGGTGGCTCGAAGGAACATACAAGTGACTAACCTGAAGACACGAAATACGGAGTTGCAAGTTCAACTCAGAGAAACACAAGCGGCAGCACCACCACTAGCGGAAGCGCTGAATATTATGGGAGTAGCGACTCCCGTCATAGCAATTTACTTGAGGAACCTCTTGGCCTTGGAGAGAGAAATGCGAGAAAAAGGAAGAGAGATAGCAGACGTCCCAGATATTCCGGGAGTCAATAGTATTCCACGTGTAGAAGGAGAGCCTATAGAAATCTCTGTATTGAGACGTTGCAACCAGGCAAAAGTCCGGTTTGACAATCTATCAAGATTGGTAAGAGAGAGTGATCCTCCATGGCTAGGAGCGACAGATGACTGGGTGGATGATAATACGGACAGTCTGGAGAATTTGAATGCGCGTAGGCTTAGTCGGATATTAAAATTGAAAGACGTTTGGGATTATATCGGAACATTACATTACGACACCATTCTTTTCGTCCGCGAAATCTGTCAAAATTTCGGCGTAGAACCTGGTGTTGAACTACCAGAGAGACCCCAGTCTCCATCGCCTGCACCTTCCCCAACTCCATCTCCGCCACCTCCTCGTTCTAGAGATAGAGATCTATTTCCAGCAGTATTCACAAAGTATGAGTTGTTTGACATCGAGAGATGGAATGTGTTTCCACACGATCAAGAGAATATTACTCCTGCTTTTAGTGTGATCTCGGCGTTGCAACGATCCATCCAGGAAAAATTACCGTATCACAATGAAGGCGATCTTGAGCCCATTGTATTTGAAGCCCACTTAGCAGGTACACTAGGTCGAGATATTAACTTCCTGATCGACCCAATTCATGAACGAGAGGTCGCTGAAGCTCTATATAAAATCAGGCATTCATTTGTTCTGAAGACCGTTACACAATTTCCCCGACGAAATGATGGCTTCAGGTATCTGTCCCGGGAAATTCTGTATCCGGATACTTTGGAAGTTATTCTACCGAGAACGGTCGTTGTATTGTATTTATCAGATAACATTTGGCAGGGTATGAGCTTGAAGCCAGTTGAGTCTGAGCATGAGTCTGACAGTGGATCTGATGTTCAAGCCCCTCCACCAGAGCCACGCTTACCTCCGCTGGTGGAATTCGATCTAACAGACTGGAAAGTAGATTATATTGTCAGCAGGTGGACAATTCCTGGACAAGCTGTTTTACGTGAAGGTCTATCTTCAATAATTGCAGTGGCAAATTCCTTGCACTGGCAGTATCCAGGCGTGTTATGGAATAACACAAGGGCAAACGAAGCCTATGAAGATCTCTTTGACAGATTCCAGAGAGTTCATCCACACCACGACGAAGATTATTTTCCGGAGCATATTCAAATGGTGTTAGAAGATATACTAAGAAATGGAGATACCAGACCGCATTACAGACTCGCAGCTATTACTCCACACGAGGTAGCTGCTGGAGATTTCAGATTTTTTGTGAGTATTTATGGGGGTGATTCAGAGAGTTCTTTGCTTTACGTAGCTTACCAACCGCGAATTGGATGGAGGGGTATGCGGAGAAGGCGGGATGGTGATTCTGAAGGCTTCCTTGGGGTTTTAGAATGGGGCTTCTCAGTCCAGCAGCCACAAGCCGAAGAGATACGATCCGTAGAGCTGCCAGCCGGAAGGCTACCTGCTGAGAGACTACCCGCTGAAAGGCTACCAGTCAACCCTATTGTGATTGATGAGCCAGTCGAGGCACCACCAATACTACCGACTGTCATTTTACCCAGGATTGAGAATTATGGCATAAATTCTATCAAAGCCCCATTTAACAGAGATGGATGGACCTTCAACATCGATCTAGAACATTTCAACGAAGGTTTGACACGTGGTGGCAATCGAACACCTTGGATACATGATTGTGCCCCACGAGCATTGTATTATTCAATCCACCATCAACATCCCAACTATTTGCGAGGTAATCTCACTCTGGAATCAATATTGCAAGCGTTCGATGATGTTTTTCCCCGACACGAAAATTCTTGGAAAGATGAAGAAGTCGCTAGAGTCCTCAAAGGATATCCGACACTAGGGGGATATGAACTTGCGATTGTCAATTGTGTGGTTTATGACGATCATACTATCGTTGCTATAGATTGGTCTCAACCAGAAGGATATAATCCTGCAAATGTAAACTTATTGTATGTTGCATCAGTTATTGATTGGCGAATAGGATACTGTCAGGAAGATGATAGACACCATTGGGTGGGTATGAAATATCGGGATGGCGAAGCAGTACCAAATCCTCGGTTGTTCAGACCCCAACCAGTCGTCCCTCCTTACAAGCCTCCAAAATCAATATTCGTATCTCTACTGGATGCAGCGACAACCAGTCAAGCGACAAATAAAAACCCTGCGTCCAAGAGTAGCGCATCTAGTTGGTCTAATTTCGATAGTTCGAAAAGCTTTGTATCCCAGTCTGGTAAAAAATGGGTTCCACCGTCCACTGTACCCATGAACCTTCCTATAACTATGATACCCGCTGTTCAAACTGGGGAACAGTTTGGTACTGCCGTGCAACAACAAAATCAGCCACCACCACCAAGCTTACAACCCGCTTCATCTTCCTTCAAATTGCAATATTGGTCGCCATTTGGGACTGCTGCGCAGCAACAGCAACAACCACCAGGTTCGAAACCCCACCTATCAGCTGTTCCATTTGGCGAACTGTTTATTCATCCCACGCCGCCACAACAGCCGCCACAACCACCGCAGCAGTCGCAGCAAGGTCAAAATGCACGGGGACAAGTAGGTTTTGGTATGAATATCGCTAGTAGGAACGAACAAATGGAACTTGCGCGCAAACTTCAAGCGGAACAGAGTCATGGAGGTAAATTTTCGAAGAAGGATAAGGAGTCGAAGAGCATACATGGAATGGACAAGGAAACGGGGATCGGTAGGGGGAAAAAAGGAGGCAGAGGAAGAGGAAGAGGGAGAGGAAGAGATAGAGGTAGAGGTAGAGGGGAGGATGGAGGGAGCGGACGGAAAGAAGATGATAGTGGTGCTGGTGGTGGAGGAGGCGGTGGAAGCGCGGGTGCTGCTGGTAATGATTGGGAGGATGAAATCTGAGATTGAATAAGTAGTCATCAGCCATGACTAACTACATGATCAAGGGGTCTTGACTTCCAGATAGTTCTGATGACTCATGTACATGATGATTTCGATTTATCAACACTGCAGGAAAAAAGAGACAGCAAAATTTATTTGCCATGGAGATGGATATTTGGTTTATCTTTTCGGACAAGAACATAGGGGAACAGATTGAATATCTAGTTGAATGTTTTTATTTTCTTGTTAATTTATAGCTTTTAGTTCAACACTAGTGGTCGTAATTGATGGATGAAATCATTTTCAGTGCTTGCCCTAAGCTTTGAGTTTTTCTTGGATTGAATATTTGAAGATAATGAGCAAGAGATGCCTCTTGAGCCTTTCACCGTGATTGATTGCTATCGTTTGAGTAAATTAAATGCTATAAATTCCCACATAAAAGATTATATTAAACAGTGACATTCGAATGGATTCGCCCACATGTCATTTGCTTGTCAATCCAGTCCAAGTATCTCACAAATTATAAATAGCTCCAGGACTAAACCCCACCAGTCTCTCAGAAGCATCACTAGGCCTGAATTTTTCCTCTTTTCCAGCAAGCTCAGCTCCCTTCGCCTTATTCTGCACCTCTACAAACTCAAAGCCCTCTGCACCTGTCTTTGATGTCTCTGGGAGCAAATCATATATAGCTCTAGAATATTGCGGATCGATGTTCCAAAGCTGGGCAAGATAACCTACTTTAATAACCTTCGTGTCAACAAAACGCAACAAATTTGCTGTATTCTGATGCAAGTGATCTCTTTGCGTCTCTGTCATTACTCGGGTGTATAGTTCTCTCGCTTGATCGTAATCTGATAGTTTACCCTCGTGGTGGTAATGACTCTTGCGAGATACAATATTATCGGCAATGGCATAAGGCGCCTCGGCCACATCGGGACGGAATTTGTGCTTGAAGGAATTGGGCACATATTGAGGATTTCCGGCATGGTTTGCATCGACACGCATTGGGCCGTCAAAATTGAGTGAACTATAGGAACTTGCCATGAAAGGGCAGTTGACAGGAACTTGATGAAGATTCACTCCGATGCGATGATACTGTGCGTCGCGATAGAAAAACATCCGGAATTGTAAGAGTGGATCCGGACTATCTTCAATACCGGGTACCATGCTTCCAGGTGAGAACGCGGCTTGTTCAACATCGCGATGGAAGTTCTCTGGGTTCTTGTTCAGGACCAACTTCCCAAATTCGTGCATCTGTTTCTTGGATTAGCAAGTCGCAATCAGAGTTAATTCCTGGGGCTAACTAACCGGGAATTTATCTCTCGGCCATACTTTGGTGACATCAAACGGGTCAAAACCGAGAACGTTCGCATCGGCCTCATCTGGTTGCATAATCTGTACATTTGCTGTCCATTCCACTTCTTCTCCCTTCTCCAAGAAGTCCCAAAGATCACGTTTGGAGTAATCAGGATCGACTCCACTAAGTTTGGTGGCTTCCTCTGCCGTGAATTGTTTCTGTCCATGTTTGGCGATGAAATGATATTTGATGTAAACAAATTTCCCTTCCTTGTTCACCCACTTGAATGTGTGACAACCATAGCCATGATTGAAACGCCATCCTTGTGGAGTTCCATGATCACTGAAGAACATCATACCTGCATGATTGGCCTCTGGAGTCAAAGCCAAAAGATCAAAAAGAGAGTTATAATCAAGTAAGAAATTCTTAGGGTTGCGACTTTGTGACCGAATGACGTCTGGTCCTTGGATGGGATCTCGACAAAAAAAGACAGGCTATTGAAAGATTAGAACGAATATTGTTTCAGCGACTTGAATAACATACGAAGTTGAGTCCAACGATATCGTAATTTCCTTCTCCAGTATAGAATTTGATTGCAAAACCACGTGGATTACGTGCCAAGTCAGGAAACTCACGTCCAAGGGTGACAGTGGAGAAGCGCATGAAGACTGGTGTCTTTACGCCCTTACCACTCAGAAAGTTTGCCTTTTGGGAATTAGTATGATGATATCTGGGAGTGGTCAAGGCATAGTGAAGTTCACCTTTGTCAAGTCCGAGACATCTGCAGTGGTCTCAAAGTAACCAAAAGCTCCACTACCACAAGGATGAACCATTCCTGTTTCTTCATCAATATATGATCCGCGAGGTATTCATCGTAGGTGAGGACTCACTCTCAAGATTCTTGCTTCGATTAAAGTGCTGCTGTTTTTGAAACAAGAAAACATCACTAGCCAAAGGCAAACCTCCTACCGTCTTACTGTGTGCAGGGTCTGGAAACGGGATACCTTCATTGTTGGTAAAGTAAGGGCCATTGTCTTCACGCATACCTCCACTCTGTACGCCTGATACTTTGGAAATAATTGCTGCAGGACCATCATTGGCGTTATTGAAGAGGGAACCACGCTGAATTGGACGAGGGTCGCCACCTGCGCTGCCAATCGCAGATTGGATTGCTTGAAGAGGATGGATGTTTTGAGCCATCGAGTCCATAAATTGCGTTTCTGTGATTCGGTTGGAATGTCGAAATTTTCGTGAAAATTTCTCAATGTAGAAAGAGTAAGAAGTGATTAAAATGCTTCATTATGAGGAAGCATCTGGTTTTAAACTACCATCCTCCTTCCAATGACGTCCTCACATCAAAACGACGTGTCGGATTGGAAATAGGGCTCTCTGTTGTAATCCTAACTTATCTGACGTATCTAATTATGATCAACGTTACGACTGCAAGCCATATACATTTCCTTATAGTTACAGTCTAGAACTACTCCGTACAAAGTACACTTTGATCGGAGGAAATTCTCCGGACAAAATGCTCCTATTGGAGCATCATTCTTTTTTGTTTTGGTGCTGCATTCCGGTAGATCGTGATCTAGTATGCTATTGGTAAATCAAGCATCTACGGAGCATTTCGTGCTATCATAGTTGACAAAAACAAAGTGTTCCTATGAAGCCAATCAATTTTTATATATATCTGTAGAACATCCCCCCGCAATTTTGATACGTTCATCCGGAGAAGCTGGAGTTACTAGTGGGGGGCGAATTGCTTATTACCGGAGACGGTCATGTGATTCTTAATCTTTTCTATTAAGCTGGCCAATAGTCGACAATCGATAAATAATAAGCCTCTTGACTCCTGGAAAAGCAAGTGTCGCTAAAAAGCGGTACAGAAATCTAGTTTTAACTCAAGAGCTTCGAATTCAATATAAATATTTACGTCAGAGGATTCTATGTCTTTGTAATGTTTCGACAATACCAAAATGATAAAATTATATCGAAACTAACCTATTGATTTGATTCTAGAACGGAGAGTCCTCGCTAACAGAATACTCTTGGCGATTCACTTGATCCCAATAAATCATGCTCACAAATTATTGACCTGGAACGCTTGGATTCACCGGCACTCTCATTATAGATATGAAGAATTCAAGGCACGGAAAAAACAGTCAGAGAACAAGCCCTACACGAATCATCAACTCATATATTTGAATGAGGATCTTGATATCCATCGGCTTTGGGGCCAATTCAACTTAAAAAATCAATTCATTCTATTATTATTGTGACTATAAAATTTATCTATGGATTTGAGATGCTTCTTGACTTCGTCTAGAACATCAATCGTTCATACAAACAATATGCATGAGCGTAAATCAAGGTCGTTCATATGAAGTCAAACCTTCATCATGCGACCAAGCGACCTGAGGGTGTTGGTGGTACAGGATGCATGAGCTTATCTTTGATATGAGATAGAGCTTCTCTGACGCCGAGATGATGTCCATGATTGGAACTACTACTTTCCTCTTGTGTATTTCTTTTCCCATAATAACTTGCTTCAGACTCGGAGTTACGTCGACGGCGGGGATTGGAGTTAACGGAATCAGTCGAAGGATGATAAGAGTTCTGAGAGTTAGACTCTTTTCGATGATATGTATTGATTGGTTGTGAAGATATAGACCGGCGTCTACCTGACGTAGAACTTGATATCGGTACTGGAACTGGTTTAGCAGTCTGTGGTGGAAGAGGCTGACCGCCTGTGAAAGTTGGCATAACTTGAGGGTATTGAGGTACAGCGACTACCTGGGGAGCATTCACGGGTGGCATTACGTAGCCTCCAGGTGGAAGGGCACCGACTGTTGGATAGATTGGTGGTGCTGCTGATGATAATTGAGGCACTGATGATCGTCGCGAATGATCTTGCTGAGCATGTATAGATGGTTCCATATACTCACCTACTCTCGTCTCATGTATCGCCTGATTTGTTGTCTTGTTGGACAGCGGGTAATCTTCAAAAGACTGGTTTCTTTCACGGGGGCGTCTTTGATCATAATAGTGCTGTCCTCTGTGCCATGAACTTTTCCGGGATATTAAGCGGGGACGTCTAGAATTTCGGCGACGATGCTGATGCTTATGATGATGATGGTGAGGATGTTCTGAAAGTACACCTATGATCTTAAGGGTAGGTTTCGATTCAAAATCTAGTATCTGAATATTCTCACCAGGCTGTACTCTCAGTATCGTCAAGTTGCTTGGTAACCCTCTATCTTGCACGGGCAGTTTCCTTTCAACTTCTTGGATGGTTCTGAAAACTCCAGGTGCATGAGCAGCTTTCAGTAAGTTAGTGACATATTACACAATTGTGTAGTGAGCCATTCCACTTACGAATAATTGGCTGGAACAGAAGATTAATTTTTCTATGACCTCCATGCAACATTTGTAAGAGACGTAATGATGCTTTTGAGGCAGTCCAGTTTCCATGCTTGTTGCTAATATACATTTGCTGAAGACGATCCAGCACTCTGTTGTTATTATTTGTTGGCATAATCTCCCAAAGAAAGAAACTTTGGGAATGGTGGCGAAGATTGACATCTCTAAACCTCACTGTTCTGTTGGTGGATAGTTTTGGGTTTATTGTACCCCAGCGTCCAACCCAGGGATCTTTTGAGCCGGATATATAAGCACTAACTTTCTAGCAAACTGTTAGCAAATCACAACGTGGAATAAGATGATTAGCAATTAATCACAGTATTTTCATTTCCCAAGGGACGTATAGGTACATCCCTCGTTTCTCTCGTTGTTCTCGTTTGGAAAACAATATACAATGTGTTTGGTTTCAACACCCGTAGTGAAGTCATGTTGTTTGGTGGATGAATTAATCGTCCAGTTCTGATTTTCTTGACGACTGTCAATGAAGTGTGATTTCAAGCTGTTGAGAACAAAATCAATATGAGATGGGCGTCTTCTCCATTATAATATGGTTGACCGAAGCAATGACGCCATGCTTGAGGATAGGATTGGTAGGATATGGTCCAGACTGCATGTTCGAACTAGATTTACCAACAATCTGAGTGATGTAGAAAGGACAAATGGTCCAAGATAGGGCCTCACAGCCTTTGTAAAAGCAAGTTTACAAGCGCTTACCATCAATTTCCAACAAGCAGATTGAAAATTGTTGAGCGGCCATTACTGCGACCAGAATCTAGACTGTAGATAAGCGAGTGACTCCAAGAGGTCGGTCAGAACCACACAATTGGTTTGAGATTGCTATGCCAGGGAGGAATTTGAGTTGTTATCCTTGCTGAATTGGTATATGGAATCTGGAGGCTTTCACAAGCCTCCAATTTGTAACTTCGTGTACTTTTATACTCGAGTTTATTGTAGCCATAATTCAACTGTATGTATTTCGCGAAAACACATGTATCAGTTGAAATGCGTGCTCAGATGTTCGCGACACTCATCTACTTTAACAGATTGCATAGTGGATGATTGGGGTGATGATTATTTCTTTGCTATTCCACCTTAATTTATGATGGGAGATGGGGACAAAAGAATATGCTGCATTAAGCATATGAATTTGGCAATGGAGGCAGAAACTACCTGTCCTCATTTCCAGCTGACCTTTCCACGATTCCGTCTCAGAACGTGATTTGACAAAGCAGAATGAATGAGAAGATGGATATATAGAGTTGAAACGTAACGAGGGAGAATTAAAAGCAATTTATCTTTCATATTCTCTGAAGACGAGTAGCAGAGACGAGTAGCGGTTGCGAGAGATATTATTACTCTTTAGAAACTATCGAGTCCATTATTTGCCGTACGTATAGAGTCTTACTCGGGATTTTCTCCCATACCTTTGCTCAGATACCTCTGAACCGACGATGATATTAGGTATATCGTCGACATTACGTCAAATTGTCAAGCTTTTCGTTTGTGTTCTCCTCTGGAAAGTGGGATGGAAAATCTGATATGCACGATAAACATGGTGATGTTACACTGCATATGCGGGGATGCCAGCCACAAACTTCGCCTCGACGACTTTTCCAGCTCTGAACTGAGGCAGTGCATGATACAAACATTCTTACAATTAATTGTACCGTAAAATTCTGGTTATTGATAAATCTTTCCACATTGAATATTCGAAACCTTTTCATTCCAAATCGTAGAATTCTGGAGTGGGAAAGGAGATACATAAGCGCAATTGAATTGGCGACAGCTAGGGCTCAATTCACAATGGCGGGCGCAGTGGATGATGGGTGGACAATGGTGATCGGACAACCCGCCAGTGAAATTCGCGAGGAGAAGCAAATCGAAGAATGGGAGCGCTCGAAAGGAGGATGGTCTGGATTTGGTAAACATCCTCAGAATTGGATGGATCATAAGAAATTACACCTATCATCAGAAAAAGAATTAGGCTCTGGAAGCTATGGGCTTGTGCAGCGCGTTACATATGGTGCCGTTACCATGGCCCGCAAACAGTGAGCATTGTCTCCAATACCCCGGTTCTATGACTCCGTAAGGCTGATTTGTATATCTCAGCGTGGTACCTCGTGGTGGAATGACGGTCGAAAAGCTCCGGGAGGAAGCTAATGCCATGGAGGAATTGGCCCATAAACATATTTTGAAGCTGGTCGGCACATATACGTACAAGCGCAAAAATTTATATCTCCTTCTTTACCCGGCGGCAACATGCGATTTGAGCACTTTTCTCGATGATATAGATGGGATTCGTTCGGATACGTGTGCGGATAGGGATGATGCGATGAAACGGCTTCTTGCCCTCGGACTCAAGGATATTGGAAAGATTGACGACTTGTGCATGTTGAGACGGCCAATCCTACCTTCGGAACATCCGACGCATATGAAAAGGACGGAAACAGCACTGGGATTCTTACAACAACTTATGGGATGTGTTACAGAGGCATTGTTGTTTGTTCATGAAAAAGGTATTCGGCATCGGGATTTAAAGCCCAAGAATATTTTACTAAGTCCCGGTCGGGTATACCTCGCCGATTTCGGTATTGCGAGAGATGTCAAAGATTCGGACAATAGCATAACCTGTGGGAGATATGGTACTGCGTCTTGGATAGCTCCGGAGGTTTATGATGGGGAGTATCATCACATGTCAAGTGCAGATGTCTTTTCCCTGGGTTGTATATTCCTCAATATTGCGACAGTATTATACGGAGATTCGATGGAATTAGCGACATTTGACGAAATAATGAAGGAGAAGGAATGGCCAATGAAGTATGAGATGTTATCGAAACACCTAAATAAATTAAAGGATAAAGCAATTAGAGCAGCATTAGCTGATGAAGAAGAGCCTAATTTCGACGCCAAGAATATACTTGGTCTGGTGGAGAAAATGTTGTTATATGAACCGGAACAACGACCTTCAGTAAAGGAAGTTAACGAACGGCTATGCGAGCTTGGGGGCTTAGATCAAATCTATCATCTATCTTGTTGTCACAAAAAGAACGACGTCATGTCTCGATCAATAAGTGAGTCTCTTCATCTATTCCCCAACCGAAGCCCATTCTAATCACATGACCAGATACAAAAATGAGAACCATCTCGGAGAGCAGTCTATCCTCAAAAAGCCGAATCTCGGAATTAGAAACCGAAAACATCACTCTTCGAGAACGTCTCGCAACTCTCCAAAACAAAGATCAAACCTACGAATTACGAATCGAACACGAGCGCAATCACGCAAAGAAACAAAACGACGTCCTCAAAGAACGCTACGAAAAACAACTAAAAGCACAAACCGAAGCCCTGATCCGCGCAGAAGAACGCATCAAAGCCCTCGAATCAAACAACCCCCACAAACGCCGACCATCACACACCCGAGGCCGCGGTCGCAATCCCCCACACGGAATACCCCATCCAACCAACACCCTCAATATCAACAATCTCGCCGTCCACACCAACTCCAGCATCTCCATGTCACCCCCATCCCCATCCCAACCCTCAAATCGAAATACAAGCCCCAAGCCCAACGCCCCACCCCGCACCCCAGAGAGTTACTTCCCCCTTCCTCCCCGAAACCCCAGTTTCACAAACCTCAAAGACCCCTCCCTCTCTCTCACCCTCCACCGCCGTCCCTCCGGTATCCCCATCCCCACCCGCTCCCCAACCCCCATTACCACACCACACAAACCACAATTCCCACCTCCCACTAGTAATACCGGTAGTCGTCCCGGAAGCGGAAACTCCACATTAGTTAGCAGCACCCACTCTGTATTTTCCATCAAGAGTAAAATGACGGATACGGATGGGAGTATTACGCCGGTGGAGAGTCCAGGGGAAACGATGAGTTTACCTGGGAGTCCGGGTTGTGGGGGCAGAGGAAAGATAGGAATTGGGGAGAGAAAGAAGATGGAGATGGATGGGGAAGGATTGGGTGGAGTGTTAGGAGACAGCAGGAGGATGAAAATCGGAAATGTTGGAAAGGAAAATGAGAAGGAAAAGGAGAAAGAAAGGACGATTAAACCTACATGGGCGCGAATGGTGAGGGGAAAGACTTGAGAGATGGATATATCAAATATGTATACAGATACAAACGAATAAAGAAAGACTTCAAAGAAAACTCCAAGATACCCATGATCTGTTCCAATACTTAGAGCCTGCGGAGCAATCATCGTGCCGAGAGCTTCGTAAAAGCCATTTGCATGCCGGAAGAGTTGCAAGCTTTATATGGATAGTAGACTCAATCTGAATGTATCATGTTCTCTTCTAGTTCGGAGCACTTCTTCACACCTGAAATGTACTGGACTCGACTATATGATGATATAGCAATATATCATTACAGTCACACATACACACAAACAAAATACCACCCCGAAGAAATCTCATTCAGGAATTGATTGCGACCGCCAGCGATCACATCATTTCATTGAACAACTTTTATATACATACATGAATAAATACAGAAACCCTCAGCCTCACCCTCCACCCTAACCTGCCGTACTTCGCACCCTTCATTTCGCATAAAAGCCAGCAATATCATTAATCCATCTTCTTCTCCCCTTTCCTTTCGTTCCTAGCAATTTTAAAGCAATTTTCATCCACCTCTGAAGTTTCACCTCCAACTTTCCCACATCTGAATATAATTACATATCACCTCCCCTCTCTACTTTGTACTACTCTTCTTCTTTCCCTTCTTCTTACTCTTCTTTTTACTATGACCCTTCGAACTACCAACACCACTTCCGCTATCCGCCCCCGTATTATCCGTCTGACTAGATCTTTGACTCTTTCTCTCTCCATCAGCCAATTTATCCGTGCTTCCTGCATTACTCAAAAATTGCATGAACTTATTTTCTCCTCCATTAGCACTCTTGCTTCCACTACCAGTACTACTTGAGTGTAGTACTCTACCATTTTTATGATTTTCCTCTTCACTACTTGCGTTTGTCTCCAAGACCATCTTTCTAATACCACCAGCTTCTACCAAGTTTTCTGTGATACTTCCACTTCTGGCTGTACCTCTCTTCTTGGATGGTTTGGTTGGAGGACTTGTACCGCTCTTTTGAGATGGTAGAGATCCGATGGTATCTGTGCTTTTATTTTTGTTTAAAAAGTTAGAAACCGAAAGATTGTTGCCGGGCGATTGTGGTTGCCCTACTGGACTGAGTGGACCATCATATTGGGGTGGTTTGGTCGAATCCTCCTCGGCAAGTTTGTTAGGAATGCGGTTGCTTAAAGTGCCATAACCTTGTTGCAAAGCTTGAACTCCATCTTTGGCGTCTTGCCCGGCTGATCTGAGTAATCCTTCACCTTCACCACCATGAGGTCCTGGAGAGTCATGGTATGGCTCAAATTCAGACTCCTCGACAATAGATCCACGATGAGGAATCGAGTCCGTTCTGGAATCGGTCCTATTAACAGCAAGAACGTTTCCAGGCTTAATTTTGACAGACTGATACTTTGTCATCTTTGGTCGACTAGCAAGATTGGATGGGCCTAGATGTTTCAAGTGTTCACGCATATCATTCATATTAGCTCTGACAGCAACCACATTTCTGTCGTTGTCACCTGTTGAAACTCTACGCATGAAAGTCGTCTTGGGGCTAGTACCGAAATGATTGGCAGGACTGACGCTTCTGACCTCGGTTTGATTGCGTCTTCTTCCGCCAGCCTGCAAGTTACTTGGGCGGTCTTCCGAGAGATCGATGAGACTTTCCTCTGCAGCTTTAAGAGAACCATTGGCCGGTTGTTCAACAACTTGATTTGGCTTTATTCTTGAAGATTTGGGAGCCGGGGCCATTCGTCTGATGGCTTTGTGAACATCAATATAAACATCAGACTCATCAATAATTTCCCTATCGTTTGTTAGATCTATGCAAGTAGAGAACGGCAATTTATACTTACTCTCCAATGAGCTCTTCAATGACATCTTCTAATGTAACCACACCGGTAGCACCAAAGTTCTCGCCAGGATATTCCGAAACAAGTACCATGTGAGATTTTCCTTCTTGGAAGAAATTTACAATATCCAAGCAACTAGTTTCAGGTCGAGTCTCCGGTAGGGTAGCCAAGGCGAAATCACTGACGCGTTTACAATCTTCCGGATCGTATGTAATAAGAATCTTAACCAGAAGCATACCGACAAAGTTCTTCTCATTTCCAGGTTCGTAGATAGGAATGCGAGAATAACCAGCACTCAAGATGACGTTCATGGTATCTTCATCAAGTATCGTGTCGGCACTCATAGTGAAGACATCATCCATTGGTGTCATGATATCTCCAACTGCTTTCTCTTTCAAGTCTAACACTGCACTGATAATTGTAACTTCATCTTGGTTCAATCGATCGCTAGGACTTGTTCCTAAAGTTTTGTGTAAAGTGACGAGCGTCTTAAGACCAGATTTCTTGTATACGGTTCCGTGATCTTCTCCCAGTAGTTTGTCGAGAAGTTTGGCAGTTGGCCATGCAACAGGTGCTAATAGCCACATCAGACCCAGCACAGGTGGTGCCATAAATGCTCCGATGGAGAGACCATATCGCACACAAATCGATTGAGGAATGACTTCTCCGAAGATAACTATAGCAAATCAACACGCAATCCATCAATGCGACAACTACACAACATACCAATTAGAACTGTGCTACCAAGAACCGCAGGCCATCCTCCACCGAGCGATCGATCGAGTACAATAGGAAGCGTTTCGTTGACGATAACATTGCTGAGTAGTAATGTCACAAGAACCCAATGTTTACCCTTTTGTAACAATCCATATACTCTTTGTGCGTGTCTCTGTTCTTTTCCTTCTCCAGAAGTCGCGATAACTTGTAGATAAACGCCATCTTGTCCCATCAACCTGGATGAAAATTTCTGTTAGCATTGGAACTTTGTGAACTTCCATTGAACACTCACGCAATCGTCAATCCCGCGAAAGCACCTCCAAGTAGAACCAGGACAGCTGCAACTGATAGATATAACCACAAACTTGCATCTTCGGCATCTTTTGGCGCATCCTCTTCACTGGCAATTCCAAGGAAAGCTGTGATAGGAGCGGCAGATACTGAAGTGATTTGGCAGATACTCAAGAACAGAATCTTCGCCAGGCCCAGGATGGCAGGTCTTGTAGAAGTGTAGCCATTGCTGATGAAGCTTGAGCGAGTACTTCCGACAATCGATTTCGAGGTCATCTCAACTCTATCTATGATTTGTGATGTATTCTCCAATGATCACTGTCCACGACAGTAATTCGATTGGGTCCAGCTCCCTGTATTTTACTCTGTAGTGTGGTAAAAGAGGTGGAGCTTTTTTTCTCGAGATTCTTTCGGGCTCTCGTTACTTGTTTAAGACTGAGTACTGGGATGATCCGAAGGTTCCCGGCCGTGATGTGGATACTACCTGGGCAAGCAATGAGTGATAAAGGTGACGGTTCGGTGTAATTATCACGACAACAATGTGAAATGGGGTTTGGGAATTGACGGAGAATGTCGAATTGAAATTAATAACACAGCAGTTTAATATTGACAAGACTCATAACGTTATTCGTGAAGGATTCCTATATTATTAATGTACTGAAGTGTAGTTGTGGTTGGTGTTGCGTGAAGCTCAAGCACTCCGTCAGTCTGGACAAACAAAACAAAGAAAAGAAAGTTAATGATACCTACCTTGGTAAATGTCCTAATTGGGGTTAAGACACCAGAAGCTCGACCCTCTCAGCCAATCAAGGCAGTCAAACGTACATATGATGATGGCAGCGCCCCACTTAAATCGGATATTCCTTGGTATCATTATTCACTACAGTTCACTAGAAGCACGATTCACTGCGCACACGGAGTAGGTACTAGGTATGTATATATATATACATATACTATTCGCAGGAGAAAAGACAGACCAGAATTGACCACTGGCAAAACCTTTCAACAATTCAATTGTTCCCTTCCATTCAGAGAATTGGAAGTTTGAATAGTCTGATGAGTCTGATTGCTAAACAATATCTAAGGATCTGTTGAATACTATTATTAGTTCTTATAAATTAGTGTGTGGTTGATTTGTTAACTTATAGAATTTACTGCGATTAGTACTCTCCCCCGTATTTCGTATACTTTTTTCGTTTTTTCATTTCTGACTTCTGCTTTTTCAGTGTTTCACTAGAATCACACTACGCTGCTCAATCAATTATATCATCACCACCAAGCCAAGTACCAAGCAGTCAGTCAGTGCTTACGTCATTTAGTGTGTATATCCTCAACGTCCATATGGTCGAAATTTTACATTCATCGGTGTACTTTTCCTAAGAATGCCTTTGATTCGTAGCGGAAGCTCTATGTCACATCATTCATCAAGCACGTATTTGGATTTGACTACATATTATCTCTTGTTATCCGTCATGAGTACATACCTGCTGCCTTCAAAAGTTTGACATTGAGTGAAAAATCAAACAACCTGCATGCCATCACTCCTCAACTGTTTCTCGGAATACTCTTGGATTGAGTTAATTAACAAAAGCACTCATCTTTCCTATCTTGCACCAGGATGCAGACTAGGATGTCCAGCCGAGATAATGCGCATATCGAAGAGATGAAGAGAATATGAGTATATATTTTCGTCTTGGCAAAGGATCAATCTTCTTTCTGAGATAAAGAGATGGCAATACCAGGAGCTGAGGTTATTCCCGCGAGATCCTTATGTTGTATGAAATCCGATTTATCAGGTTTTACAAAGTCTCGTCGAACACAAAGATTCTTTGAAATCAGAGCGACTTCAGGCTACACCGAAATCAGAGCATATGAAGTTTCATGGCACATGTGAATTTTGACACTTTGTCCACAATTCATATGGAAAGTCGTTCCATACAATGCACCTATAATTTGGAATCACTCTAATACTTCTTCCGGATCGAAGGTGAGATAGCAAGTCCTTTTATGTGAAACATCGGGTACACTACTTTCACTCGGACTTGCTTTTTCTTCCTCGCATCCCTTTTGAGACTTTACTTCTCTCACGTTATCGGAAAGCTCTGCGTTTCGGAACAAAATCACTAAGATATTATAACAGAATCCCTGGCCCAAGTTTCGGAGAATTTGATTATGCAAGAATATTCACGGCGAGAATAGACTCGGCCATCCTGATTTTGGGACACAAAAACCCGTATTCTATTCACGTTTTAGTTTTCTCTCTCATTTCAAAGACTATAATTCTCAGGCGATGCCTCTTGAAGATGTACAAGTACTTGGTAGCATTGGGAATATGCACGTTGTTGATGGCACCCGGTAAACACACAAACGTCGAGAGCCTCATTGTACCGTTCCTGTCCAATCAATCATAATATGGCCACGACATTAGCGTTCGCGTAACACTTTGTGTTCAACGCGGGATGACACATATGTTCACGTTTTCAAACATGCATTGTGCAACTGAGATAGCGATATCATGAAAGCTCTCATGGTTAACGCTTTATTCGGTGATAATCTAATAGTTACACCAATTAATCACAAGTTTGATAGCTTTCTTCCCCACACGCAATTCAAGTATATCTCGTATTTTATTCTTTTCGACACAACTCAATTATTATATTCGTTGCCGTTAGTTTGCGCCAATCGAAAGATGCTTCTCGCGTGCTCCTAACGCCACCATTGCCCCGAACCTTACAAATATACATTACATCCCACCACCAATCAATTAGCGAAAGCATTTTTAATCACTTTCTGGTCCCACTTCTCTTAGCTCTCGGGATTTAGCTGTCATGATCTACGGCTACAGAGTGATATCAGAAACGTGCTGGCTAAGATTACTTCGAGCCGGTGTTCGTCTTGTTGAGAACATCCGCTTTGGCAGTGTCCCTAGCCACTATTTCAGCCAAAATTTCGGCATGCGATGTCTGATCATCACTCAAAGTCAGTAATCGTCTCAGTCCTTGCTCTCGTCGCAGCATAAACTGGACAGTTCGGGGATTGATGTGTTTTGAATTCTGGCCCTTTGACATCGAATCGCCATACTCAAATCCAGCTTCTGACTCGTTCTTGACCTGGGATCGATAATTTCTTCGCCGCCTAAATAATGTCATAGGGGCTTTTTCCATGGTGCCTCGTCCTTCAAAAACCTCTTCACGTGCCTCTTTGATTGTGGGACTATCCACTAGGTTGCTGGTAGGCGTGCTGTGCTTGTTCTTAGCAGCTCCGTTCAATTTAGTAGGAAGGGAAGTTGTGGAAATTCGTTGCTGATATTTGTCATTGGACCTCGTGATACCAGCAAGGCTGAAATTGTAAAGAAGGGTTGTAGCCGACTCGACGCTTTGGGATTGATTATTTGAGGGAGCCATTGCTTCAGTATCAAAATTGAGAATGTTGGTTATTTAATTTGCCGTCGATGAATCGTGATAGATCTAGATGAGAAGACTGGAAGTATCTTGTAGATGAAGAACTGTTTATGTGAGAAGAAGCGTTGTGCGATTGACTACCTGAGAAGAAGCTTTATAGATAATAATAGTGATTGGCTGGACCGTTTGAACTTCTAGTTTCATTGCCCGTACCTAAAAACACGGCTCAAAGTGTTTTGATATTGTTCAAGTATGCACTTCATCGATGAAAAGTATCAGTAGCCGTAGTTGGTTACTACCGTACTTCCTAGTCATTCTGCACGAAGGATGTACCTTTGCCAGGCTATGAGTGTAGATACTAACTTTTCACAGAATAGAATAATTTCATAGCTGGTCAAATTCCTAGAATCTTGCTCGTAAGAGCCGGACTGCAAAATTGCCAATCATGAGGAAACGTTGCTGGCGGGTGAGTGGCTGGCTTGATTGGGGACACTGAGAGGGGGAGCTCGATGTCTAGGTCTTGTTTATAGATTGTACGGGGATTTATGTGTAGATTCTTGCTATTTATATACATCATTGTAAATCTCATCCAATGTATTTATTTTCGATGTAGACTTGATATCTATGTTTATACCATTCTGCGTGTGGGCTGATGGTTACAAATATATGTTTTGAGTAGAGAGATGGTTCTTCTTGGGTGTGTGATGAGTGATGAATATCTAATCACCCTTTTTGGTGATTTGATTTGCCCACTTATGTGAGCTCATCGATAGAAAGTATATCTGATAGTGTTAAAAGCAAGTTTAAGTCCTTTGGATTTGGTGATTTGATTTTTTGATTGTATTGTTGTATAATGAGATTCTTGTGAGGGTTGGATATAACCCTTGTCACGCTGGAGTATGATACAATTTCAACACTAAAGCTCAATCTTGCACTACTATCGCCTTCCCATAAGTACTCAAATCAAAACCCGTATCTTGATTTCATTAGTGACCATCAGGTTCAAGCTGAACCTCAAGTGGTAGTGCGATAGATCGTTGCGCGAAATCATCTCGGGTGGCTTCATTTGAGTTGCTATATTCTTGCCGTGTTTCAAGCAAACGGGCAATTGTCTCATTTGGCAAATACGTGGCTGTTTTAATGTCTGAAAGTCTGAAAGTCTCACAGAGAACAAAATGGAAAGACGCTGGCCTGATCACTTTGGAAATTTGTATCCAGAACTTCAACATCCTCTGTCATGGGATTAGGAATCCAGTCAAGCAGTATCGTGATATTATCCGAAAATACTCCAAACAATGCTCAACACAAAATTGGCTTGTCCCGAAATGTTTTAGAACCTTCGTTTGTGGTTTGTCCGGCTTTGCTATTTTTCCCAATGCTAAAGATACGGCAAAATTTTGTCAAGCACATCACCAACCAGCCTGGTATAAAAGACCAGATAATTTTGAAATCTTCAGCTGTGTGACCAACGTCATCTGAATCCCCCCGATGTATGGCTTTTCAGAGGGAAATCTCATGATGATATCGTTGAATGTCATCTAGTTCATCAATCTGATACATCGACCTCAACATAGCGATTTGAATTCGTACACTCACGCAACTGATTATAAAATAAGATTGCTAAGCCCACAATGGAACTCAGATCATGGTTTGAATATTTACAATCTTACCTGCCAGAGCTTATTCATAAAGAGACAGAAAACCCCCCGCCGGGTTGAATTTCGACTGCCCAATATTCTGACCACTAGTAGTGGTGGTGGTGGTAGTAAATTCATAATCTTTCGACCACTATATCATATATTTTGACTACACTACAGATCGATTGCTAATGCGATCTCGACCTTTGTTACCATGATGAAATTCCCTTGGTCCGCGCCATTTATTAATTTAAGAAGAAGTTTGATTGGTCGAACATCTTTGATTATTACCATTTTTGAGAGTCAACGACTGTATCACGCTATGGGGTGGGAATGTTGAAGAATACTTGGTTTTGAGTAAGATACTCAGAACAGTAATTTGCCAGCTTGATTCCATGATTCCAAAAAATATCAATCTTTGAGTAAATTTAACAGGCATTCAATACTAGTAGAGGTACCCAGGACATCTAACAGTCCAAATTAAAAGTTTTTATTTCAATATCTCAAATAGAATCAACAATTCAAAACTGGTTGAGACTTCTCATAAGATAGAGGAATTTAGAGCCTATGCCCTACTGCGGTTTGGAGTATCAAAATCTTTGATAGGAGTGTAGGGAGAAAAGAAGGAGCGAGAAAAGAAATCGAGAGATAATAAGAGCGAACAAGTAACTGTCTGATTCAACAACAGTTATATAATAATTCTTGAATCTTATATTTATACCACCTCTCAATGATTAAGAAACTCTGGCAGATCACATTCCCCTCAAATCTATGCAGCTCCTCTATACGATCACTATTTTCCGATCTTTCAAATCATCAACTCGTCAAATTCTACAAACCATCTAGTACAGCACCCTCAAACCACCTACAGTACCCCACCACCAGAAAAATCTCTTTGACTCACTCAATGATCTTCCTATAAATCCAATTCAAGATTGAGTACGCCATATACAACCTAGAAATGGTTCTCAAAGAGCCTAGTGTGAAATGAAGCTGCATTACATTGTACCGTGTTGAAAGTCTGAGAACTTCTCGTATGCATAAATAGATTTCTTTCCACAGTTCAAATTCGTCTTATTACGAACAACGATTTTACAGGTTCACAATAAGAATTACTTGAAAAACTCTTCAAGTATCTCACTACGAATTAACTTTGTACTCTTCTCGACAGAATTCATATTTACAATCTTTTCAGTACAATAAAAACACTTGTATAGACTACCTCAACACTTATCGTAAGTTGTATTCTTTCTCCCTTTTCTACCTGCAGTTTTTTCTCGCCTGTCTTGGTCAGCTTAGATACTAACCAGTCACTTTGCGCTCAGTAATTATCCAAAACTTCAACATGTCTTCCTCTAATAAACTCAATGGCACGGATCGTCTCTCCAAACTGTTTGGAAATATCATTGTGTCTGATAGCAGTGATATACAGAGCATGAATTCTATCTTCGGTGCCATTAGGCGGGACCGTGAAGGCGCAACAGCAGCAGCTAACCCATCGGCCCCTGGTACAGCACCCATAGCCGAAGAAAGGAGGAAAGCTCTTGGAAGAAAGCATGGTGGGAATGTTGCGATTGGTAGGGACAGTGGAAAGATCTCGGCGCAAACAAAAGGCAATAGAGAGCCTGCTACCAGAACCACGAAGAACAACAAGCTCAAGCCTTTTAAGGATAGCGATGCAGGAAAGAATGAGACTGCTGGACCAGCACCAAGAGAAGTACTCCGGGAGAAGGTGATCGCCCAAGGTAAGCATCAAGCACCCACTTTATCCGCTCCATACGCATCTTAAAACTAACTAACAAACCGCAAAGAATACTTCTCACCCCACATCTTCGAGATAAGACCTGTGATAGGAGAAAAGCAGGTCGGTATGTTTGCCACTTCAGACATCGAAAAAGACACCGAGATCCTCCGCGAAGCACCTGTCATTCGCGGAGGCCCCACCTGGCCCGGACGCGAGGCAGCATACAACATGCTTTCCTCCTCTAAAAAGACAGCTGTTGATTCTCTTTCCAGCATGTGCAATTGCGGGAAGAAACCCGAACTTTGTCTCGAGACTCCTCTCATGAAACGATGGGCTGTCAATTCATTTGAGATGAATCCTTTTCTCCAAGCTGGTGATACAGCGAACAATAATCATGTCTATGACAAAGCATGTCGAATCAACCATGCTTGCATACCTAATTGTTCTCGCGCTTTCAATTCGGAACATAGTATTTCGATCCGAGCTATGGAGGATATCAAGAAAGGAGTGGAAATCACCATTAACTATGGAGTCTATGGTCCAGCCTCGTTTCGAGAATCAAATATCGCTGAAAGATGGAAATTTACTTGTACATGCAACGCATGTGTCAAGAAGGGATTCGTGCCAGAAACAGGGTACGAAGAATACCAACACAACAAGAGACTTCTATGTTTCCAGTTTCCTCACCTAGTTCCACTTGGCGCCGAGACAGCCGAAGAAGCGGCGACGTCCAAAGAGATCATCGAATGGGCTGACGTGATCGAAAATGATATCCTCGAGGCCGAAGCATATTGGTATGCGCATACCGATGAATTAGTCCGCAAAGGGATTACTCGACTTCGATTCACCCTAGAGTGGACAGATCTCAATCAGTCACCGACGCGAAATTTCTTGGTCAATGGACATGAAAGATTTTTGAGAGAGGATAACAGGTACACTCTCTCTGATAAAGTCATCAAACTGTACATTTGGCGTGCTACCAAGGCTTTGCGGGCAGAGGTTGATCGCTGCCATCCCGTGTTCATGAGAAAACATTCATAAGTGCCAATTGCGGGATCGAGTGGTGTTGGATTACAGGGAAACGAGACATGTTGGTTAGGCTTTGGCATAGTATTTTTCAAAGGGTTTCGAATCATATTGTATTTGTTCCCTTTTCGGATTTGCTAGGAGAGATACATTTTTATAGCACACTTTTGCTAGATTTTAGCACAGCAATGAGTTTTTACAATTGTAGCTTTGGTTGGTGACAGACGCTCAGATAATTTGAAGGTGAGAGTCAAGCCCCTAATCTGTATTAAATAGTGTGCGTTAAGCTTAGGGTACAAGATGCAAGATACACAGAATCCGAGGGTACGTCTCCAGGCATTAGCAATAGACATTGATCTATTGTTTAATAGATATGAAACCAAAATTGAAGAAGCAAATTTCCACGAAAACCCGATGTATAAGTACTTGATCTTGGTTTCCCTTTATGTATCTTCCTTCATTACCTACTAGAATCAGACTCAGGTATGTTGCGTTCGAAGGTCTTGTCTTGGTTTTTCTAGAAGGAGATATATTCTCGTCTGATGCGGTGTTCTCCTTGCATGGTAAAAAGCACTCTCCTGACCTACATCATTTGTTCAACTAGTAAAGAAGATGCGTCATATAAAGGAGGACACTCAAAAGCGCGGCAATCAAGATCTAATATCTGAAAATGTTTCAGAACAGCAAGGTAATCGCCGCCTCTACCCATTCAATGAGCATTATGACGATTGAAGGCAGTACTCAGGGAGTTCTAGGTTGCAGCCTCCGTGACAGATCTGAATGCTCAAACTCAACGTAGAGTGGGCTTTGTATCTTCAGCAACGCTCTGTGAGAAATCCTCAACTGGGGGTCATGATTGTGTCCAGCGAGCTTCCTTCGATATCAATATATATAAAATGTGTGTTTTTTGGGCATATGATTTGCAAAGTTTGAGCATAACATATCTCTCACGAAAACTGAGGATACTCCTCAACCTTTAAGTGAATTATTAGTAGCCATAAGATAAATATTAACAGAACTTGATTTTATTCCGCCTCTGAGGTTGAAATTATACACGCAATGGATATAATCAAGTGAATGCTGTTACCCCAATTTTCTTGCGTGGACCATTATATAAGATGTTGATATCTGGATCTAAGAAAATCAACTAACCTTCGATCGCAAACATGCTATCACCTGCAAAGTCGTGCAGATTTCTAGCTTTAAGATCACCTTTGATTCAAACTTCATCCCCTGAGTCCACTAAAATCTGGTAGTATCAACAGGGCAAAATGGTAGTTAATTGATGCCCCAAAAATATGTTGAAAGCAACGAATAGTTCAGATGGTATACAATTTCCACTGTTATTTTTAATAGTTAAGTACATTATTGTCATTAATATCCCACCTCATTATTTTCTAGCTGATGTCATTCAAGAATAAGGCTTAGAGCTACCAAACCGCTCTCCTCTGACCTTTGCCAAAAGCTAAACGTTCGACTGGAGTGCGAGATCAATTGCGACCTGAACAGCTGTCCATGAATTTGCATTGGGCCCATTTTAATTCCTTGAAGCTTTCGTAAAGTATGGACAACTCTGGAGGGAAAATGTGCTTCCATGTGGTAGCCATTGATTATTCAAGTTATCATAAACCTTCTGGAGTAAATCTAATTGCTCGAATGTCAGCTTCTCCTCAATTGAAAGATGTTACCATATGGATTTCTAAGTCTGCCATATACTGACTATTCAACGCATCTATCGGAAAACAAGTAAGTTAATTCATTATATTTCTATGTGACATCATACATGAGTCTTCAAATTTCGAATTGATGAAGTGTAGACACGGATCTCAAGGTTTCTCATGGCCGTCCAAGAAGATTTTGAAAAGAAGGGTGTGTTATAAAAGAGATAGTCAGAGGGAACGCAGATTGAACAAAATACCAAATTACAACGAGCTTTCTTTGTGGGATATGTCTGTGGAGTGAAGATTGATAGGCAGTTTATCTATCGACAAACCTCTGGAACGTAAGAGCACAAGCGTGCTAATAGTTTTCGAATCTGGAGTAGAACATATATGAGAAATAACAGCAACAAAAAGAGAAAACGACAATCAAAATTGCCAAAAGACAACAAGAGAGGATAACAAAACACCGGACAATACCATTCTCCCCGAAAATCTCTCCCCCCTGGAAACAAATCCCAGAAATATCTAGCTTTTCACAAACTTGATCGTCCTAGTCCTCAGGCAACTGTAAGTGGAAATTGCGAGAATTCCACTGATTTGGATGTTGAGCAAAATTACCTACCTTCGATCTCTTATATAGCCCAAGAACATTTCCTTTGACTCCAGAAAGACGCTGGCACGGAAGTTTCAACCCCGCTGGCCAAGCGATTCTCCGCAGATCTGTCCGACTTGAAAATTTACTTGGATTTCTGAAGATACCGAGGTCTACCCCTCTTTCTTGTCAATGCATATTCTTCACTGAATGTATGCTCTACATATAATTTAAGAGCTACGAGACCATAGATTCGAACCTTGAAGTAGTCGGGTTACAAGAAATCTCTCTGCAGAAGCTGGGTGTCAGAATATCAAATGGGAATCTAGAAGATTACTTCCCGTGAATCTCAGAGCTACATACGGTACTGAACGTACCGAAGTGCAAGGACCAAAGGCCAGGCTCACAAGACCTTCGATTGGGGTTGAATTTTGGGCTTTCAGTTTGACTCTTTACTCACAATTTGCAGTCTATATATAACAAGAAAACTGTAAATCGCAATCCACAAACGGAGTGAATGCTAAGAGGGCGCTACTCACTCCACCATCGGAGTCTTCTTCGCAGGTATCATTTAAGAGATCAAAGAGTGTTTGGATTTGCTCTTCGAACCAAGAGGAAATTAAGATATCGCAGATAACAGGCCGCACCACGAGTGCACAATGGGCGAGGTGGGTAAGGAACCAGGTTGTTGTAATCTGAGAAATGTGAAGTTGTCTACTTGATTGACCAATGCTTACGGGATAATCAGCGATTTGTGCAAAATGACAGTCTAATAGAGCAACAGTGCCGATAAAAAGACGACAACAAGATTTTAGTGATGACAAGAAGTTCTTACCAGTAACAACAATTGAAGTAAGTGGTCATGTCCAGGTGGTCACGGAAGGGTCGAAATATTTCAGATCCGTTTCTACAATTGGCTCGGTAAGCTTACATATTCGAAACATCTCGAAATATTTGAGATCCATTGATTCTATTAGTTCGCTTAAATTTAGTTCCTAAATATTCGAGATATTCCAGATCCATCGATCGCATTAGTCCGCCACAATTACTAGCATGAAATATTTCAGATCCAACGAATTCATTGGCCAAATTATGTCATCGAGATATTCCACACTTACCAAGTCAATCAGCACGTTGAAGAATCCCAATAGCACATTCAATCCATCTCTGAATCGTCTTTGAATACCTTCGGACATGAAATGTCTTCCTTTATCTCCGCCTGTCCATGCAAGGATGAAAATGTTTTCTTGCCTGATTATGGCCGAGAAATATCACGGATAGGGAGTGATATATATATCCACGAAGTCATGAAAGCTCACGGTCGAAGTTTTGAATACTGCGGGGTATTATGAATTGTTTCCGTTGAAATGAGTGAATCAACGAACCTCCAAGAAATTCAGATATCGTTTACTGAAACCACATTTGTAAATTGACCAAGTGAATGGATCGTCTGAGTGTGGCTGAAACTATCTTCACCATACTCTAAACTTCGAATTCAACGATGCTGGGGTATATATACACAACTTCGTCAATGTATTTACTCTTCATACTACCAAACATACTGCATAAATGGCATCAAAGTCGTGTCTCCAATCTTCGGACCAATCAGCTGAAACTTGGGAATTTCGTCTGAAAATGTCATGGAAACTGGAAATGCCTGATTAGGAGAGGGTAGACAAGCACGAAACTACTCAGAAGTCCAACAATGAGAATTCAGAAGGTAACAACAAAGAAGAGCTCAAGTTTCTGACCAAAAAAGAAGGAAACAATAGTGATATCTGATATCTGCACAAGGTGGCGTATAGTCATTTGAAAAGCGCAGAGATCATGCCAATATTCCAAAACGCATGTAAAGCTGACCGACTTGAGTTTCCCAAGACTTGGTGTGCGATGCAATGGCTGCAGCACTCGATTTGGGTCAATGTAGTGTCTATCGCAAAATACTGCGTCAACATTTGGGAAGATAAGAGCCTTACACAATTCAATTTGTGGTTATTTCAATAACTTCAAAGTTCTCAGATTGGTCTAGCCATCATGAGTGAAGCTTTCAGACATCAGACTCAACTCCGCACATGAATTCCAGAATCATGTTACTCAACCTTAGACTCTTGAATTCCCTGCGAAAATGACATGAAAAGTAAGAAATAATTTTCATTGCTATTCCGCAGCCAGAAAATCACCTTTCAATATGTAAGTGACGCTAATCGCAAGATTTGATGCACGAATAATCGACCCATATCACAGCGTAGTCAGCTCACAGCACCAGGCCTCCATCTCAAGTCTCTTGACTCTCATTTCCTTTTCATATTTTTCATATTCACAAAAACGTGAACAACCCCTCCATTCCCCAAGCAATTTCAACCCCTCGGTTGACTTCCCCAGTGAGATTCAAATATGGACAAAGCCCTTCCTCTCCCCCAGACGAGATCCCGTAGCGAACTGTAAAAACCGTGACATTTCCAAACTTTCTATTCTCCTCAAAATTACAAAATACATCGATGCACCTTTAAATAAGAGGCAGCAAGAATCCAAGAAACATTCTCCTGGACTTTCACCAAGAGAACTACGGGATGTAAATTTCTTAGCCTAGTTCCAGCGAGGGAACAACACTGGTAATCATTTCTACGAGGAATTGGTAGTGAGCTGAATGCTGGCAGATTAAAGGTGACAACAACGATCATAAGATATCGACAACAAAAACTTCTGATACTCTAGATCAATAAATTGAACCATCTGTAGAAACCCTAATACGTGTTTCCTTAATTCAAATTAAGATCTGTCTTCTTTACAAAAACTTGCGAACAGGTGCTAGAGATACTAAAAACCATAGAATCCATTGTTAGGGACGCCTTTTTGATATCGGAGTGATGAAATGAACCTCTGAGCATTTCTTATATAGATCAAACCACCAAGCTACTCTGGTTAGCACACCTAATCTCTAAAAGCCTCTCGCTATAGAGCTTTTCCAAGTTCGAAACAAGTGAATATATCCATCATCCCTATCTACAATCAACTCCCCCAGAAATCTCCACTTATTAATCTCATTGGGTTGTGCAAATGCTATCACTGGCGAGTTAATACGCAGATCCACAATGTAATCACATCATATCTGCAGGATCACCGATACCCATCACTTCCCCCCTATCTCTCCCAACGAAGGTCCCCTCCCCCAAATCTCTCATCACAAACTTATATCAACACCCCCCCCTCTAACATTTCTCTTCACAAACGCAAAGTCCGACTTCGATATGGAAACCCATGGTGAGATACATCTTCGAAGTATCTAGTCTCAAACCCCTGATACACTTCACAGCATATTACCCATCCCTGATTATCAAGCACTTTCAATTCAAGAAGTCGAGACAAGATCGAAAACCTCAACCGAGCAAGAGATGGAGATTGTGCGATGATGAGTTTACGTATGTGGTGAGAAAGGTGATGATAGTGACCATGAAAGTAACAACCAGATCACAAACCCAGCCACAGCAAAAGATTCAACCTCAACGCTCTCTCCCAGCCTCTACCACCTAATCCCTACTCACCCCCTCAACTATCTCAATTCTCACCCTTATACTCAATTCCCGCACAAATTCTTTCCAGAAATGATAACACCAAACCAAACCAAACCAAACTAAACAACCACCACCACCACCACCACCACCAGAAAATAACCACAACCCCACTCTCCCACCCATCACAGCAACCACAAAACATAAGCAAAAACCCCACAACTCCATCCCAGCCTCTCAACCTCCCATTCTCACACAGCAGACAGTGAATCACGAAGTTTCTCAAATTCTCCATATCTCCTATCGATATGTGTGTATAAGGAAAGAAAGTTTGGATGGGGGCAGAGGTGAGGTGAGGTGTTGATACCTACGTATTGAGGTACTTGTATTTGGAACTATCTGGGAGTACTTGAAAAGGAGGAGAGGGGGAAGAAGGGGGAAGAAGTGAATCTTTATTCGATGAGCAGAGTATTGAGTTGTGAGGGTGTGAGTTGATGAATTGATGAGGGAGAAAGGGGGAGGGAGTTAGTATGTGGAATAAATATGTCTTGGGGGATGAATGAAGTAAACAGATGAAGTGGATTTACTGAATTTACTGAATTTTTTATGCTTATATTAAGTTTGATTGTATTTGTGAAATTGAGGTTTGTAACTTTGTATTGGGTTGTCGCGGAGGGATAATTATGGGGGATTGTATGTTCATATATGTGTATGTGTATAAATAAGACGAAGTGATGAAGATAATGAATAAAATAAAATGAAATGAGGCGAATAGTAGATATAGCTCAACGAACTCATCCGGAAAAGGAGGAGGCAAAAGAAGAAGAAGAATGCATATCAAAACCTCGTTAATTACCACTCATTTTTATCCTTACAATATCATCATGTCCCCAAAACAATATGTATTCATAACTTCAGATGTCATGTATCGTCACTAGCTTCATCGTCTCATCATTCTCTCATGTATTTCTCAGAAATCTTTTTATCTACTTTTCCTCTCATCTTCACCTTGACATAAACATGAATAACTCTCATTGCCCGTTGTGGTGTCCGAATTTCGATTCACTATGATAATAAGATGCTTTGATGCTATTCAGAAAAAAGAACTCGTCTTTTGCTCCCCGCCGAGTTATCCGTTCCGTTTTTCCTTCATTTTTCCAGATTTCAATTTCTCTCCGGAACTCGAGTAGTCCTACTCACTCCCCGATGTAATCTTACTTTATCTCCCCCCCTCACAAACAAACAATCCCCACATCAAAGATCCCCTCCTCCCCTCTCAACTCCTCCTCCACCTCCCTACCCACCACCCCATCAATCCCCAGTATCATCAACGCTTCATTCTTAATCTCCTCTCCCTGTACCCCCCCATCCTCACTTCCACTCTCCCTTCCCTTCTTATCCAAAGCCGCTACACTCATAAACCTCACATTAATCCCCGCTCTTCCCAGAATCCCACCTACAACTCCGATTTTCCCAGGCTCATCATTATTCCTCAACAAACACAAAGTTCCCTCTGGCGCAAAACTCGTATTGAAGCGATCGAGTCTACTAATAAAAATTCCCCGATCACTTACATAACCACTAATAATCTGATGTCCATTCGAGTTCCCACCCTCCACCTTCACCGTCACCAAACTCGCATAAACCAAATACTTACTCTCACTAACATGCGTCTCACTTATCACAATCCCCCTCTCCTTCGCCAACAAACTCGCATTCACAATATTCACATCTCTTCCACCGCGTTCACTAATACTCCCACCAATCCCTTTACCAATGCCGCGAAAAGCGGTCGCGTGTTCGCTATCCCCGCGAGTTCCCCTTCATAAATCACTTCGAATTTTTTTCCTCCTACGCCCTTTCCACGATAATGCTGGGTGTACAAGCCTCCCATTTTCTCCATCAACTTGACAAATGGTTGCAGTTTTTTGTATTCTTCAGGGAGAATCAGAGGTGCATTGACAGCAGAAGTAGGGAGTCCTCCAGAGAGAATAGCACGAACTTGTGTGCAAACATCTACCGAGACCGATTCTTGAGCTTCGATCGTCGAGGCGCCGAGATGAGGAGTTGCGACGACTTTAGGATGTTGAGTGAGTTTTTGAGCTGGGGAGGAAGGGGTTGGAGGCTCGGATGTGAAGACGTCGAGACCTGCTCCTGCGATGATACCAGCATCGAGAGCATCGAGGAGTGCTTGTTCGTTGTAGACACCTCCTCTGGCTACATTGAGTACCTTTGCCGTTTTCTTCATCTTCGACAATTCTTCTTTCCCGATTAAATCCAACGTACTAGCAATAAGCGGGGTATGAATCGTCAAAAAATCCACCACCGGCAGTAACTCCCCCAATTCCTTCACAAGAAGCACGTCATTCGCCTCCGCAATCTGCGGACTAGCATACGGATCCAACGCCCAAACCTTCATCCCCAACCCCACCGCCATGCGCGCAACTTTCAATCCCACCTTTCCCAGTCCCACGACCCCCAATATCTTCCCTCCCACTTCTGTCCCTACAAGTTTTCCTCTCTCCCACCCTCCGTTCCTCAACGACCTATCCCCAGCCGGTACGTTCCTCGCCACCGCCATCAAAAGTGCAATCGTATGTTCTGCCGCCGCCGCAATATTTCCACTCGGGGAATTAACCACGATGATTCCATTTTTCGTCGCAGCTTCTACATCGATATTATCCACACCTACTCCTGCTCTCGCTACGACCTTGAGATTTTTCGCAGCAGCGAGAATCTCAGCTGTAACTTTTGTTTCTGAGCGAATGATGAGAGCAGAGTAGTGAGGAATTACTTCTAAAAGATCTGTAGGTGATAGGGTTTTAGGTTGATGGATTTCAAATGTATTACCTAAGAGGGCAAGACCATCGACTGATACTTTTTCTGGAATGAGAATCTTGGGACGATGTGAGGAGTCGGAAGAGGTATTGTCGAGATTTGGTAGGGCTGATGGTGCCATTGTGAAGTTTTTATGTTCTTTTTCGACTTTGATCAAAGAACAATTTCAGAGCTTCTCGAAGGTTGTGTGTATAGTGAGTGACCAAGTAGTATTTGGGATAATCTGCAGTAGGTTTGTTGAGTAATCGTAGGTACTATGCACCTTGCACTTGGTACTCTTTCTTTGTTTGTCAAAGGTCAGTATGAAAGAGAATTGAGAAGTCAAGAAGTGAGGAAGAAGTGAGGCGGAAGTGAATGAACAACACCAGAAACAAGATCCAACAGGAACAGGAAAGGTTGGTCTTTTGTATAGTACCACCAAAAATGAAGATCAACTCCGATTCGTTCATGAAACTTTCTGAGATCTGATGAGATGAGATGACACGGAACCCCCCACCCCGCAATTGAACCCCGCATTACACTAATGTACGTTATGCCGAATGTCGAGGAGAACCCGGCCATCCAGAGAGCCTTGTTCATTCGAATTCTAATCATTATTGGTAAAAGTGAGATGTCACAGAAGTTGCAGAAGTCACATGAGATGATAGAATCTGTGCTTATTCGTTCTCTGTGCTTCATAACGTATGATAGCTTCGATTTGCTATGATACACTATGCAAGTATTGATATACCCCCAATCCCCAATCCTGTAACCTACTTGGGTATTCCACTCAAACATTTACCAATTAGCTCTCTCCTTCAATTTCTCATTTTGAATAACCTCAATCCAGTAATTATCAGGATCGAGAACAAATGCCACGTGTTTCATACGACCATCAGTCAATCTCTTCTTCCAATTAACGCCCATTTTCTCAAATCTCTCGCATGCTGCATCTAAATTATCAACTGACACGCCTATCGTGAAATTAGTCTAGCCCATATATGAAGAAGAAATCATTGTGCAACTTACAGATGTGACCAAAACCTTGTGGCTCATCATTACCGTTATGATACTTGAAGTTTTCTTCATTCTCTGTACCATAATTCCAGGTCAATTCCAACAAGCCTTCACGATTGGATGTGGCTGATGATGTAGGAAGACCCTTTTCTCCAGGATACCCAAGGAAGTAAAGATTGAAGTTAGCACCTGGATTTTCAGCTGTTCTCATGAGTGACATTCCCATAATTTCTTGGTAGAACTTCAATGACTTTTCTTTGTCCTTGACACGAATCATAGTGTGGTTCTACAATTTTGTTAGTTGCCCAGATATCATTTTGTAGAGGAAAGAAAAGATTACCATTCGATATGTCTCGGTATCCGTAGTTTTGATGTTCTCAGTCTCTTCCACAGGACTTTGCCCAATAATCTCAACCCAATAATTATCCGGATCCAATGCAAATGCAATGTGCTTCATACGTCCATCAGATAATTTCTTTTGAAACTTATATCCAGCATCTTCAATTCGTTGACAAGCTGCTTGAAGATTGTCGACAGATATGCAAGTATGCCCAAAACCTTTGTGGGGTTCAGTGTTTCCATTTGAGACTTTGTAATCGGCATCATTCTCAGTTCCATAGTTGTGTGTCAATTCGATTAATCCTTCGCGATCGCTGAAGTGGTTTGCGTGTGAGAGAGCTTTTGGAGAATCATAACCCATGAAATAAAGGTCGAATTTAGCTTCAGGTTGTTCAATCTTGCGAATCATCTTCATGCCCAAGTGTTCGTAGAATTTGACTGGATAGATAGTTAGGTATTGTGGCTATTTGAGTGCACACATTTGAGGTACAAACTTACCAGATTCCTTGGGATCTTTAACTCGAATCCTTTGGGCGGATTAGTATCATCCAGTCATAAAAGATGTTCATGTTTAATTTGGATTCGTACATCGAGTGATTGAACTTATAGGTGTTGGTATCGGTAGCCATTGTTGCGTATGATCTACTTGCTGTAAAAGTATTTGAGTATCAGCAAACTGTACAAGGTGGGATTGATAGGAGTGATTGAGCCGATGGATGTAGCCTTGGTACAGCTCTTGAGAACGTACCTGAATCTACAATACTTTGTCGTAAATAATTTGGTTTGATGAGCCTGTTTAAATTGCGAAAGGAGTACATAGAATGCAATGCGGAAATAGTTGACGTTGTTATGAATGGATAGCAACAATTTATATTGATGAGGGGTACAAAAATACTTTGACAATGATGATGTTCCCACGCCCCTCTCTTCGGCTAGTCTAGGTAATTATGACGTGGGGGGAATTTAGAAAGGTCTGATACGATATTTCTAAGCAAATGATATCTTGTCCGATGAAAAGCTGTGTTTGGAGACTATTTCGGTACCGAGTCCTTCGTATATCAAAGCGAAGAGGATATTCTTTGGCCAGAGTTCAAATCATCGTATCAAAAGATTATAGGTAGATGACCTTCCCATCCCCTTACTCAAACCTACGCAAAGATATTCTGGACCTTACCATCTATCACTCAAGCTCATGTAGAAGTTATCCCCTCCTTCAACTCTATTGAAAGAGCAATTCTTCGAAAAGATCAATGACATCGCTAAGCTCTTCAACCACAACCTCCATGATATTTTGGAAAGCAAACATCCATGAAAAATAAAATGCCAATGAAAAATAGAGATAATGTAATGAAGGGTCCTCGGGTGTATAACTTTCCATCCAATGTTCAAGAATCGTCATATTTGCCGATGTCGATGATGTCTGTGCTTGTAGTAATTACTGTAGAATTGATACTGTCGAGAGTCTGTGAACTATTTATGGATCTTGCAAAGAAGAGAGAATCATTAAATATTAAAGGATATTAATTAATCAAGTAATGTTCTATCTTGTAAATTATCCATACATTAATAAAGATCTCAGTAGAATAATTGAATACCTGTGTAGAGAAGAGTACTCGGGTATTTGTAGTAGACACAGAAATCATCGATTATCGATTTGTGGGTGCTAAATGTGACGGACATATTTTAGTACACCTTAGGAAGTAGCACTAACATTGTATCAGTAAGTACTAGATATGCTTCACAATAGAAAGGGTATTCAATGATCAATTCGATCTTTATGACATATACACTCGAGCGCAGCGAGCTATGGGGGTTTGGGGGCTTGCCCCCATAATCAAACCGATTAATGAATCAAAATGACGCTCCGCTGGCCCTCCGGGAGCCACTGCCGTGGAGGCAGAGTAGCTTCTTCAAACGTATACATATCCTCTACCGTTTCATATAGATGGGTGTAAGATGGGGTTCTGAAAGTATGAATTTAAATGACTTTTCATAGAGTGGTACCATACATGAGTCTATACACACAGGTTTCATGAACTCGAACTCTTCCTCTGTAGAATTAATGAGTATAGACATTGTATCAAGCCATTATGAGTTATAAAGTAGTGAGATTCTAACATTCTCTTGCTGCCATGAATATGAATTCGAAGTTGTATCAGTGAGGTCTCTCCAGCTATGTCTGATTACACCCTTCATGGCCTAAACTTTACCGAGATCATCCTCGAAATATTTTTTAAGCTACAGCTACAAACTACTCAGACCTTCCCCGCCCATGCCGAGCCATTCAACCTCTTATCAGCTCAGAATTGCAATTCACTTCTTTTTCTTATTGTTATCCTATTGTTGCTCGATCAATCACTTTCACTACAGCTGATTCATAATATTGTATGTATTTTTCTAAGTTGTTCCAATTGATATTTTCTATCTTTACAAAGACGATCAATCTCATACGAGAAATCTTTACTAATAATATCTCATTCAATAGAACAAAATATAACCAGATCAAATCACATAATAACCATGACGTCCCATCCACCACAAAGTCAAACCATGCTCCTAAGCAAGAGAATATCCACCTTCCTACAGAACAACATATCGCCACATCTCCATACACTAATGCTGCTGACACCCACCGGCAAGCTTCTAAGTACCTCATCCAGTTCTCCGGCCTCAGTACTGCGTCACCAAGGTACTCTCGCCCTCTCACTGTGGACCCTCTACTCCCCCTTTCCGGCGCAAACCGTATCGGACGCGCTTCCTCCCAATGGCGAATCGTCCCATGGTCGCAGTCCCAAATCTCGAGAAACGAAAAGTATTTTGATACAGATGGAATTGGGCATCATGGTGATACGACTATTAGCTTGTGGATTATTATTTGTCGCGATCGGACCAGCACCCGGTGTTTCAGGAACAACCACGCCGCAGATTCAAAGAGAAGGGTTGATATCGATATCGCAACCAGCGTCACCAGATGGAGGACACGAGAGGGAAGTTATCCGGAGTGGAGAAGGGAGCGAGACGGCGAGTATGAGAAGTGCGAGAGGAGGTGGAGTGGGCATCAGCGGTATGAGAAGACAAGCAGAGGAATTGGGAAAATGGTTAGAAGGGGCATTAGATGGTTTGGTGTTGAGTACAGCGGAACGATAAATCCAGCGCGATTGACGGATGTGGGCGTGGGATAGGAGAAGCCACTCGGTCGAATCTCGACCACTTTGCGACAATTTACCATCGCGTCGCAAAAACGATTGGGAAAAAGACGTTTCTGTAATCGATCGGTATTATTCGACGGAGCAAAATTAAATATCAAACATTAATTGGGTTGGGTGCAATGGATTAAATGGACACTGTGCATAAAATGGGAATTAGGACATCAGCACTTGGATTGTACGGATTATTCATCAGAGGATTGGTGTAAGGGGTTGGAGTTATGATACCACAGCATTCGATTCTGGTATATTGTTTTTTTTTTCAATATATATCGAAAGTCAAGCATATAATTAATCTTGTATCATATTGAATAGTGTTTGTTGCTGATGCGATTGTTATTATAGGGGCATGCGGCTCCGCTGAATCATGGTATATCGAAATTGATAATTGATCTTTCTCAATGAACAAAAACTCTATGATATATTATTTCGCAGATTGATACACTATCAGTTATAGATCCAATACATTCAGATCTATACCCCCAATTCGCACTATCCAAACCCAAAATCATTAGTCTGATTTCACCTATCCCTTTACATTTTCGGTAAGAAGATATCCTTTCAAAAATAAGGTTACTTTTCCCTCATTATCATTATTATGAAATAACCATCATTCTTCTCCTCATTTCCTCACATTCATTTTTCAGTTACATACCAAATGAGAACCAAGCACCAAGATAAATCTTTATCCCAACTTCTTCCGGTTTCACCCATGATATCCCCGCGTGTCAGAAATGCGTCTTTGTTGCTGTGTGCCACTAGTGTTGGATTTACTACGTGTAGGGATTTTGGGTACAAAGAAAAAGGAGATGGGGACGGGAATGGGGAGTTTGTGAAAGAGTGGTGGTGGGGATGGATGAGAGAGTGCATACTGATTTCTGGGTGTTTGTGGTGCTTTGATTGAAAGTATTCGCTGTTTATCAAAAGTATCGCAGGAGTATTATATACTTCCTCACGGTTTGTTCCCAGAAGGAAACAGACATGCGGTTCTGATTTGATTATTATATTGTTCTTCGCTATACAACATTTACCTTTTGTCCTATCCTATCCTATCCTACTGTCCTACTACACACCATCCACACTCAAAACCCCAACCCGCTCTACAAATCAAAATGACTTCACCAATCCCAAACCCCTTCATCATAAAACCGCCCTTCTCCTCCCCTTCTAAACCTACAACTACAATCATAGCCCCCTTCCCCCTTTCCCAAGGCCTCCTTCTCTCCTCCTCCTCCGACCCCCTCGTACCGCTCGAACTGCGTCTCGTCTCTCTCCTTTCCTATCCCTGTACCGCGATCGTAAATCCAATTTCTCAATCCCCGTCTACGTATCCGCTTATGCGTGCAAAGGGTTCGATGACTGAGGTTGCGAATTCTGGGCTCGTGGACTTGCCTTCCCGGATGGGCATGGGGATAAATACAGCAACACCACAGATAAGTCTCCCCGGCCTAATCGACAAGACAGCCGGAGAGGAACTAGCGAAGTGGAGAGAACAGAACTGGAAGAAAGGATTGAATGCTGGGGCGTGTGGGGTGAGTGGGAGTTTTGGGTTGGGAGACGGAAGTGCTTCTGAGAAAGAGAGGAATGGGAAAGTGGAAAAGAGGGAGGAAAATGGAAGACCGAAATATATAATCCATACGCATGCGCCGAATTTCGCGGATAAAGCGTATAGTACGCCGTTGGTGAAACAGTTGTTGGTTAATTGTTATCGGGGGGCGTTGGTGGAGGCTATGGGGATTGCGGAGAGGGAGGAGGAGGAGGAGGAGGGGGAGAGGCAAAAAGGGGGAGGAGAAGAGGAGGATGAGGCGGAGGAGGGTAAGGAAGAAAACTTTTCAAATACTGAAAAGAAAAGAATGGATGGAAATGCAGTATTCTCCACAAGCACAGGAGAAGATATGATTATGGCGGATACAGAGCCAGATGCGGATGAGGATATGCCAACGGAGAAGGAGAGTACACCGGAAATGCCAAGGGAAAGAGGGTTAGGAAGTTTCGGTACAGTTAATATGGCGGGAAGTATAAGCAGTCCAGCGAGTCTGGCGAGTCCGAGCGATATGAATTTAGATGCGTTTGGTCTTTCGCCTATTCCGTCTCCGTCTATTCTGCCAAGTACATTTATCTCGTCGATTACATCGATTCCGTCTATGCACCTCCCATCATCCAAATCTTTCCCTGCACTTTCCCACGGCCCTTCGAAGCATCATATTTCACAGTCCTCTCCTAAACCAACAGGTGTAATCATCGCCTTCCCAGCTATCTCCACAGGTCACAAATCCTTCCCCCATCGTCTCGCTGCTCGTATTGCTGTAGGCACTGTCAGAGATTTCTTACGTCATCCTATTTTTGGCGCTATACGACAAAAAAGAATTCGGAAGGTTGTTTTTTGTGTTTGGCCTGTTGATAGTCCGAATAGAAAAGCTCTGCAGGTAGCATTCGGACTTACTTTTCCACCACGTTTACCACAGAGTGCACCGTTGAGTCCGGTGAGTAATCAGCTTTCTACACCACCGTTCTCGCTGAGTGTGAAGGGGAGGAGGGGGTTCGATTTTAAGTTGGGGTTAGCGTTGCGGGATTTCGAGGGGCAGGAAAGCGGAGTGCCGAGGATTGTGGTTACACCTCCGATTACGCCGATGGTGGGGTCAGGTTTGAGTTTGAGTTTGGGTTCTGGGGAGAGAGATAGGGATTCGCCTGGTTTGGGAAATTTGGAAGGAGAGGGATTGAGTAGGGGAGATGGGAATCTGGGAGATGAGGGGAGTGGGAGTGTCGGGGAATTGGGAATGGGAATGGGAATGGATGTGGATGTGGATGTGGATACGGATGTGGATATGGAGAAGAAGAAGGAGAAGGAGAAGGAGGGTGATGGTATTGGTGTTGGTGGGAATCTGACAGCGGAAGTTGGGCGAGGAGGTGAGGAGGATGAATTAAGAGAGAAATTGAGACTACTTAAAGTAGAAGTGGAGAAGATGGAACTGAGAGAGAAAGTGAGACAACTCAAAGCAGAAATAGAGAAAGTGCATGGACAAGGAGACAGTCGTGGAAGAGATAGAAGAGGAAGAAAAGAAACATACAGACAGAGAAAAAGGCAACAAGGGTTGAGATTGGCTGCTGCGATGAGAGTGAAGAGAGAGAGGGACAGGGACAGGGAAATGGAAAGAGAGGATAGAAAAATATATTTGAATTTGGATGAGAGATTGATGGTTAGAGAGAGGGATACGAGGACACCGGAGAGGAAGCTTGGAATTGGTGACAGGAAGACGGAGAAAAGTGTGGATGAAAGTATAGGAGAGGAACGAATAGTCCTAGTGAAAGTGGCTGATGAGGGTATTCGGAGACCTGAAGTGGGAGACGATACCGGCTCACCCGAAAGCAAGTTAAGCATTGGAGAAGGACGAGCGGAAAGGAGTCAATCTCAGGATAAGGAATCACAGGAAAATGTAAAAGTTAGTGGATATGTCCGTCGACATGGAGGAAGTGAAACGAGAAACAAACAAGAGAGAAGATATCCGGAACGAGTTGATGTAGGTGATATCAAAGTGGGTACAAAAAGAGGAAGGCCAAGTACAGTAGAAGGAAGACGGCCAGGAGGTGGTGATACTGAACGACGTGGAGGGAGGAAACAGAGAAAAAAGAGGAGATAGCGCTGGGAGATTGTTTGAAGAGTTCTGTTTATTGATTTAGATGGAGTAAGTGAATGAAGTAGTCTGAGGGAGGGAGGATATTGTGTAGTTGTATAAATAAATTTCTTGATGCAGTCGGGGGCTCACAGTTTCTCACACCTTTTTGGCAGTACAATGGAAGGTAAAATAATTGAAACCTCGATCTGCAAGCTTGTGATTCGAGGGCTGTGAAACGTACTCGTATCTTTTGAGCTTCTGTAAGAGGATAAATTATGCAATAGAATAACAGTCTACTGTTTTGATTTTTCTGATGATGGGACTGAGCTAAAAGAGATTCGAACTTGTCCTAGTGTAATTTATTATCCATCCCATTAGATACTGAAGTCAAACTCAACCAAATAACGAGGAAAGCACGCGCAAGACTGGTCACGTTGCCATATTGGGTAGAGGCTGGGCGTGATAGCTCTCGCAGAACGGAAAATCGGGACATCGAAAATACACTCTCTTGTCAATATCCAATGTAAAGTCAGACAATCGATATTAACATTTCATAGGGCCCTGACCAGGAACTAATTCAATTGCGAATTATTGAAATCTAGGTACTTTCAATGTGTAATTTATTGAATGATTAAGTGTCGAGTTTTCCGTCCACAAGGTTACCGATAAGATATCCGCGAAATTATGCATAAGATTGATTCCACGCCTCCTGTTTTGCCTTGAGACTTGTGCGCAGAGTCTCAGATTGGATGATGTCTATCCTATCCTGGGGGTGCTCTTGTTATGTGCCCAAAGAATGGTAAAGCTAAACTTGTTTTCCCAACCAGAAATTATCATCCAGGTGGTACCTCAGATGAGCATCGCCTTGTCACTCCATCACTTTTACCAGAGCTATCAGATGAGTGCATATTCTGTTGCAAGATCAAAACTGAACTCAGCAACGCTTTTCGTAAATCTGATTCCTGGCAATTATCAGTAGAGCAAACTAGCTCTCAGGTGCAATATGTGTGGTAGATGGCGACAGTTACCAAGGCCGAGGAGACCTCTATCTTAGCTTGGAAAAACTCGAACTTACTCTTCCTCGCGCTTCTTATGAAAGTAAGAGAGTCCGGTTCTATGTTGCGGTATCATCACTAGGTGAGTAATGGTATCCGTCCGCATGTTTATGCTTACAATAATGGCAGATCTATGTCTAGAATGGCCACGGATTAAGAAGATACCACCGGAAGGAGAAAGCAGCTTCACGAAAAGGAAAACCACTATTGTGAAGGACTAGATAAATTCTTGCGCTCTTAACTATGACTATCTGGAGTTTCGAAATTATTTGAGTCATCAATCCCGCTCAATTGATAGATATCGGAAGTAAAGACGAGAATGATCCTTTCACCAAATGAGTTGATAACAAAACATTCAATTTGTCGAGATACGCTCCTTTGATCAGATATATCTGCTTGAGTTACTGCTGGGGGCACAAATAGAAAGCTCCTTAAAACCACCAAAGAGGACACAGAACGATACAAAGATCAAACATCCATTTATTTCACGGTGATAACCCCATATAGCAACATTTCATATATTAGTATCTTGATTAGTATAAAGTCTATTTGGGGTCTCGCATGTGCTAGTCCATATCGTTTTTTCAAAAAATGTGCTAATCTAGTCCCAACGAAAGAATGATATTTTGGTTTCAAGAAAAAAAAAGAAAAAAAAACGAGGGCTTCCAAGTGGATAATCTTGTAAATCTTTTAAAACTTCACTTTAAGTGAATTGATAGAACAGTGATATTCTAGTCTTAGTCTCCGAAAAAATTATGAATCCTTTTGAAATTTAGATTTTCTAAACAATTTGATATTTAAAAGAGTACAGGAATGATTGTATGACAAGAATTGGGACAATCATAAGGCTTTGAAAGGCGGAGAGATTAGAAAGGGTTACTCCTTTGTGCCTGCACTCTCACTCCCACTCCCTGGCACAGGGGCTATAAAACAGCGCGGGCGCTAGTACTCATACAATACTTCCAACAGCTTTCGTCGAACTTTGCTTGGGGCTTTTACTGAAGCTCTCACACTGGACCTCTCTATATGTATTAAGACGACTCAACGAATCCGACATTTCAATGTCGGTGTTGAAACGAGAAAATAGGGAAGCCAAGATAATGACTGGTGGAACAACTAGCTTGAAAGCGTTGGTATCCACAGGCAGTCACCCAGAGCCATATGTAACTGAGTTTTAATGCCTCGACCCATTTGGATTATAAAAAACTTCTACCGGCCATTTCTTCTGCTAATGGAAAGCACCACATTTCACGCGTGGCTCTTCTTCTTAGCCCCCACTAAGTCGTCTAAATAGAGTTCATCCCATATGTTTCATACTAGATTATCAAAAAACCAACAGAGTCAACTCAGTCTGCACAGCCACCATTTCTTTTGCCAAAAATCGTTTCATCTTCGATGACACTCACATTTCCAATTAAGCGAGAGCGGATGATTGGCTTTGGATAGGGATGGAGAATGCACATTCTAATTGTTTGGTTTGCTGCTGCACTATTAGCTCAAATTTAGTCTATTTGGAAGAATGAGTGAAAGTTTTGTTTTCGTTATGCAAGTGGGAAAGTTGGTGCCTGTTTTTATGTTTCGTGGGTTGGATGCTTGAGATCCAAGTCTAGGGGGTTATCCGAGAACATATCAGGTGCTAACCTGAACGTTTGAATGTAGCATTGACTTTGGATCTCTGGAAAATATGTCGCAGACTAGTATTCACCAGCCGGTTCTTGTAGGTCAATATGCGATAATACAGATGCCGGCCCTGAACTTTACATTTCCAGCTCTAGAATCCTGTGACTATCTTACCACATGGGGAAACATATCAAAGTATGTATGCTCGGTCTTCTTTTCGTCTCTCTCATATGTATGCAAATAATGAATTCTCTGACAAAACTACAGACTATCAATGCCCATGTTAATCGGTGGTAAAGATGTACACGACCCCATCTCTATCGATGCCCAAACAATTTTTGAATCACCTGTACCCATTAACTTTGACTCTCTCACTAATGCCGCCGAAATTGATGTTAAAGGTTTCATCGAACCGTCTGTTTACTCAGCTCTGCTTGCCCTTTGAATTTTCAAGCCAATGTTGGCAATTTCAAAAGTCTCCATATGCCTGTTCTGGCAAATGTGAGTTCAATCTCTGCGTCTGTAGATGGGGATGTAAGTTTTCCCAGGCTGGTCAATGCTACAGAGATGTTAGTTCAGGGTCAAGTTTTCTCGTATGTAGTTCTTTACTCTTTCCACTTCAGATTCACAAACTACCCGCTTCATTGCCCCTCCCCTCTACCTTCTTCAATTCCCAAATATAACAAAATCTTAGCCTCTCGCTCCGAGCCCTTTAATATCTAAACGAAACCCTTCGAATACAAACATATCGTCTCTTCGATTGTGCATCCCTCCGTGCAGTTTCCGATCACACATCCACAGTGTTCGCAGCGCAGTACGATTATATCTCACCGGAATATGAGAGTCGGGTATTTCGATGTCAATCTTATTTTGTAGGAGAAACAAAAAAAGGACTCTCCCCAGATGTGCAAAATGGACTAGGGTTTGGACTGGGACCTGGAGGGGGGCTGGCGGCAGTTTTGGAATTTGCGTGGTTGTTGAGATGGGTTAGGCAGAGGAAGGCTGGGAAATCGGGTGGAAAAGGGGGAGAGAATGGTGAAGGTCAGAGTAGGGCTAATACGAGGAGCGAGATAGAAGGTGATGGTCGTGAGATCAATATAACGAGAAGATAGTGATGTAAAGTTTTATTGAGATAGGCTTTAGAAGAATACACATAGAAGCATACACTTGAGGAGGATATGATTGAGGTCTTGCAGAGTCTGACTAATGTGGATATCTCTTCGACATGGAACCGGTCTAAACTTAAACCGTGGAAGTTATGTCACGAGATATACTAGCACAATTAGTATCAAAGTTGACTAATCTAGAGGATGAATTAAACATTTGGGTGTGGCTTTAAAAGAAAAAAGTCTGATATTTCATTCTAAACTCAATCACAAAGCCGTGCCCCTTTCGATTATTCAACATCTATTCTTACAAAGACCTCGAAGATTGACTCTAATCTCAACTTCAATCTTCTTCACACAGGAATCTGTCTCAATCCACCTACCACAGACCTCAGGAATTACGCATTATATCACACAGAAACATGGATCTCACATCTTCCTCTTACATGGCGAGTTTGAGCCCTACTCCATCATCGCTCATCCATTCTTCGGCCTCGCTTCCCGCCGCCTTTTCCTCACCACAAAATTCCACAAGTAAAGATGATAATACCTGCTACATTCGCCGACCCGCGACGTGATTCTGTGCTAATCATCGCTCTCATTTTCATAGCTCTCTTTGGAATCTCCAGTTTTCTAAAACTTGTCTCTTCTCGATACGAAGTATATAAACTCCAAAAGAAGGTTTCACGTTTGAGGTTTGAGACTATGAATGACCGTATGGAACAACTGAGGAATAATGAGCTTAAACTTAGAACAACGCTCTTCGAGGACCATTTTCAGCAAGATGCATCAGAGCTAGTGCAGATACGGGATCTTCAAAATTCAACCATTGTTTTTGACCGAGAAGCTATGAATCATTTTGCGGTGGACTTTGCGGCGGCCCAAAGAGAAGCTTATGAAGTTTCACGATGAAAATTCGTTGAAAGATATCAAGTAGAGCCGTCTCAGATCAAGAAAAAGAGATATGGGTAATTTGGGCCGGTTCCGACATATAGTCGAAGGAATCGCCCACTAATAACAGAATTGATGCCTGTTGAAATATATGATAGTCTATGAGATATCGAAGATTGCTCACGTCACGATTAGAGAGGGCATGCTCTTGTATTGATATTGATCTGGACGCTCATTCTTTGAGATGGAAATTGTTAAATGCACGAGTATTAGATTGCTTCGTAGCTCTGAGCGTAGAATAGCAATATACACAATATCAATCAATGTATTGGACCTATTATGCACTACTGAGGTGATACCAACAGGTTCGTTGATGATATTAAGTGCACATTGTGACCAGGTGATTACTTATCAACTGATTCACAATAAACTCAAAATAAAAGAAGGTAGAGTTACACGTCATTTTCCAGTTCAACCGACATAACAAATCATCAAATGAATAGAAATTTTGATTGTTTCGAACGATTTCAAACATTCATTTCCACCTGAAAAGCCGACTAAAACATCTCAAACTTATTCGTCTCCACTTCTCAAAGCCCAAACTTCTCTTTAAACCTCAAAATCGCATCTGTAATCTCCTCAACATTAGTCTCCAGAGCGAAATGTCCCGCATCCAAATACTCCACGACCACATTCTTACTATCCTTCTTGAACCCCTCCGCCCCAGCCGGAACAAAAATCTCATCATTCTTTCCCCAAACCGCTAGAATTGGTACATTTGACTCCCTAAAGAATTTCTGAAACTCTGGATACAAATCAATATTTGTACGATAATCGTAAAAAAGGTCAAGTTGGATTTCCGTGTTTCCAGGACGGGAAATTAGAGCATAGTCCAAGGTATAAGACTCTGGTGCGATTTTGTGGAGATTGGTCTCAGGGGTTCCGGTGACGTATTGCCATTTGGTGAAATCAAGGGAGATGACTCCTTTGAGGGATTCTCTGGAAGAGGCGAGTTCTTCAGGTGTTTTGGTTGCCCACATCTGTTCAAGAGGGGCCCAGAAACCACCGAGTCCTTCGGTATATGCGTTGCCATTCTGGGAGATTATTGATTGTATGGCGTCTGGCTGACGAATCGCAAGACGTAGTCCAATTGGACCGCCATAGTTGAAGAGGTAGATTGAGTATTTTTGAACTTTTAGTTCACGCAAGAAAGACTCGATGGAAGTGGTTAAAGCATCAAATGTGTACTTGTAGTTGAGGCTCTCAGGAACTGTAGTAAACCCAAATCCAGGGATGTCCGGGGCTAAGATGTGATATTTCTTAGATAGAAGAGGAATCAGATTGCGGTATTGATGAGACGAGCTAGGGAAGCCGTGAAGGAGAAGGAGCGTAGGAGCATCAGAGAGCCCGGCTTCTCTATAAAAGATGTCGACGCCATCGGCGTTGATAGTTTTGAGATGTACGGCAGTCATTGTTGAGTATCGATGCGTAATTATGTCAAGTAGATGGATATCGATTATGTGGCTCATGTCTTAACATTTATACACGCCCGTCTTCAGAATTGCGGGGTACATTCCGCAACCCATGTCTGAATTATGTCAATATGGAGAGCATATACTGGACAGAGTCTGTAAAATCTGAAAGCAGCCGCGGACTTCCTTTCTTTTGTTTTTGTCATCTGCTTACAGGACGCTGACGACTTGGTGCTAAGTGCGCATCTGATTGGTTGATTTGCCGAACATGGAAGGAACAACAAATTTAGAGCATCCTTGATTACACTTCTCCGGCGAACTCAGGTCTTTCTCGAATATCTATTCGTGTTCACATGGCATTAATCAATGAGAAGGAGTTGAGCTTCGAATGTCGAAATATTGCATAAGATATCACAAACTCGGGGATTGAATAGAATTAGCTCGAACGCCGAATAATATTATTCGGCGCGGATTGGGACATTCATGGTTCGTGATTGAAGTTGAATGAGCAATGAACGTGGCCAATAAGATACCGAAAAGATTGTTTCCACAATTAGAAAATCAAGGCTCTGCAACTGGGATTGTGCTTCATGCAGAGGCAATGATACTCACTTTACACGGCAGCCCACCCTCCATAGGCAAAGTGAGACTATTCTTACTGATTCTCTCTTTCTGATCGATCAGCGAAAAGTTAAAATTGACAACCAAGGTTGCAATTACTTGAGCAGCCACAGCTTCTGCCATTTTCTTTCCCAGGCAAGTACGCGGTCCCCCATTGAAGACTGGATACTCAAAGGCAGTCTTCAAAATGATAACGCCATCCTCTAGCCATCTCTCAGGTCTGAAATTATCAGCATCGTCGCCCCAGATCGACCTTGACCTATTCATTGCCCATGGACACCAGACTAGTACAGCGTGTTCAGGAAGAAAGGTTCCATCGGGGAGTGTAGTCGCTTGCTCGCATTGCTTAATTTCAAATGGGACCGGAGGATAAAGTCTCAGTGCTTCGTAGAAAACAGCCATAATATACGGGACAATTGTTGGCTTGTATGTTGTTGACTGTCTGTTGGGACCTTTAGTAAGAGAAGCTGCTTCTTGACGTACACTGTCCATGACTCTTGGGTGACGCATTAGAAGATAAAATGCCCACGTCAAAGCTTGTGCAGTAGTATCACGGCCTAGACATGATCAGCTGAGGAATAGATACACGGCAATCCGATGCGATACGTACCAGCAGAAAGATAATTCAGGGCTGCATCTGCTACCATTTGATGGTCGTCAATTGAATTCAATAGAGAATTGATTAAACTGCCAGAAATAGAATCCAAGGAGTTTTGCTCGTTGTTCACTTGAGACTTCTCTTGTCGGGCTCTAACAGCATTCGACACAATCTCAGTACCAAATGCTTTGACTTTTGCTATTGACGATCTAAAACGACCACCAAATAGCATCTCGGTGACAGGCCAAAGAGGATTTTGGAACCTTTCTCCGGTAGCTCCGGATGCGTATTCGAAAGCTAACGAGAATGGGTCACCGGAACGCATGTCCATCTAATACTGTCAGTGAAGAGCCCCTAGTCGCATTCTGAAAATTTCAATCCTTACATCGTATGCCATCCGGCCCATAAGCTTCGTAGTCAGTTCATGAAACACGGCCTCCAAATCAATGGTCTTGCCATTACCTACAATCCTAAGCTGCGCCAGAGACTCCTCTAGATATTTTGGAAGTGCAACATCGGTAAGTACTTTTAGATTTGAAGCGTTGAGAAAATTCAAGCCAGCTTTTCGCTGCACCTTCCATAGATCCCCATCAGCATTGATAATTCCATTGCCGAATAAATCCCAAGACCTGCTCTTGAAAAAGTCCCCTTTTGCAAAAATGCCTTCATTCTTCAAAACAAACTCGAGATTCTTCGGATCATTTATCACAACACCGGGTGGCAATGAAGGAACTGAAATTTCGAACGTTTCCCATCCAAATTTGCGCTCACACTTGACGAACCAGGAAAAGAGCTTGTGACGAGCTTGGAGAAATAGGATACCATTTCCAACTAATGGTAATGTATTTGGTGGTCGTCTGGACGGTTGATTAGTTTGATAAGAGAACAGAGAAGAGATTTTGATGCAAACTTTGTGTGAGAGATGCCAGATGTCAACACGAAGAACAAATGAATGTACAACTCGTACCAAATTCCAATCTTATGTGGGATCTTCACTAAAAGATGCACAACCTCGTGATTTCGTGCTAAATTCGTGTTCATTTACCTCAGTTTCTTTCCATTCCTCCTAATCTCCGAACCTTTATACAAAGAACTCCCCAAACAAATCGCAATAACAATTGATATAATTATCGAGATGAACATTCTCCTTCAATTTCGTACGACATCAGACAAAGGATTATGAACGTGAAAAATGTGGTGATGCAATATGCATAAGAATGGAATGAAGGAACCCTGATTTTGGGCTAGAACTAGCGTTGTGAGGATAAGAGATAAAGCTTCATGTTTCATATCTGGGATACGACATCATTCATCATTCGTTTGTTACAACTCGACATTTCTCAATTGACGGCTTTTATCTTTGACCTTGAGATATACATTGTGATCGAATTGAAAATACGAGGAGATATAAAGGAAAAATGGTACTCATTTGTCCACGGCTTCATTTATTTGAGATCAATGATCAACCCTGGTATATTGGCCCTTGCAGCTCAAGAAAGACAAGCTCTTCAAGCTCCACACTTCTCCCATCTTTCATTGATCCTTCATTGTCATCCCACCTCTTGCTGCAACTAACTGATCTTCACAGGTTTCCCCAATACCTCCGTCTGAAGGTTCAATCTTGCCTAACCCTCTGCTGGACTTTCCGCGTCCCCATCATCCAACCCTCCTCCCCCGCCCAACTAGTCGCCACAACCCTCTCTCGAGTGCTCTCCAACAACGTCACATCCTATACTTATGTCGATTTCTGTGCCGGGGCTGGAGGTCCCACTCCTTATATTGAAGTGTATATGAACGCACATTTGAATCACTCCTCTGCTTCTACTACCAATGCCTCGACTTCATCAATCGCAAACCAGGAAGTCTCATATGCCGAAGTCGTAGCTACGCCAAAAAATCAGATAGACGGACTCGCTCTGCGCTCACCACGTCCTGTTAATGGCGATGATAGATACGGAAAGGTACAATTTGTGTTGACGGATTTGCATCCTCATATACCAGATTGGACAGAAGCGTCGAAACGCAGCGAGAATCTCAATTTCATATCTGAACCTGTCGATGCAGCAAATGCGCCGAGAGACCTATTGAAGAATGTTAATGGTGAGACAAATGGTGTACATGGCGAGACCAAAGTTTTCCGTTTGTATAATTTGGCTTTTCATCATTTTGATGATGAATTGGGAGGCGAGATATTGAAGAACACGGTGGAGACTGCCGATGGTTTTGGGTATGTTTTCCCCTGCTTTCCTCTCATTCCTCTTTCTTTCCCATTTGGGTTGCCAAAATTACTAACACATCGGTGCAGTATATTCGAACTCCAAGAACGCACCATTTCCTCCCTGATAACCATGTTCGCCATGGGTATAATGATTCTCGGAATCACTCCCTTCTACTTCTGGCGCTCTCCTGGTCACCTATTTTTCACATATATTATACCGATTATTCCTTTCGTGCTAGTGTTTGATGGAATCATAAGTTCTGTAAGGACCAGGAGTGCAGGTGAAGTGGAGGCATTGATGAAAAAGAGTGGCGGTGACACGAATGGGTGGAAGGTGTTGAGTGGGAGGGAGAGACATACTTGGCCCACTGGATATATGACTTGGGTTATGGGGGTCAAAGAGTAGCGTAAGAGCGATGGATTCCGGGGTTTGGGACACAAGGCCATTAGTGGGTGCATGGATTGACGGGACACTTCCCAACTTTTGAAATTTTCAACAAATTTGTTCTTCAATTGTTCGAAATCAGAATCCACATTTTGATTGTTTTATCTCTGGTGAATAATTGTAATAATTCTTAAGATATATGATTTGTTATATTCAAGAGATATTCACAAGAACATATGGATTGTGATCCAGAATTGTAAGATGGTCAGATGAGAGTAATGAATATATAATTGATCATACTTGCTCTATACATGATTCTATTCTGGAATGAATCCTCCGCCCATATCATCGTCATATTCATCGTCTGTATACGTTTCGCTCAATTCACTACTATCATCGCTATCCATAATCTCATCCTCTCTTACGAAACCACCTTCTTCTCCCCCATCATCATCCTCAACCTCCTTTACGAATCCACCCTCATATTCTTCCTCGTCATCTCTCACAAATCCACCGTCCTCCATCTCGGGCTCCGCTTTCTCCTTCTCATCAAGAGCCCGGTCCTCTTCATCAACCTCAGCATCGTCCTCCTCTTCCTCATCATCAAAGTACCCATCCACCGTCTCCTTGATCCTCAACCCCAGTAACCACTTCCTCCAAAGCTTCAGTACCACTTCCTTCTTTTCCTCCTCTATCTCTCTCTCCCTCTCCTCCCTAAATCCCTTCACAACCTCTTCTACCGCCTCTCCATACTCTTTCGCCACCACTACCCCTCTCAAAACCGCCGTTCCATGTCTCCCTCTAAATTCAAACCCCGTAAGCGCAGCTGCAAAATCTATACCCAGTAATTTCGCCGCATATACTGATTCGGGTGCTGAGATATGAACACCCCCTTTAGGAACCATAGATGGTACATATATATCTATATTTCCGAAGGAGTTTTTGGGCACCCGACCGTTTACTATAGGTGGGGGAATAAAGAGTTCGGTTTGTAATTGCGTGTACAGGGCTGTACCTGCTCTTTCTTCTCTCTCTTCTTCGTCCGCGAAATCGTTTTTTCGTGGGTTTCGGGATGGTACAACTTTCACAGGCTCTTCACCCATTTTGACTTCGCGACCAAGTCGATACCATGCGTCTGCACTTTTGCATATATGAACATCCTTCCTCCGATAAACGTTCTCCAATTTCTTAATCCCGCTTGCGTTGGCATTCCCGGTAGCTACTTTTCCACTTTCTCTTTCGGCGACAATAACTTCATTTCTTCGTAGATGGCGTTCAAGTGCATAAACAGGATGATCCTTGAAATCCTGCACATTTTTCGGCATAGGTTCTCTTCCTTCTAATGCTGCCAATTCTCCGTCTTCGATCTGTTCCACATCTGTTTTCCAACCACGGGAATAGTGGGAGAGGACTTTATTCCACCATTTCTGTCCGCCGGGCGTGGATTCGATGCGTTGTTTGCGGGTTTTGGAATTGGGGGCTTTGGAATAACGACGAGTTACGTCTCGAGCAGAGGAATCAGGGGAAAAGGCTAGGACATAAGAGAGGGCGTTTTCTTTATCTGTGAGAGGTGGTTCAAAAGAGCGGGGTTTGGAGATTGTTTCTGTGACTAGGGGGTCGATGGGAATCCATTTTTGATGGGCAGAGTCGAGAACTTCGACCCAGAAGATGGGAAAGGGGGATTCGCGGATAGGTTTTGCCTTTGGTATGGGTGGAGGTAAAGGTGCGGGATTGATGGTTGGGATGTTGTAGCCGGCGGCCCCAGGATGTCCGAGACGACTGCGTGGATTCGAGAGGAGGGTTGAGTTACTGGGTCCTGGTGAGGGTATGGGTGGAGGTGGGATGGTTGGCCTTGCTTTCGGTTTGGGTGGTTTGGGCATAGATGGGCCGCCGGTGGTGAAGGATAGAGGCTGTAAAGAACATACTAAGCGGGCTTCAACATCTACGCTTCGTAATAATGCACAGAATAGTTGTGCTCCTGAGTCTCTAGAGCCTTTTAGCTCCGTCGCCGCTTTCCTGAAATCTGCCCTTTCATATGAAGCATCTGCATCTCCAGGCAATTTGTACTGTAAACATGTTAGATTTTTTGCTATACAAAGCAAGAAAAATCTTACATTTTTGATATCATCCTCATTATCCGCCCACAATGCTCGCCTCCATCCCCTCTTTGTTATCTGAAATTTTGTCCTCCACAAAACAGCCACCATATCCAAACCCTTCTTCAACGACTCCGCTTGACTAAACTGCGATAAATCCTTTCTCGGCCTCAAAAATGACAACATCTTCCTATTCAAAAGCGGTCTAAGAGAATCCTGAACTGCAGAATCATTACACCATTCATTTCTTCTGTGGACATGTGACAATAAACATAGAAGATGCAATTTATGAGCCTCCAATCGAAGATTTTTGTCCCCTTGAGTGAGAGTTTTACGTCTGGGGGTAACAGTTTGACGTTGAGGTGCTGGTCTGGTAAGGGTTAATTCTAGATCTCCTGATGGTTCATCATCTTTGGTGGTAAAATTAACATTTTCCCAGTCTATTTCAACATCTGCATCGCTCTCGTCGGTTTCTTCATCCGAGTCTCTGTATGCAGTCTGCTGAGGCACATTCGCGTCCTCCTCTGGGTCCTCACCATTAAGACTCGTTGGCGCCGTCATAACATCCTCAAATTCGACATCTTCATCATCTTCAGCTTCGTCATGTGACTCCGCCACAGAAGGTTTTGATGGCCCTGCTTTTGATGCAGTAACTACAGCATCTCGTGAACCAACTTTCCTTCTCTTCAAAGGTCGTTCGGGTACTGCTAATTGTGATGGTATGGCCTCTTCTAGCATATCACGATACACATCCGGGACTGCATTTTGACCCGCAGCTTTCCCTTTCCCCTTTGCTCTTCCCCTGGTCTTTGGAGGCATTTTTGTCCGTGGGATCTTGTAACTGAAATGTCAGTGAATGTTGAAATAAATTGCGTATATGCGTCGTGCTGCGTGATCATTTTCTGAGGAAGAATGACCCTAGAAGGTATTGCTACCTGATATGGTCGCGATGCCCCATCAATGATATTGTGGATTAATGATCGATTATAGGGAGTAGGCTAAAGTAGGAAGATCTCAATAGAGGAAGAACCGTTAAGGCTCAATTCATATGTAATTAATTGTGGATCATTACCGGTACATGAACGTATTCTTGAACAAGAGCCTCTACAATATTGGAGCACGCCGACGCAAGTAAATTTTGGAACTTGGATGTTGATTAATAAGCATGAGGTCGTGATTGAGTGTGTATATTAAAAATGGGGGCATGAATTTATCAAACATCACATCTAAATGCATTCTCCCCGTTCGAAAGATCACTAGGGATATATAAAGTACATAATAGTTCACCGGGAGCTAAAGTTTTGTTGCATCAATTTCACTTGTACCTTCCATCTAATCTTCCAGTACTTATCAATATTTCAGACAATAGTATCGTGGTCAGGTAATATTTGAAAAAATTTACAATGATATCAATAACTGACTATTTTTCCTCTTCCACACCACATTGATGAACTGTTCCAGAACTATGTAAGCTAATTTGAGAAATTAAAATGATCTGACGTATCGAGAAATGATTTGGTAGCAAGGCACAATCGAATCGAAACATGTTCCTCACAACTTGCTTTCCTCATTGCTATTTCCTCTTCTCAATGTATGTGCATAATGCCAATCATTTCCTCCAATATCCATGCGAACCTTGTAAGCTTCTTCCGCTTCTTCTAAGATTTGCATGTCTACTTCTACCACATTCATTCCTTCTTCTCTTCCCATCTTGCCTAGAGCTCCTTGGAATGGTACGGTGACCTGGCTGATTCCCAGGAATCCAGAATCCTCTTTCCCTTTTCCTACAGGTGCTCCAGCGTTGCAGAATATGATTCCACACGTGTTTTCGAACGCTCTGGATACTAGTGTAGATTGAACAAACAATTCTTCAGAAAGCGAATTTCGTGCTAACCCTGCAGGGGTACAATCGCTAAGAGTCCAGAAGGTTGGGATGATAATGAGTTTCGCGCCTTGAGAGATGAGCTCTCGGAATGCTTCAGGAAATGCGGCATCCCAGCAAATAAGCATACCGACTTTCCCAAGAGGAGTATCGAAAGTATTGTGTGGATCATTCGTAGACGAGGTTAGATGTGGACGTTCAGGATGCCAGAGATTCTTCTTGGTGTAGGAGGAAAGTATTTTGCCCTCAGGAGAAATGAAATGAGCTGTGTTGTGGAGATGAGAAGTTTCGGGATGTAAAGTGCAGATGGTTCCTGGGACGATAGATATCTTGAGTTCGGAAGCGAGAGACTTATAGCCAGAGACATATTTGGATGTGACATCGTGGTGACACAGTGGCAGAAATCCGGGTTCATCTGGAACCCATGATGTGAGGTGATATTCGGGCAAAACGACGAGGTCGCAGCCCTTGGAAGCGGCTTCTCTGATGAATTCTACTGCTTTATTATAATTGTAATCAATAGCTAAAGGCTAGTAGAAAGATATGAGCTCGAGTTCTTTCAAAAACATAGGAAATCGTGGATGTTGCATGTTGTGAATATCACATACGAAGAACAGTCAAATGAAGGAAGAGAAAAAAGTAAAGCGAGCATTTTCGAACCAAGTGACCCTTTTTGGATTGAAATTGCTGAAACGAACTATATAGCAATGATGACTGAAAGCCAGAACCCCCACATTGAAATCTATTCTGAATGGCTAGGCTTAAACAATGAGAAAATGAGAGACGGAGAAGCCTCTAACGGCCTCTAAATGGTACCATTGTGATACAGATCCATCACTGACAGATCGTTTCCAAAGAATTTATAAACAGGAATGTCAACGAACCTTCGGGCAGAGCTGCACCAACGCAATCTTATATACTGATGCCATTTTTGTGCTTTAGTGTTATTGAATTTCTCTTTGCTTTATTAGTGTTTGATCGTGTGGTGCAGAAGTCAATACTTACAAAGAAGTCCGCTTTACGTTTGCTATTTGCCAAAATCAAGTCTGCCGCCTGTCGAGAGTCTTGAAAATAGAAAGCAATTGGAACCACGGAACGACGAACGTGGGGGTGAGGGGCGGGAGAAGTAAAGCGGGCGCTAGCGGAAATGTGACACCTAAACAGGACTAGCGCAGTGCTACACTTGCGGGCAGGTGAACTCATAAATTTCAACAAGAGGGTCCTTGAGAAACGATGTATGGCAGGTTACCATTCATCAAAACAACACTGCCGGAAATATAGCTTGTGTTTGCTGTATGTCAGTGGAAAAATGACGAAATTCCATCCTGGGCGTTTTGGTATCTTTCGTGATTAGCCGGGGCTTGATTGGCCGATGGTAATCATGACTTTCGTGGAACATGTCATGGGTCAAATCCCACGACCTTTTAAGGACAATGATGATGTGCTACCTGTAGCTGAGCCTCCGCTTCTTGTCAAAATTTCCATCACCAGTTTGATATCTATTCTTGGTCATCAACATGATGAACCCATTAGACGCGTTGTCATTGGCAGGAACCATTATTCAATTCGTGGATTTCAGCTCTAAGGTGTTGGCTGGTACTAATGAGCTCTACAAATCGGGTGCTGAGGCCTTAGCAGTTCACCAACAATTGGGTCTTGTGGCGGATGATCTAACTAAGATGTCCAAGAGGCTCTCGGATTCATACTGGGGCTTATCTGGGACCGGGACCGGAGTCATTTCTACACCATCAGATGACGCGTTTATGTTCATCTGCAGAGATGCATCGGAATTGTCTATTGAATTGAATAACAAGCTAAACAATTTGAAAGTGACAGTTATTGGCAAGCGCAGGAAATGGGAGACTATCATGCAAGCGCTGAAGTCAGTTTGGACTGAGAAGGAATTGACAGCTTTAACGAATCGCTTGACATTGTTGAGAGATTCAATTCAAATGCATGTTGTTGTAGATCTTCGGTAAGTAACGCAATGACCTCTACCCTACATCAATAGAAATTGACAAGCGGAAGAGACCAGCTGAAATCTATATCGTCGAGTCAAGAAGTTGGCTTTGATCGCCTTGATACTAGTACAAAGACTATCGTTACTGCCCTTCTCATCCATCAAGATGAAGTCAGTAAAGGGATCCAAGATCAAACGATAGCAATTACCCAATTACTCGGTAGGATGGAGATTCTAGCTGAGAAGCGCACGTATCCACCGGGTATTGTGCAGCAGATTGACAAGATTGAAGTGAATCAGTGAGTTTATCTGGTTCTTTATTTGATTCACATTATTCGATCCCAAGCCAGAATTTCAACAGTCAAGATTGTCTTTTGTCAGCCAAAGACTTTCAACCCGCGAGTCTTTTAGAATACCTGAATCTGCCTGAATGTTTGATTGGATCCGAACATTCGCTCATTCGCCTATGTATTAGGAGTCAAACTTTGATACTCGCCGGAGAACAAACATCTCAGAGTCGGGTGTTGCACAATCCTGAGAGTAATGAAAAAGCACTCCGCTTGCAGATCACTCAGTACCTTGTTCAAAATTTAAAGTTCCCAGCATTGAAAGAACGAGAAGAAACTATCGCGGATGTATATCGGGGAACATTCGAGTGGCTATTCAATGACAGTCATGAATCTACACCATGGCCTAATTTTATCCGTTGGTTAGAACATGGATCTAGTATTTATTGGATCAATGGAAAAGCGGCTTCGGGCAAGTCAACACTTATGAGATTCATATGTGAGCACAGTAAAACGAAGGAACTGTTAGAGAAATGGTCGGCTCCGCTACCCATTGTTATGGCAAAGTTTTATTTCTGGAACAGCGGGACCCTTGTGCAAAGGTCTTTAAGCGGTCTGCTTCGAGCTCTTCTTTCCCAAATTCTGGGACATCTTCCTGATCTTATTCCTGTCTGCTTTCCCCAAAGGTGGGCCAAGATCTATAATGATTCGGTTAGACCGTTCTCTGGAGTACACCCTAAGTTTCATTCGATGGAAATGGACTACTGGAGCTTAACCGAATTGCAGGCTGCAATGCGGAGTCTCGTAAGCCAAACCGTACAGCACTTCAAACTTTGTTTATTCGTTGACGGCCTTGACGAATATGAGGGAGAACCTTCAGCTATAACCAAATACTTTAAAATGCTGGCTCAGGTACCGTGGCTGAAAATATGCGTCTCCAGTCGTCCGTTACTTGGATTCGATGATGCTTTTGGATCTGGGCCAACATTGCGGTTGCAGGATCTCACACGTATCGATATCAACCATTATGTCAAGTCAAGTCTCCAAGAAAATGTCAACTATCAACGATTATGCGTGGAACAACCCATTGAAGCACTAGCTTTAATCAGAAATGTTGTATCGCGAGCAGATGGAGTTTTCTTGTGGGTTAGGCTTGTATTACAGGAGATTGTAAGAGGTCTCGATAATAGAGACAGCCTGCAAGAGCTGCAGGAACGTATGGAAATAGTTCCGCAAGACTTGGAAGAACTTTTCTCCTCGATGCTTGGAAAGATTGAGCCCTTCTATAGCAAGAAAGCTGCATCAATTTTTTTGGTTGTCCGCGCGGCAAACGTACATCAGAGGAGCGTCAAATCATTAGACACACTAATACTATCCTTTGCTCTGGATCATGGCACGAGTCGTTTCGCAGATATCAATTTCAACTTCCAGGACCTGGAGATGAGAAACAAAGAGATTAGTGATCATCTAAAAGTGCGGTGTGCAGGATTGCTCGAGACCGGACCTAAATACTCCCCAGGTTTTGAATATCTTGGATATCGCGTCGCTTATTTGCATCGTAGCGTCCGAGAATATTTAGAACGTTCAGATATACATCAGAAATTCCTGAAAGATGGCACGGGAAGAAGCTTTGAGCCACAAACTGCCCTTATGTGCTCATACATTAAAGAACTTCAGATTTCCGAACCTCGGAAAAATACCTTAAATCAACCTTCGGGCCTTCCTTTGTTTGTAGCAACAGTCCTTCATTTCGCCCACGATGCTGACATTGCGGGGTCGGATGCTTACGTGGAGCCATTGGATAAATTTGCGACATTGACGCACAGTGCGAGGTCCAAAAGCATCATTTGGGCACCGGCGAAGTTCTCTTCTTTTCTACACATCGCGACCAAATGGGATCTTTGTGCATACGTCAGAGTTATCTTAGGGAGACTCGCCTCCGAAAAGAAAGGAATTGTTGCTCACACCTTGTTAGCATACGCACTTGCGGGAACAGATGAATACTACCTGCATGGTATGGAGCAGATGGAGAACTCGGATTTTCGGCGAGATCGATTTCCTCCTAGCAATCGCATGATAGGGTTACTGTTGGAACATGGAGCGCATCCTAACAAAAAGTTAAAAGACTTTCCAGTCCTTTATGAGTGGACTGCGTTTGAGATAGCCATTCGCAATGTCTGCGCAATTCTACCGCCGGGGGACACGGAAGAAAGTGAAAATCGGCAATATTCCGAGGAGGAGAAACCCTTCGTCTCAAACCATTTGACAATTGTCAAACTCATGCTAGACAATGGGGCAGATGCGAATACAACTCTCAACTACCAAGGACGAACAATTACCTCCAGAAAGTTGTTGACTGAGACTATGGGAAAATATTGGAGGAGCAAGGAATGGACTGTAGATGAAATGTTTAGGATAAAAGGTGGTAAATTGGAGCCATCGATGATTAGGAAGTGGATCATGACTCGTAGGAAATATTAGATTGGCATATACTAATTACACAAAACCGAAATTTCAATGTTCCAGTTTAATTCCCTCATGTTAAAGTCAAGAAATCTTCTGATTACAATGAGAATTACAGCAACGAAATATTTCATGCGTAACTTCCATCAGTCCACGAAAAACAGAAAGCTTCCTGTACCAATCTAAACGAGATCTCACTTCTTCATCTAACTGGCAATGCGACATGTTACATAGTGAAATCAGACTTATAACTTCTTTTCCTGCAATTGCATCTATAAATTCTGCAATCTTTCGTTAATCATATGGAAATGCTTGATATGTTGCCGGCACAAGAAGCAGGAGAGAGAAGTTGAGGTCATCACATTGTGAATTACCACAATTTTTACAATCAGTCCATGGTTAAGTCCATATTATTTATTCCGCACTTTCGACTATCACCCATTATGTGGTAGCTCGCGTGTTGCGCTCTGTTTATAGGAGACCGATGACATTGTCCTCCTGCGTTATCCCCCATTCTTACATGCGCGACAAAAAAACTTAGATGTTTGAGACTATGAGTCTGAGTCCGACAATGCCATGGTTTGGTTGACCCTCAGGATACATCCTGGGTTGTGTAAAATCTCCTCATGCGATCTTTTTGATTGACGAAGATGGTCTCGGACATTATTGACTAAATCTCTCTCACTAGCTTTTTGTCCAGTACTACAGTTCATCCTCACCGCCCATACCAACCATGCTATATATTTAAAAATAAGTGAATATTGTCAACTCAGCCGATAAAGGTCCATTTGCCGCCGTGGTAACAGCACGCTCTAGGGCAGACACACGATCTCGGCTGTAAGAACTCAGTTCGTCTGGTTTGGAATGGTACCGTACAAGCTTTACTCCTTGGTCCATATCCTTTGCTATTTTTTGCGTTGATTTTGTGGTTGTCTTGGGGGATTCTAGATTTGGTTGTTTATTTTGCTGCAAGTAGAAGAGGGGGGAAATTTGTGGGGATGAGAATGAGATGCAGTAAAGTTAGAATGGCTTGTGGATGATGTGGATATAGATGCTCAGGATCGTTACAACCTGCGATTTTCAACATCGGAGTGAATAACAATCATATATAATAAATAAATAAAAACGATCCTAAAGTTCGACGGTCTCTTGCTGTCCCCAAGGTTGGAGAAGAAATAAATTGGATTGCAGGAATTTAAATTTGTCCTTTATAGAAGCTTGCAGAGATGGGTCCAAAAGCCCAATGTTCCTACAGAAATGGAGTAATGAAAAGCGGCGCACGACGTAAGTTTCGAGCTTGAATGATGTACCAACAGACTAATAATAAATGCGGCTTTCACAACACCCCAAAAGTCAAAGATTATGTTTGTGTTTGATTTGGGTATTCGCTCATAATACTGTGACTGTTTTGGCTACTTCGCTCCAGTGAATTCTTTTCAAATAAAGAAGTCGCACAAACTAGCGTACTCAGTAATGTCGCCCTTTCCACCCGCTTTCAGCATTTCAGCTACCTATAATAACTCCAACTTTCTCTCATAATCAACCTCCCTTCAACACCATCATTGCTCAACATCGATATGGTTTCTTCAACTTGCGTCAGTCTGCAACGACAAGTTGCAATCTCGTTTTACAGAGGATGCAGTTCCTTGAACTAGCACCCGAGTTGGTCCACCAGATTTTGCTCGAAGCTGTCCTTACTCGTGGAGTCCAAAGGTCTTTAACATTGAGACTTGTATGCAGTAAGTTTGACCTCGTACTAGCAATCAAACATTCTACCCGCTAACACCATCGTACAGAGCGATTTTCTCAAGACGTGCAATTCGCGCTATTCGAATCTTACCTTCTGGACGATCACAGCACTTCAGGATCCTTGTCCTCGTGGCATATCAATAGAGATAGACGGGCGAGCACATTTTGGCACTCCTACCTTGTATACAGAGTCCAATATAACTCCCATTCCTACCCACCCCACTTTCGCCACATCCGCAGACTTGTCGAAACTATCTGCGCGGAAACGGGCGATGACGTGGAAACCACAATAAAAAAGCTTTGCTGGCCGATTTTAGGAAGATTAGCAGACTGTGTCTATTCCAATTTGATGATTCTCAACTTCGAAGCTGATCTTTTACGTGCTGCAACGTATCTCAATGTCATCCCTGTAGTAAAACCTTTACTTCAAGGAGGATACCCGCCACGTACTGGGCGCGATATCTTCAACTCACCTATGACATTAGCTGCATGGGTAGGAAATAAGGATTCGCTAGAGTATTTGCAAAAGATGGTGTTTGAGACTCAATCAATTTCCTATCTAGAAGACGATCCATTCAGCTCGATTATAGGGGCTGCGACGAGCGGAGACATAGTGATGGTACGAATTGCTTTGTACCCGCCGTAGTCAACTTTCGATAATACGAGATTCATAGACGGGCCATTTGTTCTGGAAGATTCAATTGCTGGGCGGTCTCTTCTCAGAGCGCAAATATCCACAGGAGATCTTGAAATGTATAAACATCTTGGAGGGTTTTTTCCAAAACCTACCAATAGGCCCACCGCATATCATCTAATGTTGCATATTCGTTTAGGAAATCTCAAGATAGTGAAGTATATCCTCGATACAACAGGAACGTTTTTTGGGGGGGCTCAAAGCGCTAGCGGAGCAAAGAGTCAAGATATGATTGATCTTTTACTTGAATACGGTTTCGATGTACAGAAATCGGAATGGCTAGGAGATAAACCTATATCCAAAGAAGCCTAGGCAAGAAACAAGCTACTTATTCGAAAGCTCCTAGATCGTGGAGCCAGTCGGGACCGGGTACAAACGGCCAATACTGCACTGGAGTGGGCGGTATCTAGAGAAGATACGACTATGGTAGAGATGCTTTTCGCTTCGGAAATTGATTTGGCAAGCTGCGGAGGAAGGATATTAAGATTGGCTGCATCCCTTTGTCTTGACTCGATGGAAGACATATTGCAGGCGGAGTTCTTCAAACTTTCAATACTTCAAAGGGCGTGTTGGATGATGGTATTAGATGGCAGGATTGATCCAGAGAAACATGAACAATGAGTCTGTGTGTGGGAAGCTTACAATTCAGATGTATCTCTTGAGATATTAATTTGAATACTTGAGATGCAATGTAAAGTTTCATTACAGTTTAAACAATGAATTTATTACATGGTTTGAAATTTGAGAAGTGACCCATCAGTCCATGCACACCCCACTGGTGGCGCAACAGAAATAACTTTGATGATTGTCATAATGATCGCAAACAACGAGTTTATGAATGTTTCTACTCAGGCAGCTTTTACCTTGAACGCTCAGATGTAACTTCAATAGATTATAATTGATGCTGATAGTTGAAGAAAAAACTTTTGAAAATCCATTCCTCGATTGCTCGGTGATCAATGTATTGGTGGAATGAGTTATTGTGAGTCAGCATTTATGTAATCAAGCTCACTAGTCTCAAACGTCAAATTCAACGACACGCGATTCGAAGAAATCCGCATTCTACATGGAATGGTGCGCAGAAAGGTAATTTGGGTAAATCTGCTGAGGCAATACTGAATCTGTCGATTTGATAAGATGATCCCGGAAGGAGATGTCTCTTGAATCGCTTTCAAGCAAAACCCGCACATCATTTTACTTTCGAACACCACTAGAAACACGATGGTCCTCCAAGAATCGCCTCGCAACAATGAATGAGATGGTCATTAGTTGTTTTGATGGCAGCAGTGATCTTTATCTGAAATCTGTATGTGTATTGAATTTGGGGTATCTAACTCCTATGCTTCGGGGGAAAACTTCAGCCCAATTGTACAATTAGATTTAGAACTTCTGCGGAGTGTACTAGACGAAACGCTTGCTATGGAGGTCATAACTAGGTATATTCTTACTCTGTTCTACCAATTCATTGTGTAGTAGTAAAGCCTTCCCAGGGCGCAGGTTTGTCTCCGATAGGGGATGTAGGCCGTTGCAAGTGCAATACCAATGTCAGTCAAATCACGTAATTTCTTCTTGAACTACAGCTTTGAAGAGTCGTTGAAAGCCATTGTCGAAGGATTGTCGCAATTTGAAGACTCAAGCTTCTTGTCTTAGTACTTATCGTCACTGGATGTTGCATGATATTCTAGTGGAAGGGTCTGCTGAGCAGCTTCCAAAAACATTGATGTTGGCGCGCATGAGCTCTCTGATTACCGGAACAAAATATATACTGAGTAGTTAATAGCAATTACCCATAGTTGCTTGGTTTTTCTTCATTGATTTTGTTCAATTATCCTATTTGATAATGTGGATTCTCCAAAGCGAGACTGTCGCAAGCTTTGCGACAATCCTTTGAAATGTCGATTTGTACGTTTATTCTTCGTCGGTTTGTTTTCACTTATGCGCTCTTATCTCGGCTTCAACACTTCAGACGTAAACTTTGTGCCAGGCCACTTAGAAGTCAATTGCAAAGCCAAGATCCACTTGCGCCCCTTAGAAGCAAGCCATTCTGACATTGAGCTAAGGTCAAAAACTCAGATATGCAACATTATATCCTCAAACTTATTCACTATTGCTGTCAGCCTTACCGGCGTGGCCCGCGCGTGGTACACGCGTGTAAATATAGCCTTGATTCTTTTGTTGCATATCTGAAAGTTTGAACTTTTTGTTAGCTCCAGTTGAAATGGTTGGCTCTCGTTGAGCGCAAAGGAAAAAAAGTGACCTGAGCTTTGCGCTCGTCAAACTATTGGGCATATACAATTCTTGAACAGTTTTGTTGCATATCTGAAAGTTTGATCGTTTTTTTAGCGTATCTGGGAATGGTTGGCTCTCGTTGAGTCTAAAGGAAAGGAAGAAGAGAAAAGTGACCCAAGCTTTGCGCTCATTCTTTATTGGATACATTGAGAATTCAGGTCTTTTTTGTTGCATATCTGAAAGTTTGATCGTTTTCTTAGCGCTTTCTGAAATGGTTGGCTCTCGTTGAGCGCAAGAGAGAGGAAGATGACCAGAGCTTTGCGCTCGTCAGTCTATTGGACAAGTCCAGCCTTCGAAATATTCGAGATCTTGTCATACCTCAAGTGCCGTTGTGGAGTCTCGCAACTCCCGACCTATGAATTCACTTTCTTACAATAAATTATCAGGAAGGATTTAAGAACCAAGTGGCGTATAAGCCTTGTCTTTCTTATTAATTCGCACGCCTCTACTCACTCATCGAAAGAATCCTTTTAGGGTAGATTACTAACATTGTGTTAATTCAGATGTGCAACATGTGGCGGCTCCCCTTCACAATGTTATATTCACTATCAGGGCCACGTGGGAAGTTCAACTCTGAGCGATTTGTTGCATATCTGAAGGACATCGAATTTGACGTAAGCAATCTTGAGGAGCCAATAGAATGGCGAGCGCAAAGCTTGAAATATATCGTGAAGTTTCTTCATGTGGAGATGTGTTAAGGCATGCTAAACAACTTGTTTTGTTGCATATCTGAGAGACATCGAAATTGACGTAAGCAAGATTAGGTGACCAATAACCGCCCGCGCGCGCAATACAACTGTGCTTCCCGAAATATCTACCCGCCGCTAATATTAGATCTCCTTGCCAGTGAATTTCTGAAGTCAATGTATCATCGATTACAAAGCCCAGGCCACAATTTCAAAGAGTTCTGTTGCGTATCTAGAGAATTCAATAACAATTTTAGCCAGTAGATCATGGAGCGCAAAGCTATGGTCAACCTTATATTGGGGTTTTGTTGCACATCTGAAGATTGGAAAAGTCTCCCTTATCAGCCCTACATGCTCCATCCCGCCTGCTACCCGGCGCTAACATATTTAATCATGTGTAGTTGTACCCCCCTGTATAGCCAGTCTAGTTCCCATGGCCAAGCCTAGACCACAAGTTAAAAAGTCTTGTTGCATATCTGACGTTTCAACTTTTTTCTTAGCGCCTTTAGAAATGGTTGGCTCTCGTTGAACGTAAACTTTAGGACTCTTGAACCTGTTGTGTATCTGACTAGAGCGAAAGGGACTTTTGCATCTTTGGTTTTTTAACATATTTTTGAATTCAGCAAATCGAAACCATGCCGGTTTTTGCTCAAATTCATACATTTAGTAGCCCGAAGCTTTTTCCTAATTTACATATTTTTGAGAAAATCCATAGAATGAAACCGTTGATGCCAGTCCCGGAGGCGCATAGGTTCAAAAGAATGGAAAGGTATCTCAAAGCTCCTACTTTTTCATCTCCTAACGTAACTCTCCCCAACCATAATTATATCGGTTCAAAAGTGAAAGACCAGGTGCGCTGAGCTACGCGTCCCTTTTGGTCAATTCAGAGTTCTAGATTTCCTGAAATACAAAATCAACATTTGGAGGAATCTTCCTCTCTGGTAATAACATGAAGGTGACTTGACCCCCGTAGAATATCTACCGTTATACTACACGTGACATTCGGGTATTGCTGGCGCACAAATCACCTTCGCGAGAATTGAAGCTTTCAAAAATTAATCTTCAACTTTACAACCCGATTCAATCAACAACTTTTCGGTTTTAATCATCAACCAACAACGCGCCAATGCTGGATTCGCCTTCATATTAACGCCCTCTTTCTACTTTAACGGTCTCTACATAGTCGAATTACTACGAATTTGAAGAGAATTATTTTGCTTGAAATAGGATGCGTGCGCCTTTGAGCTGAAATTTAGAGGAAACATCACACGGACTTGGTGAAAAGGATGGATCGACAAATCGAATACTGGATCGACAACTTTGTGTGCTTATATAGATTCGACTTGGACGATTAATCATATACTTGAAATTTGGATATTTTTTCGGCTTGAGATGGATAGGTCGAAAACGCGACTTTTTGAACCGCTCACATTTAATTCCACATACTTAGATGGAGCAACACCCTGGGAGATCAGACACGGCTCAATGAGTATTATTTCAATTTTACAACGAGGGGAGCGAGAATCGGTATTGAAAGAGTGAGGTTTGGCAGGGAAACTTGGCATTCGAGCCCAAAGGATCAACGTAGGAACTTGGGTCATTATCAAAAAAGGATTGGGAATTGGGACTCAACAACAAAGGATCAACACAAGAACTTGGAATATGATGAAAAAGGAGATGAGACTCCGGTACGATAACGAGGGAATAAAAGAGACTTTGGGATTCAACCACGAGGGAACAGAAGATACTAGGGATTCAACCATAAGGGAGAGACTTGGGACTCGACAACGAGGGAGAGATTCTGGGATTCAACAACAAAGGAGATTGACAAAAGACTTGTGATTCAGTAACGAGAGATTAACAAGAGACTTGGGATCCAATCACGAGGGAATGAAAATTAGACCAAGTTTCTCAACGAATTCGATAGGCTTGAGGCATTACGTACCAGGGATAAACTCACAGAGGCTGAAGGGCTATGGCCTGTGACGGTCAATCTGCAGCAGACTCCGGGGTTTGGATATTCCATATATCTACTTGGGACCTCGGGCCTCAACCACTTACAGTTTGTCTTGCACTCCTTAGCACTCGTTCACCATCACTGTGGAAAGAAATAATGATGATCTTTGAAATCCCTCTAAATTTTGGAAGCGCTGTGATTCATAACGCTTTCCGTGGGAAATGTTCAATGTCTGAATTTCTACTGATGATTCTGCAGTAAGGACATGGAGATATAGATGATAGATTGTTACCACAAAACGGCCCTCTTCACAATCCGATTGAGGCCTTATATTCGTGGAGCTGGCTTGTAGAGGTGAAATTGTATCAATAGACAAGATAACTTTTCCGGCGGCTTGATAGCATGTTGATTCCGGATTCTGAAGAGCAGGTTTGAAGTGAGATAGAGGGGTATACCAAGAAAACAGAGAAACAAAAGTAATTTTGAACTTGGTGCCAAGCCACAAGTCATTAGTAAAGGGCTGGATCAGAAGAACGGGGGACTACTCTGTTTGCATGACTAGAATGGAGAAGCTTGACGCTTTATCACTGTATTGGTCTCACTGTCATGTAGTGGTCCATATACGACATCATTCAAAGTATAAAGCCAATATGCACAGTGAAAACCTCTCATTGCATATGTACAAACAATTGATATATGGAACTCTGGCTAAAGGAAATTTCAACTTTTAGAAGTGTGGCCATAGTTTAGTTGATAGATACCTACAAGGCTGTAGGAGATCTTCTAGTGACTGTTTGTAAATTTATATATGCAAACTGAATAGCTCCTTTCTATAACGCCTAGTTACCCTCATTGAAATCATTATCATGCTCGTAGTCTATACCCCCTGCGTATTGAGACCCATCTAATACTGTATAGATTTCTTGATAGCGTCATAAACCCCTATAATTGTCAGCGATTGAATCAAATCCCAATGAGTTCATTGAACTTACTAGCAACATCTGGTACGTTGAACTTCTCAAACATCAATGGCATATGGATGCCCCAACCGGCGACTCTCGCAACAGGTGCCTCCATTCTCAAAAATGTCTCCTTATCCCCTTGTATACTTGCAGCCACTTCCGCACCAATGCCGGCATTTATCATGCTTTCATGTACTATCACACATCTCCCGGTCTTCCTTACACTTTTCAATACAGTCTCTTTGTCCCATGGATAGACCGTTCGCAGATCGATCAATTCGATATTTATCCCGAAATCCTTTTCTGCAGCTTGTAGTGCAGCGGAACACGTATACATAGGATGACCGTAAGATATTAATGTCAGATCCTTTCCGGGCTTTACCACTTCTGCCACTGAGAGAGGTAGTGTGTACGCATCTACTGGCACCTGCTCGACAGCTGCTCGGTACAGTGCCTTAGGTTCCATAAATATACACGGATCTGGACTTTGTATGGCGGAGAGTAGAAGACCTTTCGCTTGGATTGGCGATCGTGGCATTATGACTCGAAGACCGGGAATATGCGTGAATAGGGATTCGGGAGATTGAGAATGATATCTGTCGGAATCTCTTCATTAGTCTGCGTTACGTCAAAATAGATCATGGAAGTGAAAACGAACAACGCGCCATGTCCCACTGCACCACAAGGCATTCTAACAGTGAGTCCACCCAATCCTCTCCCATATTCTCCATCTCTATATCTCCACTTCGCTGCCTCATTGACCAATTGATCAAAAGCCGGATATACATAATCAGCGAACTGGATTTCTGCGACAGCCTTCATACCTTCCGCAGCTGCTCCAATCGCGAATCCTATTATTCCTTGTTCGCACAATGGGGTATTGAAAACTCTTTCTGATCCGTATTGCTCTGCAAGTCCTGTACTGCAACGAAATACCCCTCCAAATCCTACGTCTTCACCAAAAACCATAGTTGTTTCATCTTTGGATAATGCGAGTGATAATGCATCGTTAATTGATTGGAACAGGTTCATTCGTTTCGTGGCACCATTTCGTATTTCCGGTGAAAGCTCTGGGTTCTGCAATGCACTAGATGAAGTATGGCTTAGGATAGCAGTTGACCCATAATCAATTGCCTTATTTAGTTTTGCTTGCGGAGGATGTGTAGAATATGATCTTGGGAATCTCGAATTGTGGACAACACACAAGGGCTTCAGTGGTTTGACCAAGGGAGTCGATAATCTTGAAGTTATTCGCATGATGGATAGGAGTTATGATCACAGGTACGACGTTCTACAACGTTGGATGAAATGATTGTATTGTATTAAAAAAATTCCATGATAGCGATGAAACTACATTGTTGATGTACAGTTACAAAACGCGGAGAAATCTGGGGTAGCCGTTTGTAACCACATCTAAGCGTTTAATTGATAAACCGATAAACCGATAGATCTCGTAGCACGTGTTTAGTGACGGGATCTAAGCGCCAAGCTATTATAGACCAGCCCCCAACTTTATGCGGATGAGGATGTTGCTGTGGAAACAAGATAATAATCCTGGAAATTCGATGCGCATACGTATGTTGAGCATACAGATTTTTCTGATGCATGATCAGCACGAGCACGATTCATTGTACATATAAACCATGTCAATTCTATAAAGTATTCATTTTGGCAAATCTCTTGTACTCATAATCTGCTAGAGCTGGAGGAGGAGAGAATGGCTGGGGACGCGACTGAACGACCACATAGAAAGAGTACATTACACGAAAAACGACGAGCAGAACGACGATCGCGGGCCATTGTTGCAGAATCAGAGGCGCCTTCTGAACCGACTGGATCTCAAACTTTATCAATTGATTCCCTGGCAAGATTAAATGACTCCCTTGAACGAGAGAAGAGGAGGGAGGAGAGGAGGAAATCAAGATCGCGACCACCGGTGAAGGAAGACCATGGACGATCGAGGGAACGAGGTTCGCCCAGTAAAGATAGAAGACGAAAAGAGCGCGGATATGCGACTGAGGATTCTAGTTCGCCGATTAAAAACAGAAAGAGAGAACGCGATTATGATGAGATTCCTGGATCATCAAGTAGAGAAAGAAGGAGACGAAACGAATATACCGATGATGAATCTGGATACCCTGGCAAAGACAAGAAAGTGAGAGACTATTCCGATTACGAGACAGCGGCAGAAACAGCTCTACGAATTCAAAAGCAGAGAAGAAAGCAAAACGGCATCCCCGAGCCAAAACCAAAGCCGAAGCCGAAGCCAAATGCGCCGCGTAAAGAGGAACGGAGTTTGAAAATACCAAACACATATACAGATGACGAGACTGTCTATGAGAAACCTCGGAAAGAGCCAAAAGGAAAGAAGCGTAGAGTTGTCAGTGGAGCACTTTTAGAAGAAGGTGAAGGGGAGTTGAAGCAACGCAGAATGTTCAGTGGCGCAGAACTGAAAAATGATCTGAGACATCTGAAAGGGTTGAGAGGTGGATATGCGCCTACTGAATCAAGCTATCCTGACAAGTACATCGAAAGCGACGAAGATTTTAGAAAAAGGCGGAAAAGTGTCTGTGAGTTCTCAAACTCAAGGTCGAAGGAGTCAATTTTGAGAGCTGATAATGTATCTAGGGATGGGAATTGGCATTGGCATAGTAATTTTGATAATTATAATAGCAATCGCAGTGAGCACCAGCAAAAAACACACTTCAAGTTCTTCCTCATCAACAGCCCCTGCAACAGAAAGTGGAACTCCTTCAAATTCAAATCTTGATGGGATGTCAGAAAGTGATATTCCGGTTGCAGCCCAAGGCACATATTTGGACCCATTTACATGGTACGATACGTTGGATTTCAATGTCACATACACGAATGAGACTGTCGGAGATCTTCCGGTTATGGGACTGAATACCTCATACAGCGATGATGTAGCACCAAATTCCAAGGCACCCAAGTTATCTGCCGAGTGGGGAGCTTATACTTCAAGACCGGCTAGAGGTGTCAATTTGGGTGGCTGGCTTTCTATCGAACCTTTCATCACGCCGTCCCTTTTCAATTCCTACTCATCAGCAGATGGAATCATTGATGAGTGGACACTGACTACTAAATTGGGTGCAACTGCGGCTGCATCTACCCTTGAGAAACACTATGCGACCTTCGTTTCTGAACAAACATTTGCCGACATTGCCGCTGCTGGACTGGATCACGTTCGCATTCCTTACTCGTATTGGGCTGTGATAACCTACGACGATGACCCCTATGTCTTCCGCACCTCATGGCGTTATCTTCTTCGTGGTATAGAATGGGCTCGCAAGTATGGTCTTCGTATCAACCTAGATCTCCATGCACTCCCTGGATCTCAAAATGGCTGGAATCACTCCGGCCGTCAAGGAGCTATTGGTTGGTTGAATGGAACTAATGGCGACCTAAATGCTCAACGCAGTATCGAAATCCATGATAGGCTCTCTAAGTTCTTCGCTCAAGACCGCTATAAGAACATTATTAGTTTCTATGGCCTCGCTAATGAACCTAGAATGACATCTCTTGACGTCAATGATGTCCTAAACTGGACATCTACCGTCACTGATATGGTCGTAAAGAATGGTATTTCCGCGTATGTCGTTATTGGAGATGGATTCCGGGGACTCGAGAATTGGCAGGGCGATTTGACAGGTTATAACAATCTAATCTTAGATGTTCATCAATATGTCATTTTCAACAGCGGACAGATTCTTTATAACCACACGGAGAAAGTAAATTATGCTTGTAGCGGTTGGACTCAACAAACCGAGATATCTATGAACACAAGTACAGGATTTGGGCCCACGATGGTTGCTGAATGGTCTCAAGCCGATACTGATTGTGCAACCTATCTCACAAATGTCAATCAAGGAAATAGATGGGAAGGAACATATGATACTGGAGACTCATCGACACAACAAACGACGCCAGATTGTCCAACACAGGACAGCACGTGTAGTTGTACCAATGCGAATGCAGATCCAAGTACTTATAGTGATACATACAAGAGCTTTCTACAAATGTTTGCCGAGGCGCAGATGTATAGTTTTGAGTTAGGCTGGGGCTGGTTTTATTGGACTTGGACTACGGAGACTAGTGAGGGTGGTGGCACACAGTGGAGTAAGTTTCCGACTCCTCGCGTCTGCAGGTTTCCTCTTTCCCATACCTACCGCTTCGTTGGCGGGAAATTTGATGAAAGGGGCGATCAAGAACCAAAGCACGAAGAATATCGCTGGATAATTACTAACAGATTGATCGAACAGGCTACCAAAGAGGATTAGCCGCCGGTATCCTGCCAAAGCTAGCATACGATCCGGACTTTAAATGTTCATCAACAGTCCCAAGCTTCAGCGCATTGCCTGAATACTATTGAGCAATATTGGTCTGTACCTCGACAGTGGCCAAGTTGGTGAGGGTGGTAGAGAGTAGATATGTACAAATAATTGGATGCGCAGTCTGAGTGACTGGTGTAATTTCACGACGGTATGAATGACGTTTGCATATAGAAGGATTTGACCATATCTTTGAACCTTGGCGGCATGATTCCTGGAGTATGGAGGGAATTAATTGCATTTGTTTATTTATATATAAATATGAGTTGGGGTTGTGGAACTAATGGGCGGAAGCTGTGTTTTAGAGGTATGTTGTAGAGCCTGCGAGAAAATCGTTGTGCCAAGGTTTTTACGGAAAAGTTGCAGTACGGCGAAATGGGGGTTCTATGAATTGGAACACTCTTTTCAATTGGGACAATTATATCAATTGTGATAGTCATAGGACATTGAAGTGGAGGTGAAGGTCACAACAGTTCTCCCCTTTGGTATCTGTACTTCCACTCCCACTCCCACTCCGAGGCCTCTAGAACAACGCGTGCAATGCGCACCCCCAACTTGGTAGACTATGTGGATCTAGCTGGATACTTTTTCAATTCTTAGCAGCTGGGCAAGATTGGATTTTTCCTTAACGGTGTATGTGTTCACAAGTATTAGAGTTTTGAGTTGTTCTAGTTAGTCAAGTACTTAAAGTCTTAGCCTCAGAATATCCCCACCTTCCCTGCGATCTAAACCCAACTATCACATATCTTTCACCCAGAGGAGTTGTTAGCGCTTCTAGAAAAGTAGTCTTTTTAGATCAATTCGTGTCATTTAACTTGTAGAGCAAGAAATCTATCACGAGGTCTCCAATCAAGATCAAGTGAAGTTACTCGTGACCCACGTGTTTACTTCCTAAAGCACTACGGTGGTTTAGATGATTTAAAGCATCAAATTATGACATGCATCATCAGTCAAGTGAGTAAATAAAGGTATCATATTGGATTGATTACCAAACTTCATGGCCTTAGTCATCCGCGTAATACATTTATCTCCCAAATCAAGACAAGCCAAGATTCTTCGGGTTCAGTCATCCCTAGGACGAAATTCTTGGCCAAAAGCTAAACTCAACCTCCTTAATATATATGTATGTTCGCTCCCCAGTAATCACAAAGATTCCAACACACAACTTCCATTGAAAAACAACATACGATGATGCTCCTCATTACCTCCATGTCCGCTACGGCAACAATCACTGTGACTAAAACCCTATATGACATCGTTTCATTCACTACGTTAAGCACTGTCATCAGCCCTAATCCCAACCTTTCCAACCAACGGCACAACATCCACATTTTCACCTGTGAGTACAAATGATTCAATAATTCCCTTATGTTGACTGACTAATCCTAATGTCCAACTGCCCTCTACTTTTGTATCTTATGCTTATATTCCTTTTGCTTCCCCATAGAGTATTGACTCCTCGTTCTGCTACTTGTCTCGTGAAATCTATGCTTAGTAGGCAACACTAATACCCCGATCTCGCAGTCTGCATCTCTCACAAACAACTCATCAAACATAACCACATCAACAACCACAAAAACACACCATGGTTCGAATTCTTGGTGAATGCCTTTATTAGCTCTGCCAATAGCAGTCTTCTTGTGTATTATCTGGGTTGCGATTATCCTCGTGGTCTCAAAAACTAAAAGTCCATGGATGGATTTCCTAAGCTATGACGTAAATAGCCAGATCAGAGCCGAGCAAGAGAAGGAATCTGCGGAACGGCAACTTAGAGAAGCGGAGAGGGAAGAACAGTTGAAAAAAATAGATGAAGAGGAAGCTGCGCGCAAGAAAAAGATCAAAGATGCGGATAAGAGCCTGGCCGATTTCTCCCGCATCATTCGTTTTAGATCCAGAGCTATGAACTTTTGTTTTTGAAAGGTGATGAGGTACACATTAGCGATGATTATGCTCGGTTCGAAGCTGCAGATGGACAGAGAAAACTTACGGATTTAGAGATACTCAAGATATTAATTCTCGAACATGTAGAGAAGTATGTTACAGAAATAGAATGGACTCAAAAGCATCCTGTGGAGTATGAAAAGCTTAGAAGGGAATTTTGTTATCGTATTTATGAAACGTTAGAGGCAAAAAAACGGATGCGAACGGAGAGGAATGACCCTGTAGCTGATGAAAGGGACACGGTAGAGATATGTGAGAAGTTTGAATGAGACCCGACCGATCTCCTCTTCAAACTACCCTAGAGCCAGGAACTTGTGACTGTCAATGAAAGAAGAGAGTGGGAGGACATTGATAGAAACTCGGTGCTGAAACTAGAGCAGGGTTTCCCATAGTCCAAAACGCGATCCAACGATCGAATATTTTCAATACACGAAGACGATTTAAACTACAAGACAGATTCAACCTCCTGGATTGATGAAATGGCTTCAATTGGGGCAATAATTAATAGTCTTTCAGTAATGGACTGCAACTCGAGCACTTGGAAACATTATACAAGAAAGATCGGTATCACCATTCTATGGTATGCATGAGCAAGCAGGTTAGACCCTTACCTTACATCGGGTCTTCTAGGCCACCAACTATCACTCCCTCAAAGCTTGAAATGGTTCATCTGGCATAGGCGCTCAAGACTGCACTATCAATAATGTAGAATGAGATGATAGTGGTAATGACTAAGAATGTTGTTTGGATTCAATTATATTATATAATTAAAGGAGGGAGTATCAGCTTTTGAAATAATATAGGATCATAGATTATCAAGATATAAAATCTGACATATATATCACAGTTGAGCCGAATTTATATTGAAAGTGGTGTATTTGATTTCCACTGTTATCATCCTCCCCCGATTGTTCACTCCTCAGTTCAGTATCAATACCCCTCCATCACATGACATTGACATCAAATTACTTCAAGTAGACTCAAGATTCATCACGGATAGAAAAAGTGCCTTATATTTAAGAATGCCAGCATTAAACGCAAGCATAATGATCCTGTCATACCAGGCCACTTTACACCTTAGTTCAGTCTTCTTCTCAAATGTCAGTACGTCGCCATGGAGTTTTTACTTGTGCACTATCCTGTATCATAGTTATTCTTTCCAGGATTGCTGCTATACGATATCAATTATTTTTTGGCCCTTGATGAACAAAGTAGATAACGGAAGTGCTCTCCAGATTTCCAGGACAGCTATGGTCAGAATCCGGGTCCATTACTCCTTGTTAAAAAGAATATCGCCATCTTTAACATCTCTAAAGTGAGATCCATCTCGCCGATGCAAGTGACTGGGTAGCAGGGGGGGGCTAGGTGTCAGTTTCCTTAATCGCTATGTTATATAGTGGTGACTTGGTAAACTTAGAGGAAGGCAAACAGATGCTCGTGGTGAACAGTCTAAAGATCGAAAGGATTATGGATTCTTGGAATAAATTAAGTTGATTGATATTCTGAATGATGTATCACCAAACTTCTCGATGTGAGCTCTCAATATTTGAAATCAATTCAATGTTTAAACAGGAATTAAAACAATCAGAACAATCAAAAGAAATTGGGTAACACAGCTGACGAAAGGGTCCCTAAGGGCGGATTTGTTCCGATCTGTCAAGAGCCCTTATGTGGAAGCTGTGGAAAGACTCGTCATTAGAGCTCTCATTAGGACAATCTTGACTGTTGTCTGAAGATTTTACATGAATTCTATAGTGGTCCTTAAGTCAATCGCAGGAAGATCCGGGAAGGCTTTTGTTGCGATTTCTGTTCCCGATGTGGCGATATCATATAGAGATTTGAGTTTGAGATTATCTCATGACTGTGTTAGATATTAGTACGCCGTTCTGCATATACAACAGAGATTTTACGAACATGTTCTTAATAGCCCGAACTGCATAGGAACAATCAGATAGTTTCCAGTGTCCAAAATCTATCAGTACATTCACGAGTTTGAGATCTTTAACTAAACTGCTATGATTATCGATTAAGACATTGTGGAAAAATCGAAATCCTGGATTCTCTTTGAATAATACATCGTTTCCAGGCGTCAAGAGTCTACGCTTATTCTACCAGTATCGTGAAATGACACGCACTCCGTGGATCAAAATATGATATAAACCAAATCATAGCTATTCAAGTTTAAAGACCGATACATTTCCAATACTTCTCTAGAGCAGAAGGCTCCCATAATGCCCAAATTCACTCACTCGGCGTCCAGTCATTCTCTCACATAACGATTTACTTCTGATTAATAACCTTTGACTCTGCATGTTCTCATTTGTTATCGGTTCCTCGAAGTTTCACGTACTGAAAACTCGTAGTCGAGTCTCGAGAAAGCTGTGATCCACTGCAGATCAAATTTTGTCTCTGCTGATCAGGTTAAGTAATCTAAAGAGCAGATGGCATTCAGTTGCAAGAGCAACGATACTTTGGTCTTCATTTTTCATTGTCAAGTCACGTGATATAATGGACTTGGATCTCGGCAGCCCCCCTATCCGAGCCGAGAAACAAAATCTGAAATTTGGAACGTAATAGTCTCCGAATCATGAGCGATTCATGTTCGTGAAGCATACAGCAGCGTTCCAAGCTTTTCTGTTGTCCACAACTAGAGTCTTCTCTTCTTTAGACAATAGGAATATAGCGCGCGAAACCTTATTAGGTTGTACGGGAATTCATGCTGAATGACTACACGTTGAACAAAACAGATCATCTTGCAAGGTCAAATATATTGATATAACGAACTTTGCAATCACTTCCAATGGATCAACCAACAGCCAATGATCAAATGTCTTTTATGTTTTTCATTTCAATGCCCGTGTTTCCCCTCATTTCGTAGAGCTTTCCGGTTGGCTCGTGCTTAGCTCGTGCTTGGCCCGATGAAATGGATTTCATTAAATCGTCGTTTACCAAGTGACACATATGATATTGTAAGAAGCTCGGGCGCAGCAGATCTATATCGAGCCTGTCGCTCCAGGATGAACTAAGTGCTATCACCAATTGGGCTCCAAGCTAGATCAAGGAAAGCATAGATCTACATCAACTGTATCGACATAGATCCAGGGCTATCGAGAAGACTCACAAAGCGATAATCCGTGGTCGCCAAACATATTGAACTACGAAAATTAGACGCTTTGTTCTAAGAGTTGGTAAACTGGTCATGGTTCTGCACTAAATGAAGAGATAAAATTCGATTAACTATGTTAATCACAGGTTTTCTCGAAGAATAATCAAGATATATTCTGACTCTTACATCCGCAATGGGATGTTTTCACAAAATCCCAGATTTTGACTAGATTAGATTCAATGTAATGCCTGGAAATCCATTCTGAGCCGTAGTTCTGCATCGCATTTAGACTTGAAGAACAGCCGATTTACTCAATTCGAAACACTACAAAAAGTTGTTACCTTTAATAACAAAGCTAGAGAAGATCCCGGAAGGGGTTTGGAGTTCTTACAGCTCGTAAGATAATCGAAAGGCCAGATGGGAAATGCGAGTTCAAATGAGACGTGTCTATAACGAAGTGTATGTGCCGGAATCGCGGACATTTCAGCCTTAAGAATTCAAGAATAACGAGCCGATGATTTCTCCGCGAGAGTACGGCCACCATCATGCAATGCAGACATTTGCGCATAGGGAAAGGGCGATCGAGACAATGTCACGTGGTTACTACATCGGCGGCCGGTGTGACTTGGAATTTGTACGTGGAAAGCACGTTGAGAAGACACATGTCGCCTGCGTGGCGAAAAAAATGAGAGAAATTATCGAGGGTATAGCAGGATAGCTTTCATTGGACGTCTACAAATCCATACACAAAATTCTTGTATACAAATCCTACTAGCCTGTTCCACTTCGCAAGATATAAGCTTTGGCATCAGCGATCACTTTCAGACCTACTTCTCGCATTATGTTGGCATGCAAATACTGTTAAATTCGCAGTTCGTGACTCGAGAATACATGGAATCGTCATATACAGTTATAGAATTTAACATCGAGATTTTGTTGAAGAACCATGGCCTCGGAACTAATTTTGCTTTGTCTTGCAATCTGGGTTTATCAAAAGGGAATTGAATGAGCATGTAAGCGGCAAAATTCTTTTAGTATTGTTGAATCATCTAAATGTTGACTATTACATGAACATAAACCATGACAATTTGTTTTCGAATACAGAACGAAACAATCACCTCGATTCTTATTCTTATTGTCCCAGTTTGCCCCAGAGTCTGAGGCTTATCCATAGGCTCAAACTTGAGAGAATCGTATCTGGCCGCGGTCCCGACTATCTCTATGGCCCATCGAACCTTCCCTAATCTATCGTCCTACTCAACCCGCACGAAAGATTTGACGATAGTTGTAAAACAAACTATCATCTGGCCAATTTTGGTCTTACTGCCCAACATGAATGTCTATACTCTATACAATTTCGAGTAAAACCCAGAGGTATGCATAATTTCAGCCGCATGGAATCAAAAGTAGATATCGAAGACAAACCTTGAACAAGGGGTGAAGATTCGCACCCATGAATCTCGAAGTAACAAACTTATTACTCAAACGTTTGATATCAGAATTCATATTTTGATTGTTCCATCTCTGATCAAAAATTGTAACAATTCCTAAGATAAATGATTTAATATATCGAGAAATATTCACAAGTCCATTTTTGCAGTGTCTCGTCAGTGCGTACACCCACTGGTGGCGTACAGAACCAAAAAACACAACTTAGCCAGATGCCAAAAAGAATGGATTCAAGGTGATGGAACTTACAGAAGAATTCCCAAAAAGCAAAGACCACTAAGATTAGAGCCGGCTTTCTTTCGCTTCTCCGGGTTCCCCAGAGATCGTACTTACACTTGCAAGTATGTTCTCCGAGCGATCTGGTTGGTTCCCCAGGTTCGGGCTTTCTTTTGCTTCTCCCGAATTACTCAAGATGTACCCGAAGGTGACTTTGAGCGATATTCCCTCAATCTGAGAGAACGTGTTGATTGAACAAGATAAAAAGAGTGATCACTTAGCTCCTCGTGAGAGGGTACCCAGCTAGCACGACGTGGACGTGTGATCAAGACTAGCCTCCCTATACACCCAAAAGTCAGCATTAATTCATCAGAGGAGTTTGATCACCTTGTTGTTGTTTGGTCTACCCCCCGGGCAGGTAGAGTGTGTCGTCGATGCCTGGTATCCTAGCTGCGAAATCTAGGTAATATTGGCTCCCATATTCCTATTTTTATAGTG